ATCGGTCCTAATGGTTTTGCGTTTTTCGCAAATCGAATGGAAAACTTGAGCAGTCAGGGGTACACAGAATATCAAAGTCAAAAGAAATTGGATTCTGAAGTGAGTTGAACCTAAAGCTAACAAATGAGCATCGGGGGTGAGTGTGGAAAAATGTTCATTTTTCAATCTTCCGCCGCTATCTCTTATCACTTATCTTTTCGCCGGGCGCCGAATGAAACGGCGGCTCCGAACGAGACGAAAAAACCGCGAGAGCGGGGCGAATCATTCCGAATTGTAAGTGTTTCAAAATTAATGGCTGCCACTCGGCCCCATCCGCCCCAAAACTTCTTTTTTTGCCGTCGGGCTCTGAGGGATCACATCAATTTCGGAAGAAGAAAACGAATAACAAAGGGGGAAGGTGTTTGAATGAAACCATCATTTCAAAAAGGCGACGACGGATAGGGGCGCCGAGGTTGCCTCTGACAATTTCAAGAGCTTTTCGGAAATCACTCAACAATTTGAAGCACTTTTTGCAAATAGATAGTTTTGAGGCAAAAAGGCACAGAGCGAGAGACAGAGCGGAAGCGACGAAAAAATAAATTCGGGACGAGCAAGGGGGAGCCAATTTACCGAGAAGTTTTCAAGAGTTTCGAGGAGTGGGTGGGCGCCAACAGGAAGCAACGTGTTTTCCGATCAGGTGGCAGTGACGTGCCGAACGAGTACGGATCCTCTGCTCCGGATCCGGAAAGAAAGTGATGCGGCTGCTTCGTCATATCGGGGTCAGAGCAGTAATCGGCTCTTCTTTACTGGAAGCGTCTTACCCAAAGAGCCTTCTACAAATCCTCTTAGTCCAGAAACTTCTTATCCTTTCCTCTGCAGAGCTCTCCGTAAAAAGAGCAGAGCAAGGTCCTCAACTCATTCGTCAATTGTCGAAAAGACTGCTGCAACCGTCTGCTCGTTCTAATCGTCGGATGTTCCGAAGGGCTCCGTGTCCGCACGAGTTCCGGCGCACTTCCTGCGTATCGAAATGATCCTCTCTCAATTCGACTTTTGACAAGTAAATTGCCGGTTTTTCGTGTGCACCTTTTTGCGCGGAGGTATGTACCAACTCTCAACCAGGGGCCATAAACAAAAGAGGAATTCCGGCGGAGAGCACACCGATTGGAGCCCATTAGTGGGACGTGGCTTTCCCTTCAATTTGAAGTGTGTCTCCTACCACAAACCAACACAAATTTTCCTTGACAAGAAGGCCGGCCGAAAGAGAAAAGAAATTCAATTCATTCACGCATCAATGAGTGATGTGAAGTCTTCTGAAGTTTGGCGCAAATGGGTTTTACAAAATTGAGTCAGCCACGAAGAATGCGAGCAAAGAAATGCTCTGTAATACTTTTGATTTTGGAAGAGAGCGGCGAGGGGTTTCTCACTTTTTACAGGTGTTCGCTGCAGCGACCCGGGCTTTTGAAAGGCCTACCGAGGTCTGGACTTTTGGATCCAAACTCTTTAGGTTTCATTCAATTAGATTGAAGTATATCGGTCCCAAGTTACAGACCCGAAACCGAAAAGACTGGGTTTTTGCGAAAAGTGCGGTATCTCATCTCAAGGGTAAATCCTCCGATTCATCTGAAACTTGGGTCAAAAGTCCTCATTTTGCCCCGTTCTGGTTTGCTGGAACCTCCCTTCGTCGTCAGGTCTCTTCTTTGAGAACTGTTTCTTAAGGTATCGTGATAAAAAGTGAAACAATTCCAGAACGTAGATCAATGTAATTTCAGATTACTTTCAGATCTAAGAGGATTGGATCATCCGATTATAGATACAATGTGCTCTTGTGAAACATTCGAATTCGAGGATAGCCCCACGAGAGTAATAGTTCATAAACGATAGTAATAAACGGAAAAGGATTCTCGTAGTGAAACGATGGCGGATGAGCTGGATGAGTACGGAGCAATCGTAGTCTGTGACCGCCAATCCCGGATCGAAATAGACGGAGAAGCAAAGTTCGGAAGTCTACGGCAAACGTTTATGACGTGGCAATGAAATGGCCGATATAATGATGAGCATACGGGTGGAGGCGGGCGACAAATTGAAACGAAATGATGAAATGAATGAACTTGAGGAGAAGAAAGAAAGATGTATTCCTCTTCCTCTTCTTCTTCTTCTTCTCCTTCTTCTTGTTCTTTCTCCGCCGCCAGCCTCTTTTATGCTTTCTTTCGTCTCGAACAAAAATTCGACTTTTAATGAAAATGAAATGATGAATTGGGATGGTTTGGTGGAACAAAGACGGACGGAAAGTGCAGTGGCCGAAGAGATTCCAAATTCGAATTTGGCGCCACGAAGGCGGCCGTTTTGAGGAACAGCTTGTGAAAAACGGAAACGCGCATTGAGGGGGAACGAGCGAAAAGTGGTGGTCGTGGTGGCCCGGCGGCAAATTCATTTTGTTAATTAAATTGACCGACATGGTGGAAAATGGGCGGGAAGTGGGCGAAGACAGGTACAGAGAGGCACGGAGTCGGAGCCAAGCGGTCGGGGGAACGGTCCCTGACGAATCGAGCTTGTACTTAGTACAAGTTGTGCACAAAAACACGGACAATCGGTGGCAGCCACATCACGATTCATACCGCACACAATGAAACGAGGAGACAAAAGCGGTGGGGGCACAAGGCTGGAATTTTCCCACTTGAGAATGAAGAATGCTCGAGATTTCCGAAATTTCGCATCCCTCCTCTTTTTTACTTTTTCGCCGTCGAAAAAAAGGGAAAGTTTTGTTGAAATTTGAAATTCCAAACTTTTTCCAGAGAAACGAGATAATGAAAAGAGCGGGTTGAGAAGAGCAGAAGCGGCCGTGGCTCATGGCTAGTTGGCTCATAAAGAATGCGGAAAATACGAGAGTGCGAAGAGATAATATTAAATTAAAAAGTTTCAACTTCTTTTTGTCTCGCAAACCGAAACTTGAAGTTATTGCAAAACGAACCGGAACACGTGCAAAGTCAGAAACCGAACGAATGGGAACGACGCCGAAATGGGCAAGGGTCTCGAGTTTCGATTTAATGAAAATAAACGGGGCGAATGGCTTGTATATTGGAGGGGGGACCCACGTCTATGACGATGTTTTGGTCCCCGCCCGTTTTCGAGAAAACAATTTCCGATTTTTTTTCGAAAACAGTTTGTATCAAATGAATTGTTTGCGGCGGATCGAATTTCACGCAAAATGAGAGAGAGAGAGAGAGAGGCTCTTCGCTCGCTTTTAGAGCATTTTCAGATATTCGGAGACTTGCACATTTTAACTTGAACCAACTCTGAATTTGAAGGGATTTAGGGAGTGTCTGGCCGAAGCCTGAACTTTTGACTCAGTGACAATATCCTGGTCGGGCCCAAACTTTGCAGGCTTGGATTACACTTGGATTGAAGTATCTTGGATCGGATGATCTACTCCGGAGACATGTGGTGGCCGAGAAGACCGATCGGCCTGAAATTTGGGCCCGAGATACTTCAATTCATGTCAAAAATGTCCATTGGAAATGGTTCAAAGTTTAGGTCTAAAAAAACCTTCGAAAAGCATAGCCCGACCAGTCGCCAAGTCCTGCTTTCGACTCAATTATATTATCAGTCGATGATTAGGCCTGAAAATAAAACTACAGTAACCCCAAACTTTCCTGGAAAAGTGTCACCCGTCTATGTGTACCGAAAAACAAAAAACCGATTGTCTATCAAAAATGCAGAAGAAAACGTTTTTCGAAAAAAGTCAAGTTTTGCACACCATCAAGAGCCGGCCGGCCGCCTTGAAGAGACCCAAATTTTGACACATCTCTCTTGTCTTTTTTAATCGCCATGAATACGAGCGGTGGCGAAGAACCGATATGCATTTTTGAGTATCTTCATCATCTTTTCTTCAAAGCCGACCCAAAATATTACAGCCGAAATGTTGTTATTGTTCAAGTTCCCTTTCGAGTTTTGCAGAACGGAAAGGGGGTGAAAGATTACGGTAGCGGGCACCTGGCTGAGTGTCGGAAGAAGCCCATTCGTCGGTGAGTTATGCGTTAGCAGAACGGACGCATTTCGGACTTGGCGCCAGCGAGAGAGCATTGAAGACGAAGAGACGCAGACACCGGATCGCACGAATTACAACTCATGTTGGACAGAAATGGCGAAGGAGCCGGAGGGGGACTTTGAAGAGCATCTACCGTAGTCCCGAATGGATAAAATTCAATTTCCGGTTTTGGTGGTTCGATGGAAAAGCAATAAATTCCAAAGGTCCAGATTCGATTTCGGCGCCTCTCTTTTCCCATTCTAATGAGCTTAACATATGGAAATGAGCAACACAATTTATAGTTTTTCTCTCAAATTTGGAATGCTTTCGCTGGTTTTCATGGGAACGTTAGGTTCAAAACTTGGAAAGGGGGTTCTTCAATTCCGATTGGTCCCAAACTTTGAACGATTATCAGTCTTGGTTCGAAGATCATCTGGTCTGAAACTTTAAAGGTATGAACGTCAAACTAAGACTGACAAGTGGCCCAAAAGACCGGACCTTGAAAGCCATCTAACTAGATTCCTTTCAAACTTTCATAATGAAACAGTTTCGATGTCACGAAGTGCAAACAATGTGCGAATCTCTTCTCGCCCCGTTCCACGTCATTCCACCTTTGTACTCTGTTTTCTGGTCCAGCTGATAAGGCGGCAGTCTCTCTGCACACTGACTATGTGTCCGGTTATCAGTGCGTGCTCTGCTTCTCCCCCTTTCTCTCTCATTCTCTGTTTATCAACACCTTCCCTCTCTCTCTCTCTCTCTCCTTCTTCCAGTCTCATTCCCACGTTCTATCCGCCTTCTGTTTTCTTTTTCTTTTACCCCATGTGTCAAAACTTTTCCAACCAATCACACACACACATACATTGCATTCTAACTGGTTTTTCGGATATAATATAATTGGAATGGACTGTCCTCGCCCCCCTCTCTTTCTGCGACCGACTGAGGATTATGAATATAGAAACTGTATTCATAATATCCCTTTAATATTGTTATTTTTCAGATGGAAGAAGACGAGGCGGTTGTCAAGTTGGCCGCGGAAAAGGGGGCGGAACGGAAGGAAGGGCACGCGGAAACGGGTTCGCGGCGCCTTCTCATCTACGGAATCGCCAGGTGGGTCTCACTTTCGTCGTCCTCTGAAATTGGATTCATTTTGGGAGCGAAGTTAGGCCACGGCCCCGTGCACATTCCTCTAATTTTATGTATAGCATAGTTAGAAGGGTAATTTTATCAGCTGAAATTCTGCTCACTGATAACACTCACTCTCAACTATCAATCACTGTTTTTGTCTAGTGTCACGTGAACAACAGTACTCATTCTTTGTTAAGTTTGAATGTAATGTAATTGGTCAGAAAACAGGCCTCTGACCTTCGCTTTCGTTGCCCAAATTACGAGGCATTGTCCCATTCTTCTCGCCCTCCAGTTAGCAGAAAAAGAGAATTAGAATAAGAAGAATGGCGATGAAGAGGGCACGAATCACTCTTTCTCTCTCTCTCTCTCCCTCTTCTTACCTACTCTTCAAGCTTTCCCTCTCTCTCTCTCTCTCTGAGAGCGAACAAGCGTGACCTCGAGAAACCAGTCCGCCCATCGAACCAAACAAAATTACAGTATTCTCGCAGTTTCGGGGGCGTGGCTTGTCGTGGCCACCGCAGTTGACACTCTCGTCTACCTGACTGCCGACAGCATGCACCTCGACAATCTCGTCGGACACGTGGCTCCCGGATACGAAAAGGTTGAGAAGGTGTTCAGGTGAGATCTAGACTGTTCCTGAATACATACTATCGCCCCCCATTCAAATTGAAATGCCTCAATAGTAGTTCCGATGGTCCGGGCAGGCCAAAAAAGAAAGAGCTGCATACAAATAGACACCTCCCGATTACCTCGCTCTAGTTATCCAAAGCCTGAATCTAATAAGTTTCTCAGCATTTGCATACACTTTCTCTCTGTTTGCCAAGGTCGTTTCGACTGTACAGTCTCCCAATTATCCGTCCGTACGTCTCCGTCTCTCGTATCCATCTAGAGAGAAAGTGAGAAGCGGACGCTGAAAAAATGTATTCGTAGTGTAAACAAGTGTGAATAAGAAGAAGAAGAAGAAGAAGAAGAAGACCCCAATTCCCTATTTCAGACGGAATTTCGCGGACGGATGGGAACGGGAGGGCGCGTCGATCACCGTCTACCACCGAGATCGGGTGATTGTGGACCTGCAAGGAGGGTTCGCGGACCGGGCTTCCGGCCGCAAATGGACGTCCGACACGCGGACCGTCGTGTTCAGCACCACGAAAGCGGTCGGAGCGGTGTGCGTGGCGATGCTCGTGGACCGCGGTCACATTAGTTACGACGACAAGATGAGCAAGATATGGCCCGAGTTTGCACAGAACGGAAAGGAAAACATTACGATCGACTGGCTTATGTCGCATCGAGTAAGTCCGATTTGAAAGGCGCCTTCCGATTATCAATGTTTTCAGGCTGGACTCGCTGCTCTCGATGAGCCCATCACAATTGAAGACGCGCAAGATTTCGAGCGAATGAGTCAGGTGATCGCGGCACAGAAACCGAACTGGGAGCCCGGAACCAAGTCGGGATACCATGCGATCACGTACGGATGGATCGTCGATCAGATCGTGAGACGCGCGGATCCGCAGAGCCGTTCCGTCGGCCGCTTCTTCAAGGAGGAAGTGGCCGATGTGCACGGAATAGACTTCCACATCGGACTGCCGCCCAGCGAGGAACACACCGTTTCGCGGCTCTCGATGCCCTCCACGCTCCACTTGTTCCGGGAGATCGTGCACGATCCACGTGTGCTTATCGTGCTCGCCGTATTCAATCTCCGGCCGCCCAACTCGATTGCTCGCAAGATCGCCGCCAATCCGACGTGGTTCAAACTCGAGCAGGACGTGAACACATTCAACAACCCGACACTTCACGCGATGGAGCAGGTCGCCGCACTAGGAATCACAAAGTCGCGCGACCTGGCCCGTCTGTTTTCGCTCGTTCAGCAAGGGAAACTGTTCTCCAAAGATCTGCTCGAGAAGTTCCGAGTTCCACAAGTGCAGGGAATCGATGAAGTCGTGATGACTCCGCTGCCGAAAGGACACGGATTTCTGTACGAACGGCATCCGATGGGAGGGGTAAGAACGAGCATGATCACCTATCAACATCTTTTTGTCTTTCAGAAGAAGTGGTTGGTTGGGCATCCAGGGTACGGCGGTAGTACGATTATGATGGATCTGGAAGATGAGATTACCATTGCCTATGTGTCGAACGGTTTGAAAACTGGAATGGGTGAGCTGACCAGGACCTATCGACACCTCCGAGATGCAGTTTTCGAGTGCCTCGACAAGAAGAAGAACGCTCCGACGACGATCATCGAGGAAGCAGTTCAAGCAGTCGCCGCATGAACAATTCCAAGATCCCTTTTTTGTACATTTTGCCATAACTTGGGACGGGTTTTACTGCCCCTGTCGAAGAAGATATTGCATAAACTCTTGACCACTTCTGTGCTGAAATTGTATTCGGTAAACAAGTAATACCGGGAAATCGAAAAGGAATAAACAGATAGTTAAAACACATTCGGGTGCAAATTTGGGAAGAGATTCCTGAAGTCGATGAGTTTTGAGCAATAAGATAACTCATCGAGCGCAGGACGGTTACAGGACAAAAGGAAGAAATGATGATGATAATAAATTAAAAGGGGGAAGAAAATAAGACCGATTCAATCTTCCATGTCGTCCTCGTCGAGCTTGGCGGCGGCCCACTCTTCGGCGGCAGTGACGATCTCATCGGGCACTGGCTCGTACTTTCCTTTCGTGTGCTCTCCGACCCATCCCATCTCGATCTGCACATTCTTGTCCTTGTTCTCGTCACGAATGGAAATGATGATTCGGGCTGCTTCCTTCACCAGATGGTTCACGTCCAACTCGTCGATTTTCAGCTTCTCGATCTCAGCCTTTGCTGCCTGTCGATGCTTTCCGACGGCCCAAGCCTTGTACTCATAGTTGAGACCAGACGGCTCGACGAGGAACAAGCGGCCTCCCTCTAGTTTGCTCCACGAAGTGAAGAATGCTCCAGCTCCGAATGGACGACTGATGCCGAGAGTGTGAATGTGAATGTACTCGGCGACCGAGTTGGCAATGTTCTGCACTGGCATCGGCTCACGGTAGTCTTTCAGCCACTTCATCGCCTCTCCGTAGGCGTAGTTTTTCAGCGAGAAACCGTCCGGGTAGTTTCCAGCGATTCCGATTCCAACGTTGTCGTTGACATTGAACATCCTCGGATTCGCGTTCTGAATTGACAAATTCTACCCGATTCATGAAATGCGGAGAACATACGTCAGTGTACAGTTTCGAGGAGATAAGTTTGTCGGCGACAATCACGATTCCGTTCTTTCCACGGATCGCAATCATCGTTCCCGCATTATCAACGGCCTTCTGCGCATATTCAACTGCAAAAAGACGTTTTCCAAGTCAATAATGAGCTTATTTGTTACCTTGGAAAATTCTACCATCTGGAGAGAAGGTCGAAGCAGCGAGATCGTAACCGGTACCGATGGAACTCATCCTGCAATAAAATATGTAATCTTTCTATCTCGAAGATGAATAAGAAGATAAAATTGTATTAAAAACTGAACTGAGAAACTGAATTTGGGGAGAACGACGTTCAAACAGAAAAATTCAGCGTCGTTTTTCAAATGATGATTTTGAGTGTTGATTTACGGAGGAGAGAGACGCCGCTGCGGGTCTCGACACGAACTAGAGGAGAGAGCGTGCGAATGGAGAGACGTCAGACATGTTCTATGCGCCTTTAACCTTTTCTTTCATTTTTCACTAATTTTCGCAATGTTTAATCTTCTTTTGTTCTTCTGGTGATCACTGAAATATGATTTAAAAAAAGCCAAAAAAATGTGCTTTCTTAATTATCTCATTTAATTTACAGAGTACATCTCCAGGGTAGAAATGGTGAAAATTGACGATAAAAAGAAAAAGTTCAAAGGAAAGAAGAAGGTGAAAAATGTGCAGGAGAAGAAGGCGAAAGGACTGAAGCTCAACAAAGTGGATAGAAAGAGAATTGTCAAAGTGAATTTTGCGAGGTTCAATGTAAAACTTCTAATACGAACTTTTTAGATTGAAGAGAAAGCTGCGTTGAAAAGCAAAGTGGACAAAGCAGTGAAAGAGGAGCTGGAGAGACTGAAGGTGAAATCATCTTTGTCAGTTTTCGACAACGATGGAACACGGGAATCGTTGTGCTCCGAGTCTTCCTTCGGTAGTCAGCCTGCTCCGAAGAAAAAGCCGAAAAGAGTGTCATTCTCTGGGAAAATTTCGCAAACGAAGTTGTTTGAGAAAGGTGTTTTCCATGATCTCAATGTGAAACCGTCAGAAGCTTCTCCAGGAAGAGGAATTCTCCGATCTGGCAAAAAGAAGGTATAATTTGATGTTGGCTTGATTTACCTTCATTTTCCTAATTTCAGACGGTCAAGAGTGTCCGTGTTGCAAATGAAGAGGCGGAGGAAGTGGAAGAGACCTCACTGGCTCCACCAAAGAAGAAGAAGAAGGTTCGCACTGAAGAGGCCATTACAACCGAGCCAGCCGATGAAGATTTGAAGTCCGTTGACGAGCACGAAGAGGCCAATGATTCCCTCGTTGACGTTCCAAAGCTGAAGAGAAAGAGGGTCATTCAGGTAATTGCTTTAAAACGAGTTTTGTCGCAAATAAACTTTAAAGGTAACCAAATCCGTCAAAGAGCAGCTGTTGAACATGCCACGGAAGGAGAGAAAGGCGTTCCTGAAAGAACTGAAATTGAAGAGAAAGCCGGAAGGGGAAAGGGCTCAGAAGTGCAAGCTGCTGTGGGAAAAGATCCGAATGGGAAAAACTCCGAAAGACGAGAAGGAGAAGGCTGTGCACGAGTTGTACGGACTGGTCAAGGGACACGCTTCCAAACTTATCTACGCTCACGACACGAGCAGAGTGATCGAGTGTCTGGTCGCTACCGAAAGAGAAGGAATCATCAACAATTGTAATAGATAATTCATTTCCACTGATCGAGCCCTTTTTTTCAGTGTTCAATGAGCTGACTCCGGAAATCGTGCGAATGTCAAAGAACATCTACTCCAAATTCTTCGTCAAGAAAATGCTGAAAAATGGAACAAAGGAACAGCGTGAACTGATCATCAACGCATTCAGAGGACATGCCCCTACTCTCCTCAGAATCAAGCACGCCGCTGAGGTTCTTGAGTACGCCTACAATGACTTCGCCAACGCTCGTCAAAGATACGACATAATCTCGGAGTTCTACGGAAAAGAATTCATTCTGTTTAGAGTAAGGCAACCAAAATGTACATCTTAACTGAATTGTGTTGTTTCAGGAAGATAACATCCGCTCGCTGACCGAAATTCTTGCTGAAAAGCCGGAAAAGAAAAATGTGATCCTGAAGCATTTGGAAGAAGTTATTGAGGCTGTCAACGGAAAGTACGTCCGCGATTCCGTACTTTTCAGCCTCATCACTGATTTTCAGAGAAACTCTTCGTTTGTCGATCCTTCACAAGCTCATGCTCGACTTCTTCGACAACTGCGACGAGGACAAGAAGAACAATCTTCTTGATTCGCTCAAAGATAAAATTCCCGAGTTCATCCACACACCAGACGGATCCAAGCTCGCAATCAAGCTCATCTGGTTTGCGCCAGTGAAGGAGAGAAAACTGATTGTGAAGAACTTCAAAGATCTGTCAGTGAAGGCAGCGATGGAGCACTACGGACATCGTGTGCTCCTTGCTCTCTTCGATTCCATCGACGACACTGTCCTTGTGAACAGGGTCGTCGTTTCGGAGCTGTCCAATGACATGAAGAAGCTGGTGGAGGACGAGTGGGGAGAGAAAGTCATTCACTATTTGGTGCATCCCAGAGACGGAAGAGGACTCGACAAAGAAATGATCAACATGCTCTCGCAGGGAGACAAGAATCCGCACTCGAAGAAGACACCGAAAGATCGCTACGGACAACTGTACACTGGAATCACTGAGAATCTGTATTCATACCTCTCTACAAACTTTGAGCAGCTCATCTTCGACCTGAACAGATCCAAGTTCGTTGTCGCCTGCCTTGAAACTTCTTGTGAGTTGAAAATCCGTCTGGCCTCATTAAGATCATTCGATTTTAGCTCATTACGATCTGTTCGATAGACAAGTACCGTCGGAAGGTCGCAAGGGCTGCAATGAAGCAATCGTCGAGCTGGCTAAGAAGGACTACGTTCCAATGGATCAGTTGGGATTCCACATTATCGAACACGGCACAGGTCACTTTGTGGTGATGGCTGTGATGCGATGCGATCCACAACTGCCGGAGGACGAACGGTTGTCGACTGCTCTGGCGGAGGGGCTCTCGAAACAGCAGCTGGGATCGTGGATCACTTGCAACAAGGGATGCCACGTCCTTCTGAAAATGCTGCAAGTGGGAAGCCCAAGTGTTGTCGCCAAGCTGAAGGAATCGATCAATCGGAAAACATTGGAAGGATACAAGACGAAAGGAGCCAACCTGCTAAAATTGCACCTTGACGGAAAGCTCAAAAAGTAGAACTTTCTTTTTTTATTGTTGTTTTTCTCCATCACCATTACACGTTACTTTTTGTTGTTGTTACTGTTTTTCTATTTTTTACCTGTTCTTTTTTTATTTTTACCTTTGCAAACTTAATAAACTGAACAACATATCGGTTACGTTTTCATGAGAAAAGGGTACAATACAAACTACAGAACATGTTACATGTACAAGCGTGAACAGGGGAATGAAACACTTCTAAATTAAATACATTGAGATCTAGGGAGGAACCGGCAATCATCTGCTCATAGCCATATCTACAATCTTCTCTATATCCTCGTCCCCGTTGTTGATGTACAAATACTGAATTCGCGAATCTTTCTTCTGCGCCTCCTTCAATTTGTTGATGAACGTCGTGACGGGTCCATGATAATTGAACGGATTCAGTCCGACTACGATCTTTTCGTACGCGGGAGCCTGAAAGTATATGAAATGCTCATTTCGAAGCGGAAAAACGCCCACATTTTCAAGCAGTTCCAACGCGACGAACTGACGATCCTGATCGCCGTCGAACGGATCGACAACGAGAATGAGGCTGAGTCCCTCCGAATAGAGCTTCGTGTCTTCGGCCCGTTCGATCAGACGGAAGAAATTGTTTTTGTAGCGTTGCATGCATCTGAATCCCTCTTTTGCTGGGAATATATTCAGAACTCCTCACGTTTTCGGAGAGATCACACTCGAGTGTTCCTTCAGAAACTCCTTCACTTGATTGTGGTAGCTTTCTGTAACGAGAATTGTTTTTCAGATTTAACTTCCGACGAAACCTCGAATTTCCAATCGGTAGGCCGGTTTCATCTCGACCATCAACGGATTCAGAGTGCGAACGTGCACTTCGCACATCGAGCATACCATCAGACATTCTGAAATTAGAGGAATTGGTCATTTGGAGGGGAAATAGATTTGGCAGACTCGGATGTTTGACTGGCGCATTCTCGATGTTCGCAATCGCCAGATCCACCTGGAATCGCTGATCTACAAGCTTCGCACTCGGCATCGTCTGCAGCCTCTCGATGGCGCCCTTGTTCTTCCGAATCCAATCGAGATTCGTTTTCTGGTCGGAAATTCTGAATCTCAGTGTTTCTTTCCGTGCATCCACCGCCTTTCTCATCGCATCAACAATCAATTCGTCTTTGTCTTTTTCGAAGAATCGGAACATTTTCACCTGCAGATACTTGTCACGGAAAGCCGTTCCGTCGAGCGAATACGTGGCGATCACACTGAAACGGTTTCTGATTCTCTGAGTGTCTTTAAAAGTGAGTCACCTATCGATGCCCTCAATATTCTTGTGAATCGCGACCTCTTTTTCTTCGGCCACTTTCAGCGAATTCAGCATTTTCGTGCGCATTTCCATGTTTTCCGTCTGAAGAGCCACGTATCCATGGCCTTGATGGGAGGTTCCTTCCCGGAAGCACACGTGGCACATCAGCCGACTCTGCATTTTTTGGCACATTTCAACCTGGAACTGGATTGACGCCTCTTGCACAGATTCGCATTTATTACTTTGCACACGAACTCGGCGAGCTCTCCCGGATGAATCGGACATTCTTCCGCACTGATCGGCTTGTTGAACAGCAATGTCTTTCGTGATGAGCTAGAATCGCCATGGAATGCACGAAATCCCAGCAGTCGTCGCACAGATCCGCGTCGCACTGTTTGCAGAAACTGGACGCCTGATGGGCGTCGTTCTCGTCGCACCGCCCGTTGTTCATCCTCTCTTTCTTGCCTTTTTTCTAAAAACGAACAATCATTTTGACGAGCTTTTCATTTTAAGTCACCTCAGCTCTCCGCTGCCTTTTCTTGAACGAGCCTTCCTCGATCATTTGCAAAATAGTCCAATTCTTTTTGAGATTGCCAACGTCACCGTCTTTGACGTGCGTTTTCAATCGATCGTAGGGGCATATCAGCGTCTCGGAACCGACGATTTTGGTGGCACATTCCTGACAGAGAGTGTGTCCGCAACCTGGAATAACGGGAAAAGAGGTGAGTAAACAGAAGCGAGGCCTACCAGTCAGAATCCGAGGGATGAGGTTCACATCTTGGGAGTACTCTCGCTCGCAAATCTGACACGTGGCAGTGCATTCCAGAATGTTCATTCGGTTGGCCTGTGAAAATGAAGGTTGTGCGGTTGAATTTATGAAGACGAAAATAAGGTGGGGAGATGAAGGGGAAATAGAGAAAGAAAAGATATTGTGTCAGAGAAAAATGGGAGTCTCGTTGCTTTTTTCGAGCGAGCACTCGCGGCGAGAGAGAGGAAGTCCGCGGAGACGCAGACAGGTAAACGAAATGGAAAACAGCACCGCATCTTCGGATCTCCGACACGGCTCCGGACCGGAATTCCAGCACAATCAAGTTGCTTTCTTCTCAGAAAATGTACCGGGTAAAAGAAACGTTTGTATTAGGTGCCACGTCATCCGTCTTTGTGCGGTGCGCTTCGAAATATTAAAGCTGGAAAGCTGCACGAATGAAACGCTTCCAAAATAAACCGGACGATCAATAGAAAAGGAAATTTATTGTCCGGTGAACGAACGAATGAAACGCGAAATGTGGAAAGAGACGCCGAGACGGAAAGGGCGCAAAACATCGAGGAGGCGAGTGTTATCGCATGCGGAGGGCAATACTGCACGCAACTGGTTCGGAAGGAGTTCCATGAAAGAGGAAAAGTGAATTTTGAAGGAAAGAAGGTTGGAGGAAAAGTGAATGACTAGATTAATTAGTAAAACAACAAAATTAGAAGAGTGTCTAATGGCTCCAGATGTTCTGTGTTTAGAAGAAACGGCAGGCCATGTGGGTGACAGATTCGGACGGTGCTCATCAAATTATCTAGAAAGAAAGTCTGAGTTCGATAGAGAGAAGCAAGAAGAATGTGAAATGAGGGATGGAATATATTTGAGCAGAGAAGGCAAAGAGGCGCTTGTTTTTTTAGGCGAAGAGGGAAGAAGAGAAGTAGAGGATGAATTGGAATACGGCTAGCCAATGGAAATGTGAAGTTATTGTTTCGAGAAAGAGTCTTCCGAATCTTCGCACTTCAGCCCGATTCTTCTAGACTCGTTTATCAGTCAATATCAGCAGTGCAGATAGTACAATCAGTAATCCACGTTCCCAATCATCATAGCCCCATATAAAATGCTCTGATAACAACTGATAAGAGAGGGAATATAAGGAACCGCTGCAGCCAGTGCTCAACCATTGAAGTCGACGAACTTCGAAGATCAACAATGAAGGTGCTTCTCGTCCCCGCCTTCGCCATCAACGGTATCCACCATCAAAGTCTTCACTCGTTTCATTCCGATCACGTTTCAGCCTGCGTGGCATTCGGAGCACCGTTCTCCTCGCAACTCGTGCCCGACACTCACAATCTCTCCCACAAAACCGATCGACCGCACAGAAAGGATTTGCATATCGGAGTTCCATCTTCGGACTGATCGGACTTCACCGCACTCTTTCCTTTTTGAGCGAATAAAGTGGTTTTATTATTATTATTATTATTATTATCACGGTCTCCAGAGCTGACAATGGGCGCAAGTGCGCCCCGCCCAATAGAGCGATACATTGGCGCGAAATTCAAATTTTAACAGCGAAATTTGTGTTTTTTGCCAGATTAGCCACGAAAAACCGATAGTTTCTCATTTGCCTCTCGATAGACCGATTGTATAGGCTATTACGAATTTTTTAAGCGCAAGAGCGTTAAATTTGGTCAAGTCGCAAATCACATTTATCCGTTTGAAGGTTTTTCGATAAAACTGCGTGAATTTCAGTTGCTTTTCGGTAGTTTTCGCGGTTCGAGCGCTCAAATGCTTGTATTTACGTGATTTATCATTCTCAAAACCAATTCTGTCTGAAAACGGTCAAGAAAGCGCAAAATGAGAAGTGCGGTTTTTAGGCGGCGATCGGCGGCGAAGGCGAAAAAGCAATGTCCGCGAAAAATGCGCCAAAACGTCATTAATTCTGTGAGAATTAGTGTGTTTTCATGTCGAACAATCATTTTTCATCGCCTTTGACCACAAAAATCAGAGAAAACCTGCTCAATTCATGTAAACGCCGTTTGGCCGAGGCCACGCCCATATTGTCAGCTCTGGAGACCGTAATATATTATTATTATTTTATTACGACTTTAAGTACGTGGAAACGAGGAATTGCGATAGGTGGGTAATTATGCTAGGAGAGGGGAGGGTAGAAAGTTATATGGTACATAAGGTCAGTCATTTTTGCTAGAAGTTCGGTAGAGTGCGATTAACGAAAAAGTTTTGCATTTTTGTTGTTTTTTTGTCCATTTGCTTTGTTCATTTAGACTGGAACAATGTTTGAGTGAAGCCAGGGGCCACTCCGATTCATCCATGAATCAGTCCTCGGGTACGAAACGTGGCAGCCTTTATCAGCAGCCAATCACATGATGATAAGAAGTCTTTGTTATCTTACGTGGCATCCTTTTCGATTTCAAATCATCATTCTCATTTCAAGGAATCGTTATTTCGAACTTTGAAGCGATTAGACACCGAAAAAATGGAGTGTTTTCATAATGATGTCGACAATGGTAGCCGCTGTTTCTCATCCTTTTGCTCGAATAATTAAATCCAATTTTTTAGATTTCTCCACTATTAGAAAACACAATTCGGAGCTGGATATTTGCTTGGATAGCGTGGTCAACAAAGCATCGTCGGCGAGTCGTGTTTCGGTGAACACAGCGTTGTCGGTGGAGACTGTGGAGCCGAATCTGAATGCGGACGCGGATCCGTCGTTAGGCACCCGAATCTCATTCAGCACGGCGTCCGAGATCAGCGAGAACGAGCCGAGCAAGACTATTGGTACTGTTTCCGAGTGGAAGTCAACCCGATCCCTGTGATTGCAGACGATTACTGCTCGTCCGTCCTTCGGATGCCTCCAAAAGTATGGAAGAATGAGAGAGGCGTCTTGCGCTTCGAAATGATTGCCGACGGACAGAAAGTGGTGGTGCTCGACTCGCTGGAATGCATGCAACGCCTGGAATCTTCCACTCTCGAGCCCGTCTTCTTCGATTCGCGTCTCTATTTGGGAGTGTCTGATTCTGTTGACTTGGAGTACGAAGATTCGGAAGACGTTCGCACAGCCGATCTGGGTCCCTCTTTCTCGCAATTCCCTCAGTTCCTGTCCGAAATGAAAGAGAAACAATAAAGTTCTGGATACTCTTATTCAGTTCAGAGATGAAATGTGAATACGCAGTGCACAGAAATGTTATTACCCATAAAGAAGGACATGAAGAGCTCACATATGAATTTTCTGTGTCCTATTTATAGGGACCGCAACGGGTTTCACGAAACTCCGAATTTTCATAAAATTTTTGTTGGAATGTGTTCCCCTACTCTATATGAGTACGCTTCCAATTTTTTTTTCCAAAATTTTCGGTACATCCCGAGTTACACCCATTCAAAGTTGGCCTGTTTTCTCCCCGGTCGGCGGCAGAGGAGGGGGCGGAGTCTCGCCTGCAAGTCCGCCGCACGCGTTTTTCGCCTCTGTTTGGTGGCTGAAACCAAAAAGGCAACATATAAATTGAAGAAAAATGATGTTCTAAAAAAGCAAAACATCTTTCAAGGCCAAAAGTTTCGAACCCGACACCTCCAGACTGCCGAGTGAGCACTCTGCCACTGCGCCAAACGGGTGGGGGCGCGCCGACCAACAATGGCATTGAGAACGTCGGTTTGCGCGGCCCCCTTCCAGGTGTGACATCAGTGGTTTTTAACACACAAATCCAAAACTGTAACTATTTACAGTCACTTAAAAAAAAACGGAGAATTAGAAAATTGAAAATTTTAGCATGAATCGATCGGAAATTGGATGCTGAATCCGATTTTTGTAAAAAAATTAGCCGCGTGTCAGGTACCTGTGACGGCTAAATCCCCCGAAAAACTGAAATTTCGGCGAAACCGGCTCCACTCAAATGAACAGAAAAAGTGCTCACAGGGGGTCTAGGGCTCTGAAAATTTATATTTGAGTTCTCAGAGAAATTATCTATAGATTCCGAATATAAAAAAAGTATGGTCATCGCTGAAATTTTTTTCACAACTTTTTTTGTGCCAGTTTGAGGGCCTGTAAAAACGGAGAAGACGAAATCTGATTTTTATTTCAAAAACGGATTCCCCATCACTTAAACTGTAAATTAACTAAAAATTAGCCGCGTGTTGCACAAACTCCGGCCACACGAGCTCTCAGACTGACTTCCATTTTCGTTTTCGCCGTTTTTTAGAAAAACGGTGCGTTTTCACGGGAAACTGAGTTGTTCATTGGATTCAGCATGGTCGATTACATAAAGTAAATCATTTTGAGTATGGTACTTCATTTGTGGACCTCGGTACATGGCCTCAAACATGCGCGCGCGAAACTTGGGAGAAAATTCGGCAGGCCACGCCCCCTTTGTTGCGCCCCCTACCTATTTACGGTTCTTTAGCCGCCTGAGAACAATGAACCAAAGGGTTGTAAACCAAAAAGTATAAAAAACGAGGATGTGTGCACTTTCTATATTTATGGGAAAAGGTTGGCGTCCGAGGGACCAACGAACAACACTGTTTTATTATTTATAGACGTTCAAAATAACGAGACAGATTTGAAAAGACTTCGCAGTTTTGTTGTGCTCATGAGTTTTCCAGAAGTTCGTCGTGTCGGAAGCACAGTATTATCTCGACGACGAGGCGGTGTGGGTGCACGGAATGCGGGGAGATCTGAGAAAGAATCACAAGGTACTCGAGGAGGAGGAAGAGACGGAGGGGGAGGAGGAATGGCAGAGGCGACTTCAGGTGGGACCACTGTGACGCGTGTCGAGGGAACTGCCGATGAGAATGTCGTTACGGAACGGCGAACGGGTGGAACAGGTCGGATTGCGGGGTGAGGAGCCAATGGAAGTGGGGAAAATACGTGGTCACGAGGGGGAGCGGGGGGAGTTTGAGAGATCGGAGGATCCCATCTGTTCTGGGAATGTCTCTGGTGGTCTCTTGGCTGTTGGCGGATGTTTATCTGAAAGCAGTTGAACAAATGAAATTGGAAACCAAATGAAAACTCACTTTGCTCTGAACCTTGACGTCATTTTTTTCTTTGAGTGGTGGAACAGACAAATACACTTTTCGATGGCTTCGATGAATTTCGAAGGAATGGATCTTCTCGAAGCAACTCTCACACAAATCAGCCTGGCATTTTCTGCAATGCACAGATGCTCTGTGTCTCGGATTCTCCTGACAGCAAGTCTCTCCGAGATAGACACTCTGGCTGTCCAACGAGCTCGATTTCCCTCTCTTGCCGTGTATTCTCATCTGCTCAATCATTTGCATCAGACTGAAATTCTTCGGAAGCGCTTCCACTTTGCCACGTGGCACCGGCGTCTCCAAGTTGTCGTTCGGACATCGAATCAGATAGAGATTGCCGTCACGAATCCGGATCATTTTCTGTATGCATTTTTGACAAAACTGTGACCGCACACTGCAACAACAAAAAAAAACGATAATACGGTTGTCTAATTTGAAGGTGTCACCTGTCAAGACTCTGGGCACAACTTTCTCGTCGAACTCATTGACACAAATATCACATTGTGGTAGTTCTAGGGACAAGTTTGACATGTTCTGAAACAAATTACAATCAAAAAGAGTTTACTGGAAAACAGGTACAATCGGAAAAGAGGCAATGGACCGTCTGGGTTGGATCGATAAAAGAGGAGAGGGGTACACAGACACGCAGACCACACAAACACAGAAGAGAGGGTCGCCCTGCTCATAATGAATACGACCCCCTTCTCAAACACCACGAGAGATTAGCTCTAGACAATTTTCATGATTTAAAGAAAATAAAACAATCGGGATTAGAACGCGTTTATCAAAACTTTTCAGTTCAACTTCAGAGCTCGTGATGGACGGAGTTTCCTTCGGCCGAATGAAGCAGGTAGCTCTGCACGGACTTCTCGCTCATCGACTTTTTGAACGAAACGGGAGCGGGCATCTGACTGAAGTCGACGGGGATCGGCTGGAAGCTCTCCAGATGAAGCAGGCACTCATTCGAGTCGATGATCTTCGCGACGGAACCGTCACTGCGCTCGATTCCAAACACCTTCTTGTCGGGGATTCCGAGCTCCAGCTGCAGATGATCCACGTAATCCGAAGTGTCCAGAACTGGAAATCTCATCGTTATTTCGGCTAGTTACGTTATTCACTTACACACTCCAGACTTAGCAGTGTGCTCGGTGACCAGCAGATTGTCAGCGAGCGCCTGAAGGACATTACACGGACGGAACGCATCTGACATGGTCGCATTGGTTTCCGAGGCGAGCGCAGTGTATTCGGAGATGCTCGGAGCGTCCATAGCAGGCATCGTGACGTTCGTTTCCGACGGAGGCGCCGAATAGACCGAATAGAGCACGTTTCTCACTGAAGAAGATCCCATTAAATACGTTTGATCATAAGTCGTAGGCTTACGATCTTTACATCCTTCGAACTTCTCCTTCATCGTCACATTTGTCTCCGATTTCGGCACCGAGTAGACCGACAAATTGAATTGGTTCACTGAAAAGAAAGGTGGGCTGAAGAACCGGGAAAAGTGATCTGACTGGATTGACACGGACGGAAACTGTCGCTGACGGTCACATTTGTCTCCGATTTGGGCACGGAATAAACCGACGCATCATCTGGAATACGGGCATTTTGCATGTCCATCTTCTGAAAATCACTCACGGATTGCTTCATCGGGCATCTCATTGACGGCGTTCATCTCTTTGGCGAGAGCCTCGCTAATCGAACAGTTTGTCTCGGACGGCTGCGCAGAGTACACGGAGCACATTCCGTCTTGTTCCAAACGGTTGTCGAACGAGGAGGCCATCGCTTATCAATCGATTGAGCAGGTTCTTGTTTCCGTCCGAGGCAGTAGTAGCTGGGCGGAGGAATTTGTAGCAATGAGAACAGTTCGGAGAGGATGTTCGAGAGAGAGAGAGAGAGAGAGAGAGAGGGAGAGAGTGAGATAAGAGAGTTCACGGATCGTTCTAGAAAACGAAAAAACAGAGCAGAGCAGTACGTGATATTACAAGATTATTACAAGATATCGAAACGGATGTCTTTGACTGTCACGCAGACCGTCATTCGACGGAGGAGCAGCCCAGGGAACAGTTGGTGCTCCGCCTCACTACCGCCGATCCCCGCCCGCACGTCACATGGGGAGCCGGAGTCATTGGCAGGCTTTATTTCTAGTTGATGATTCTAAACTCTTTACCATTCAGACAATGAAAACATGGGACGTCTGAAGTCGAACTGCTGCTGCATCTACACACCTCCTCGTCGTTGGGACGATCCGTCAACTTGGGAACCGAATGAGCACGAGACGGAGCACTGCAGAGGGCATACCGAGCCGGAGAAGAAGAAGCAGAAGGGAGGAGATGGGAACGGTGAAGAGGACAAGGAGAACAAGACAGAAGACGGCAACGGGTGCGGATGCGATCACTGTTAGGGAGATCTCCGATGAAGATGTTCCTTCCTGTTAGCAATAATAAGCCATGATTATTAACACAAAATCTCTTCATTCTCATTTTCATTCTCTATCGCAAACATTTCACTTTTTTCCACGTCGTTCAGTCTCCATTTTTCGAACCTCTTCCGTCCTTTTCTGTCGATTGCGGCAACTGGATCGTAGAACAGAGTGTAGTTGATGACCGCGTCGTTCCTGTATTGTCCTTGCGTTTGGAGCAACCTCGTGGCTCTGTGATGAAGAAGATTCACTTTGGCGACGGCGCTGTGGAAAAGACGAAAGTCCTTCTGAGTGTCGGCGATCGAGACCGGGCTGAAGTCCTTCGGCTCCAAAAGTCCCAGACGTCGTTTCGTCTGGAAACAGGAAGTGAGCGATTTTGAGCATTTTCTTTTCTTTACCTTGTACTTGATGTGATCGAGGATCTCATAGTCATTCGTCTGCTTCTCACTGTCGTTTCGGATCTCTTCAAACTCGTACATGATGATGGTGACGTACAGTTGGAGCACGAGTTTCGAGCCGACAATCATATAGATCATTGTGAAGACGAACGCTGAATGAGACAATTTGCAATCGGGCGGACATGGTTAGATTGGATACCAAATTGAGAAATGGGTTGGATGGAAGTAACGTCCAGCTTTCCGAGCATTCCGGCCAGCGAGGTCTCAAATGCAGCAATCGAGCTACGATATCTGAAGGCACAGAGGTGGTCGTAGATCTTAACACCTAAATGAATTCAATGACTCATTCTCACCCTCCCATCTTGTTTCCAAGGACGACGTAAAGAACAGAGTTGAATGCCATGCAGAAGAGAACAAACGCGACTCCGAAAGCGACGATCGCTCCGAGAGCACTGTCCAGAGTAGCGGCCAGCACTCCGATCCTTCTGTTGAACTTGAGAATACGGATCATTTTGCAGGCGGTGAAGAATACGGCGCCAGCAAGACAGTAATTGAACGCCAGTTCCATGTTCCTCTGCTTTGTCAAGTTGATGTAAGAGTTTCCGTTGTTCGCATTGAACTCGTCCATCGCTTGATTCGTGTAGGTCTGTCGAAGAATATACGCGATGACGGAAGCTATTGCCAGTGCTCCGACGATCAAATCCATGAAGTCCCACGGAGTGAAGTGACTGAATAAGGACTTGTCGGATTAGAAAATATTAAAAGTCTCACCCCAAGATAAGTCGGTACACAATTCTGAACGGATTCATAGTTTTTTTCATGGTCGAGATGACTTTGTACCGTCCGTACAAGTAGTAGAGTATTTCCTTTGTAAAAATGAGAACAGAGAACACAATGTAGATCATCTCGTAGTACTTGACCACGTCTCCATCGGATCCCTCCGACTTTATCAGTCTGACAGACTCCACCCACGAATTAGGTAGATATATTCCTGATTTCGGAATTTCCACTAACAGCTGGACCACTGAGAAGTAGTTGACTTGGGCGTTATAAGCGGAGAACTCGATAATGACGGCCCGAGTGTACTCGTCGATCCATCGTTCGTCTTCCAATTGGGTGAAAAGCGTCTGCATACTGGAGACAGTGCCCGAGAGACTCACGGTGTAACCGCCCCCTCCGTAACTGCTCAGGTATCCAGAAACAGTGCCTGTCTTCAAATCGTCCTCCGTTTTGTACGTGTACTCGTCGGCGGCATCCGTTCCGTTATCACTTTCAAGGGCGCTCCATCCGCTTTGCATGTACAAAGTCGTTTCCTCATTTCTTAAGAAAAGATGACATGTAGGATAGGAGGTCAAAAGGGTACTCACTCGCTGGTCAATTCCTCTTGGCAGTCGTCAATGAACGGTTGGAACTGCTTTATGATTCCACACTGGGCACTTTTCTTCGTTCTCACTTGACGTATCGTCCCTATTCCCATGCTTCTGGATACTTTGTCGTTGAAGAATGCTCTCATATCATACGCTGGATTTCCGTCATACCAAGAAGCGAGTAGTGCTGAAGATGTACGTGTCGAGAGTGAAAATGAAATGCAAATGCTTGGCTCACCCGTTGCCAATGAATCTCGCGACCAGTTCCAGAAATCGTCGGAAGTTCGAATTGACATGAACGAGCTGTCACCGTAAGATGTTTGGCTGATGTTCAAGATTGTGCTTATCTGGAAGCGAAAAACCGTTTGGAGAGCTCTAGAAAAGAGCATTTACCTCTTGCTGATAGTAGAATGCTTGTCTGTCTTTGCAGTAATAAGTGAGCATGACCATGATGTAAAGGGAGGCGAAGAAACAGATCATGTCGCGGATTGTGACGAACAACTGCTCGTCCCTCATCTTTCTGTTCTCCGTGTCTCTCAGCTTCGTGACGTCGGCTATTTCCGTTCCAAGCTCTTTCTCAATCTTTCCGTACGGGTTCCCTGTAAACAGTAGTTTTGAGTCATCCAAGTCTCCGTTCCTTACTCATAAAAGTTTCAGCTGGTTTCACTTTCAAAAAAGCTTCTTCCAATTTGTTCGTTATCTTGTGACTTTTGCTCTTTTTCAGAAGAATAAACGCCCAAATCATTCCTTTCAACGGCTCAAACGCGACCGTCCAAATCAAAAGACTCATGAGGAATCTCATGTAGAACGAGTTGGCGAAGTCGTCCATCAGACTCATTCCTTCGGCCGCGATGTAGATCAATGCCATGAGAATAGGGAACGGGAGTGCTGCTCTCGAAATGCCGGCGATGATGTACGGCCACGATCCGCTCGGATCCTTGAATCCGGGCTCTTCATTTCTTCGTTTTCGCATATAGAACTCTTCGCTTTGTGATCGACACTTGCAGCAGAGAAGAACGTGGAAAGTGGCGAAGATTGTGATGACGAGACCATAAACGATTCCGAAAATTATGTCCTTGAGAGTAAAAGTGAACTCGGAGAAACTGGCGGACGACTTGATGATCGTGTTGTCGTTCTTGAGCACGATCGCGTTGATGACGGCCACCATGGAAATGGCGAAGATAACACTGACAACATAGTCCATCCGAGTGACCCGGTCCCTCAGCCGATTGCCTCCACCGGTGAACATTCCGAACCAGGAGATGGTCTGTCCCAACATATGCATGCTCATCGACTCATCCAGCAGTCTTCTCTTGTCATCCACACGAGACAGTCTCTCCGTTTCTCCGTCCCCGTTCTTAGTCCCGAGCCAGTTGTAGAACGGGAAGTAGTAGATCTCCTGTGTCTGCAGATCTTCACCACAATCCGATTGCAATACCAGGATTCCCGATGGTCCAGACCGGCATCGTCGATCCAAATTCGCAAGAATTCCAGGCTACCGAGGGGGCTTAACACAAACAATACATTAGTTTCTTTTGAATTGAACAACTCACAAAGCGGTAGTCATGACGAATCGAGAAGTGGTTCCCCATGAAAACGGATATTCCCAATCTCCGTCCTCGCATGATTTGAACGACCGAAAGATCTGATCGCCTTCGTTTCCAGACAAATTGAATGAGATTGTACTGTCAGTCGTTGCGAACATTCTGTAGCCAGTTTCCACGGACAACACGTACATGTATCCGTCGTGGGGCTCATTGTCCGAAAGGAACCGCAGTCTTCCATTTGAAGCATCCTTTCGGCCAGAGACGATTGCAAGGATGACCACGCATCCGTAGACAATGAACAGGAAGATGGCGGTGATCATCACTTGATGTTCTTTTTAATGTCGTTCACACTGTACGAGTACTGGAAGTCCGCGTCTATTGTAGGGTTGAAGGATCCGACGGAGAAAAGAGTCAAGTGATGGGAAGAGCAGTTCACGAATTGCATTCCTGCTCCGTCGTTCGGAGACATCCCGTCAGAGTTGAAGACATCCGATAAGTTCAGGTAGAAATAGCATCCCTTGCTGATGGCAGTGATCTGGTAATCCATCGGAACTTCCCTCGCAAACGACCACTGTTTCGAGTCGTACGTTCCGTAATTCACAATATCCGAACTGTTGTCCGAAGTGCTCGCATTCCGTTTTCCGATTCCGACGTAGAATAGTCCAGTGTTGTTTATAAGAGCCTCTGCGCTCACGTAGTACGTGCTTGAGGTGTTCAAAGTGCTCAATTCAAACTGCCATTCATGATCTGAGATCAACGGTCCTGGCAGGCTTTGGAATGTGGAGAACATGTAGGTGTCGTCGCCAGTGGGGATGCCATAGTCCTGGGAAGCAACTACTTGAATCTGAATGGAGTTGTTCCAGTTGGAAGTGCGGAACGCATGAAGGTCCAGGATCTGGTAACTCGAGAAGTCACTCTGTTGCATGAGAGTGAGTTCCGCATCGCTGTCACTTCCTCTGCCCAAAATTATGATCGGAGAAGATGTGTTGCTAATGCTGAAAAATATTGATTACAAGGCCGTAGAAATACAATGAGAAACTCACGTCAACAAATTTTGATTCTCATCTTTGATGTGTGCTTCCAGTGCTCCAGAAGTGATGAGCATGTCGTAGTTATCCACGTACGTCCTCGGATTGGTTTCATAACAGACTAATCCGACTTGAATGAGTGTCGAGTCGGTGATCTCTTCGTTGTTGAGCGAAGATACCGGCGACGGGAGGGTGAACTCCCATTCATCACAAGTTTGCGTCGTTCCCACAATGTTCGAAGCGTCATCAATTACAATAATCATTCCAGTTCCATCCACAAGGTTCGTGTAGTTGTACGGCAGGTTTCCGGTGGCTATGGCTCTCGCAGCCAACGTATCCTCGAGAGTGTCCAGTGTAGAAGCCAGTTGGTTCGCAAGTGATTTTGCCTGAAAAGATGTTGTCATCAACGAACTAGCGCCGGGCTCACAATGCTCTTCTGCATCAGTTTCGTGACATAAGCGGCCCACTCGTCGGACGTCATCTCTTCCACGTAGACGATGTCATCTGAATCCGTCGGAAGAACGTTGTAGAGAGAGTCGTAGTTGGCGGTCGCGTATGCGAGATTGGAAGCGAGATCGGAGGAGAGCGGGTTGTCGAGAGCAGTTTTGAGTGCAGAAGTCAGGGAGCTTGCGATGGATAGAAGGGAGTCAGCGGTCTGAAAACAGAAAATGTGAAAGTTTCCGATAGAAGACGCACGTCGTTGATTTCAGAGTCTGTCATTGACATTCCGTTGTTCTCCAAGTACGTTTGAGTGTTGGAAAGAATTGTTTCAATTTGCTGCTGGGATTCTTGGTTCATCAAACTTTGTGCTTCGATATCTGTAGAAGGAAGATCAGAAAGTGATCAAAATAAAGCTTCTCACTAATTTCCGTTCCGGAAACGTCTCCTTCCGTAGTGACTGCTCCATTCTGGATCACATATCCGTTTGTACCATTCCGAATAACCAATCCTCCGTCGACGCGCATCTTCTGAGTGTCCGAGAACTCCATCATCGTTCTAAAACTACCGAAGAATAGTCCGTTTTGTCAAGTAGCACGTACGTTGTGTGGGATTGAGATCCAGAAGTGTAACTTCCCGCGGTGATCTGAATTCCGTAGCCGCCAAGAGATAACGAGACGACGTTGTAGGTCGGAGAGCTGATCACGAGAGTTGTGGCAGAGCTCTGAAGGTAAACGCTACTAGAGTCCGCGTAGAAAGAGTAGCCGGAGACGTCGATGGAAGAGGATTTCGCAAATATCAACTGAAATTCGATTGTGCAGAGATGGTATTCAGGTAAAAGCTTACCGTTCCAGAAACGGCGATTTTCGTCTGGTTGGAAATCAAAGTTTGCAGATCACTTTGACTGTACGTGGTAGTTGGGGAGAGCGTTGAAATGGAGAGTGTCAAAGAAGTGGCGGAAACGGTGGGAAGGGAGATGTCTTGAGGCGAGAACACTAATCGCATTGGATAAGTGTCGTAGGCGGAGAACGAGAGAGGAGAAGTTGAACTGTTGAAGACGGACAAGTCAATATCTGAAAACACTGAGAATGAACAGCGGAAGGAAGTTTCTGATGCTTACTCTCAATCACAATCGGCAGTTGAACCATCTTTGCCATAGTCGTGGTAGACGATCCATCGGAAGAAGTCACTGTGAAATTGGATGCAGCGTACGAGAAGATGGCTGAGGAGGTTCCGATTTCAATGAACTTGCTGTTCCATTTCCACATGTGATTGTGTAAGTGACTCCTCCGTAAGACGTCGTCACTACGAATCCCTGCGAAGAAACCGTCTGAGTCGACTGCAACTTCACCATTGTCCCAGAAGCGATCTATAAAGCATGAGATTTGAGAAGACTTCAACTCATCTGTAAACCAAGAGAGAGTATTGTGCACTCGTGGCTTCCAGGTAGAATGACACCGAACTGTTCGTCTGGGAGGTCGATCCAACCGTCGTGTTATCGTAACTGACATTCCACGCAGTCACGTACATGTCATTGTAGCTGTACTCTCCCGATTGAACGTCTCCAGTTACGATGAGAGTGTCCATCACATTTCCGGAAACGAGAGCCACTTCCAGTCCAATTTTGTCCTGATCAACGTCCACAGTTCTTCCGTTTTTCGTGAAACTTCCTTGAATTCCAAGCGCAGTTGTCAGCATTGAGCTTACCTGAAATCGGAATTATCGGGAGCCAGTAAAATCTCACCAACCGTGACGGTATCTCCAGTTTCCTGCAGGTAAGACGCTCTGGTGTCTCCGGTCAGGTAAATCGTAGATCCATAGATGCTCAGCTGAAATTAAAAGTAACAATTAGACAATCCTAGAGCGGTAATGATACCGTGCATCTTGGCGATACCAATGTGAATGAATCGGTGAGAACGTAACCGAATATGACCGAATAAGTGCCGTCCGTGGAACCCGTACTGGACACTCCCAAAGTGTAAACCGTGCTGCCTTTCAATGCGAGATCGAGAGAGGAGAGAACCGAGTTCATGGACGAGGCCGACGTCATGTTTACCGCTGCCAGTTGAGAAATCACTTTTGTCATTTCGGCAGCCAACTCCGAGTTCGTCGTCGCGATGTTATCTGTGAGTGTTGCCAGCACTTCTGTGTTTGACATGTTTCCGACTCCAGAGATCTGCAGTGTGTTCGCCAGAAGACTTTGCGCAACTTCGACAAGATCGGAGGCCGACAGAGTCGAAATCTGGTTCAGAAGAGTGCTCGACGTGTTGAGAGATGAGTTGACGGCCGATCCGTCGATGATACTCGCCAGTTGACTGAGCACATCTGCTTTCTGCGCGTCGATGGCTGCTTGATCGGCCGCCGAGATCGGGGTCACTGTGGAAAGAACCCGTGCACTCGGGTCGTTTTTGTTGATCCTTGCGTAGTAGTCGAGGTACCAGATGACAATGAATCTGACCCAGAAGATCCGTCTGAAGACACTGAAGACGTTCCGGAGCCCGATCCAGTCCCGCTTGTAGTTGTCGATGATCCTCCTGATCCAACAGACGACGTGCTTGATCCACTTCCAGATCCAGATGAATTAGAATCCGTTGTGGCTCCCGTGGAATCTCCACTACTTCCAGTCCCAGAACTGCTCCCAGAATCAGATGCTGTCGTTGCAGTCGAGTCTCCAGATGACGATACTAGAATCACTTTTTGTGTGTTGAATATGAACATTTATTTACCGGTTGTACTGGAGTCCGACAAAACGTTGAGAGTGAACAGATGGCTCGCCACTTCGCTTGTAATCGTGTCAGTCACGTTGATAAGAAACTCGTAAGTTCCCGGTCCCGGAATCCAATTACTAACTGGCTGCCAGTTTATTGCTCTCGAATACGTGGCTGATAGAGCGTCTGAATTCATAATTCACATACTTAATAGCAGAAATGCAATCTTTTTACCCGATCGTAAACAGTTACTTTCGCTGATAGTAACAAATGCTTGGGATGAAGCATTCCTGCAGCCGTAGGATACATTCATCTGAAATCAATTTTACCTAAAAGTTGGTGAAATACAAACAAACATATAAAGAGTCTTTGTTTGGCACCGGGGAGATGGACAGGGTTTCAGCTGTATAATAGATTGTTTCGTTCCAGGAAGAGCCGTTCAAATAGAAGTCATAGACTGCTGTTGTTGTCTGATCAGAAGACGACGAGGTTGTCCCACCAGAACCATCTGAACCGTCGACGGAAGACGTGGATGTCAAGCTGTCGCCAGAGTTGGAAGAGTCCGACGAGCCACTGTCTGATCCACTAGTATCGGAGGATCCACTTGTGGTTGCGTCGACGGACGAATCAGTCGTCGAGGCTCCCGAACTTCCATTGTCCGTCGTGCTTGAATCGCCTGATCCAGATGCTGTGGTGGCAGTCGTCCCTTCGCTGGATGTTGAGCTAATCAAGTTGAGCGTGAAAACGTGTGAAGCGATCTCATAAGTCAGAAGGTTCGTCATGTTGATCCTGAATTCGTATGTGCCCAGTCCGACGAGTCCGCTCGTTGCAGGGTTAAACTCTACGTTTCTCTTGAATGTGGAAATATTGACAAGAGTTTGAGCTGAAAGTTCAAATTGGATTATAGACGGTGTGCGCTCCTAATTACCGTAGTCCAAGCATGTCGACTGTTTGATCGTGAGATACGCTTGACTGCTGTCGTTCCTGCATTCAAATGTGATGTTCGTCTGAACGGTTTGAGAAATTGAACATCAATTCAATAATCTTACCAAAGTTGCAGCAATAGTTACAGTTGCAGCTGGAGTAATGTTCAATAATTGTTCAGAATAAAGCGTCTCGTTCCAACTATATCCATTTTCCAGAATGAAGTCAAATGCGGTTCCTGAAGTCGTTGAGCCGTCGGCAGATCCACTTGAATCTGTTGAGACTGATGAAACAAATCTCGAGTCGGATCCAGAGGAAGATGTCGAAGCAGAATCTGATGAATCTGATCCGGATCCAGATCCAGATGAAACAGTAACGTCTTGGGACACTGTCGTCGAAGAGTTTTCGCTCGAAGATGACGTGGAAGAATCCTCTGCCGATGAATCAGATGAAGAAGTGGATGTTGAACTTCCATCAGATCCATTGGAACTGTTCGTTGTACTGGATGAATCTGAGGAGTCGGAGGAGTCGGAGGAATCGGATGAAATAGTAGTTGATGAGGCCGAAGACGTCGAAGATCCATCATCCGAAGAACCGTCTCCAGTTGTCGTTGCGTCAGAAGTCGAGTCCTGGCTGGAAGTCGTCGTGGTCCCCGCAGTGGTCGTATCATCCAAGATGGTCACATTGAACTGATTAGTGAACGTCTGTCCATCCGAAGTTGTCAAGGTAACTTTGAATGTGTAAACTCCTGTTGAAACGAACACGTTCCCGTATCTGCTAGTCATCAGAAGAGGCATAGTGTATCCGTCTGTAAGACGATCATTTCCAAATTAATGTCACAAAAGCAAACCTTCGAAACACACTCCTGCCTCGGTTGTTGCCGCGTAATCGCTTGTGCTGTTTTTACATTCCCATGATGTCGTATACTGTAAAAAGTGTTTGGTTACGAAAAACGTCAGGAACGATTACCGTTCCGGTGGTCAGATCCGTCGAAATCGAGACGTTTACAGTAGAACTCCAGTAGCCGACAATATCTTCACAAGTGAAAAGAGCACTGGGCGAAGTCGTCGAGTCCGTTACAGCTGAACTTGTCCCATAGGATGAGGATTGGTCTGTTGTCGTAGACGAATCTGATACATCGGAAGACGTGGAGAGACTTGTCGTTCCATCGCTTGAGGTGCTTGAAGCTGTAGTGGCTGAAGATGTCTCACTGGACACTGTTGATGTTCCCGAAGAGGTCAATGTTGAGGATTCAGTAGATGTTGAATCTGTCGACGTCGAGGAAAAAGAGGAAGAGGATGATCCGTCCGATGTCGTTGAGCCCGTACTAGATCCCGTCGATGTCGTGTCTGCATCTGTGGATGAAGATGTCACGCCCGTCGTAGTGGCAACTAAAGTTGAAGTGGATGGGGACGTTGATGAGGAAGTAGACGTGTCCGTAGATGACACGGATGACGTCATCGTAGTCGAAGACGTACTTGACGAAGATGAGGAAGACGTGGATGTTGACGCTGATGTAGAAGGCGACGACGTTGTAGCCGAGGTTGTAGACGATGTTCCAGACGATGAAGTCGTGGGCAGCGTCGATGTGGATGTTGAGGACGGCGTCGTTGAAGTCGAGGGAAGCGTGGACGTTGAAGAAGACGAAGAAGAAGCAGTCGTAGTCGATGTTGCCGTCGATGTGGTAGGGGTAGTCATCGAGGTGGACGCAGTAGTTGTAGTTGACGTGGAGGGCGTGGAAGTGGTCAACGTCGTTGTCGAGGCCGTAGTCGTCACTGTAGTCGTTGAGGGAGTTGTCGTAGTCGGAGTGGTTGTGGAAGTGATCGTCGTAGTCGTAGGTTCCGTTGTCGTCGAGGTCGCAGTTGTGGTGACAGTGGTCGACGTGGTCGTTTCGTCCAAATAAGAGCAGATTGCGTTGTCCGGAAGCGGCGTTATGGTTGCTGAAACATAAACAATTAGTTTGGTAGTGAAACACTTGTGGGCACCGATCGAAGCGTCAACTCACAAGTGATAACCGTCGTTGTGGTCGGTTTAGTGGTGGTAGGTGTCGTAACCGTAGAAGTGCTTGCTGTGCTAGTACTGGTTGAAGCGGCTGTTGGGCTAGACGTGCTAGACGCTGTACTCGTGGATGTTGAAGGAGTAGTGAGGGCTGTTGTGCTCGTACTGGTTGAAGCTGTGCTGGAACTTGCAGTGGTACTTGTTGCCGTGGATTTGGATGAGCTGGGAGTAGTAGCGCTTGTCGTAGAACTTGGTGAAGTCGTCGACGTCGGTGTGGTAATCTGTGCGCTGGTACTAGTGCTGCCTGTACTTGTGGAACTCGGCGTTGTGACTACAGAAGTTGTTGACGTTAGAGTGGTTGTCTGAGTACTTGTACTAGTGCTTTCAGTCGATGTGGAACTGGGTGTAGTGGTCACTGCGGTCGTCGAAGTTGGTGTGTTTGTCTGTGTACTAGTACTGGTACTCTCTGTAGTCGTTGTCGGAGTCGTGAACACTGTACTAGTGCTTTTGTAGTCGTGGATGTAGAAACAGGAGTCGTTGAAGTACTCTCTGTGCTTGTGCTTTCCGTGGTGGTAGTTACCGTACTTGTGCTCGTTGGCGTCGTTGTCACTGTCGTCGTGGTCGGTGTGGTCGTAGTTGTGACTGTAGTCGTTACGGTAGTCGTGCTTGGTGTCGTCGTGGATGTTGAAGTTGATTCAATAGTGTAGTCGCAAGTGTTATCCTAAACTTTCAAGATTAAAGATAATCGATCAAACAAATGATACGTACGGTCGATCGTTTTCTTCTTCTCTGTGCCACCAATCTGTTCTGACCTCCTCCAAAATTGAAGTTCTTAGCCTTCATGCCCTGTAATAAAGAATTTTTTAATACTGTCTTTTAATATATTTACCTTCAGAACTTGTCCGTCGTACAAGTTTCCATAGTCGTCCACTATCTCAAAATTCCTTTGGACATTCTCTAAAAGTTGTTTTTGACGTATCAAGCAACGGAGAGAGAACTCACGTTTCCTTTTACAGATTCTTCTACCGTAGTCTACTTCCACATCTCCGCTCTTACATTCTTCATCGTCTCCAAGCAACGCGACTTCGTTTCCGCCGACAATCAACCACCAAAGACGACTGTCGCACATATCCATCCCGTCATCTTCAACTGTTTTCAATTTACCGCGCCACAAATGTAATTCATGACGAGACATAGGTCTAATTAGGCGCTTACCGTAGCATGATTTGTACTGAACTTCCACTGCAATCGAGACTTCTTCCTTATTCCCGACTTCTTTCAATGGAATCCACGTGGAATTGAGATATAATCCGACGAGTCTGGACTCAGATTGCACACAATTATGAATCTTAAGTGAAAACAGCTCAGAACGCCTTTGTGAGGAAGTCTTACTAATTCCAGACTTGATTCCTTAGTCACTTTGTTCCCCACCGGCAGTTTATTCAATCCGCATCCTAACTTAATTTGAATGATTCCGTTTTTGTTGCGAGAAACTCCACTTATAGTTGTATCTACAAAACATGATCCTATCAGAAATTCGGTTCTCTTCCGAACCATCATCTCTCAGCCGAAACGTGGCGAATCCATTACGGAACTGATATTCGAGAGCATCAGACCAAAACTGAAAACGAAATTACTTTTGTTAAAGTTATTTGTGCTCTTGGCTACCACTGATATGACTACCAGCAGGAGGAAGTTTGTCTTCCCCATTTGGGAAAGTCTGCAAACTGAATGAGCACTGAAAACGTGTGAGAAATCTGAAAAACTGAGAAATCCGGTCGAAATCGAAAGTTTGAAAGGAAAAGGGGAGGGAATAAAGTTGCCGAAATGCGGCCTGGCGAGCCGAATCGGCCGGGCATCTCCGGGAAACAGCGCTAACGACCGAGCATCGCCATGACGATCTGCGCAGTCGGAAATGTCGACGTCGGTTCGGATGAAATGACGAGGAAGGTGTAGATCCCCTGGAATTACACAATTTTGCGAATATGTGCTCTGTATCAGCAGGGTTGCATAAATATATATATAGTTTTCGGAATCAATACTAACAAGGACATTCAATAGTGGAAGGAATGAAATCAAAGTCACTAATTTTTCTGATCTCTTGAGCACTAGTGGTGAGAAGTACGCATTGCCCGTGCACGTGGAATTCGGGCAGAGCCACTATGTAGAGCACTCGGCAGGATCCGGACATCGCTTCGAGCGGTCGCACATTATTCGAGTTGGTATTCTTATAAAGGAAAGAATTAGAAAAGTGAAACAATTTCAGTGACTTACCAGCACGCTTGCCAGCTTTTCTCATCCGACTCATCCAGAATCGCAGACTCCGTCGCATAGGCGGCTCGAATCTCGTTGCCATGTAGTCCGTCTCGTCTGCACAGTTCTGAAATTAAAGCAAACTATGAAGTAGCTGAATGTAAAAGGGAACGTACGTCTCCTCATTTGACGCACTTCTGACATATTTCCTCGCTGCTTCTGTCAGAGCAATCCTCAAGCAATCCTCGCATAACGAATGTCGATTGAATCTTCTTTTTTCCGCTTCTTCTTCTTCGACTTTTTCTTGGGATGGGCAGGAGAACCTGAAAATGAGCCAGTTTATGATTTGAAATCTTTTCTCAACTCACATACCACATGTTTCTTTGATCCCCATAACCACCCTCCCCCTCTCCTTGTCGCGAGGGAACGCCCAATAGCGACATCCCTCTCAACCTTTTATGTTGGTAACGAGGCCTAAGGCTCGATTACCAACGACAGACTCCCGTCTGTCAAGTTTTCAGGGACCTCACTTCTCGGGTTTGGAGACGATCGGTGGCAGACGATCGGTTCGGGAGCTCGTGTCGTCGAGCAGTGGCAGATGCACGCGACAATATTCTCCTTTTCTCATTACTTTTCTACTTGTTTATCACTAATATTGTTCTCACATGTGAGGCGGCACGGCGATGACTGGCTCGGTGTATGAGCGGGAGATGGAGAAGGGTTTTAGCTCCCGAGGTCACACGTGTACACCGTGCGGCTGCAGACGGATTGCGAACACTTCTAGTGAGGAGTTGGAGTTAGAGCCGCGCGTAGCCGTAAGTAACCACTATTCTGTATCCTGTAATTAGAATCCTATCCATTTCTGGAGACATCCGCTCGTTCCGTGTGTCGGTTCGTAAATAGGATGTGGAGGTTTTTTAGCCAACGTCTTTTCCTCCGACAATAAACATTGTTCCACAGAATCTGTGTTATTGAGTATCGGAAAGGCATCCGTTGGAGTTAAAGGACAATATCACGAGTTGAGAAGGGTCCATCAATTCAGGCAACTCGCGAAATGGTGCATCAGACCGATGTGCAGTTAGGGACAGCCCAACTGCACCGAAATTTCCAATTCTCCGTCAAAGTCAGTAAAATTGAGACGCGAGGCGAGAGAATCGGTAAGGATCGGTAAAAACACGAACCTTGATAGAGAATTAGAGTAAGATGAGAGGCGAGGGGGCCTCGGATAGTGTCGCGAAGTTCAGTCTAGAAATGGCATTCCTCACGACCCTATATGTTGGTAACGTAGCCGAAGGCTCCGAATTACCAACGCCAGACTACCGTCTGTCACTTCACTATGTTTTACTAATAGTTACGGTGTTCATCATCACCGGAGGAGAGAGATCATCTGGCGTGCAGAGACGCAGAGAGAAGCCGAGAGGGACTCATGCCGCTGTAGAGACACAGACAGCGGCTTCGACAGTACTGTCGAGCGTGGCGAGACCCATGGCCGCATGGCGGATGCGCCTTTAATAAATTCTTGCAGGTAGATCGATCACTTCTCCTACGACTCAGTAGTCATCGTCTGACGGCAAGGTGGAAGGTGCGCGACGAACAACGTCGGAGGCCGGGGCAGCGGCCGAAGACTCAATTCTCCTGTTCGGCGCCATCATCCATGTTGACGCCATCTGTTGATTAACTCTTCTTTATTTATTTACCATCACAGTCTGATCTTAGAGCGTGAACCTGTGGGCGCGAGGGGGCGCGAGGACTCACCGAACCCGAGACGAAGCGAGAATATCGCTCTGTCGTCGACGGATCGCGTAGGCCCCGGAGGAGTACCGGCCTATGAGACCTGGGGCATGGGGGGGGCTCTGTTTTCAGAATCTTTATTGTAATTAATGTGCTATAATTGTAGTTTTCGGAGACGCCCGCCACGAGACCCAGAAGTCTCGTAAGAAGGGTGCAGAGGTTTTGTAGCCAGGTGTCTTTTACTCTGACAATAAATATGTTCTCCGAAAAACTCCTGTTGAAATGTTGAAGAGGGGTCACATAGGTGACTATTAACCAATCGTCGAGCAGTTCTGGGGTCCATCACTAGAAGTAACTCGCGAAATGGTGCATCAGACCGATATGCAGTTAGACTTGGTCAAAAAACTGCAGAAGTAACCAATTTGGCCATAGGTGCGAGAGAAGTTGCGAGGGGGCACAAAATTGGTGAAAAATTGAGAGATTAAGAACCTTGATGGAAAAGCGCGGAGAAAAGTGAAAAAGACACTCCGAAAACGCGACGGGGGGACGTCTCTGTACATTCTCGAGGGGTCCGACGAGAGACGTGGCAGATGTAAGAGACGGACGCGCCGAGAGGGGTAGGCGCGGGAGAGCACCCAGAGAATATCACGATAAACTGTATTGCTTCAGAATCCTCGCAAGTCGTTGTTTCATAGACACCCCGAGAACCTGAACTAAAAGTACGTGATTTGCAGGCAGCCATGGCCAGACAGGCTTCAAGAGGAGCAATAAGCGCTCGCTCAGAGCGGGGACGGAACACTCGGGGAGAGCGATGCGAAAGCTGAACCACACGAAAGGCGGAGAAAGAGAGTAGAAGGGAAACGGTCATTACAGGAAAAAGTAATGAACCGCTCCGAAAAAGAAAAAAGAAAAAGAATGAAAATCGGGGAGAGAGAGAGTACGGAAAATACAGGGTGACAAAGTTGAGGAGCAGTCAAAACCTACCACTGAAGTAAGATTACGAGGTGGGGGAATCGAAGGTAATCCGCGGAAACGCGAGAGAAAAACCGGAGATCCTGAAATATGTGAGACAGAGAAGCGACCAACTTGTCTGAAAGTGACCTGGAATCAGAAATTACTCGAGTTAGAGACATCTCAAACCCCGAAAAGGCTCCATCGTCTCAGGCAACTCGAGCGCGGAGAGCGAGCGCAGGAGAGGAGGCGAGAGAGCGGAGAAATAGACGAAAAAGGAAGAACGGCAGCAGAAGAAGCACTGCAGCCAAAGCAACCTATCGGAGAGTCACTGAAGCTTCCCACCAAGGGAAAAAGAGAGGAAAAGGGAGGAGTAGTAGGTGAAAAGTCGGTAGAAAAGGTATCCAGCAGAAGGATACACGGGAAACCAACCTAAACGGTGTTGGCAACGCTCGGAGTGAAGGGCGAAGGCACGCGACAGCACAAAGCGGATAACACACCATGTTTTCGTGGGGATTTCTTTTTGATATTCTAATCGACGAATTTGCGACATATTATGAGACGGTACAATTCTGTCGTGATATTCTCTGGATGCTCTCCCGCGCTTCTCTTCCGCGCGCCGTCTATTCAAATCTGCCACGTCTCTCGCCGCACCTTGTTCGAGACATGTGAACAGACTCTCCTTCGCAGCTCATTTTGAGTGTCTTTTGGGACTTTTCTCATCGCTGCGCTATCTTTCGCGAGTTACTTCTAGTGATGGACCCCAGAACTGCTCGACGATTGGTTAATAGTCACCTATGTGACCCCTCTTCAACATTTCAACAGGAGTTTTTCGGAGAACATATTTATTGTCAGAGTAAAAGACACCTGGCTACAAAACCTCTGCACCCTTCTTACGAGACTTCTGGGTCTCGTGGCGGGCGTCTCCTAAAACTACAATTATAGCACATGAATTACAATAAAGATTCTGAAAACAGAGCCCCCCATGCCCCAGGTCTCATAGGCCGGTACTCCTCCGGGGCCTACGCGATCCGTCGACGACAGAGCGATATTCTCGCTTCGTCTCGGGTTCGGTGAGTCCTCGCGCCCCCTCGCGCCCACAGGTTCACGCTCTAAGATCAGACTGTGATGGTAAATAAATAAAGAAGAGTTAATCAACAGATGGCGTCAACATGGATGATGGCGCCGAACAGGAGAATTGAGTCTTCGGCCGCTGCCCCGGCCTCCGACGTTGTTCGTCGCGCACCTTCCACCTTGCCGTCAGACGATGACTACTGAGTCGTAGGAGAAGTGATCGATCTACCTGCAAGAATTTATTAAAGGCGCATCCGCCATGCGGCCATGGGTCTCGCCACGCTCGACAGTACTGTCGAAGCCGCTGTCTGTGTCTCTACTGCGGCATGAGTCCCTCTCGGCTTCTCTCTGCGTCTCTGCACGCCAGATGATCTCTCTCCTCCGGTGATGATGAACACCGTAACTATTAGTAAAACATAGTGAAGTGACAGACGGTAGTCTGGCGTTGGTAATTCGGAACCTTCGGCTACGTTACCAACATATAGGGTCGTGAGGAATGTCATTTCTAGACTGAACTTCGCGACATTCCCCCGGCGAAAAAGAGATTTCTTTAGGATACAGTACTTCGTCGCCGCCGTGTAAGATCCGTTGTAGTGTACCTGTTAACGCGAGGCGAGAGAATCGGTAAGGATCGGTAAAAACACGAACCTTGATGGAGAATTAGAGTAAGATGAGAGGCGAGGGGGCCTCGGATAGTGTCGCGAAGTTCAGTCTAGAAATGGCACTCCTCACGACCCTATATGTTGGTAACGTAGCCGAAGGCTCCGAATTACCAACGCCAGACTACCGTCTGTCACTTCACTATGTTTTACTAATAGTTACGGTGTTCATCATCACCGGAGGAGAGAGATCATCTGGCGTGCAGAGACGCAGAGAGAAGCCGAGAGGGACTCATGCCGCAGTAGAGACACAGACAGCGGCTTCGACAGTACTGTTGAGCGTGGCGAGACCCATGGCCGCATGGCGGATGCGCCTTTAATAAATTCTTGCAGGTAGATCGATCACTTCTCCTACGACTCAGTAGTCATCGTCTGACGGCAAGGTGGAAGGTGCGCGACGAACAACGTCGGAGGCCGGGGCAGCGGCCGAAGACTCAATTCTCCTGTTCGGCGCCATCATCCATGTTGACGCCATCTGTTGATTAACTCTTCTTTATTTATTTACCATCACAGTCTGATCTTAGAGCGTGAACCTGTGGGCGCGAGGGGGCGCGAGGACTCACCGAACCCGAGACGAAGCGAGAATATCGCTCTGTCGTCGACGGATCGCGTAGGCCCCGGAGGAGTACCGGCCTATGAGACCTGGGGCATGGGGGGCTCTGTTTTCAGAATCTTTATTGTAATTCATGTGCTATAATTGTAGTTTTCGGAGACGCCCGCCACGAGACCCAGAAGTCTCGTAAAAAGGGTGCAGAGGTTTTGTAGCCAGGTGTCTTTTACTCTGACAATAAATATGTTCTCCGAAAAACTCCTGTTGAAATGTTGAAGAGGGGTCACATAGGTGACTATTAACCAATCGTCGAGCAGTTCTGGGGTCCATCACTAGAAGTAACTCGCGAAAGATAGCGCAGCGATGAGAAAAGTCCCAAAAGACACTCAAAATGAGCTGCGAAGGAGAGTCTGTTCACATGTCTCGAACAGGGTGCGGCGAGAGACGTGGCAGATGTGAATAGACGGCGCGCGGAAGAGAAGCGCGGGAGAGCATCCAGAGAATATCACGACAGAATTGTACCGTCTCATAATATGTCGCAAATTCGTCGATTAGAATATCAAAAAGAAATCCCCACGAAAACATGGTGTGTTATAGGGAAAGATGGCAAAGACTCGCGGAGGACTGCTTCCAAGAAGAGTACCAATCCGTCAAAGGATAAAGCACCGGGAGAAGCAAAGTGCTCCAGGTGTTAAACAAAACGTTCATCCGGAGTTGTGTTCTTGAAATAATCAGCTCCCGCCTGATCAACGGGACCGTGAGATTATTGTGGAGAAAGGTGGGTACAAGATCCTAGAAATAACTTTTCAGGAATCAAGCTTGGCAAGCAACGTGTACACCGCACGAAGGAATCAACAATGGAAGGACAAGGTGGAGGACTCGACAATCGTCGCGAAGGACCGACTCATGGTCAAGCGTTGGCGACGATCAAGACGTATTTCACCAAGTTGGCTAATACAGTCAATGATACGACAGCTAGAGCGGAGATAATCCTGGCGGAGGAACCAGGACCTCAACGCTCAATTCTGCTGAATAACATGAGGAAGAAGCTGGTCTCCATGTTGGTGGACGTATCCGCCTACAAAGACACGATCGATCAGAAAGTTGAGAGATCGACCCGGCTGATAGAAGATAAGCTGAACAATGTGAACTTGCTCGAAGAGCACTGCGTAAAGTTGAAAATGGGGGAGCTTCAGGAAAAACTGGCGTCGGTGATTGAGAGAACGGAACGAGGAATCGCCGTAAGTCCGGTCCCGGCAGAACAGGTGTTGCCAGAAGAGGAAGCAGGAGATCAGTCGGGGACAGAGAGTACGGAGGAGCACCTACTCACGGGCGAACAGGTGAGAGTGCTGAACACCAGCTCGAGAAACGGCACCAGGAAGGAGCCGCAGCCCCAAATCGGTCGTTGCAGGACCAAGACCCCGGGAGAAACTGTTTCGGAGGAGGCGAGAAGAAGACTGCAGGGAGCCAGACTGTTCTCGGAGAGCCCGGAACCAAGGGAGCAGCTCAACCAAAACCGGTTGAACGCGATGCTCCTAAGGGAAAACGGAGCCTTGCAAGAGCAACTGACGGATGTCCAAGACATCCTTCAGAACAGACTGGGAGTGAGAGATAGATCCGAGGAGTTGCGCCCGTGGGGGAGAAGTTCGAGATCTCCAATCGACCCATTCGCAGGCGGTTAAAATATCTCGATCAGAGACATGGTCGAGTCAATTGACAAGTTCTCGGGGGAAGATCCGGATCTATATCCAGAGTTCATCAACCGAGCATTTCGTGCCATCGGGTTGCCGCTCTTGCTTTTGCTGTTGAATAATTTTTCAAAATTCGCATTGAATTTTTATCCGAATCGTTTAAACTTTTTCAACATCTTTCAGACTCGTATGCTGAAAGCTTGATAAAGTTGTTGAAAAGCGGTTTGTTTGGCTGGAACTTGAGATACTCGCCGTGAAACCTTTGTTGCAGAAACGAGGTGTTCTCAAAAGATGGGAAAAGAGCAATGTTTTGAAGAAGTGAAGACGGAAGATTACGGAACGATGCACGAGAACAAAGAAAGTTATGATTCTGAACATGGAAAATGAACCGAAAGCGTAAAATGCAATAAACAGGAGGATCGGGGTCAGTTCTAATCAAACTCGACGTGCTTCCCCGGAAAAACCTTCTTTCAGGCATCGTAGCCAACAAAAATGGAAAACTTCTCCCTACAACCACCCCACCCCGCCCTACTCTCTCGCTCCCCTAATGTTCACACGATCGCCGTGATCACCAGTCAGTGCTTTAAGTTTGACAGTGATATTTCATTCATCAACCTTCTCGGTGTTGTGTCTTTTGACTGAATTAGCACAAAATGAGGGTTCTTTCACAGCATTTCCAAGTGTTCCCTGAGAATATTTACCCGATGCACCTTCGAAACATGTCTGAAATTGCTCTTCTGAACATTCTCCCTCTAGTCAACTTCTGAGCAGATTCTGGGCAAAAGTTGCTGAAGTTCTGCTCAAAAGTTGTAGAGGCTTACCGAGCTGTAAAAATATCTTTTCTCGAAAAATGACCGCTCGTGCGTGCTTTTTGTGTCTCTTTGTTAGTTGAAATCACAATGAACTCATTCCCAAAAAATCAAGTGAAATGAATCAGTATTCGTCCGATAGCACGTATCTAAAGTTTTGCGCGCGGAAAAAGGCTTGGGGAGCGTGCCGCCGGCCGACAGTTCACGGGACGAGGGCCGAACTTTCTTCCACTGCGCCCCCAGAAAAAATCACCGTGTATCAAAAAACAAAAAAATTATATTTCATTTCCATAAGAACATGAGCGATCTTGTTGTCAATCAGAAATCCTTGCCGGATATATCGAAACCAAAATGGGATCAGAGCACGTACATCGGTAAGAGAATGTTTCTGTGCACACCACAAAAACATATTCAGGTCGCACAAAACACTTCTTCTCCTCCACCAGTCCGTTGACCTTGTTTTCCTCGGCGGCCAGACAGGAAAAGTGTCGCCAGATTGTCGTGGATTACAAGAAAGGGATCATCAGTCCGACGTTGACTGTGGACGAATTATGGAGGGCCAAGGCACTCTACGACTCCACGTACCATCCGGACTCCGGAGAGAAAATGTTCTTTCTGGGGAGAATGAGTGCACAGGTAACAGGATAGCCGTCTCAGTGACTAGAAACCGTTCCCAGATGCCCGGAAACATGGTCATCACCGGAATGCTGCTCAGTCTCTACCGTACTTTCCCCGGCGTCGTCTTCTCCCACTGGATCAACCAATCCTTCAACGCCGTCGTTAACTACACTAACAGAAGCGGCAACAACAAGGCCACGAACGAACGTCTCTTTGTTTCGTATTGTTGTGCGACTGGCGGAGCCATGACTGCTGCTCTCACTTTGAATCGGATGGTCAAGAACAGCCACGGGTTGGCCGCCCGTCTGGTCCCTTTTGCCGCCATCGCTCTTGCAAACGCGATCAATATTCCGATGATGAGGAGCAAGTGAGAGAGGGACTGACGATTCTTCATACGAACTTTGATTGCAGTGAAGTGACGGAGGGAATGGAGTTGAGGGACGAAAACGATGAGCTGGTGGGGAAGTCCCGGCAAATGGCCGTGCTTTCCATTTCGCAGGTCACCTTGAGCCGAATTGCGATGGCAATGCCGTACATGGGTTAGAGATTCAATGTTCATTATTTTTCTATATTATTATCGTCCAGTAATGACGCCGATCATCATGAACCGTATCACTCGTACTGCCTACTATCGCACTCGTCCGTGGATGCAAAAGTACTCGGAGATTCCCATACAGACTATCCTCGCGGGACTCGGTCTCTACTTCACCACTCCTCTCTGTTGTGCTCTTTTCCCACAAAAGAGCTCAATTGAAGTGAGCAATTCTTCCAGAAATCCTCTATTTTCATATCCGTTTCAGGTGTCGAAGCTTGAAGAATCCGTTCAGAAAGACATACTTTCCCGTCGAAATCCCCCGAAAGTCGTCTACTACAACAAAGGACTCTGAACGGAACGGAAAACTTGAACTTTGGACGGTCACTCTAAAAAGACGATAAAACAGTTTATTTCTTTTCCCAAAACTTTTCAATATAAAGATGAGTGATCTTGTCATCAATCAAAAGATTCGACCGGATATATCGAAACCGAAATACGATCAGAGGACATATATTGGTAAGGGAACGGATTCAGTTTATAGCAGGAACAAAGACGTTCGTTTCAGGGCGCTTCAGACATTTTTTGAACTAACGAACCCTTTGACTCTTCTTTCCTCGGAAGCCACACAAGAGAAGTGCCGGCAGATTGTCGTGGATTACAAGAAAGGGATCATCAGTCCGACGTTGACTGTGGATGAATTATGGAGGGCCAAGGCACTCTATGACTCCACTTATCATCCGGATTCCGGAGAGAAAATGTTCTTTCTAGGGAGAATGAGTGCGCAGGTACTTGATTCTGACCTGTTTACTTCTCCAACTTGACTTTCAGATGCCCGGTAACATGCTGATCAACGGAATGCTTCTCAGCCTCTATCGTACTTTCCCCGGCGTTGTCTTCTCTCATTTCGTGAATCAGTCATTCAACGCCGTTGTCAACTACACTAACAGGAGCGGAAGCAGCAAAGCGAGCAACGAACGGCTCCTTCTCTCGTATTGTTGTGCAACCGGAGGAGCCATGACCGGCGCGTTGGCACTCAATATGATGGTCAAGGTTGAGAAGGAACTTTGTGATTCTAGAGTTAATGGGATTGCAGAATAGGAACAGCGTGGCCGCCCGTCTTGTTCCGTTCGCCGCCGTCGCCCTGGCCAACGTGATAAACATCCCAATGATCAGGAGCAAGTGAGTGGATGGAAACTGTTCACAAAGTTCACAATAGTTTCAGTGAATTGGCAGAAGGAGTGGAGCTGCGAGATGAAAACGGAGAGCTCGTCGGAAGGTCTCGTCAGATGGCGATTCTCTCGATCGCCCAGGTAACTTTGTGCCGCATCGGAATGGCTATGCCAGATATGGGTATTCCGTATTCAGATTACACTCTATGACCTCTTCTGAGTATTTTCAGTGACGACACCGATCATCATGAACCGAATCACGCGGACAATGTTCTACCGAAGCCGTCCGTGGATGCAGAAGTACTCGGAGTATCCGATCCAGACGATGCTCGCCGGAATGGCTCTTTTCATGACGACTCCGATGTGCTGTGCCATATTCCCCCAGAAGACTGCCGTCGAGGTGACCAACCTGGAAACTTGTGTTCAGAAAGAGATATTCTCACGGGCCGATGCTCCGGAAGTGGTATTCTATAACAAAGGATTGTGATTGATTCCAATAAATATGTGATACTTTTTCAGATATTTTGAAACTTTCAAAGCTATATTTATTGCCAGGTTAATTCAATTTTTCACAAAACTCTTAATAAAAGGAAGTCGGAACGAGACCGAAAAGTATAAGTGATGAGGTTGGGAGAACAGAAACATTTAGGGAAGGGAAGAAGAAGAAGAAGAAGAGATCAATCGTGGATTGGAAGTATTCGAGAGGAATCAGGAGACCAGTGGATTACCAACTAAACCCGTCGACGGACAAATACAATGAGGAATCTAGTGAATGCGCCGGGCAAACGAACTACCAGGAAGGGATCCGCTTCACAACATATCCTAACGAGGTACTAATGGAGTGGGGAAGGAAGAGGAGAGCAAAAGAACGCGCAGGACCGGATTACTGTATCCTGTACTCGTACGGGTGTCTGATCACCGGACTGAAGTCGAACAATCCGTTCCGAATGAATCGGTCGTATTTTTCTGTCGTCGGCTTCACATACATCTTTTCATATATTCGGTTCTGAAAAGCTGAATGCTTTAAGAAGTTTCAGATATATTTCAGCTATACCTCTACACTTGGAAGGGCTGCAATCGAGGGATCATTGTGGTAGTTATCTGAGGAAGCGAGGCGGAGAAACTGGCTGAGACGAATTGAGAATACTGGAAACATCTTTTGAACTTTCGGTGCTAACTTCCACAACTCACCGTGTGATATGACGTAGAATAAACAGAAGATCACTCTGTGCAATCGCATCTTCCGCTCTCGTCGAAATTCTGAAAGGCAAGAGGTACACGAATTGGAACAAAATGAGTCAGAAACGGAACGAATTTCGAGTGCATCTCCTTCAGAGCTCCGCCCATTTTCTGGAAGAAAAAACGCCGAAAAAGGGAAGAGAGAGAGAAGAAGAGAAATGAGGTAAAGGAAAAGAATTGGTGGGGCGAATGCGTGGGCGACAACAAATGTTCGAGACGCAGTGGTGGCCCGTTTCCTTCTTCTCTTGATTAGATTATCAGGTTCGCAGAGCGCTGCAAAATGGACCCAAACGAAACACACTTTTGGAAGACGAAGAAGAAGAAGAAGAAGAAGAAGGAGGAGTAGGCGGTGGGAAAGTGAGCAGTACTATGAGGTAGGTCTCGAAAAAATCGGAGCATCCGAAAGTTCTGGCACAATCCGACGCAATCCTCAATCCTCCGACCACAAAATGTATCTTCTGTCGACTTCAATTTGACGCCTACGTCAACCACAATGCGGGAAGCAAATAACAGACAAACGGGTACAGGTGAATTGAGAAAAAGTGTGGAAAGTCTACGTAAATCTGTGTCGAATCTTGATCAGCCGAACGAAAAATGAAGAAACAGGTGATCCAGACGTAAGCATTTGAACAGAAATTAAAGATCCGTTCGAAATGATCGAAGGCGGAATGGAAAAAGTTGAGTGAGTCGGTGACATTTCGGGAAAAGGTTACAAGCGAATGTCACTAGTCAATTACGCTAATTTAGTGCGAATGATACAATTGAAATGCGCGGAAGGTTTGTGGAAGTTCTCTGAGTTGTCACATCATTTTTTCTATGAATAACTGTGAGAAACTCTTCCGTTTCCCACCTTTTCCAGAACTATAATTGCGGCTTTTGTACCTGTGGTGCCAAAATAGAAATTTGAAATGGCGAGGGAGATGATTCAGACTACGTGTGAAGTGGAAGTTGGAAGTTCCACGTCATGATAACTGAGTTAGGGACTTCAGAAGCACTCGAATGCGAATGAACTGGATCTGCGGAAGTCGTTTTATACTGATTCTGTGGGTCCGAAGTCTAGACACTGTCACTTTCGATCCTCTTTTCTCAAATGGAGAATCACGTCTAGACGGACGAAATCAAGAAGACACGCACTAAAAAAATTCGAGGCTAGATTCCGAATTTCCAATTTCGCACTGAAAGGCTCGAGGGCGGCGATAAATATTCGATGGGAATTGGCGGAAAGGAAGGAAATAGCAAGCGTCGGAATAATTTCGTTCGAAATTTTTGAAGGGTGCAACAACTTGGCCACCCTCTTTCTCTCAATGAAACACACGAAAGATGTGCTTAATTGAATAGTGTATGGTTTGGAATTCAAATTAAGATGCACGAAACGGATGGGAAAAGGATACATATGCGGGTGTCGTAATAGGTAGAGCATCATCATCATCATCATCGTCGTCATCATCATCATCAGATGGAGATGGAGGAGCAAGAGTTATTCTCGGACCGACGACCCGTTTCGCAGTCATAATTCATCAAGTATTTTGCCGTTTTCAAAGAGAACTACTACTCAGACACACGGCCGACTTCTCCTTACTCATTAGGGCGTGGGTGGTAGCTGGGAGAGAAAGAGGTCACGAGCTGATTAGAGATGGACGTGCTGGAGAACTCTCGCTGAATCGAAATAGTTTCGGTGTGGACCCACTCATTCCGGGAAATAGGAGCATACGGTAGTTGTAGAAGCGTCTTCAGAAGACGTCCACATTCACTACTGCCACGTCACTTTATCTGGAGAGCGGTTAAAGGGAAAGCGGGTGAATTGAGGAATGAGTGCAACACATCTTCTTCATTTTTTGCCGCCTTCTGATTTTCATTGCGTTCTCGCCATTCTCTCCGCCTTCTGGAAATAGAATCCTATTTTCGGTTTTGCAGCCTCAGCTTCTCCTTCTCCGCCGTCTTAATCCCTCTCGGGACCCCGTTAGGTAATGAGAATAGACAGTGAGCGGGTGGCCGGGACGCAGACGGCAAAACGGAGAGAATGACGACACGGATTGCAGAGGAGCACGTCATCCGGAAATGAGACAAAACATTAGCGGATGTGTGTGCAAACGAAACATTTCAGTATGGAAGGAGACCGTACTTCGTGTAATGTCAAGGCTTCGCAAAAGTGGTTTTGAAAAATGCATCTTTTCCACTCTGAAGAGAACCGTGAGAACGTGTCTGGAGACCGGAAATCAAGAAGATTCACAAAGAGACCGAGAGTGAGAGGAGAGCGGGTCCCAGAAGGATTCCACTGATAACATCATGATCACAAGGTCTTCAGGACTCCAAGGGCACATCATTTGATAAGCTTGGAGCAGTATCAGAGCAATGACTCTAGGACTACAGGAGCCGATCTGGCAAGAGCAAAAATACCGTTGGCAGTACTAGATTTCTACCGCTTGTCAGTTCTGAAAATGAGCTGAAGATTGTGCAAACGAATGAATGGGTAATAGTCAGAACGGGAGTTAAATCGGAAGATGAAATCATCGCAAACAAGACGTATGTCTCGGGGGCTCCTCGTCTTCTTCTCAATGACGATGCCAATTAAGCGCAGTTTACATGTGTCACTCATCACCTCACATCATCATTTCTCTCTGCTCTTGCACACACACACACACACACACACACTGTCATAGTATTTTCAACTTTATTCCTGCCCGGATGCAGAATTCGTCATTCGTCAGATTTTGGAAGCGAACGGAAATTGGGAATCGAGAGGGTGGGGTGAGCAATTCCGATTATTTCGTTTTTGGATTGGGAAATGCAAAAGAATGACGAAGAATGATGGGTTTATTAGTCAACACAAGTGGAAGAGAAGGAGAAGAAGTCACCACTGATTGGCGATCACCATGTAGGCGGGAAGGCGTTCCGAGTACGGTACCACTTGGATCACTCCGTACGCGTTCTCGTTCGTCGCGATTTCTGAAGGTTCTCGTTTTATTTCCATCAAGATGTTACTCAGCTCATAAAAATGTGCATGAAGCAAGAAACTTTTAATTGAAATTTTACGACTCTTTCATCTCTTGTGCAAATGTCAATTCCCTACCTCGGAATATTCTCTTGAGATCCGTCTGAGTGGAAGCCGGCAGCGACGAGCAGAGCCCGAACATCACGATCGCCAGCATCAGAACTTTGACTATTCTGAACTTTGAGCACATTTTTGAGCAGAAAAGGGATAGGGACTCACAAAGCGTTCATCGCGGGATTGCCCAAAAGTTTGGTCGCCGAGTCAGCCACGAAGGCAGCGAAGGCTAATCTGAAAATTGGATTTGAGGAGGAGCGGATTGGAAGACGAAGAAGAAGAAGAAGGAATGGGAAAAGAAGAGATGCGTGATTCATTCTGATTGGTGATCCAAACGCTCCAAAACAATGCGGAGCAAGAGAAGGAGGAGGAGGACGAAGGTCAAAAGTCTAAAAGCCGTTTCCTGGAATGAAACATGGGCAGTCAAGTTCAAATTGAAAAGCGAGAGAATTTTATCGTCAGTGACAGAGTTAATAGGAAATTGAATGCCCTCTCTTCAGAAGCACGTGACAGTGGTCATCAAATTGGACACGAAGCATCTGCAGATGGGTCCGGATCTCCCAGAGAAGTTGTACCCAACTGACCTAGAGATTCGGAAAAAACAGAAGAGGATACGTGTGCATTTCTACATCGTTTACCCTCTAAATCGATAGTTCTGGGTGACAGGTCTCCGACAAATAACGTGAGAAAGGACCCTTTAAGTCGATACTCTTTATATATTTTCAGCACAAATAAATATATAGAATACACATTTCTAGTACTCGTTCTAGTACAAAAACCGGTCTCGTCTCGTCAAGCGAGTGTTCCGTGTGGTACCCATGAGGTTTCGCGTTATCACATAAAAAGCTTGATTGATAATAGTAAAGTGATTAAAAGTCACATGAGAAGTGGAGACTTTACACCGAAATGTTGACGTTTGAAATGTGGAAAGATGGGCACCGAATTAGGGAGCGAAGGCGATGTCAGACGGGTCCCCGACGGACGCCAATTTGACGAAGAAATGATGATTTCGGAGCCACAAGTTGGTCTTCTAGAGGGCACACGGACACGCAATCATGCCTCTCACGTCATTCCGAACGATTACTGTAGTTGGTGATGACACAGTTTTTTCATGGAGGGGAAAGACGTGGAATGCAATTGAATTTCAGGTTGAAATTGAGTATATAAATTGGATGGCATGTTTTCGGATACTTTTCCCGTGGCGTTCCTCGAAATTGACCAAGCCGGGTGATAAATGTAAATGAAAAAAACGTGAAAAACAGACTTTATAAATGTGCTGACAATTCACGCTTGTCGCCTTCTCACAGCATCAGAATTTTGAGGCCAGAATCAAATGTCATAATGGCGTGCGGAGGAGGACGTCTTCTGACGGAATAGACTCCGAGTCACATGTTTTTATTTTTGACTCTAATTCTCAACTCTTTGTAGTTTCCGATTCAATTAAAAGATTTCCGGACGAGACACACACAAAACTTTTTTGCGTTTCTTCGATTAACTTTATTCATTAACTGATTCAGATCAAAATATTGGGGAAAACGGAGATCAACAGTCATCGAGGAGTCCGTTCGGAGGCCCCAGGGAGGTCCGAACAAAGACCCCATCAGACGGGGGAACGGGTTTTGTTTTGTTACGTCTTTAATTGTGACGGAAATCAGAAGGGAGCGGGAGAGTGACTAGAATTGTTTGGATTCAAAGATTAGTGACGAAAAACACTAGACACCTGCGATTAGCGTTTTGGTCGGGTCATAAAGCTGAGGTATAATTAAAGTTATGTGGAAGGAAAAACAACGGAATGACTGGGTGGAATAGCGGAAAACGGGCACAACCGAAAATTGAGAGGAAACGGGCGATGAGATCGGCGGGCTTTAAAATGGGAATGTGGGACTACCAAATGGTACATTTATCAGTTGGATTCATGAAACTTGTGGTCGGACACTGCCACGCATCCGCAAATTCTGGAGAGTTCTGCAGAGAGCCGAGCATTCTGTAAAGAGCAATCGGGCGTTTGGGAAAGTGCGCTCCACCGAACTCACCGTATTCTCTCCTCCATATGCGGCTGCAACTTGTAACTTTTCGATCGGAGAGCACACCATCCTTGCGTGTACGCCAGGAAGAAGAGCTGATCCTGCGAGTACTTTTCCAGGCCGGGCATCCGTGCAGAGTTCTGGTTTCCATTCGCTTTCCACGCCTGTAAAACCCATCTCCTTCACAATTCCAATTACAATTCCCACCTCGTAGGCGACTTTGAGTCCCACGTGATCGGCAATGTTTTCGTAAAGGCCTTCCTTGGCGGCGTTCATCTGAAAACAGGCAATTGAAGGGTGTCTAGACGGGAAACGAGTACGTCGTGCGATTCCATGAGTCCTGCGTATTGTTTGACGAAGCACTGCTCGCGGCTCTTGAACCGACGCACCGTTTCGGGGCTCCACCAGTGGCCGAGGTTTCCGGTGGGACCGTGTAGTTTACCTGCAATGCGCCACGTCATCATGCGGCTGTTTGCCTACTTCCTCTTTGCCCGCCGACACGTCACGTCATTGCGCGGCACTCCATCTCATTTTCAGAAAACAAACACAATCTTCAAACTATACTGCTCGCTGCGTGGGATGTATCTTTCTCCGAAAATAGAAGCGAAGCTCAAAATTAGGAGCGGGTGTCTAATTAGACGCCGCTGCTCCTTCTCCTTTCGGCTTCCTTGCCAGCGCACGCCCTATTTTTGGAATAATTCAAGCTCTTCCCTCCCCCTTTTCTCGCTTTAACTGCCTTCATTCTCTTGGGTTTCAGCTGACCGTTGAGAGAGAGAGAGAGAAAGAAGCGAGGAGAGCGGAAGGGTCTAATTGGAACTGGTCGGTCATTACGAAAGAGAGTGTCGCCCCCTCGTTAGCTCATTTAGTTCGAGAAGAAGAAGGAAAAGTAGTAGTCGTGACTAGTACGCGTAACAAAACATTTCAGAATGAGCCGAGAAACGGAAGCGGAGGGACGTACCTTGTCCGTCGAATGCGTGAGTCAACTCGTGACCGATGATTGTGCCGACGCCTGCGTAGTTTGCGAAACTGAAAAAGAGCTCAATCCAAACTTTGAAGGACCGTTCTCAACTTACTCTAACTGATGTTCATCTGCATATGGCAATCGGAGAGAGTCGAAGGGGATCTGAATGAGGTTCCTCTCGTAATTGTGGGCCGGGACCGAGATTGCAGGCCGAGTATCCACCCAATCACGGGGGTTTACAGGCAGTCGGAGGCGTTGGAGGCGCTCTTTGTAGACGGCGGAACTGCCGAGAACCATTGACCAGAAAAGGCTGCTTTGCAGACGGACCGCTTCTTTCTCCATCTCGAAGTCGCTTCGCATCGCGTCGGGGAACCCGATAAACTTGGTCATGTTGGTCACTTTGTGGACTACGTTCTGTCGGGTCTCGAAGTCAGAAAAGAGATCGCTGGACTCGACTATTGATTTGTATTCTTCTGATATCCTGTCGGCCATGTCTTGAACAACTTTCACGTTCTAAAAGAGCAAGCTAAAATATGTTTGATCACCTTTGGATTACCTTCTCAGTGTGCTCAATTCCATCAATTTTTCTGAGAATCGAAGGCAAAGAAAGTGGGAAGATTCCGGAAAGTCTGAGCACGCAGAACTCTTTTCTCTGGCTCGCAGCTCCTGAATACAGTCCGACGGCCATCCAGAGCAGTCCGTCTCTGCACTTTGGAGAGGCGTACGCCAGATGGAACATAATCGTCTTCCACTTGACATAGTTCTTGAGGACCGCGACTCCACCTCTCGTCTGTTTCAGCTTGTCCACAATCGCCGAAAGGATCGGTATCCACTGTGTACCCGTTTTGAGAGCGATCGGTTCGGAATGCGAGAGGTTCTCGCCGACGAGACGAGACAGGAAGTAGTGCCAGTTGATCTGAAGATCGGGTAATCTGAGAGGGACCATGAAAGATACTTACAGCTGGAGCAATCTCTTGAAGTTCTCTTAGTGTCACCACTGTATATCGCTCTTTCTTCTCTTTGTAAAACTGAAAGAAGAACAGTATTGGTCTGAAGCTCTTGAAGCTCTAAACTAACCGTTGAGCCAGCAATGGTGATCTGGTACTCGAGGTATATCATGTTTGCGATCATCATTCTCACTTTTTCATCGTTCGAGTCGAAGCCGAGCACGCCAGCGAGTTCCTCTCCGACCTGCTGGAGAGCCCTAGTCACTGGAGGTCCTTGCATCTTTCCGTAGATCATTTCGGGAGTCAGTTCCTTGTCATAATGATACTTTTCAGGCGCCAACAAAATCGGAAGTTGCTCATAGATCTGAACGAATCTGAATACTTCGGTCACCAGTTTTAATCTAACCTACCGTAATCAGATGCTCTTTGGAATCCAAGTAATTGACCTCGACTCCAGCCCAAAACAAAGGGAATACCGAATAATTGAAAGCGCTCAGAATGATATCCTCCACTTCGAACCTCCGTTTCTTCTTCGTCTCCTCGTCCGGCTCGATCTCAAACGTCTCTTCCTGCTCCAACTCTCCGGCCTTCAACTCAGGCATCCATCCTCCGAGCTCTTCGACGAACCGTTCCCACAACCCGAGACCGGTCTGTTCGAGGGTGTCCATGTCCATGCACTGCTCGTACATCTTCGCCGCCGCCCGTTCCCCCGCATTCGTCGGAAGAGGATAAGAGCCTTCGTTGACTGAAACGATCTACCGTAATCCTTCCGGACCCTCCGGATCAACTCACTCTTCTGCATCGCCTGCACAATCTGATCGTGTGCCGTCCTCTGCGTCTCGTACAATGTGTTCCAGGAGTCGTATTTCAAGTTGACCGATTGGTTTATCCAGCCGCCGCACGCGAACTGATAAAAGTTGTCGCACGGTTCTGTGTTGGCGTCCATGCGCTTCAGAAGACGTGCCGCCGTCATGACGCACTCTTCAGAGGTACACGCTAAAAGGAATTCAATGAAAATTCAATGAGCGGTGGAAGGGGGGAACGTACGTAGTGTTCGGTAGTAAAGAAAAGTGGCGATGACGAAGCTGATTATTACGAGTAGAAAAATGAGAAATAAGGAGAGCAACCAACAGGTTTTCGGACTGTTTTCTGCCCCTTTTGACCGGCTGTTTTGACCTAGACGTAACATTTTTTAAAGTTCTTGAGGGGCAATTACCTGTATCACGGAGCAATGAAGACGATGCTTGTTTTCCCTCTTCGAGAGATACGCCATTCTGAAACACGGTGATTTCTTTTTGGGGTCTCGCGGAGGTTTCTAGTCCCTGATCCCGCGGCCATCGCCGCTCTACTAGACCAAAACAGGCTCTTCAGATTTTTCTCAAAAACTAGACCGTACAATTCCAAATTAAATGAGCTTTTGTCTTTAAAAAAACTGCAAAAAATTGGTCCCCATTGGTTTACTTTTGGTACCAAAACATGGCCGAACGGCAGCAGGTCGTCCACGAAGGCTCAGATGCAGCGTTCCAGATGCGCGCCGCCGGAGATATACTGATTCATCTTATTCATTGTCATAGTGAGCGCGTTCATTGTGATCACAACTAACAAAGAGCACTCGCAAAAATGTCTATAGATCACAGGAAAAATAGCTCTTTTCGAAAAATATTATAATGATGGGAATGCACAGTTTGTTTGGCAAACGGACGGTTACTGTACCCACCTCGAGACCTCTGGGCCAACTGACCACCGACAGTTGCGAATTACGGTTCATCAACACTTTATAAACGTGGCTTTTCTTATTCATTTTTTACAGAAAGAAGAAGATAAGTTTTTGATGTGGAAAATGGATTGAGGAGGGATTTAGGCGGTGGCTAGAGCAGATACAATACATATAATTGTGTCCGTCAAACATGATCATCCAGGTACAAAAAAGAGCGTGTGAGGATTACGGTAGTCGAGGAGAATCTTACCGAAAACGACTGGATTGAAGTGTCTTCTGAGGAGGGTAACAGCGGATTCAAAGAGCTGTACGACCTCATCTCATGCGAAAGACTCCTTTGTAACTTTTCGAATAACCTTGTCATATTGTCTGAAACATTCATTCCAAAGTATTCGAGAAAATAGAGAGAGAGAGAGAGAAAGAGAGAAAAAGAGGAGAGGGAGAGGAAATGATAAGCGATTGATGACGACACAAAAACGTGGTCCGCTTCTTCTTTTCCACTGCAAACTGCAGAGGAATAGACACAAAGTTGCAAGTGTGCGAGTGAGGAGTGTAACAAAAAATGTGTGTAGGATGTGTGGAAGAAGCCGCACACGTGGGATGATTCACTCGGCTGAACAGCTGGCGAACTGACCCAGAAACCGGAGAACGACTAAATGTATACGGTAAGACGAGAAGTTCAGCGTCAAAAGTAGATTAAATTGAGTCACAAAAGACGGTAGTAGACTAGAAACGCCCGCGACCGTCATCCTGTCACTCATTTGGCGAACTGGGTTGGAGAATGATGTCATTTTATGATGAAGCTTGGCCAGAAAGGTTTGGTGGATATACTAGGAAGAAAACTATAATTATTATTGGATTGAATTGCTTTCAGAAGAAAACCACGTCACTTCTCTTTCCATTTGTTGTTATGATTCCGATTTCAATTCGAATCCAATTATTGGTTCGGTGGGAATGAGTCTTCGTTCCTTCAGAATACGTGAGAAAATGGAACCGAAACGAGAGGAGATGTGGAGAGTCAAAAAAAGAAACATTGTGACCAGAAATAGGATGCGGACTGCCAAGCGGAAAATGGCCGATGACGGACTGATTTCTGACATGATGCCTGAGATTTTTTGAGCATGAGTCACTGGAAATGGGTCTGGGCAAGTCGACGGATAATTCAATCGGGTATTTTTTGAAGGCTATCAATCAATCGCGCTCTACCTTCCATTTTCACGGAATTCTGGAATTCAAATATTTTTCGACCGGTGCTCAATGCTAATTCGCCAGAAGAAAAACAACGAAACGCCTATTTATATGCGGATAAAGAGGAGTCAAATATGTCGGAAAAAGCACGAAATATTCGCAATTTTGCACAAAAATAGAAACTAACGGAAGTGGAGCATTAAAGGGCTGTGGTGCTTTGAAAAGCGGACGGGTACGGTTCCAACACATAATAAGCGTCACGGCGGCATCTTCCGGGGAAAATAACAAACTCGCGTTGGAATACGGGAAAACCCTTCTCTTTTTCGTTCCTTGTCTCGAAAATCTCATGAATTGAAAATATCTCGGAAAACTTAAATGAGCTGCGAATGACACAAATATTCGGTGGAACGAGTTGAGAAATCCGAAGAAAAAAAAACAAGCAAATCGAGTGGTTATTTACCGGGCAAAATTGGAAGAAATAGAGATTCAGACCGAAAATGAGTTCTTCAAATTGCTATTTACTCTGGCAATTTAAAGAAGAGCAAAGGAGGATTCTGGAAGCGAAGTCGAGTGGGCGGAAGGAAAGTAATGGGAGCCGGGCCGAGATTTTCGAAGCGCTCTTGCTCTTGGCCCAAAAAGAAGAAAAGGGAAAAAGAACATGACACTCTCAATACCACCCCAATAAATTGGACGTTTACGTGAGGGAGGAGGACGAGTCGGGCGGCTCTTCCTCCCCGCACAAATTGCTTTCGATTCATTCATTTTTATCCTTCTGGAGGTCTGGAAATGAGGTCCAATTAGAGTGCGGCGAATCGGAAGAGAGAGAGAGAGAGAGAGAGAGAGAGAGAGAGAGAGAGAGAGAGAGAGAGAGGATCGCATGACGGAGCCGCCGGATGACGTCAGCGCCAAAACAAGCCGGTTGAGGTACCGTAGGAGGCGCGAGCAAGAGTTCGCAACACAAAAGTATCGAAACAGGAAACGAGACGACGGATTAGCAGATTATGACAGTGTGTTTCGAAAGGGTAAATAATACAAATCACGTTCTGATGGCCGACGACGACGACGACGGGGTCTCAGTGGTCTCGCAACGTTTCTGCTGCTGAAAATCATCGCCTTCTTTGTTTTTGGAAACAGTGAAAACTGGTTTCGAATGGGGGGAAATGAAGAGGAAATCAAGAAGCTTCGAAAGGCGGCAGGCGCCGATAGGTGTGGCCCTTTTGTTTTTTCGAGAAAATTTGAAAAGGGTGGAACCGCAGGGCTAAAGAGTTCGAGATCAGCGCCAAGTACGAGAACGGTCTTCTTGACCTTTTTGCATCAATCACAAAATGACACGTGCTGGAACACAGTCACGTGGGGGGATGGACCGATTTGCGGGGGGCGAATCGAATCGAATCAGTGACGTCATTGGAATCAGTGAGAAGAAGGATAATAAACTCAAGATGATCGGAAAAATGATGAAGATTGATAGGACCCTTTTGAGAAGACAATCATAGCGAATGAATGTGACGGCGAGAGAAGTCAGGGTCATATTTTGTAGTCTAGAAGGGACAGGAAGTTGGCGGAATGCCAAGTTTGACCCTGACCATTCCTCGCTTCCGAACCACTTATGCTTGCAGTTAATTTGATGACGTGGCACTCGTGAAGTCGTCACCTTGATCTCATTCTCTGCGTCTTTTGCAAACTATTCTTGCAGGATCCTGATTCGACGAACAAGTTTTCGGGTTTTCGGTCTCGGTAGGCTACAGTACCCCGGAGACGAAGGACTCACCATAATCCTTGTAATATCCGCATCCGTAACAGAATTCCGTCGACTGATCGCATCTGCTTCGTCACCGCCACTGCAGCGCCGCCCTTTCTCGCAACGGCTCGTCTGAAAATGGAACGATTTAAAAGAGAAATGTGGGGTATTCGAGTTCTGAACACATGCAGACGGGGTAGACTTTTCAGAAGATGTTCCTAAGGGTTCACAAAGAGTTTTAGAGGAGAAAGCTGAAAATGGGGGAGGGCTGAAACGGAAAAAGGCCCGTGGACGAGTAGAGTGCTGGGGAAGAGAGTGTTGTCTCGAGCATCGGCAGGACACCCCAGGGACAGTTCCATCATCGTCTCGATTTGGTGGCACCCGACGAGAGGACATCCCACTTTTTGTGGGTTTTCCTCCGGAATGAGGAGCAAAAGATTTCCTTCGGGTTGTGATGCACTCGGAAATTCGGAAGAAGGGGAAGAAGAAGAAGAAGAAGAAGAAGAAGAAGAGGGGGAGGAAGGAAGGGCGCCTAGTTCCGGGTGCATCCTTTCATTGACGCGCTGCTGGAGCCCAGATTCGGAAGGTGAAGATCCACGTGAAAACCAATAAATCTCATCCTTATTTTCTTCACTGTTTTTTCCGTTACTCTCAAACTAACAACTAATAATAATAATAGTAGCGACGCTTCAGAGATGACGTGGCATTGAGCAAACAGAAGTGAGTGGAAGATGAGAAATGAGCAAAAGAAGGGGGAAAATGACGTGGCAACTCGTGGAGCATAAAAGAATTGAGTTATGGAAGAGAAGGAGTGCTCGGAACAATTGGAAGAGTCAAAACGCAAACCGGTTATTATTATGAAAGTCATTAAGTATATATATATATATTGGAATGATCTGAAGCTGTACATATAATTGAGAATGCGAGAGCTTCGAGCGCTTCCGCCACACTACAGTAATCCGCGAAGAGCTCTAGACACATTTAAAAAAAGCGAGGAGATTCCGAAATAATAATAAAAGTGACTAGACCGTGGCAATGTCTAAACGAGCGAGCGAAAAAGAGCAAGAATTTATATGTGTCTGGTGGCGATTCGCATTCTTTTTGTGTTTCATTCCGATTTCGACCGAATCTGTTTGTGCAGCTGTACACACGTCGGACGACGACAAATTCCAGAAAAAACGGAAAGAAAAACGATAAAAAGTTGCGAATTGAAAAGGAATTGAAAGTGATGGAGGGGGAGAGTGGAGAAGAGGGGCGGAGCACGGGAGTGGACAACAATTATCGGGGGAAGAAGGCGCGAAAAGGAGATCACTGTGCTCCGAGCCGCAGAGCAATTAGTTGGCGGAGGAAAGAAGAAGCGACGATTCGGGGATGGATGATAGTGGAAACGAAAGGAAGGGAGAGAGAGAGAGAGAGAGAGAATGTGACGAGTCGACGATCGGCGCGGAGCAAAGATGAAAAGATCAGGAGGAGGGGTGACTGTCGGGGAGCTAAAAATGCTCTTTTGGATTCTTGACGACCCGGTTACTATTATCAATCATCCGATTGTACCTTGACTTATCCGGACCCGGTCTGTCGATCTTCAATGAACATTTAAAGGACCAGGGAACCCTCCACGTTTATCAGTCTGTCTGCCTCTTTTTGCCACATTCGCACCCGGGTGGACTTGACTTTTTTCACATCTAGACTAATAATCGTGCAAAGTTCGCTCAACTTTGCTTCGGAGCTAACAGTAAGAAGCGTGATGTACTTTCAAATGTTTGAACTTTTCGACTACTGTAGACAGGCGAAGGTGGAGAACTTCATCCGAGATTCTCGGGAAGCCGTTCCTGCTCCTCCTTCTCGTCTTTTTCTTCTTCTTTTTTCTTTTCTATTCTTAGACCTCCGCCACATCGCCTACGTCTTTCATTGAAAAATAGAGGCCTATTACGCCGGCGGGTGCATATCCTTTCCATTTCGGGCGTCTCGTCATCCCATCCTCAAATGCCGAACGCGCTGCGAAGACGGGGAAACCCTCACGTCTTCGAAATTAATTCGCAATTCTAATTCTACAAGTATCAAAGGGCTCTGAGCAAAAAGAGAGAGAGAAAGAAGAAAAAGACGGCAAAGCATTTAGTTGTTGCAGGACGGCGAAAAAATGAAGAATGAGAAGATGGAGATGGATTGATGAGGTAGTACCGCCCGTTTAATATGCAATTTATCTTCTTCGGAGCGAGCAGCATCAATGAAAACACTTCTTCTTCTTCTTTCAGGACGCACGAGTTGGGGGTGGAACTGGAGAAGTGACAGGTACACGTGAGCTGATCTTCCACTCTTTCTTCACGTCAACTCACGTCACTTCTGAATCTTCTGAAGGAAAAAAGCAGAAGAAGAAGAAGAGGAGGGTGAGGGAGACGAATTACGGTAGCAGCGGTGCGGAACAGCGGAAAGAGAACTAGAACAAGAGCAGTGATGTCACGGACGGAACCAGGATTGCAGTAGGGGTACGGTAAGGGTACATCGGAAGAGGTTCGGGTCTCGCCACGCCGTGCTCGGCTTCATTTGTTTCGAGACCCACCGTATCTAGTAGTATACGGTAATATTTTAAATAGACGAACGGAATATTATGTTCTATCGGACCTCTTCTACAATTAGTTGACTTACCTGGAAGAGTTCGAGCCTAGACGCGACGAGTACAATAGAAGATCTCATTATCAGTGACTTCTTTTTTTCTTTTTCTTCTGCTCCGTCCGTTTCAGCTTTTCTGCCCCTTATTTCCTTTCCCTCCTCCCCTTTTTCTCTATTGAAGCACCTAATCTAGTGGATAAAAACAAGGGACGGACGGATTACCGGATGGAACAAGTGTTTCCGAATTCCGCGTCACTTTGTTACATATATCTTAGAGATTAACATAAAGCAGAAGGGAACAATGGTCATCAGATGAAAGTGAGCAAAAGAGAAGAAGTGGAAAGAGAGAAGGTCAGATCGATTTGATCTAGACTCCCGATTGTCCCGCCCTCTCCGTTTTCCTACCTACCAACTAGCAAGATGACAAATTGCGTGTGACGTCACACCTCGTCACGTCACATTCCAGTACGACAAGCGTCCTGCGGGAGCCGCTGTGACGTCACGGGCGCCGAGAGATTGGGCGAGATTAGGAGAGGGCAGGTGGATGGAGGGTTGGGTCGGCGTTGCAAAATATCACGTAGAACACCCAAGATATCTGGATTTAGGGTGATAAAGAGACACAGAACAATATGTTTCTGTTTAGAGCATGATAAAACCCAAAACAATACTAAATGATAATTATGCACCAATTCAGTCGGATGGCATCGATCCGGTGTGCTTCTCGATCTTGTCAACCAATCCGAACTTGAGAGCTTCCTGAGCACTCATGAAGCGATCGCGGTCAAGTGTTCTCTCGATTTCCTGAAAAGAAGTTGTTTTGAAGTTTTCATCCGATAATCAAATTCTTTCTTTTCACTCACGTCATAGCTAATGCCCGTGTGATGCACATAAATTTCATTTAGTCTTTTTTTCAGACGAGTGATTTCTTCCGCTCGAATGACGATATCTGAGCAGGTTCCCTGAAAATATAAATTTGAATTAGGTGTGCAAATGCGCGTGGCGGTGTACACAACACACTGTCACGTCGGATTGCGTACGCTCGAGATTCGGAATCTTTCAATTGGTTCTTTCCTAGAATTAGGCGCTAACTTTTTGTATTTTGCACTAAAAATGTCGGGAGTGGCCGGAGGAGGATCCAAAAAGAGCAGCAGTCGGTCAGTGGCCACTAAGAAGCTTATTATCAATGTGAGTTGTTTGGTTTTCTGCTTTACAATTTGATGACATGTTTTTTAATTCAGGAATTCAAAAAGAGGCTTCGTGACAATATAAAATCACTCAACGACAACTTTTCTCATATTATTGCGGCCGCTAAAGTAAGAAATTTATCGATTCATTGATGTTTCCGAGACGTTTCAGGTGAATCAAGACGACAATGCGTACAAAAACCAGACGGGAAAGATGGCCGAGTTCTACACAACAAAAAACGAAATGGCAGTTCGTGCTCAGCTTATGGTACGTCTCACATGATTTGAAAAACGATCAACTTCGAAATTATAGGTGCGCGCCGCAGACGAACTTCTGAAACTAACGACAGATCTCAAAGAGTTCCTCATCCTGCACGACTTCCATTTTTTGACGCACAGCATCAAACAGTCAGTTCGAATTTACAGTTCGGTTCAATTTAAGTGTAATTTATTCAGAGCGGAGGAGCAATGTGAGCGAACCCTGAGAGAACAAGGTCAAATGCACGTAGCTCTGGATTCGGACGTTAATAACTTGGTTCAAGATCTCGACCGCGAAATCGCAGAGAACTTTTTTTTCCGTCACGGCTAATAAACTGTAAATTGAACAGATTTCGTTCTTCTGTTATCTGTGCGATTTCAAAACCGAGAATGAGTCACCTGAGCTCCTCCACTTGGCTGATGAACCATGATACGGGCGTTGGGCAGGGCACTTCGCATTCCCTTTTCACCAGCCGCCAGCAGCAGAGATCCCATAGAAGAGGCCTGTCCGACGACCCACGTGGCAACCGGAGCACTGATCATTTGCATTGTGTCGTAAATGGCGAGGCCGGCAGTTACAGATCCTCCTGGACAATATCATGGAAATCAAGTAAAAGACTAAAAGGGGATGGGCCGAACCGGGGATTCCCGGTACCTCTCGCACCCAAAGCAAGAATCGTATATATACCACTAGACCATTCGGCCGCGAAAGCAGCGGATTCCATTGCGAAACACGACTTGGCGCTTTTCATTCTTACGCGCGGAAAATGACTTGCTTGTTCAGTGTTGCTTTCCGCGCGGAAAACGCCGCGATGAGTGTCAAGAGAATGAAACTGATGCAAAATCGAAGACGGAAGCCAATGTTTCCGCGGCCGAATGGTCTAGTGGTATGATTCTCGCTTTGGGTGCGAGAGGTCCCGGGTTCAATCCCCGGTTCGGCCCATTTTTTAAATATTTTATGCACCTGGACTGTTGATGTACATGTGGATGGGCTTCTTTCCGCTTTCGCTTTGCAGAAAGAGCAGTTGTGCGATGAGCGCCGATGCGATGAAATCGTCGACCTAAAAGTATCACTGTTGAAAATGTCTGTAAAAAAGCTGAAAAATGCGGGAAAAACCGGATTCCTATACTTCTAGCCGCAATAATATTGATTGATTACCGGAGTCATGAGACAGACGATTCGATCTCGCAGAAGTCTCGAGTAGATGTCATACGTCCGTTCTCCTTTTCCTTCGTTATCAATGACGAACGGAATTCCGACGCGCGCCTGCACCGTCGAAGAAAGGCTTCTGGAGCCGATTGACGAGAAAGAGGTCACGAGACGACGAAGCATCATGCTCTGAATGCAAAATAGACAGAAATCTGTTCGCTTTTATGATGTTTAGCAACGTGGGAAAATTTGGCGAGGTATCGACGAAGTGAGACGCAGACATAAGCAAAGTTCACGCGGATCAATATCTGTGCGAGCTCAGCTAGACAATGATTCATTAGTTTCTTAGATAGAGCTAGTTTTCAGTTCGCAATATAAATCCTGTACATTCCATTAACTTGAAAAGAAATAATGGATAGATGGGGTAAGACTTGGTAAGGAAAGTGGGTCGAATCTGATCACAGAACAGAGCAGGGCAATTAAAGGGAATGTTGGAGAGCGGCGGAAAAGGCGACGGTCGTGACGTGGATCGGCGAAACGAGAGGAGCAGCTTATCGGAAGTCCTCTGGGTTGAAAAGTCCGCGAGCTCTGTTCAGGATACTGTCCTGAAACGTGGAAAGGTTTCTACTGATCTAGAAATTGAATGAAAGTCTTTACCTTTGATGGATCGTATGGAGCCTCCTTGGACGGAATCTCAAGCACAGCTGGAGTAGATGAAGTGTGCTGGTCGACCTGAAATAACAGGAGCTTAAATAAGTAAGCTGCGAATCAACTCACGGCGTAACGGATCATTTCGGCGATGTGCTGGTTGATGAGGATGATGGCGATGTCGTCACGAGCGCAGAGGGCCTTGAAGGCCTCTTCGATCTCTTGAATGGCGGTCTGCTTGTCGACAATCAGATAGTTTGGCTTGCGAGCCTGCAATTGTGACGCGTCTTTGTATTTTCAGATGAAAACTAGTTTACCTTGTTGAGCTCTCCAACACCTCCGAGCAGGAATCCGACGACGGTGTCCTCGTCACCGATGACGGCCAAAATCTTTCCCTTTGCAGCTGACGCCATCTTTAAAAAATTACGGATAATTGAATAAGCGATTACTCGTCTACGATATTCATAAAATCGACATTTTGAAAACTGATGAAAAATCAAGATTTGTACGAAAAATCGATGCGTCGCGGTTGAAAACCAACGGCGGGAACGAGAGACGAAAAATCAACCTCGGTGGGCGGAGCGTCTTTCGCAATGCCTGGCACGGGACTTCGCAAGACTGCGGCGCGCTGTTCATGAAACCCGTCTTTTATTGGAAACACTTTTATTGACGGGAACTCATTAAAACAATCAAGTTTACACAACTTTCATCATCGTAAATTGGAACTGAAATCTTATATTTTTATTGCTCGCTATGCTTTCTACATATAGACAGAGCGAATCGTGGCACCACGTCGTGTCGTAGTCCATAGTTTTCATGAAATTCAGATTGGCTGCAGCGGTTTTTGACAGATCGCATTTAGTGTATTCCTACGCGGATCTGGGAAAGACTGTTCGAAGCCGTTCGGGTCGGAGAGTTACCTTCGCTTTTGCAGTTTGATTGGAAGTGATTTAGCAGTGTGAAAACCTTAAAATAGTTGAGAAGAACATCAAAATAGATAATCATGATTGCATTTCTAAAAATGGGAACTACATAGAATGGCTCATGCTTCGGAAAGTGGGCGACCCGAATGAAAGGCTTCCAGATCTATGGCTGCCTAGAAATGTTGAAAATATGTAAGAATTGTATTCATAAAGAAATACATACGAGATGATGTTTGAAAATCGAATAATCAAAAATTAGTTTATCAATTGCAACGTGTTCTTTTTGCTGCTCTTCGGGCCGTCCGGATACGGAGTCACCGGTCGCTTTATCTTGTCTTCGGAGAAATACGTCTCAGGGGTCGGAAGACGCTCGGGCGGCCAGTTCTCGTCAGTGACGGGAGGAGTTGTACGCGTGCTGATGGTCGGATCTCTGTTGTCTGCCTTGCAGTGCACCCAGAACGTCTCCATCACTCCCTTTCCCTTAATTATCACCTCTCCTCTAGAGTTGGTCTCGTATTCATGAGGATAATGACTGGTCAGCAAGGTGTGCGCAGCCTCCGACATGTGGATCATTGACGCTTTTCCGTTGCTCTCCATCCGGGACGCCGTGTTGACTGTGTCTCCGAACAGACAATATCGAGGCATTGAGAGACCGACAACTCCTGCTACACAGGGTCCTGAAACGAAGAGAACACGTGAGCAATCGTCATTTGTCTCTTACCACTGTTGATTCCAATTCTCAATTCAACCTGTTCTCTCGGAAGATGCGGGATCCTGAACTTCCTGCAATACTCCATGAACTGAAGAGACATGTCCACTATTTGCCTGAAACCAACATTCTCGTCTACATTCTTTCAGAAATCCCAACTTTATGTGCGCGAATCCGTTCCTTGTGGGTAGCCCGGAAACGCACAGATATCCGTCGCCGATTGACTCGACTTTGTACACCCCGTGCTGCTCGATTATCGTATCAAAGTTGCTGTACAAGTCGTTGAGCAGGTTGACAACTTGGAACGGAGAGCACTTCGAAGCGAGGATCGTGAACTTGACGACGTCCGAAAAGAAGACCGTCACTGAATCGAACCCTTCCGGCTCGACCGTCTGTCCTGCTTTCAGTCGTTCTGCTACTTGTCTGAAATAATAATGAAATTGGAAAGACGTTTCTGCTTGATTCTCCGTACTTTGGCAGCATTCTACTCAATAGAATATCTGCCTTCTTCTTCTCCAATGTCAATTCCTTCGTTCTCTCTTCCACCTCGACTTCCAGTGTAGTCGTGTACTCCTCCAACATATTGAATACGTGGTCCATCAGGTTTGTATTGGCTCTAAAAAAAGCATTGAAAGTTAGTCATCGTCCGAATGTTCATACTTGGGATTCATTTCGAACAATAACTTGCAGATCTCTGCCGATTTCGGACGTTCTTCAGACGTCTCTGCCCAGCAGTCCCTGACCAGCACCAAAAGGGAATTGCTCACTTCTGCATCGAGCACCAGATCCGGACGGACTGAGCGACTTCCTCCCTTTTTCACCATGTAAATTATTTCTGAAATTAAAAACTTCAGAAGTTTCGCAATATCTTCAAAGTACCGTCAATTCCTTCTTTTCTTTCCGAAAGATTCCATGCTTCTCTTTTTGTTAGAATCTCGGAAACTATGATAGCGAAAGAGTAGACATCTGCTGAGGGGTCCATCTGTGAGGCAATCAGTGAGCCTCTGATCACTTCCGGAGCCGCCCAGAGCAGTCTTTTCTTGCTCGGAGTCTCCTCTTCCTGCAGACCGTCCAGTCCGTAATCCGCCAGTTTCACTTGCCAACTGTCGTTCACAAGACACGTGGCGGACCGCAAATTCCCGTGAACTCGAAGGAAACTGTTATGCAGATAGTGCATGCCTTCTGCCACGTCACGAATTATACAGAACATGAAGAAGTAGTCCATCGAGAAGTTTCCCCGAGAGATAATGTCCTGAAGGGATCCCCTCGAGCACATCTTCCAAACCGACATGAAATTGTGTCCATCAACTGAGAGTCCTATGAACTTGTTCAGATTATCGTGTTCCAGTTTCCTCATCCTCATAAACTGATCTCGGTCTTGTTTGCTCAACACCTGACTTTGATGTTTCGTCGTCACAACGAAGTCCTTCTCGTACATCTGAACCGTGTAATGCTCGTGGAATCCGTCGCCCGTAATCCGGCTGTCTCCTGTCACCGTGGACGGTCCCGATTGAAGAGATCTCCGGCTGCTCGGCTTCTTCTTCTTCTCCGGCATGACCAACTTCACTGCCGGAATCTGCCATTCAGAGTTCATCCTCGCCTGCGCCGTCCGCTGATTTCTGATGATGCACAGAAAACAGATGATGATTGTCAGAAAGATGCCAAGCACGACAGCTCCGGCCACAAATATGAGCACTCCGTACTGATCCCAGAACTGAACGGGACAGTTTTTGCCGGAATATCCACAGATGGGCGTGTCCAGCGGACGAACACCTCCCCAAAAGTGCCAGACCGCTTTTCCTTCGTCAGTGTACCCCAAATTCATTTGCTGAAATTTAAAAAGGAGATTTCGATGAGCAAAAGTTGAAATTACCGAAGAGTTATTCGCAAAGGACATGTTGATGAGTGCGATTTGATCGTATTTCGTGTCCAGGGCGTACATTTGATAGAACGGCGTTCGAACCAAATTCTGGTTGATTGAGACGCGTCCAGTCATTCCTTAAGAGTTTTTGTGTGCACTGGAACATGCTAAATATTAGTTGCTCACCTTCAAAACTTGTGATCAGTTGTGGAACGAGTTTAGTGAGATCATTGTAGACTGTAGCACTGGTGGAGTTCAATCTGCTGATTGCGAGGCCGTAAAGATAGACCACATCGAAAAGATGACGTGCGTAGGCGCCCATAGACTACAAAGAAGGCTAGTTGACTCAAAAGTTAACAATAAAGCTACAATAGCGGTGGAGTTGAGACATGCTGTTGTGTTGCAGCTCAACGGCGGTTCCTTGACTGTAGTTATCACATTTTTAGTGAGGGAAGTTAGGTAATCAGTGTCTTGAACGTCGCTGTTTATGTCTATCTGAAACAGTCAAGATGCGGTCCTTGAAACCAAATGAATTCCGAATTACCACAAGCATTTTGGCAGCTGCACTTCTGGCGATGCCTTCGTAGCCATCTGATTCATTCGAGAATGACTCCCAGAGCGGAGTCAAGCCGTTCGAAACTGTAACAACGGTGAATTTGCGAAAGATATATTAATAGCATTACAGGTAGGTTTGCCGAGATTAGTCTGAACTCCGAATCCGATGCTTCTCATCGTCAGAAGTACGTGCACGTACTCATCAGTCGTCATGTTCAATTGAGCCACTTTTATCAGGTAATCTCGTTTCTCACTTCCAGTTGTACCACAGAAAAGAATGACTGAAAGGAAACACTAAAATACAAAATGCGTCATCCGAAATCTTACTTCTTGCTCGGCTCTTTATCGACTGCAAAGTTGCCCTAGTCGCATTCGGATTAGCCAATTCCAACATTGATTTGACCACAATTTGTACCGTGTACGAGTCGGGATCGTTGAGCGAGGATTCGACGTCGTCAGCTATGGACTGACAATAGTTCAAATCATCCTTGTAGTACAGAAGAGCCACGCGATCCCAGTTGTACAGCTCCAGTATTTTAGTGGTGGCCTGCCCCAAACTGCAATATTTTATGCTTCGGAATTAAGTGAATGGGGGGGGGGAACTTACGTTTGCGAGTTCGGAAGCACTGAGGCCACATACGGATATCTGCTTTTATCGGAAAGATCCGAGTCGCTCACAAATCCCCAGCCAAGTACGGGTTTCTTGTAGATTGTGGACAGAATGCCAATTGTTTCGAGAGCTTTCGCACACGGAGGCCCGATGACCACGTCGACGTTCAGGTCTTTCATGAATCTCAGTCCCGATTTGACTGTACTTGCGAGGTCACATTCGGTGTAATCCACATAATACCTTGAATGTGTCTACATTTGTGATGGGCTTGAAGCGATGAACTCACTCAAAATCAAAGTTGGCCAGATATCCCTTTGATTTCAGATACTGGACAGCGAGAGGAACGGCTCCTCCTGAGACGGACCATCCAATTGAAGTCGTCTGAGTATTCTGAGCAGCAGCAACGCCCACGCGAATCTAGAAAAACTGAAATGGAAAAGAAAGGAACAAGTTGGGAACTGATACCGTTTGACGAGTAGATGAGGTCACTTGAGAGCTTCCGAATTGAATAAAAAAGCACAGTATGGCAGCGAAATATAATAATTTGCTCATAATCTTGAGAACTAATACATCAGAGAATGGGCAAGTCGAGAACAGAAAATAGAAGCGACGTGGGCTGACTGCCAGAAAGATTTACGACGGATTTCAATTTGAACCTTCGTTTCGAAACCATAGACGACTCCTATGGCTTCCGTTTTCTCGAAGTTTTGATGACAAAATGGACATTTACGAAATGAAACTATTTATTTACAATCAGAAAAGTCATTGAGCAGCAAGTTGTGACAGGTTACATAACTTTCAGAGTGTCCATTTTGTACTGTCGATAGATCGGAGCATCTTGATGAGCAGAAGAAGGACGGGAGCCGTGAGAGCTCACGGAACGGACTTCCGGAGCAACGAGAGCAGTCGGCGGAGTTGGCAATCGTTTGGAATTGCCAGGAGTTGGGGGTTTTTGGGATGTTTGAACTTGTTTCACATGCCAATTTTCCAGAGTAACCGGTGGAGTCGACCTGTTGCTGATGCTCATTGGATCGCATTCGCCGACCTTCCCGAGCACCCAGAACGTCTCCATCACTCCCTTTCCCTTAATTATCACTTCTCCTCTAGAGTTGGTCTCGTATTGGTGGGGATAATGGCTCGTGAGCAGAGTGTGCGCTGAGGCAGTCATATGGATGAGAGAAGACTTTCCGTTGCTCTCCATCCGGGACGCCGTGTTGACTGTGTCTCCGAACAGACAATATCGAGGCATTGAGAGACCGACAACTCCTGCTACACAGGGTCCTGAAACGAAGAGAACACGTGAGCAATCGTCATTTGTCTCTTACCACTGTTGATTCCAATTCTCAATTCAACCTGTTCTCTCGGAAGATGCGGGATCTTGAACTTCCTGCAATACTCCATGAACTGAAGAGACATGTCCACTATTTGCCTGAAATCAACATTCTCGTCTACATTCTTTCAGAAATCCCAACTTTATGTGCGCGAATCCGTTCCTTGTGGGTAGCCCGGAAACGCACAGATATCCGTCGCCGATTGACTCGACTTTGTACACCCCGTGCTGCTCGATTATCGTATCAAAGTTGCTGTACAAGTCGTTGAGCAGGTTGACAACTTGGAATGGAGAGCACTTCGAAGCGAGGATCGTGAACTTGACGACGTCCGAAAAGAAGACCGTCACTGAATCGAACCCTTCCGGCTCGACCGTCTGTCCTGCTTTCAGTCGTTCTGCTACTTGTCTGAAATAATAATGAAATTGGAAAGAAGTTTCTGCTTGATTCTCCGTACTTTGGCAGCATTCTACTCAATAGAATATCTGCCTTCTTCTTCTCCAATGTCAATTCCTTCGTTCTCTCTTCCACCTCGACTTCCAGTGTAGTCGTGTACTCCTCCAACATATTGAATACGTGATCCATCAAATTGGACTTTGTTCTGAAACCAATCTCGTTCTTTTCTCCGAATCTTCTGTAATTTTCTTTTACTTTGGAGTCAAATCTCGCAGTTGCGAACAAATCATTTCCGAAACGGGCCGATCTTCCGGTATCTCTGTCCAACAGTCCTTCACGAGAGAGATAAAAGCCGGATTGACGTCGAGAATGTCTGTGATGATGTCAGGACGCATCGGGAATTGACCGCCCTTCTTCACCATGTAAAGTATTTCTGGAAAAGTCAGATCAGAAGTTCTACGCAGACTTTCCAACCATCGTAGCTCTCTTTTCTTTCCCGCAAATTCCACGCCTCCTTTTTGGTTAGAATCTCCGAAGCGATAATAGCGAAAGAGTACACATCTGCTGAGGGGTCCATCTGTGAGGCAATCAGTGACCCTCTGATCACTTCCGGAGCCGCCCAGAGCAGTCTTTTCTTGCTCGGAGTCTCCTCTTCCTGCAGACCGTCCAGTCCGTAATCCGCCAGTTTCACTTGCCAACTGTCGTTCACAAGACACGTGGCGGACCGCAGATTCCCGTGAACTCGAAGGAAACTGTTATGCAGATAGTGCATGCCTTCTGCCACGTCACGAATGATACAGAACATGAAGAAGTAGTCCATCGAGAAGTTTCCCCGAGAGATAATGTCTTGAAGGGATCCTCTTGCGCACAGTTTCCACACCGAAATGAACACTGCGCTGTCAATTGACAAGCCGATAAACTTGTTCAGATTATCGTGCTCCAGCTTTCTCAATTTCACGAATCTCTCCATGTCGGTTTTCGATAGTTGAGCGTACTGATGTTTCGCAGTCAACACCATCTCCTTCTCGTACATATTGACTGTGTAACTTTCGCAAAACTCGCTGTCCATCGACATCCTGCTCTCTCCAGTGATCGTAGAATGTGCAGACTGAAGAGATCTCTTGCTCGATCCCGTCGATTTCTTCTTCTCCGGCTCTCTCAGTTTGACGAAAGGAATCTGCCATTCCGAGTTGATTCTCGCTTCCTCCGCTCGTCGGTTTCTTATCATGCATCCGAAACAGACAATATTTGTAGTGATGAGCAAGAGGACGACAATAGCAGACACAAATATAAGAACTCTGTAGCGATCCCAGAAGGAAACCGGACAAGATCTGCCCAGAAAACCACAGATCGGAGTGTCCAGTGGGCGAACTCCGCCCCAAAAGTGCCAGATTGTGGATTCATTTTTGTAGGCAAGAGATATTTTCTGGAATTTGTACCAGTTATGATTTCATGAACTAGATCTTCCTACCGTAGTATCGTTGATGAACGACAAGTTGAGCAGAGAAACTTGATCATAACTGGAGGTGAGACCGTAAAGTTGATAGAAGGGCATTCGGGTCAAGTTTCGGTTGATCGTGACGTCTCCGGTCATGCCTAGAAAAAAATCAATTTGAATAGGATCTCAAACTCATTAGATTGCCTTCAAAAGAAGTGACAAGCTGAGGTATCAGAATAGAAACGTCCTCATAAACCGCCGGATTTGTGGAGTTTGTGTGAGTCAGAGCAATTCCGTAAAGATAGAATACGTCGAACAGATGACGTGCGTAGGCGCCCATTCCCTGAAAAACAAGGTCAGAAGACGTGCACAATGAAGACTGACTGATGAAGCGGTGGTGTTGAGACATTCGACAGTGGAGCAGTTCATTGGCGGAGCACGCACTGCCGATGCCATATTCTTTTGTATGTATTGTAAATAATCCTTGTCTTTCACTTCGCTGTTCAAGTCAAGCTGCAATCAGAAGCTCCGCCACGTCACCATTCTCCCTCACCACAATCATTTTAGTCGCTGCTCGCTTTGCCAATGTTTCCAGACCGTCGGACACATTTGTAAATGACTCCCAAACAGGAGTGAGTCCGGAAAGAGTAACTGGAAAGGAAAAGTATGGACATGGCAAATAATGAAATGTAAACGAACAAGTGGTCTTTCCTACAAACGTCTGGACTCCATATCCGATGCTTCTCATCGATAACATGACATGGACGTATTCATCCGTATCCAGACCAAGTTGTGCCACTCGAATGAGATAATCCCGTTTTTCGTCACCAGTTTGAGCACACCACAACACAACTGCAAGTACACTTTTTAGAATGTAAGTGAGAAAATGATTCACTTCTAGCTCTACTCTTGATTGAAGTCAAAACTCCGTTTGTCGTGGCATTGTCTTTCATGCTCAGTTCCGATTTCATCACAATTTGTACTGTGAAAGCGTCGGGATCGTTGAGCGCCGACTCGACGTCGTCAATGACTCCAGAGCAGTAATTCAAATCATTCCGGTAGTAAAGAAGAGCGACTGTGTCCCAACTGAACAGCTCCAGAAGTTTCGAAGTCGCGGCGCCGAGACTTCAATGTCGTTTTTTCCAATAAGATCAAAAGTTTTTCCCAACTTACGTTTCGGATGTGGGCAAAACGGTTGCCATATAAGGAAACCGGGTGACGTCAGACAAATCCGATTGGCTCACGAATCCCCAGCCGAGCACTGGCTTCTCGTAAATGGTGGCCACTGTGCTCATGACCCGGAGCGCTTGTGCACACGGAGGGCCGATGATGACGTCCACGTTCAGATGCTTCACGAAGTTGATGGCTGCGCGGACTGTGTTGGCGAGATCGCACTCGGTGTAATCGACAAAGTATCTGCAAAGTGTTCATGAACAGATTTACGAGAAGGACTGACTCGAAAGTGAAGTTTTGCACATATCCTAACTGCTTCAATCTCTCCACTGCCAATGGAACAGCTCCGCCGCAAGACGCCCATCCGATCGAGAGTGATTGAGTCTTCTGCGCCGCCGCAATGCCCACCCGTATCTGAATGAAAGAAAGTTGAAGGGAACACTCGGAATATTGGAGGGACCGTTTGTTTTGTAGTCGTCACATTTTGAGCATAAGCGAATCCATCGAAATATGCGAGAAGAAACAAGAAAAGCCAAGCCTTTCCCATTCTGGACAATGATCGAAAGCAAATCTGATTGTGGGATATGTGAAAATCAGAAATCCGTTTTGGGAAAAAGTGGGCGAATATTTCAAAACTCGAAACCATAGACTTTCATTGAAAAAGGCTTCCTTTGCGCATGACGTGCTTCATGTTTTTATAACAATTATTAAAGAAAGTCTAAATTCATTTGTTTTCAAATCAAACACAATCCTTTCTTTCAGAACACTACTGGGCTGAAATGGAATCCAAAAAAGGATCAACGAATGACAAGATTCTTCGGCTGATACAGAGAACGAGAACGCTCCGCAAATGTGCCTTCCTCCTAAACTACAATGGTGCAGGTCTTGCCAAGTTTGGCTTTTTGCATTGCAATAACGTCAGAAGGAGGAAGAAAAGAGAGAGAGAGAGAACTTCTGATAGATCTCGCCGAGCTGAGTTCGATGGTGTCATTTTCGGGTGTGGATTCCAACTGATAAGAATAGATATGTGCATTCAAAGTTTGAATTCTTTACGATCCCCTGTCGGCTCATAGTGGTCCGATTTGAATCGTTCAACTTGGAGCAGATGTATCTCAATGAACATATCAGCCTACGGCTCGCTAGTTTTCCTGAACCGAGAGCGACATCGGAAGCTGTCATGTTGAACTCGTTCTTCAGTTGCTCTTTCGTTACCAGTGGAACAATCGACGAGAAGTCAGTGAGCCAGACTACTGAAGAGCAGAGAGGAACTCTCGCCACGCCAGACAGAAGCAGACAGAGTTTCTGACTGTAATTTCGAGTATGGCGAGACCCGTGACCGCATGCGTGCGCCTTTAACAGTTATTGCAGGTAGATCTGGCACGCTTCGTTTCATTATCATCGTTTGTGGAGGACGTTGGAGGGTGTGAGTCGAGCGGCAGGTGCAGCTGCCAGGATCGCTCCCCGTTCATTCTCGACGTCGCCAACCGATTGCGTCTCTCTTCCCCCTTTTCATAAATCTTTTCTGTTCGTTCCTATTAACCAATTTATCATTATCTTGAGTAACTACTCGTTCGGCGCGGCGGCGCGGAGGAGAGACGGAAGTAGGCCCGAGATTGTGCGTGTACAGGTTGTTGACGGACACCGAACCCGGTCAGGAGGATCCCCCGCGCGGGGAACCAGCACCTTATCCTCATTATTGTATCTTCCTTTGTATGTAACTATCCTATTTCGGAGGCACCCGCCACGAAACGTTTATCGTTTCGTAAGACAGGGTGAGGAGGTTTTTGAAGGAAGTGTCAGAAGCATAGTTCATGAATGTATTTTCAAACATCCAGATCTAGTTCAAAAAACCAAATATTAGGTTAGCCAAATGCACAACCACCAATTTACTTAAGTTTACTTCCATCTCTCTCTCTCAAATCTGCTTTCTCAGACACATTCTATTCGTCTGAAGATCTGGAGACATTTCTCACACATTCGTTTTGATTTCTTTGTGAGAAAATGGTTTTTGCGAACTTTTTGTGATATTTCGCTCCTTCTCTCCTTGATATTTTTCACCTGGAAAGAGAGCGTGAGAAAATGCACATTGCTGTTTTTTTCTGATTTCACTCTATGTTCATCTAAAGGTATCCAAAGGTTTGAGCATCAGGAAAAGTATCAAAAAAGTGTTATTCGTGCGTAGAATATAATCAACCCGGTGGGAGGGCGGCTCCGTGCACGCGCCGTTGTTTCACATTTGTGCTCTGGCCACTTGGCCACAAACCTACAATTTTCTCCCTCTCTCTCTCTCTCTCCCTCAATATTTGTTTTTCAAAAGAGATTGAGTCTCTGATTTTCAGCTCGAAGATTGCCATATACAAAAAGAGCAACTGATGGAATACAATCGATTTAGTACTAGTGGAAACTTTTCCATCCAGGAACATGTTACTCCAGGTTTGAGGAGACTTTGACGAAAGATTTGTCTTTTTTTTTTTTGCAGCAAACTTTTGGATTTACATCCTCGAACTGTTCTTTTGTTTCATCGCAATTCCAGTCAATATCATATTCGCTGTGATTCTGTTCCGTACATCAACTATTCACAGAGTGAGTTGCTCTCAGATATTATCAAATTACCGATTTGTTCAGAACCTCCGTATCCTTCTAATCAGCACTTGCACTGCTGATTCCCTTTACGCCCTCTCCAGATACCTCATTCTCATTCCACTCCTGATTGCATATCTGTACAATCAAAACATTTCAAGTAAGTTTGAGTTTTAAGTTTACCCTAACCTTTCCAAATGCCATTTCTAAGGTGTCACTTATTGCTGGCTGGCCAAATCCTTCCATCACTGGGTCCTCGCCGCCCCCGGAGTCACCTTCTTCGTGGTCATTTTGGAGAGGACCCTTGCCTCCTATCTCTACAGAAACTATGAAACCGACGATTGCTATCAGATGGGCTTCATTCTGACCGGGGTTCAATGGACGTACGCACTCATCGTAGTGGTCGCCAATCAGGTGGACATGGCCGCGAACCTTCCTAATCCCTACTCGCGACTTCCCTGTCAAACTGAGTACTCGACGAGCAGATGCATCTTTTTCTTCGTCGGTGTTGCTGTCGTTCTCAATATTATTGCAGTTTTTGTAAGTTTCCGAATCACTCTGCCCGTTGGGATAATATAATTTCAGTTGTTCTTCAAAGTGGTCAAATTCAACAGAACTCTCTTCCGTCAGAGGAGCTGGAAACTGAAGAATTTGACGGAAACTTATCAGGTTTGAAAGTTTCGACGTTTCGTTATTTTAAATTGATTTCCTGGTCAGATCTGCGAAAATGTGAAGTCGCTCAGCTTGCTGCTCCCGGTCCTAGTGGTTATGCTCATCGGAAACGTTATCACAATAATACTCGTATCCATAAACTCTTTAGTTTATCTTGCAGTGCGGGAAACTCCCGAAAAAGAGAGAATTGCCTTCATGACGCAAATAACGGGCCGAGGTTCGAGAGTGGCTTTTAGAAGGGAAGTAAACAACACGATGATTTTCAGGAAACGAGATCGCACAATCATATGACATTGCTGCGATATTATCGAAGATTGCGTTCTGCTATGCGATCAGATCCCACCCGGAACTCTATAAAAGATGGCGTTCAATGTTTTGCCGCGTGAGAATCAGCCCGAAAACGGATCGAATTGTGACGGGCGTCGACGGAACCAAGTTGACATTCACCGTCATTGTGAGTGGAGTAACCTTAAAAGCTCAAAAAAAGAGAATCAAGTCAAATCGAATCATATTTTGATTGACCATGAGCGATAAATTTGCGTAGCTTATCGAGTTTAGTTCCTCGTGAAACACAGTGAGTCATCCTCCCGAATCGTTCCTTTTGCAGGAAGAAACACAACATCATTTTGACTCTCTCGCCGAGGTTTGGAGTTGAGTGACTGACCACAATTCGGAACCACATTCCACCTGTTTTCGCTCGTTTCCTTTTTTCTTCGTTCATAAACGATTATTCATTTCCTCATGCCTTTTTATAAGAGAATAGAAGTGGTAAGCTATATTTGTAGTTTCTGTCAGATAATTAACCCTGTGCTCAGTAAAAAGTAAGAAAACCAGTGTTCCGGAACTATACATTTCTTGGTGCTTCATCATTAAACTTCCTATTTTGCTCCAGTTTTTAATCATTAAAACACTCAGTTTTGCAATTGGTTTCTTATCGGATTGCGACGTTTCATACCGAGAAAACGGCAATTTTCAGTCTGTGTACTGCCCTTTTCTTGGAAAGATTATAGCGTACTTGGCAAGGTAATCTCATTTCAGTCTCCACTTGTGCCAAAGATGACTGACCATGAGGACGGGGTGTCCAATATTCATTTCTAGTTGGACTCATTCGTATCTTTTTGTTTGTCTGCCTTGATTTTTTCTGGGGGCACAGTGGAGAGAGGAAGAAAGTTCGGCCCTCGTCTCGAGAACTGTCGGCTGCTTATTTCGCCGGCCGGCGGCACGCTCCCCAAGCCTTTTTCCGCGCACCAAAACTTCTGATGCGTGCTGTTTGAAGAAGACTGATTCATTTTTCCTAATTTTTTGGGAGTGAGTTCATTATGATTGAAACTCGCAAGCAGCAACGAGAAACTCGCAGAAATGTCTAGGAGTGCCTGCCAAAACACCTTCTTGCAAAATATGACTGCTCGTGCGTGCTTTTTGTGTCTCTTTGTTAGTTTACATCATAATGAACACGTTCCCAAAAAATCAAGTGAAATGAATCAGTATTCGTCCGACGCACGCATCTGAAGTCTCAAAACAGCCAAGGAGCGCGCGCTCTCCTTCTTCTGTGCGCCAAAACTTCAGATGCGTGCCGTCGGACGAATACTGAGAAAAATCTGAAAAACCTGTTGGCCGCAGGATCAGGGACTAGAAACCTCCGCGAGACATCATTCCTGGGAAACTCTTCCGTTCATTTCCAGGTCCAATCTCAAATGACTCGTTCCCCTTCTATTCCATTCTTCTCTCGCAATGTCCTCTTCTGAAACATCTCAATACATGCGATACTCACTCGGAAACTTCACGCCGGCCGAAATGGTCACCGACGGAAACTTTTGATCTATGCAATTGAGCTGGTGCTGCTTCTGATCGGAGTCGTTGAGAACGTTGTGCTCATCGGAGCAGTGCTTTCGACGAGTTGTTTGCACTTGGTAGCACTTTCTCACATGCTCCTCTTAATTAATGTGTTCTTTCAGAATCTCCGTATTCTCCTCTGCAACTGTTGTCTCGGCTTCATTCTGATGGCCCTCGGAAGGTCGATGATAGCAGTGCCACTGTGCATTTCTCACCTGAATAACGTGGACGTTTCAAGTTCATTTTCAATTGTCTACACTACACTGAATCATTTCTTCTGTTTCCAGGTCATGCGTGGTGCTACGTGGCAAATGCGGTGCACCACTCCTCGGCTGACTCGGTCTGTCTTTCCTTCGTATTTATCATGCTCGAAAGAACAGCTGGCACGATTTGGTCGAAGGACTACGAGAAGACGAGAATACACGTGTTCCCGTGCATTTTCGCCCTTCTCCAGGTACTTGTTTCTACTAAAAATCCTAAAAAACTTTTACGTTCAGTGGCTCATTCCGATGTCAATGATTCTGGGCAACTTCCTGGACCGTGACAACCGAATGCAAGTGTTTCTCGACTATCCGCACTTGCCATGTCAAATAGAATATCTCACTCCGACCATGTTTCTCATCACAATGGCTCTCATTTTCGCGGGATTCATAGCGAGCATAGTGGTAGGCACTCTGCACTTTATTGTCAATTGTCAGTATGATTCAGGGAATGTCCATGATTTATAGAAAAACATTAAAAAGTACACGAAACGAGAGATATGGTTCACGAATGTGAATCTGAGCGAACGGTATCAAATATCAGAGAACATCCGATCGACGCATTTCCTCTTCCCGCTTCTCACTCTCATGCTGATCTTCTCAACTTTGTCCGTTTCCGTGCTAGTCTATGGATCCTACTGGGTTGGAGTCATGACGAAGGAACCTTCTAGATTCGAAGAAGTCGTCAAATGGTTCGGAAGAGGTCAGTTTGTCAAAAGGCGCGCGCACTCAAAGATCATTACAGGCGCGGAAGCCGCTCAACTATTCGACCTAATCACCGCCGTCTACACGATCAGTTTCCCGATCTGCGCCTTCAAATGCCATCCCAATCTGTATCGACGTCTTCGGCGGGCGATCGGATGGAATAGCTACGCGATCCGGCCGTTGGGTCTCAACGAGATGTCCGGATTCGAGATGGCGACGGCTCCGATCCGCACGCAGACTGAATACCATTTCCAAGAACTGGGAAGGCTGTGGAATAGCTAATGATTGATCTCCTGCGTTTCCGATTTGTCACTAACTTTTCTCTCTTTCCTCTCTCGCCTTCTTCATTTCGCTTTCGCGTCGAATTGATGGTATTTTTAGACAGTATTACGTATTACACCCCCTCGAATCTCGTCTCCTCTCTCTCTCTTTCTCTCTCTCTCTTTCTCTTTTATCACTTCTTTGAAGTCACTTCTTCATTTCACTTGCCAGACACCGAAAATGTTGAAAACAGCCGTGGTCCTCGTGATTTTCGCGACGATCTCCGAACAGTTTTCCGATTTTCGCATTCCGATTAATACAGTGCTTTGTAGTATTCTCCAAAATGTAGGTTCTAAGTTGCACTTCAAAATGTGCATTCTCATTTTTTCAGGCGAAATGTGAATGGAAACAGGATTGGTCGAGAGCTGAAGGCGTCCGGAGGGAACTGGACGCCGGAAAACCACCAGTTCAATTCTATTATTTTTGCAACGGAAACCGGACGGAAAAGTGCGGAGTTTGGCTTGATGAGGTCAGTTCATCACTGGAGAGAGAGATCCGACTTATCCAATTTATTTATAGAACAAAGAACCGATCGCGGGGCACGTCGGCACTTCTGATCGGCTGATCGGCGACACATTCGTCATCGAAAAAATGTCGATTCAGATCCTCGGACGCTATGTGAAAATACCCGAAGAGAAGGGTGACAAGAAGTTATTAATTGAATAGAAATCTATTTCGATTTGATTGTGTGTATATAACCGTGACAACTTACTATGAACTGAATTCTTCCTTGTCTTCTCTTATTACAAATGACCTCAACAGAAGAATTGGTATAAAATGGGAACAGAGAGGAAGGAAATGTGTTTGGCGAAATGAGAATCATTCTGTTTTGTTTCCTGCTATTCCCACTATCAGCAGTTTCTGCCTCCAGCCAATTCATCTCTTCTATCCATGTAAGATCATTAAGCGAGTCAACTGGATTTCCAGGAAAATGAGACTTACAAAAGAATCGATATCTTTCCAGAGTCACTTCAAAGAAAGCTGAACAAGTCGCAGAAAGTTCAAATTTGGTTCTTTTGCGAGCGGACGAAAGACCAAAAGAAGTGTGGCTACTGGAGTGACGAAGCAAGTGTGTAAAGTAGTCTCACACCTTCAAAGATTGTTTGATTTCAGAAAGGCAACAGGATTGATGATATCGATACTGTAACAGTGTAGAATCGAGGCAATGCGGCTGTACTCCAGAACTTTCATCTGGGAGAGGACGGAGAATACAGCAGGAGACACACTTTCTGTTCGCCATTCCGATGCCTCCGAGGATTGGCCACAAATCATAACTGAATCTTCTTTCGATTCTCTGCAGAACATCAAAAAGATAAAGTCTATTACTCGCAGAACTTGTTCCCACTCTAAAAACCGCTAAACTTTGGACACCCATATCTCGAGACTCATTTAATATTTTAAAAAGTGTTCAACTGAACAGTTGTTGCAATTTTTGTGGTTAACAACTTTTTAGTTGATCATTTTATTCCGAAATCCGTCATTCTCAAGCTTTATGAGCTAGTTTCTAAACAGCAGGGAATTTTTACATTTTATTAGTTCAATACTTGGGTGGTGGTGGTGGTAGAGACTGCACATTCACGTGAACTCTTTCCAGATATGCCTGATTCGCATCCTTGTTCTCCGGAACTCGCGTGTAACTTCCGGCGTCCTTGACCGACAGCTTCGAGAGGAGGGCTCCGTCCGTGGTTCTTTTAACGCTGATGCCGGCTCCCTTGATCTTGTTGCCCTTCTGAAAGCACATAAACTTCAGAGTACAAAAGAGTGAAGGTCATCTACCTCGTCAACCCAAGATCCGCACGTCTTATTGTTCTTTCCAGTCTCGCAAAAGTAGAAGAACTGCCACTTCTGGGCTGCTTGCTCGGAATCCAAAAGTCTCTTGATGCCTTCCGAGTTTTTGGCTTCGTCAAAGCTCAGATTGTGCTCATAATCATTTCCAGCAAGAACGAGTGCCTCTTGTAGAGAAGAAGAGTGAGAATAGGAGAAAACGGCAAGAAGAAGAAGAAGAGAAGCAATGAGAGGATTCATTCTGTTTTCAAATGTCCGAATGTTTGTCAGCTACTCTTTTTATACCGGGATCAGGGTCAACCTCTGGTTGATTGGAACAAGGAAACTGTTTTGATAAGACGAGGAAGTATTCTGATGAGGAAATCGCGTAGACTTTTTGGAAAACAATAATTTATTAACAAACGATAAAGTATATATTAACAGTTTGGAAAAATATGAATTAGAATTTCAGTCATCATATAAATGAATGTCAAAGGAAAGTGCCGTACCGGTAAAAATAGAAAGGAATGCCCGCATATTATAAACTAGAGAGGGAAAATAATAACTGGAGGAGAGGACCGAACAACTCATTCCCACGGTCGGAAGAGCTTCTTCGTGCACGGAGTGTTGCTGTTCTCGTTGGGCGTCGAGGACGATTCGAGGGAAGAGGAAGAAGTGTCCGAAGAGGGAGGAGGAGAATCCAGGGAGTAGGCGGGCGACTGCTGTGACGGAGGAGTCGGGACCACCAGCGGGAAGAGCGGGAACGGGCGGAACGGGAACATCGGAGCCATCGGGAACGGAGAGATCGGCAGCTGGAGAGCCGTCGGAGGAGTGATTGACGGCAGACGGGGGAAGCCGAGCAGGGGCTTCGGGTTGTTGGAGAACTCGAGGAACTTCTCAAGGTCCGAGCATCGGACAACCAGATGCCGGTCACTCTGAAAAGGATTCATGTTTAGGGAAGGGAACCTTCTTTCATTTTTACCTTGAAGAAGGAGAATGCCGTCAGTCTTCCAGTCTTCTTTCCTTCAGCCAACGCGTGGTTGTACAGTGTCTGCTCCTGTCCACTTCGGCTCACAAAGTTGTTCTTCTTGTTCCGAATGTAACTAATTATGATATCCAGGGTATTCAGACGCTGCATCTTTTCCCTAAAATAGATTAATGTTCAATTTCAGACTGTTCAAATAGGCCATTTCTACTTACACTTGCTGAGACGTCATCAGTTTGTTGGCAATGATAAAGTGTTTGAGTGCCTCGAACGCCTCTCCCTGCCGGTCCCTTCTGTCCTGTTCTCTGTTCTTCTTCACCTCCTTCCTGTCTAGATGATGTCCGGCTTCCGAATTCGACGGCGAGGACGAAGAGGACGCTCTTTCGGTGTCGAGCCCATCTTTGCTCTTCATCCTTCCATGCGGAGAAGTCTGCGGAGTCGAGGAGACAACGAGCGACGATCTCTCCTTCTCGAAGCACTCTTTCGCTCTCTGGATAAAGTCTTGGCACACTTCTGCGTTAACTCCCAGGCTTCTGATGAACGAGTAAGTTTGTGATTCAATCTTAGCGAATCCGTCATAGAATCCTTTGCGATTGGGATTGACGGAAGGTCCGGCGACTCCGATTCCATCCGATTCACCAGTTCGACGGCTCGCATCAGAACGTCTCCCTGCCTGAAATATATCATTTCTATAAAAAAAAGGAAGAAATAAGTAAACGCACGTCATTTTCTCGTGATCAGAGTCCTGTTGAATGAGCTGCTGAAGCTCCTTGATCTTTGCGTTTATCTCGTCGCGACGTTTCTTTTCCTGAGAAGTCTTGCGGCTGGATCCGTAGACTGGCGGCGGCGTGCTCATCAGAACCATTTGATATCTGAAAACGATCAAATTCAGATGGGTAAACATAGAGGAGCGTGGAGGAGACGGAGAAGAAAGTCATAAACCATTCGGAGGGGAGCGTGGCGACTACAGTAATCCGGTCCGTTTCCACCCTTTAAGATCCTAATCTTAGTGGGTTTATTCTGTTTCTGTTTCGGTTGGCCGTTTCAAACGCTTCTCTGAATCCCAATTTCCCTAATAAATCTAACGAGTTGACGTGTTATCACAGAGCGCGCGGAACACAAGAACACACTTATCAGCATGGGAACGGTTTGATAAAGACGGGCGGGAAGTGTGTTTTATGGGAACGTGTGGCCCACGAGTGGATGGCTCTTCGGACAAGAGGTTCCCACGACTCTTGACCATCTCGGATGATAACTCTCGAGGCCGACAAACGGGACTGTTTGGGTGCTAATCTCATAATGGAAAAGGTGAGTACAAGTGAGTGGAGACGGACCGGAAATGACATGAAAGGGATGAGTAAACAGAGACGGATTAGGCCTGATTCTGCTCAGACGTTGAAAGAAGATGGTGGGCTAGTAGTCAAACAGAATCGAGAATAGAAAGTCAAACTGACGGCAGACTACGGTAGGTTGTACATTGAAAGAAGCAAGGTAATCAGTGAATTGGACGAATGAACAAACAAATGAGAGAAAAGAAAAGAGTTCTGCATGCTTGGCTAACAAATGAAAAGATGGTCCGGGACACGATTAATTCTATTACTAATTGGCGTCGGATGCGAGGGGGAGGGGGCGGGGCGAGCAGGACACGCCCCCTTCTGGTGGAAGGCGGCTGACCGCAAGGTGCCCGAACTGGCGGAAAGGTGAAGATTATCGGGGACTCTGGGACATTCACTGATATCTGATAGTTGAGTTGTCAAAAAAGAAATGAAATCTCACTGGAATTGTAGTTCTGGCCAGGCGAACTTTCGATTCATAAGTTATGACTGTGACCATCAGGATCAGATAAAAAATGACACCAACTAAACGATGTTTCGGTCTATTTTTTCAGAGAGCGTGGGAAGTGGCACCTTCTAAAGCCTACAATATCAGAGCAGTACAAACAGAAGAACAGAATGACGGCGATCTCCCGCACATCCGGTTTCCCACCCAATTTCCCACTGTGCGGCCGGCTCTCATGCACCATTTTCAGTCGCACCAGGGTGTCATTTGCACTACGTTAAGAAAACAATGCACTTCCGGAATGTGCTTTTAGAGAATGCTGATTTGTAATCAAAAAGAAACTTGAGAAATTCGAATCATGTCGAATAAGTATACCGAAGAGCAGTTAGTTTATGATGGGGATGGTAAACTGTGAGGGATACTAATCATGATCTACTTTTGGTTCACGGATGGTATACAGTGCACTCTGGCTGATTTACAGTATCATAAGTAAACCAGAAGAGCCAATCGAATGACAGCTCTATGCAAACGTACCCTTTCCCACCAAAGTTTGACACCAATTAAAGGGATCTAGATAATAGAAACTAGCACAACTATTAGTGTTTCGACAAATCAGATAGTAGTGTCATCCGGAAGGTACACATTCCCATGAGCTCATCAATTGCTGCCACTTCACTAAACGTTCCCATGTTCATTGAGCAAGGGATAAAAGAATGCCGCCGGCACGCAATTATGATATTGAAGAGGCGGAATATGGAAACGGAATGCGCGCATTGTGAGGGGATCTGAAAAAGGAAAAGTGTGTTTGCATGCGTTCTGAATAGTGCATGACCCGAGAGAAAAAGTACTGTGAAAGTCAAACAGCAATGACTGATACCGATAGGGTTACGGTACCAGGTGTTGTATGTGCGGTTTCCCACGAATAGTTCATCGCCTTCCGATTCACACCTCCGTGCGATCCTTCTGTAACAGACACCGACTTCCGATTTCCCACGCACAGATGGTTCAGGCTCACTCAGGTACGGCCGACCTCGGATGAAGCATTAAACATGTTTCTTATGTCTGTTATCCAGTAATTCTCGCTGTTTCGTCGGCGAGATCAGAGCATTCAGTGCGCGAGATCCTTTCGTCCTCGGATTTCTCTGCTTCTCCCTCTATCACCTGCTCTCTCGCCGCTTTTAGTGTCTCTATCTCTTCACACGGGGCCCTCGGGACAATGATAAATCGGTATGGGAACATTGATGACAAGTCGACCGCCGCGAGCAAATTGACGGACAACGCACGTCGTTTTATGATGTTCCGTGCGGATTGCCGCGCGGAACGAACGGTTTCTGGAATCGGAACGGAGGAAATCAGGGCATGGGAGCCACGGAAAGGGCTGGAATCTCACAGTATCATTGTTTTTGTAAGTGCCCTCCGAAGTGCAAATGTTTTGAGATGCCGTCTCGCATAACATCCGTACTTTCTGATATCCGTTATCACTAAACACACACATACACAGTATCATTTGCCAATCATTGCGTTCCTCCTGTCAATTACTGACACCCGGATGTGCCTCACAGTGATGAGCGGAGGGAAAAGGGCGCGGCGGCGTCTTTGATGTCGCAATTTTTGAGCGGCAGAAGACTATGTGATGGGAATTCGGATGGAAGCGGACTACAGAACAGCTCCGGAGGGGTTAGAAAACGCATTCTGAGAAGTTACTGTATCATCGTTATGCCTCAAAATTCAAACACGATTACACAACTTCCACTCAGTATTACGGTTGGTCGTAAATTTATCGGCTTACCCTCTAGTATACTCATTTTAGGGCGTTGTTAGCCATATAAAGTAGCACGGTGAATATGATGGATAACACGAATTTGAATTTAGAGGAACGCGCACAAAAAAGAATACGAACTCAAGTGATGCGACCAAACTGTACAGCACCAGAATTTCGGATTACTGTAGTTGGGATCTTCAAGTCGCTATCTCAGAAACAAGGTCATGTCATTAAAGTGCAACAACCCGTACTTATCCGTATGTATGTTTTCCCAGCATCCTCATCATACGCTCCTTTCCGTCAGTTTTTTAGTCGCATTTCCCTTTCCACCAAGTGACCGACCAGGTGAAAACTCTCATTAATTATGCACACATCATTTGTCGAAGGTGGTTACGCGCGGCGCGGGCGCCATCAAAAGACGTCCGGGGCAGTGGCAGAAATGTGGGTCGCCATTATCCATAAAAAAACGGCTGCGCTTCCACCATGAGCTCTTTGTCGGCAGGCACACGTGCGTTGCCGACACTGAACAAGCTTATGGGATGACATATCCACCAATTGGCCCGTACTTTGGTACTAATTGCTGGATGACGAATGGCCCGGACCCCGGTGGTCGAAAATATCAAAAAGTTTGCTAGGGGACAAAATTTTTAACGCAGACAGCAGGATTCGAACCTACGCGGGCAGAGCCCAATTGATTTCGAGTCAATCTCCTTAACCACTCGGACATGTCTGCACGAAAATAGGAGCCTTTCGTTGTGTTTATGTGGTAGACTAAGCGAGACGGAGACACGGCATGAGCGGGAAAAAGAGGGGCGCCGGCACATGCCATGTCAGCGGGAGGGTGGCAAACTTCGAGGAGAAAATGAAGGTGCACAACTAAAAAAGAGAGAGAGAAAAGCACGAAGCACGGGCGAGGAGACAATGAAATATCGGAGAAAAGAACGATTTCTTGAACGAATAAAATATTATTGCCCCGTTCGAAGCAGTACTATCAAATAGTTTTCTCTCCTTCGGCGAGACGTGAAATAGTCTTCAAATAGTGTCGTGCGCCTTTAAGGTACGGTAGCTTCTTCGGCCGCGTTCCGCCGCGCCTAATTTCGATTTGAAAACAAAAACGATATTCCGAGTAAAAATTTTGAAAGATGATTTACTTTTTCCAAGTTTTTTCGAAACGTATAAGTTATAACCTGGGCCGAACCGATTTTTGACAAGTCTGGTGTTTTGCCATCAATCTTGATGTCCGCCGAAACGGTATTGTCACTTCCGACGGCTTGTCGTTCTGGTCACTCACAAATGACACGGTTAATGAGAGGATCGGGAAGGAGGCAACCGTGTCTTCTTCTTTTTATCATCGGAAGGTCGATTCTCACTTGGAGATAGGCGGCGGCGGCGAAAGACGACCGACTGGTTACTGGTAATAAGCGCGTCGGAAGGGAAAAGGAAGGACTTCCGTTGATTACAGATTATTGAACGGAGGGGAACGAGTGTGGAGGCGGATGGATCGAAGAGACTTTCAAGATGTCCGAAGCACTACCAGATTAGAGCCGTATTAGAAGGTGTTAACAAGTCTGTTCAAGAGTTTGCACGGATTTGTTCATGGAGTTTTGAGCAGGAATGGCAGGAAGCAAAGTAAATCCTTTCATTCAGAACTCGTTTCCGCCCAACCCACGCTGATCCATCGCAAGAAAAACATGGGGTATCGTTCATCTCTGAACAGATTTATTATATCAGAGCAATAAAGTTTGCGCCCTCCACACCCATTCGCTTCTCCCGATCACCAGTTACGCCATCCGACCCCGGCAGCACCAATCTGTACGTGGCCGGCAGAAGAAGTGGTAATTATTTTAGGTGGTTCTCAGATAGTTATCTCGTTCAACACATCAGCGGCGAGATAGCAACATTTGCAAGGGGGAGAAGAAGACGGAGAACACCTTCGTGCGCCCCTCTCTCATAAAGATCCTATCCCCGGATGTGGCCGAATACTGTAGTAACGGAATCAGAAGGAGACGGCGGCAATTGGAGCGGGAATGAAGAGAAGCCGAAGAGGGAACCTGAAGAGAAGAAGAAGAAGAAGAAGAAGAAGTTGCCATGGGGGTGAGTAAGATTTATGTTCGGAAAGTATGGAGAAGACGTTTACGTGCTAGCAAAGACATAAACCATTGGATGACACAGACACTTAGGCTACACAAACTGGAGGATTTATGTATGAATTATAATTCAGGAAGTGCATTCCCATCGCCAGAAGGTGTGATTTCGGAAGGATCCTTTCGCTACCACCTCTCACTTTGGTGTTCTTTCCAGTTGTCCTGTCATTTTCCCACGACCTTTCACAGTATCTGTTTCCCCGAATTCTCAGTTTCACCAAGGTGTGAGGTGGCGAACGTCTTCCGGTTATCCATCACTTACATATCCATCACCACTTCCGAGGGAACCTCGTCTCTTTTGATTCAAAATCACGTGTCTACCGTACTTCGCTCGTAAAGCGTGTCTCCTCTTCCGCCCTTTTTCGCAACATCTCTACAAATTGGCGATCAAATCTTGAGTGCGTACGCCTTCTGATTCGCCTCCGCACGCACGAACACACCATAAATCTGAACGTGTGTCCTCCCTTTGAAACGCCGCCGATGCGCTCGCGCCGCGCTCATAAATTTGAGCGATACGCCAACGTTTTTATAGACAGCGGGAGGAGGCAAAGACACCTTTTCGGGGTTTGCTGACTAACGACCTCTATATGTTGCCAAATGAGGGACTGTGTTGAGGGGCAGGGAATGTTCGAGTTTATTATTATATGCAATTCATTGAAAAATAGGCAAAATCTACAAAAATATGTGTCATTGTCAGTTCAGCAAATCACCTTCTGAATACACGAATCACGGAGACATTGGAGTGCAGCATCGGAGAACTTGGGACGGCCTGAGTAGTCGGCGTAGGAGATCCATTCGAGTTCCGGACAGAACTGGGCCAGTGTGTAGATGGACTTGTCTGTGCACGCGGTGCCACGGATACGGACTTCTCGGAGCGGACAGCGTCTGAATGCACACGTCTACAACTACAGTATCGCTTGCACAACTCACTTCGCTAGCACAGCCAATCCCTTGTCACTGATCAGTCGGCAGCCGTTGATGTTCAAGCATCTCAACTGCCGACAGTTTCCGCCCAGCAAACAGAGGAATCTGTCGTCGACGGAGGACATGTGAGAGGTTTCCAGGTCTGTCAGATTACGGGCTCCACGAGCAATCGCGAACAGCACTCGGTAGGTCATTCTCATCCGACAGATCTTGAGACATTTCAACTTGGAAGCACTGGATTTAGAGCCGCCCGCAAAGTATTTCTGGAGAATGTTCGTGTTAAGATGATTGACCTCCAGCGAGAGATGCGTGAGATTTGGAAGGCATTCGGTGACCAGATGGAGGGCTTCATCGAAAAGACGGGGCACTGATATCTGCAGTTTGATGATCTTCGGGCCGAGACGAGGGATTATCGCACAGATCAGCGAGTTCGCATTGTCCACCGCTTGCTGAAATTGAATCTGTTTCGTCTTGAACCGTGTAGTTCCTTTCTTACAATGTTCGCTTCTCTGATGGAGACAATCAGATTGATGCTGCTCAAATGAGGCTGATCCATGAGAGTGGAGAGCAGTTGTTGCGAGTCCTCATCTCCAGAAACGGACAATCTGATCGACTGGACAGTCAGAGGAAGTTCAGGGAACAGAGAAAAATAGTTTCCGTACAAATCCAACGTTTTCAGATTCCCCCCGTCAATCACAAATCTCTCGGTGTTTTCGACGTCCTCCAGGTTCTGAATGTTCTCTGATAAAGGAAAGGGCCGGAGTGTCAAATGACAGACCTCGTGGAAGAAGCGGGCAAGGGACAGCTGCGAGAGGTTCGCACACTGGGAGGACAAGTAGTGCATGGCAGCAGCGGGGTCCGTGAGGGAGGTCGGAAAGTCTAGTTCGAGCACCTGAAAGAGGTTACGGTGAGCGGAAGAGCGAGAAGAAGTGCTGTGTACATGAAGACGGTCTCCGACGTAGTGAGCAATGTCATAGAGCACTTGGTCATCGAGGGATCTGCAGTGGTTCAAGTACAGACATCCGATTGTAGGATTCTTAGTGAGCAGGGTACGGATTCCACGGCTTGTGATCTGAAGTTTTATCATCATCATTACTCTTATCATTCTTATTTAATAAAAAGCTAGCTCCAAATCTTTCTTTCTTTGTCCGGTCACTTTATATATCTAAAGTTGCAATTGGTTACCTTTCCGCATCCGGAGAGATCGACAGAGTACAAGAAGGGACTGTAGACGCTGTCGAGACACTCGTCGGTCAACTGATGCATGGCCCTCAATTCGAGTTGTCTCAGCAGAATCTGTCCCGTGGTCACGGCCTGCGCGCCGGAATCACTGACGTTCGGACAGTCGACCAACGTGATCTTCTCCACGTATTTATTGTTGTTCGTCAGTTGATGGAGCATGTCGTCGGTGAGTTCTGTGGACAGATAGAACGTCAGCGACGGAATATTGCAGCCAAAGTACTTGGAGCAAACGAGGCTGGAGCAGTCAGAAGCGGAGAGCTGAAAGGCAAACAGTCAGGTTCATTTGTGATTTATCTCTGATCTTTGTCGGTGTGTGGGGGATAATCAGTGAGCCAGACAGGCAAACAAAGCAAAAATGATGTGAGAACAACTTTGGGGTAAAGGTTTTCCCACTTGTCTGGATGGTTGGAGGTCAGAAAGTCAAAAAGTCAAAACTCGAAAAGTTGTGACTCACCTGGTCATGACTGCAGAAGAATTCGAGAAGTTTCTGCCGACATTCGACTGGAATGAAGCTGAGCTCACTGTTTAGTTCATGTTGGCAGACTGCCGAAAGACACAGATTCAAAAGTGACTTCACCATTTCCCTTCACTGATTCATTTTATTCGCTGAAAATGAAAAATAAGAGGAAACTGTCTGTGAGGAAAGAAGGAAAAACAAACTTTGAGGTCGCAAAAAAGTTGGTTGGGCGGGACAATGGAGAGCTGGGAGCGGGCGGAAAGAGTGCCGACGCGGAGAGACACAGACGGACGGACGCAGGAGATTACATTCCCGAGAGCTCCCGAGCAGCAGATGCACACGGGATAAGCAGAGAGCACGGGGGATGAGGAGCGGGCCGGTGAGCCGAAGGACGTGACGGTGTTTTGAAGTATCTGGCGGGTTAGGAGGGACAGAGAGAGAGGAGAGACGGATATTCGAGTTTCGGATGGGACTCGATGGAGCAAAGGTTGGAAATGTGGAGCAGCTGGCGGACGCATTGAGGATGTTGATGGGATTCTGGACTTTGGAGGAGCAGAAGAACAGAGTGCCCAACATCAAGACCCGGATCTTATGGCCAAGGATGGACAGAGGCTTTTTTGAGATCTGGTTGCAGGGTCCAAGTCTTAGAACAACCCACTGAGGCCAACTTTTGATCCACATTTCTCCAGATCTTAGGTCGAGATCCTCCAGCACTTCGGTGTCCTCGTGAGATGCTCCATCGAAAACAAATCGCCCGTCCATCCATTCCCTCAATTTGTTTTTGTTTTTGTTGTCCACTTTTTCGTGCTCTCCCGCTTATTTACCTCCACCACTTTTCAATCCACTTCACAGGAATAGATTTTCCGATTTTTCTTCGAATGGATGCGAAATGATTCTGGGGAATGCACATGTGCCTCTTCCACATGTTGAACTAGGTTTTAAAGAAAACACGCGTTTTCGTCTCCGATCAAGGACCATATTTCTTTCGAATTTCTTGAAACTCACAACCTGAAAAGTTTAATCAGTAGACTCGTACTCTACAGTCCTAGGCGAGTAGCCCCTCTCCTCCCGCTCTTTCGAATTCAACAATACGATTCATTCGCCTCCCGGACTGTTTCATTCGCTCCTCCCTTCTCTTTCTCTTTTGCTGCTTCAATTCGCAATCGCATTTGCCTGATCAAACAAAGCCAGTCGACGGAAAAACGAGAGGGCACTCCGATCGGAGAGACGCAGATCGCCCGTGCAAACTCTCGATTTCGATGCAAATTTCGCCCTCGCGCGGCTTCGCATTGTTCACGGACGAACGAGTATTATGCTTCCCGCAGTCTGTGAGACCACTCACTTTATTATTATTATTAATCTCCCGTTTCTTTCTGATATATCTTATTAGTTGGAAAGAGAGCAGTTTGTATCCTTACCCAATCTACTAGATTGAAAATACAACTTTATGTATTCAAATGGCCTAGGGCTTACATTAGCGGTTACCTGCATGGTCCCCGGAGAACAGAAATGTGTAAACCCTTTACGATCGCAACATCGCATGAGAGAGAAAAGCTATAAATCCGGTGTCGTGCCTTGCTGCCAACCCGTTTGCACTCATTCCCCTCTCTCTCTCTCTCTCTCTTTCACCTCCGATCCAGATTCAGCTTCACGAAATTCATCGTCGGCGGCGGCGACGGCGGGGGGCAATTCCAATTTGTCTCTCCTCAAGCCCTCTTCGTTTCATTTTGAATGTGTATAATGAGAGGCAGCTTTTCCCCGTCCCCGTTTCTCTGCGCTCTCTCACAAACACACCCAACAATTTTTGCACGATTTTGTGTGAGTTGCGCAACACTCTCTCCCCTCCAGACACTACTACAACGGGCGTCTCAGCTGACCGCTTCTCTGCGTCTCTTCGTCCCGCCCGCTCTCTCGTCTTTCCGCCGCCGGCTCCAGACAGACACATGCGGACGACGGACGACGGCGGCAAGCCCCCCTCCCCTGCCCGCCGCCCCAAACTTTTATTTAGTATAGTCGAGCCTTGTTTTCTCTCTCTCTCTCTCACACGTTTTTTTTTTACCTTTTCATAAGTATCCATCTTATACTCTGCCTTTCAGATGTGATTTTTCCGTCTTGAACTTGGAGTGATTCACTTCGGACAACACTTCATGCAGCCGTTGGAAGTGCATTCTGACAGCTGACTTCGGCCGAGTTCATCAGCCATCCGGCAACCAGAGGTGGATCCATTCGAACAAAGAGTATTCATCTGCGAGTGAAGAAGAAGAGCCGAAAAGCCGGAAGCCCAGTGATGAGATTTCGAGCGCATTAATCAACTATTTAGTCGACAAAAATCACAAAAACATTCAAAAACTTTGTTTTGGCGATTTTGAGGTGAGAATAACAGAACTTCCAAAGAAAGTAAATAATCTAAGACACTTTCAGGTAATCACCGTCGTCATTCTCCGCGAGTGCCCCCGGTGACCGATGTACAGCCCCCGCCCTTCCCCCGATCCGTTCCCTCTCTCGTATGTCCCTTCCTTTCCCCCGTCCTTCTCCAGTATCTCCCGGTCCTTCCGTCGTCTCGACATGTCCATCCGCATGTTCAACTGCCCGTCCCAATGAAGTCTTTCAGTGCTCGGCGCTTCGGTTCCAGCACATTCTTCACTCCATTTCCCAGTGTCATCTCCCTCGAAACTTTCTTTTCCTTCTTCTTTTTCTTCTGTGCTCACTCGGCTTCTTCTCTTCGTAATCTTTTGTTTTCTTTGAGTTCCCATGGCCGTCCACTCTCCAGTTGCTTCGATGATTCATCGACTTCAACTGAGTCATTGTCTCAATTCCCTCCATCGTCTTTTGTAGCTTCGTCGTCCTGCTCTCCAATTGTACAATAGCCCCCACAAGTCTTTCAGATTACATAGACCGCCAACAAAAATCAAATTCCACTCTTTTTCGCCTTTTGATTACTTTTTTCGGAAATAAATCGCTTTGTACAACTTTTTTCTTTATTTTTTTTCAAAATGTGTTCTTAAGAAACAGTACAGATGGCTGAAAACTTACTGGAAAAATGATGGCCGAATGGCCCGAAACAGAAACGCGACCGCGGCCACGGAGCCGTTTTCGGCACTATTTGCGGTGTGACGCCACGTTTTTCTCTTATTAGTCTCGCATCAATAAATTTGTAGTTTTCGACTGCAGATTTCCAATTTTTCAGTAGAAAATGTGGAAAACACGGCTCAAAAATCAAAGTCCACCAGTCATTGCGAAAGAAAAAGAGGAGTTCGCGTGCATAAACTGCCAAGAAATCTCGACGTCGCTGTACAGAAAATACGCGGAAGGAGTCATTCGATTGACGGAATGTGTATGTTTTGTCAGCACTTTTACTGCACACTTATAATAAAAGTGAATAGTGAATTGAAAGAACAAAATGAGAAGTCAATGCATCAAATTTCAGGACAAATGCGGCGAAGTGGTTGACAAGTACATCGAATACGACGTAGTGCTTGTCGTCATCGATCTGATGCTGCAGTATGTGCAAGCCTACCGTCATCTCCTTCTGAACGTCCGCATCCAGCGGCCTGAAAGGTTGTTCGTCATCTTCTGGCTGAGTCACGCCGCCGAAGTGTGGATTCGCGAGAGGAGCAGCGAGGACTCGACTGTTTTGGCCGAGCAAGAGTGGATGTGAGTTGAAATGTCATCAGACTGAAATAAATAGATTACATTTTACAGATTCTATCGATGTCTGCTGCTTTCGGCCCTTGAAATTTACTCATTTGTTACCATTATCTTCATCTACGCCTTCTGGAAAGGAAAACGGTCGGGATTTCGGCACCTCGTCGGATCCACGCTGCTCGGATATTACGGTAAGAAGAAGCGCCGTTTTACATTAGTCAGTACAATTATAGGAACGTGGCGGTAGTCATCTCGTTCGTTTTCTGTCTCTCGCATAGGATATCCTACCAGATAGTCATGCAAATCTTTCTACTGGCTTCCCATTATCAAGTGCAACGAGGTAAGTCTCTATCTTAATTTGCTTTTCTTCTCATTTCTTTCAGTTCTGTTCCCGAAGGTTTCCTCCACGGACAACATCTTCGTAGTCTTGATCGCAAAAACATTCTCCACCTACGCGGGATCCTATCTTACTTCTCTCATTTTAGAATAGATGTATTTAAAAATGAAAATGCATGTTCAAGCCTACCATCCGCTTTCATTTTCTCTCAAATTTAATCGAAACGATCGAACTTCATGTTCGAAACGCGTGACCATTCCAATCCAAATTTCTGAAGAATTAGACAATTTTCGCTATTTCTACAATTGAAACACCAATACGGAAACGAATTTCGATTAAACATGGCGACGAAGGAAAAGTGAGGGAAATTCTAAAAAATCTGGAAGCAATGAATCGTGCATTCAGAGTTCCCGTTGACGATCTGAATCTTCCGTACTTCCACGGAGCTCTGATGAATATCGATGCGGATCAGCTACTCGTGGTACTTACCTTCGAGCCGCCTGAATTTCTGAATATTTCACATTTTCCAACAGAACGATGGAGATTTCATGGTGACAATGAAGATGCAGGCGGACATCAACAAACTCGTTAGTGCAGGGTGGCTTCTTTACGCTTTCAGACGTTTCTTTCAGCGATTCTTTTGGCAGTCCGTCTCAAAAAGGGCATTCGTCGGTACGAGATTAAGAGAACTTTGAAATCGGCAAAACTTGGCGTTCGTTTGAGCTCGAGCGACATTTTCTTGGAAGAATCTTTTGCAGTCGTTGTCTGCCGTAAACATTGGGAAACTGATAGATTTGGTCAAAACAGAACCGTTCGAAATAAAGGGCGAAAAGGTGGTTCTGAAAAGAGCGATTCCGAAGGGAAAGTTCCAACTGATGCACAGGGACGTCGTGTTCAAGAAGAAGATCGGCGCGGGAGCCTACGGAACGGTTTACCGAGGCAGATTGCTCAAAACGAACGAGGTGATCGCGGTGAAAAAGTTGGATTCGGAAGGAACGGACGAGGAGGGACTCGCCGAAATGATGAAAGAAGCGAGGGTGATGCAGTTGTACGACCACCCGAACATTGTCAAGTAAGCGAGAGAAAGAGGGAATGGATGGGAAGGGAACTCGCAGATTCCACGGATTCATTCTCGACGACCTGCCCTACCTTCTTGTGCTCGAGTTCTGCAACATGGGCGCCGTGGAAGACAGGCTCCGCGAGAGAGGAGAGCAGCTTTCGGTGAACTCGCGAGTCAGCTACACCTACATGGCATCGTGTGGAATCGATTACCTGCACAAGAAGAAGTTTCTTTTCCGTGCCGTGCTTCTCTAACACGTCGTTCTGCAGCTGCATCCATCGTGATATTGCCTCCCGGAACTGCCTCATCCACAGAGGAATCGTCAAAATTGCCGATTTCGGAATGTGTCGTGCTCAGGCCGTCTACAAAATGGATCTTTCGAAGCCTTGCAACGTGCGCTGGCTGGCTCCGGAGGTGTGGGACAATGGGGAAACTCGCTTTAACACTGACATCTACGCCTTCGGAATAATGATGTGGGAGTTCTTCGAGACGCCATTCAGAACTCCGTACTGCGAGTGGAAGGCGGCCCAAGTCAAGGTCCGTGAGACATTTCGCGTTCGATGACATTCGAACAAGCATTACAGCGAAAAACTCGTGAGGGCTACAGAATGCCGCCACCTGCCACAATGCCGGAGCCGATCGCTGAAATCATGAAAGAATGCTGTTCTCACGAACCGGATAAGCGCCCAACGGCGGAAAAACTTAAGGAGAAGCTGGAAGAAGTGAGCAAGAAGTATGAAGTGGCCTGCCCCAGTGTAGCGATAACGACTCGCACCGAACCGACCAAATCGATCGTTACCTAATAAACGATTAGTTACATTGCTAAATGTATCAAAATTACAACCAAGCAGTAAGTTTAAAGTAGTGTAAAAGGTTATATAAATAGGGGATAGTGCAAACCGAATGAGACGAATTATTCGTAGAAGGCGAGCCATTCCTCCCAGAGCGTTTCCGGATCCTCTCCTTTCTCCTGAACCTCCGTACGGGCGTCTTGCACAACGACATCTCCGTTTGGCTTCACAATGCGCATCGATGGAATCGTCTTGACCTCATATTGCTTCAACAACTCCCTGGAAACACCCATTGTTTACTGGAAAGTATAAGATGAAACATACTGAATCTTTTCGTTTCCGAACGGAATGTAAGTCCAGTTACCCATATGCTCAGTGAAATACTCGACAAGATCTTCATCAGCGCGATCACGTGACACGAAGACGATTTCAAATTCCGGATGCGTCTTCTGGATCGCCTCGAAGAACCGCTTCAGTTGTGGAGTGAACTTACGGCACGGCGGGCACCAACCGGCCGAGAAATACAGTGCGACGACCTGAAATTGTTTTTATTGTGAGAAACATTGTTTTTAACTCACTTTTCCTTTCAAATACTCTCCCGCATCGAGCTCGACGCCGTCACGGTTTTTCAAAGTGATTCCGGCGAGCAATTCGGCCATTTCTGAAAGAAAGACGCATTGAGTATCTGAGAAAGAAGCTGAACATTGAGAATAATAAGAGAGTGAAAAGCGATGTCAGAACTCTTGAAAAAACCGGAAAATTCCGGAAAAGATCAAAAATAGAAGAGGGCAGTTAAGTAACCCGTTTTGAATTTGAACACTCAATTTTCGCGCCTTCCCGCGCAGCCGACTGTTCGATAGAGCGCACTTGGTCGCCGCGCCTGTATGACCAATTTCGGTCCTTCATTTTCACAGGAAAGTCAAAATAGTTCATGAAAAAGTTGTCATAAATAATTGAAAACAAAAAAGAACCAATTATTTATCGTTTCGCTCTGTCATTCGTGCTGGAAAGTGAGTTCCAAACGCTGAAAATGGCGTCATCGTAGTTCTTGGCTCCGTCCCTTCCGGTCGCTTTCATCTGCACGTTTCCCCTGATTTCTCCCATCTTCTTCGACTGAATCCTCTTGTACAAATAAACGGCGACGAATCCGATGGTGAAATTGTAGGTGGCAATCATCTGAAACCCATTTAAATGAACGCGTTCTTGCCCGTATTCTCTCACTGAAATGGTGGCTCCCCGGACGGCCGTCAGAGTGATTGAGTCCGTGAAAATGTAGGATCCGTGGTAGCGGACAAGAATAACGGTGACAACGTAGCACCCGAAGAAGAGAATGTGCACAAAGATGACGGTGACGGCGAACTTGGTGGAGAGATAGACCTCTTCGAGTTGGTAACGGACGGCCAGGGAGGAGTTGTTTCTAGATCTGTCAGGTTCGTTTTCCGAACTCTCCACAGATTGACTCACAGTTTTTTGAGTCTCCGGTTCCCACGGAGCAACAGAATGTTGATGCAGAAGTTGAAAATGTTGAGGAAGAACAAGACCCAGTAGAAGGAGAACATCTGAAGAGACGAAAATTTGAAACGGCACGATAGTATGATTCTCACTCGTAGGGCTGATGTGTTCGGAATGAAAGCAAAGGAAACTGAGCCGTCGTCGAATGCCTCGTCTTTGTAGATAAATGCTATTATACAACAGTCAACAATCACCTGAATACATGTCAAGAACAGAAGCCGACGCTACCGTAGCCTACCGTAATCACTGTGAGAAGTGGTCCGAGCAGGACGCGTGTCCGTTCGTAGTGCTCAGCCGACATTGTCGCATAGAATCTCTCGATTGAGATGGCGAAAGGGAAAAACATTGGAATGGTCATGAGTGTGAGCGCTGCGATGTGTCCGTACTTGAAGAGAACTCTGTCGATGATAAGATCGCATTTGTCGACTGCGAAGAACGGAATTATTGAATGGTAAGACTGGAAGTTTAGACCGAAAGCTGAGAGGCTGAGAGAATTGAGAGTTTACCGAAATCCATCCATAGTAGAATGTAAAAATGAGCACAGAGCCAAAGTATCCAGTCATGACCCACTGAATAGAAATAAAGTAGGAACACAAAAACACAGATTACCTTGAGGTTTCCATGAAATGTGGATGAAATCATCTTCCAGAAAATGAAGTAAGTCAACGGAGCGACCGCAGTCATCAGAATGAAAAGCGCGTAGAACTGAGCAGAACGGTACAGAGGGTGGAATGTCAGTTCGAAGGCCTGAACGGATCGTTTTACGAAACAGTCCCCAATGGCCACTTACCGTCGCGCATACGGGCCAGGAATCGTTCATTTTCTTCTTGAAAATCGGTTGAAACGAAGGAAAGAACTCGGGTTTCTGGCAGATTAATAGTGATTGGGGCCGTCGGTTCCCATAAATTATGTGCAATTTCACCGCTCCAATTAAACTCTTTGTGGTTTTTTGGTGGGAACGAAACACCGGGGAATGATCAAAAAACGGAATGAAGTTCAATTTCAGAGAGCACTGCGATGAGGATGTGTAGTTTTCTTTTGAAATAAGAAGTAGGTTGGAAAGAAGAAGTCAAAACACAGGAGATGAGCTCGGCTCCAATTATCACACTTCAGTGATCAGACCGAAAACGACTAGGTCAAACTGCACGCAGACAGATACGCTTCAGATGATTCGGAAGGAAAATGGGTTCTTTGTGGAATGGGAATTGATGCCCAACTGTTGGTTCCCAATTCTTTCCGATGAGTGCCTCTGATTGCAGGATTGTTTCCACTCGGCGGAAAAACAAGAATAATGCACTTTATCCAATTCAATGTCATGATATCTACATGCAAATGTTAAACCCTCTTCACTCCCCTCGCATTCCAAACGCTCTTTATCGCATCCTCGTGGTTCTGTGCCCCTTTCTGGCCGCAATACTCCATCGCCACTTCCGCGCACACTTTCGCCACTTTCTGCTTCTGTAGATGGTTCAGAATGTTGCACGAGACCCATCCGATAAAGAGATTGTAGGTGGGAATCGTCTGAATATAAGAGATCTCCAACAGCTCTCTCTCTCTCTCTCCATTTCCGTAAAGACTCACAATATAGATGCCTCGCATGGCTAACAGATCGGCGTCGGTCTCGAAAAAGCTGGGACCGAGAAGGCGGATACAGAGGGTGAAAATCAAGTAGAGCATAAAAAAGAAGACGTGTAGGAACGAGATGTACGTGGAGAATTTCGTCGTGACGACGTTTTCTTCCATTTGGAAACGGGTCGACAACGTTTCTCTCCATCTGGAAGTATTTCGTTTGAAGTGGAGGGAGCTGTTGTCATACCTGTTTTTGAGTTTGGTACTGATCTTTACCAAGTAATAGTTAAAGAGCAAATTCAGAAAATTGATGACTAAAAGTGAGTAGCAGAGGGTATTCATCTGCAAAAACATCTGTCACTTTGTGCCCGTGTGCTCTCTGCACTCACGCCTTGGCCGGAAGAATCTGGAAGCAGGAAGTAGGACATCATCGGTTTGTCGAACCGTTCATTTCGGAACAGGAAGTAGACGATTGCAATGTCGGCGGCGATCTGAAAAAGAGAATGAGCGGGGAAGGGTAATAAATAATGAAATATGCTGACCGCAATGCAGCCAATCACAATTCCGATGTGTAGTTTGACGTGCTCGTAGCAACGGGCCATGATCAGAGCGAGAAGACGTTCGGCCGAAATGCCGAGGATTGTGAGCATCGGGCACGACATCCCGAACACTCCGATGTACTGGAAGATCCTCAGTTTCCCGGGGTCGACCATTACATCGCATTTGTAGGTGGCAAGGAAGGGAATGACCACGTGGTGAGCCTGAGGAGGATGTGCTCGGTGTCTTACAGTCTTGAACATCACTCACGAATACGACTACACTGTTGATGGCGGAAATCATGATTTGAATGAAATAGAGCATGTAGAGGAACTGAAATGTTTGGGCTGAAGTTTACGTAGTTTAGGTTGGTTAAGGTACCTTGATATTTTCATTGAAAGTTGTCCGCGGAAATTTGAAAAAGATGAGATGATAGAGTGGGAAAATTGCAACGAAAGAGACGAGAAGTGTGTAAACTTGGCTGAGACGGTACAGAAGATCGAAGGAGACAAGGTAAACCTCGAAAGTGCAAATACATTTTATTCAAGACGGTACATCTCAGTTGTCAGTAGAGATATCAAAACGTTTTCAATTGATGAATTACTTAAAAAAACATTTTACACATTTTATCAGTTGACAACTTTTTGATATCTCTAGCGAAGACTGAGATATATTGTCTTTTCGTCGCTCGACGAATACCTGTTCACAATCCATAGCTTTTTCCAGAAAAAAAAGAAGTGGAAGTAATGCGGTCTGGCGAGTAAGCGACGCCTATAAAAAATGAGAAAAAATGAGCTCAAGGTCTGACTGGGTGGGAAAAACGAGAATGATTTCCCAGGAATTCAATGTTGTTTTCTACTTGTTCGGATCCATAGAATCAATTAAAAAGAGATCGGAACGAGGAAAAGTGCAACAGGAAGTGCAAGAAGCCAGATGATAAATGTACTTTATTGTAGGGAACATTGAGAAGGAGGAGAAGGAAAACAAACAAATAAATAAATGAATAAAGGCTACACATGTATGTTCTGATTGGTTTCGTGGAAGGATTGTTCACCTGCGACTGACGGTGAATTCTAAATTATATGATAACTCGTATTCTTTGCTAACTCTCTAGCTGCCGGAAAACTTATAAATACACACGTATTTGGGGGGTTCACATATACACAAATTTGCAGGTTTTCAGGAAAGGAAACGATTCGGACATGCTAGATGACTTGCGCTCAACGCACGCACACGTTATAACCACATTGAGTGGGACAACAGAGGGACGGCGCCCTTTGGATGCTCTCCAGCACGGCGGCGTCGTTGAAGAAGAAGAGGTTTTGGCGCGGAGCAAGGTGCGGAGCACACTCGGAATCCATGTGGCACCAGTTGACGTGGCGGCGACGGAAGGAGCAATGGGCGACCAGAGTGTCCGGAGCAGGACATTCGGTGATCACTCTGCAAAAGGGCAGAGTAGAGTTCACGGGCTACGGTAGAGTTTTCACTTTTCAACTCCGCAACAGTATCCAGTGACATCTATGCAGAGCTGTCCCGATGAGCATTGGTTTGATTGCTGGCAGTTCGTGTTGGCGGAACGACACTCACCTGAACGTCAAGAAGTTGTATCTCAGCTGCCAATGAAGATATCAAAAAGTTGCCAATTGATAAAATGTACACAATGCGTCCATGAGCAATTTATCACTCAACAACTTTTTAAAATCTCTATCGACTGCTGAGATATACCGTTTTGAATGATAGGTACAGGTGTTCGTATTAGAGCGTAATGGACATGATTACACTTGCTGGCTGCGCAACTCACTTCTTAGCCAGAATTCACTTACCAAATTGGTTTTCGCTGTTGAAAACGATCGAATTCGTCTGGACGTACGAGGGCACCGGTCTGGCCGGACTCCACGGAATACTCGACACTTGGGGAGCCACTCGCACTCGATGGTCGTGCGCTGAACTGGTTTTCACTTGTACAGTCAGAATTCTCACTCACCTTTATGCTTGGCAAACCTGAGACGATAGACTCCGTTGCACTCTGGTCGGTACTGGTCCTTATTCAGGTATCTCCAGTAGAGACACCAGTCGATGTGAGGGGTCGGTGCCAAACAGACAACGACTTCGAGGATCAGCAACAGAGAGCAGAAGGTTCGCATGTCTGGAAGGGAAGAGAAGTGAGAGGAAGAGGGGAAGAGAATGCAAAACGAATTGACAATATAAAAGACCGAATGGCACTGTTTATTTGCACTAATCGAGGAAGAAGACAGCGGCCAATTGTTTCTTTATTGCCCCTCCGGCAGGTGTGGGGGAGGATATATAGACGGGCAATGCCGGACAGCATATTTATTCGCACAAGTGGGATAAATTTCTCTTTTCATAGGAAATGTTCAGTGTCGAATGTCGACTTGTCTATCCTATCGCCAACTCCGCCCCCACACTTCTGATGTTCTTGATATGTTTACACGTGGAACACGTGGCAGATGCGAACAAAGGGACAAAACGAAAGAAGCGGGCCGGAAGGAAAAAGAGATGGACACGCTGGCTACTAAGGCGATTTTAATGCTGTTAAGAAGATCGACGGGTGAGCAAACATGTTGAAACGCAAGTTGGCAGAAAGAGGGGAATGAGAAGCGGGCAGGTTTTGAAAGCGATCGAAACAGTGATCAAAGTTGAGGAGCATTTATAACCACGATGATCATATTTTGGTCCGGAAGTCTGTTTGATCGAAGAATCGGACCCCGAAATGTTATGAGTTACCGTGAATACTGTAATAGAGGACACCGTCCATTCGAATCGACGTATTTCAGTTGTCTGTAGAGCTATCAAAAATTTGTCAACTGAGCAAATTTACACAATGTTTTGATGAGCATTTTGTCAGTTGACAACATTTTGATATCTCCAGAGATAGCTGAGATATATTGTCCTGAATGACAGTATTCACGGTAATGGAATGAGAAACAGTTCCCCCGACATAAGACAGAAGTAGCTCAAACCCGATTCTCTGGAAAAGATCACTGAACTTTGTAACAGAAAAGGTAAACTTCCAAAAGATCTTCCAGGAACAGGTGAGAAGCGAGCGTAATGACCACCCATCAAGATGGTCTTTTCCTTTTTCTGCCGTCCCCCCGTTCCGATGTTTGCTTCCGTGGGGATGAGCTCATGATCTCACACTTGAGCCGACTTTTTTGCTCGAGGAAGCGGGAAGCGGTTCGGTCGGCAGGCAGTGGCGGCCAATTCAAACAGACGAAAGGAGAGAGGAGAATTCGATATGGTCAGATGTTTATATCATTGCCAAAAAATGAAGAAGAAGATCTGTTGGCAAGTCGGAGTCGGCGCGGAAAGTGCGCGGAAAGCAACGCGTCACGTGAGAACGCCGAGAAAAGGTGTTTGTGTTTTGGATGGGCAAAAAACTGGACGGATTGGTAGGGTAAAACAACTTGGTTGAGTACAAAACGGCGTGAGCAGAGAAGGTTCTGAGGTGGTCAGAAGCATGAATGAAAGCGGCAGAGGAGGGCAAACAGAAGGAGTGAATGCTCAAATATTATGCAAGTAATGTGAGAACAACACCCACTTGTTCAGGAGGAGGAATACGAACACTGTGCCCAGATCCTTTCATTTTTCTTGCAAAACCGTTTCATGATGTTCGACGTGAAAAGATGTAAACTGCAAAAGGCTATTGTCGATTCATTCATTTCCTAATTCTCTCGATGAAATGACACTAGAGGTGAACGATTGCTTATCGACAAATGACAATTTGCAAGCGAACAGGTACCCCCGGCCCACTGAAATCGACACCTTCCAGATATTCCAGACTTTCCCGATTCCTATTAGAGCACAAAGATGAGGCCGTATCGACGTGTGTCAAGACACCCGTCGTGGTACTGTATCTGTCGGCTACCGTAATCGTCTCCTCTCCGATTTTCAGCGCTATTCCCTGCCGACCGAAGACAGTCCGCAACGAGAGTCTTCTGCTTTCCGCAGCATTTCCGCCTCCGTGCTCGCCTCGCTGCTCCGCGACCGTTCGCGAGTTCTTCAGCTGATTATTTTCGACTGTCGATACCCTTTCGAGTATTTCGGCGGGCATATCAATGTCTGATTATTCGAGTCTTGAACGTCAGAGACAATAATTCCAGGGAGCTGTCAACATTTATTCCTTGGACGAGCTGGAGAAGTATCTGTTCGACGAGTTCGGAGTGAAAAGTACACTCGTCGGTCTGCTGCCCATCTTCTACTGCGAATACAGTCAGGTTCGGGGACCTGCCATGTCAGTTAGAGAGGAATTTGAAAAAAATGAAAATGGAATGGGAAAAGTGTTTAGGGCACGACGTCTTCGGAAAATAGACACTCATAGGAACAATCACAGGGCAACGTGCCTCGACTTTCCGGAGATTTATCTGCTCGACAAAGGATACGTGAACTTCTGGTCGGATCCCTCACTCAGAGTAGGTGATGTCAGTTGAGCAGAGCGCACTCGTGTTTTACAGGATCTGTGCGAGCCGCGACACTACATTTCGATGCACGCGAAGCCGTACAAACACGCCCTTCGCCAGTACACCCAGCACAGATCGAAGAGCACGGCGGACGGTCGGAAGGCCAAAAAGAACCGTCTGCACGTGTTCAGCACCACACAACTGCTCGAGCCGCCCGAAGAAGTGGAGCCGGAGCTGGAGGTTGCACCTAGACTTTCGAGAGCCCGCACCCCGAGGACCCGACTGTCATTTGAATAATTTGAACTGCCCACCATTTTGTATAGTAAGCCCTGATCATCGGGAATGTATAAAGTCTAGACCTTTATCAAGTCAGACACCTACAAATAAGTGCTCCGCGAGCTATCAATTGTACCTATATTCCCTTTTCCTTCGGCTGTTTTTTTATGTTCTTTCTGTCAGAAGCAGGTCTTTGATTACTTGTTTTAAATTAATTTCCGGCCTCACACGTGCGATGTTTTCAATTAATGCATTACCTGGTTATTATAATCCCGCAGGATATTGTTTTCCTGGATTCTTCCGGTATAGTCTCATTGTTCCTGTGAAGATGTCTGGCTCCGAGCTCATGATTACATCCACCGTATCCATTTCAGACTATCTCGAATATGTAACTCACCGAGTACGCCTCTAGTTTCATATGTCTTCCAGGTAGACATTGTCATCTTAAAAGTTGGAACAGAAAAGTCCAGGTGCCCTCTTCAACGGCCTTCTGATCTATTTGATTCTGAAAAGGACCCCGGCACAAGTGACGTCTATCTTTTGAATTTCGCTCTGTTTGATTTTGCCACGTGCATCATTTCCTTCTTCTCTTGTCAGAAGTGAGTCACTGTCTGGGTGGTCTGTTGGGGACTTTACTCGGAAAAGCGCTAGCCCAGAGAACAGACGGCTACCATTTGCAGGGTGATTTTCTCCGGCTTCTCTCTGATTTACGTTTTTCTGCTCGGAGAGACTCCGTCCGTCAAGCGGATGCCTCGAAACTCTGCACGGATTGCATTCCGATGGTCAGCCTAATAGTCACTATCTTCTTCATTCGAGCATACAGGTGAACGCAGTCAATCTTGAGCTCTCCAGAACAATCCGACTCATTTTCAGAGAAGGGCTTCTGCAAATGTTCTCCAAATTCACTGGCGCCAATTTGTTCGTTCCAAACTCCATCAGCGATGTTGTCGACGTGAGCATTATTGTGCCAAACTACACTTTCGAAAAACAGAAAAAAACCCTATTTACAGATCACACGGCCGGCATCCGGAGATGGCGAAAAAACGACGCACGTGATGGAGCAGCTATAATTTTCTCGTTTTTCTGTTTCTGACTTTTGAGACGTGACACTTTTGAAACTCTGGTGCTCGGCGAGCTCTAGCAGCGGAAGAATAAGTCTAGCGAAAGGAAAATGATAATGTAAAAGTTCACGTCTGAGCTGTGATGACATGAAAAGGGTAAGCGCCTAATTGGGCGGCCAAACAACGTCCCGCGCCCTTCTTTCTCTCTTGAACACTTTTTGTCTGTATCAGCTCCATTGTCTCGATAAATAAAATAGTTTTTCGTTAATTTCTCTATGGAGTATACAGTTGTTGTTGTTCTTAGGCCCTAGAAAACACTTTGGGAATACACTTACAGTAGTCCGTGAACTTGAAATCCAAACTTTGAAATCTGTCTCAATTCTTCGCTCCGCCAAGATTGCCACGTAATTTCCTTTCCCCGAATTGTTGTCGGGTGCTCAGAGTCTGTTTCCGGTTCGTCTACTCTTTCCAGCCGTTCCTTCTTTCGTTTCTCCGCTCCCTCTCCGCTCTCGTTCCCATTTCAGACAAGGGATCACTGAGAAAACAAGCTACTTTCCGTCGGAAATTACACCGAACCTTTTCTATTATCGCGCAAGTAATCGTCGTTTTTCTGTGTGGGAGGAGCTTCGTCGGATTAGTGGGCCATCACATGAGAAAGCGGCGGCGGAGAGAATACGGCAATGAAGACAAAAAAGAGATACGGTGGAGCATTTTGGATCCGCGCTACACGTTCTCAGAATTGGACTTTTCACACTTTTTTTTGTATCTTGAGTGAATTATTCATTCTTATTTACGAAAACGGAACTGTAATTGGCATTTGGGAGAATGAAGTCATTTGGAAAGAAGTTCTGGAAAGGAAAGGAAAGGAAAGGAGTTCTGTTCCGATAATAGATAACGTTTTTGAAAAGATTAGGCGCCTGAATGCCCAATTTGAAAGATGTTAGACCCTAGGCGGAACCACGGGTTTTCCGATTTGTCTGTAGAGATATCAAAAAGTGGTCAAGTGATAAAATTTACAAAATGTGGCATGAGCTATTTGTTAGATGGCACGTTGCCCTCTACTGGTAGCTGAGATAAACTGGCTTAAATGAGCGTCTTCTACTTTTGGACTAATTATCTCAAATCATTCATCAGGAAGTTATTCCCTTTGATCACTCTTCTCAGAAATCCACTGGGTATTTAACGAGGCTATAAATCTGTAACTCAATCTTTTCAAATTACGAGTACACAATGAGAATGTCTCTCCATTGTGCCATTCAAAAAGCGCGTGATCCTTTAGCCATCAGACCACATAGCCTCCTTCGTTTCAGACGATGTAGTTACATAATCAGAAGGTATCCTGGCTTCTCCCCTATTTGTTTCACTCCCCCTCCTTGGCCTCAACTTGTTATTCAGTTAAAGTAGTTAAAGTAGTTCACTGAAGAAAAGCCGTCCGCCTCTTTTCATCCATTCGTTCTCTCTTCCTTCCAAGTACAATCTGGCTGTAATGATTCGTGGCCGTATAGCTGTATGCTCTCGAAAACCGGCTAAAACTACATTCGAAGAGCTCTCCAGCTTCATTTTATTGTAGCTCCTCCCGTGTCCCCGCTCTCTCGTGAGGATCGGCCACCTGAAGTGGGCGGAGTCTCAAGGACACGTCCTCTTTCGTTTCTCTGTTCCCTCCGATCCTCTCACTCCTCCCAAGGATCCGACAGACTTCCCATTCTCATCGCATTCGCTTCTCAGAGAATGTCGGCTGCTCCAACGACCCTCTCCCCCACTGAAGCCTATGATCGCGAGTGCCTTCTCAACGATCTCCAGTTCACTTTCCTTATGGATGAGGTCGGAAAGCATCTTTCGGAGGCCATTTGCGGATTCGGTAAGTCATTCTCATCGTCCTTTTGTCATCTGAATCCGTCAGGCATCCTTCTGAACTCCCTCCTCATCTATATCATCTTCAAACGCACTCCCGTCCACATGAAGAGCTACGCCGTGCTGCTCTTCAACTTTGCCATCTTCGATCTCCTCACCTGTGTCGCCTCTCTGTTTGCCTGTCAAAAAACCGTCTTCTCCGGTCTCTCGCTCACTTACATCTTCCACGGTCCGTGCAAATACGTGGCTCCGTCGCTCTGCTACTTCTGCCACTGTTTCGTGTGCCACGCGATGGCTCACTCGCAGTGGATCCTTCTGGTACCTTCAAAAACCTAAAAGCCGACAAGTTCAGCTCCGAGTTCAGATCTCATTCATCTACCGCTACCGTATCCTGTTCGACGAGGCTCCGTCCGTTAAGAAGATGTCGCTTACCGTCATCGCGTTCTATTCCATGTCTTTCGTAGTCTTTGTAAGCAGAGGTGTAAGGTGTAAGCAAGCGGGAAACCCCCAACTTGCAGTTGTTCTACTATCTTGACATCGGCGACACTAACGAGTTAAAGAAGATCATGTCTAATTTGCATCCGCAGAATCACTACGACGATGAGTCCATCTGGGGAGGTGAGTCGGGAATTCCTATTGTGATTCTGACTGACTTTCCATAGATCTGACTGTGAGCGGCAACACCACAATCTTGACGATTTCTTCGCTCACTGCCATAATTTACATGACTTTCACTTGTGTTCCCATCTACTTCATCATCCATTACTTCCGAAACAAGGTAAGAAGAGGATAGAGACGGTAAGTAGGCGGTATATTTCAGACGTTGAGCACTCTGGCGAGCAGTGCTCTCAACATGTCGCCCGCCACGAAGGCTTCCCACGCCAAGTTGGTGCTCGCCCTGTCCATCCAAGCCACAATTCCGCTGATCTGGCTGCTCGCCTCGGGAATCTTCACGCTCGCAGAATTCGGTTTCATCTCCGGCCCGATCCCGGAGAACATGACGTTCCGTCTGATGGACTGCATCCCCGCGTCGAGCCCCGTCGTCGCGTTCATCTTCATCGCTCCGTACCGCGAGGGACTGCTCCGTCTCGTCTCGAAGACGGGTATCTACCGTCGCAAGGAGACGCGCGTCTCGAGCATCATCGAGGTGAGCCACTGGCCGGGGGTGTCTTGCGTTTTTGTTTTTTTCCGTTCCGTTTTCAGTTCTCACTTCAGTTTGATCTGTTCTTCGAAATAGGGAGAATTGCCTTGACACTTCCTGGCTTGAACCTTGGTTTTGCTATACCTCTTTTTGAATCATTCAGAAATTCAGCCAACCCAAGCAGCCACAACCCAATCCGAGCTCCAAGACGAACTGAGATATTTGGGGTGATGGCGAGAAGAATGAGAATGAATAATTGGGAAGAAGAGATTTGTCAATTGTGTATACTGAAAATTGTAAATAAAGATTGTCGATGAGAGCCTTTGATGAATCAACGGTGAGCAAGCTGCACAATTTATTGATTAACAAGTCGGATTCATTAATGACGGGCAAAATCCAAAACACATCATGACGCAACGTTTTTTCGTTGTAGAATCGAGGTATATGTGGCATGTGAAGCAGTAAAAACGGGGGAATAAGGTTCTGAACCTTTCAAAATAATTTCAAGCAAAATAAAGGGGAAGTTTTCATTTGAAAGTGGAAGAATACTTTATTGTTGTTCTGCATACTCCTCGACTCCGTATTCTTCGACAGCGTACTCGAGAAGCTCACCACGAGCTTGCGCTTCCTGAAGCTCTTCTTCGGTCAAATAACGGACATTCTGAAAGAAATTGAATTGGGAAACAGGCAGAGGGGGAAGTGGTTCACTCGGTGCTGCCCCGAATCGGAACTTCCCGAATCAAAACTGGTATGAATCAGAACCAATTAGCACTGAAAATAGTACTGATTCGTACCAGTTCTGATTCGGAAAGTTCCTATTCGGGGCAGCACCCGAGTTCCTATTCGGGGCAGCGCTCACTCTGTTGTCCTCGTCCATTTCTTGGTAATCGCCCTCTTGAATCACTTCATAGTTGCCATCGTTCTGAAAACAAAAGGTATTATCTGCTTTCCTGACTGTTCCTCTTACTATTATTTCGTTTTCCTCGATCAGCACATGATTGTTGGCATCGTAAGTCGGAATGAACTGTGTTCCAGCGGACATCTCGATCTCCTCTGTCTCCTCCTCCACAATCTGCTCCGGGAAGTCGAGCACCATTTGATTCTTCTGGTCCGACTGATAAATTTCAGTCGCTCTTTGGGCCTCCGCATAGTCCTCTTGCTCGTCAATCGGAATATCCGTGATCTCTTCCTCGCCATCTTCATTGACCATTTGTTGGTATCGACTCTCCGTGGCTCTGTCGTGATTGTCTTCAGCTGCCACTTTTTCAGCCATCTCCAGTGCCGTCTTCATGTCCATCTTCTCGTTTTCCATCAACAGAATGTATGCCGGCTCGTTGTTCTTCTTGATTCCATAAACAACCTGGACTTTGTCGAACTGCTGATCATAGTTCTCCTTTCTGAACCTTTCGAGGCTGATAGGATCTGTGATCATCTCTCCGAATCGAATTTCATGCTTGAGCGGAGCTTTCTGAAGATCGGTCGTCTCTGCTATCTCCGCCCCGCTAATTGGTTTTCCGGCAGTTTCAGGCATCACTTCTGGGTGTTTCAGACGAAGATGACGGATGGCACGACAAATATTGAATGGTTTGTGGAGAGCATAGGTTAGATTGCAGATGAGACACTCCACGAGTTGCGGATGAACAAACTCCATCGATCCGTCTCCGATCCGTTCGAGACGCGCTTTCACGAGCTCGTACTGCATATTGTCTATTTCAGACGGATGGAATTCTTTGAAGTGTTTGATGGCTCCGGCCGAAATGACGGCTCCGTACACTTTTCGATGGCACAGACGACACTTCCACTCGCACGCGGAGATTGCCTCGAAGAACTGAGAGTTCGTCGGACAAATCTGACGGAAGCACGGCTTCACAAACTTCCGTTTCAGACGGTTACGCCTTCCGAACGACTGTTGACTGTTTGTCGTGCAAATCTAAAACGAAATGTAATAATATCATGGCAACTCTCATGATCACTCACCGCTTCTGAATCCTCTCGATCTTCATCTTCCTCATTGTCATTTCCAGCTTTCGATCTTTTCAGATATTTATCTATCGCCTTATCCAAAGACTTTTCCGAGCTGAACTTCGCGTCCAGTTTGGTGCTGTGCAGGTGGAATTCGTCCGGAAGACTGATGCCGAAATCCTCTCCATACTTTTCCATTAATCTCGCAGTCATAACCATCTCCTGGAGACAGAGTGAGCAATTCGGAACTGCCACACTTGGGGAGTGCACTTCGGTGAAATGCATTCCGAGCGCCGCGCGATCCATGAACATTCCACACCATATACACTGTAGATTATTCTGATCCGACTCGGTGCTCACAACTGCAAAGTCGTGAAGAGAGAGATGGCGACGGACGCCAGCCACAGGCGCTGGCTGCTGGTTCTCTTTCCACTCCTGACTGCAGCGATGCTCAGCTGGATGCCAGGCATTGAAGTGGCGGACGAGATGGACCACTTCGAACTTTTTGTTGAGGGACACGACGGCTTGGCATATGTCGCAACGAGCATGAAGGCGGTCGACCAGCGACACCGGCACCTTCCTGCCCATTTTTTCCACCAGTTTTCGCTTGAGTGCGATCTCCAGTTGCGGCATCGTCATCTCGTTCACATTCACTCGGATTTGGCTCACTTTCCGAAGCTGTCGGAGTCCTTTCGAATAAAGACGGACGGCGCCTCCGAAGCCGGCATTGTCATGTTCATCGTAGTGCCGGAATCCGTTCTGCATCGACTTCATTTCTTGCTTCAAACGTGTCTTCAGCCAGTTGTCGTACGGAACTTCTTCCAATTCAACACCAGGCGAAATGTATTCCGGATGCGCGTTCGGGAGATGTTCAGAGACCAGCTTCTCGTAGAGCACGATTTCTCCGCACAGGCCACAGCAAATATTGTTAGTGTCCAGAAAGCTGAACTCTAGACTGGGACGATCACCGGACGGAGCATCTAAAAACAAAACTAATTAATTGCAATTCAGAGGTTCGACTCACTGATCTGCCCAGACGTTCCCTGTTGGCTCCCTTGCAGGATCATTTTCTTTTTCTGGTCCCCATCCTGCTGCTCTTGCTCCATCATCTCTTGCTGCTCCTGCATGTTGTTAGGCTCCACAAGTGCTCCGGTATCCGTTACCAACTCCACAACCTGTCCGTGCTCGTCAATGAATACTGCATTTCCGAGCTGATCTCGCGCCAATCTGACGTCATGCGGTCGTCCTCCGGGAGATTGCAACCGAATCATTTCTCCATCCTCCAGCAAATTTAAATCGAAATTGCCGTCCTCATCCAACGGCAATTTATCATCGCCAGTTCTTCGCATATCGTCTTCGATCACTTCTTCTGCTACTCCTTCGGCGACCAACTGTGGCGGTAGCTCATCGTCGTCGTCGTCATCCTCCATTTCCTTCTGCATCTGATGCCCTCCAATCGCATACTGTCCATCAGGTCCCACTTCTTCGGCATCCTCCATTCCCACTTGCTCTTCCCTTCGATCACATCGTTCGGATCCACCTCGTACATGACGTTCACTCCATTCTCCTCCACTTGAATGTACTGCTGCTGCTGCATCGTCTTCATCATTTTCATCTCCTCGTCCTCCATCAGATCCGCTCTTCCTATCCGATCTTCAATGAAGCTTCCTCCTTGAAGAGTGAGCACTCTCTGCTGAGCCCCACTCGACTGTTGTCCCATTTCGTCTGGATGCATCAGAACTTGATCTCTCATATCGTACTGCATCATCTGTTCTTTCTCATGAAAAGGAACAATTCCTCGCGTGGACACGTGTCTCGCCTTTTCTTTCGGAAAATGCTCTGACGGAAGATCCTTTCCAGCCTCTCTTTCCTTTTTCGTGGATATCGCTCCGGAAGTTGCTGCAGATTGTTGTTGCTGATGGAGTTGTTGTTGGAGTGAAGGAGGCATTGGCGGAGGGCCGTCACTTTCAGATATTATCACTTCGTTCACCGCTTCCGGAGGCTCTTGCTTCACTTCTATAGTCGACAGCAAGATTGCGGCTTCTCGATGTCCTTCCGGTGCTGCCGTGGAATCTACATCCGGAGCCGACGAAGTGGTTGGAGCACTGGACGCTGTTTGAGAGGATTTTGGAAGCTGCAGTTGAGCCAACAGGGTCGTCGGGAACGGAACGGCGGCAGATGAAGCGGCAGAAGAGGACTCATCCGGGTCCTCTCGACAGATGGCAACACTTTCGCATCTATTGACTTCTCCCGAACATCTTTCCGTTTCGCGGGAATCAGATCTTTCATGAGACTAACTCGTTTGAGCATGCCTGGAGGCATCAGATCCTTCGGAATGGGACGTCGATGCGGTGGCACCATGTGAGTTGCGGGACGTCCTCGACTGTTCGCCTTATTTGCCAAATGACGTGGTGCCGGTGGGGGACCGCTGGCTCCTTCCTCTAGTTTCTCCAGCAAAACCGGTTTGGGAGGAGGTCCTTCTCTCGGATCGTGCTCTTTTCTCGGTTTCGTCTTATCCACCGTCTCCTCAATATGAGCTTCATTTGGTATTAGAGGTTCAATTCGATCTTCGGCGATTGGACAATCGATCGGAGCACTTTGGGTTAGCGGTACAGGCGGCGGCAGAGACGGAAGAGTGAGGGGAGCCATTCCGATCACTCTCTGCACTCTGCTCGTTGCTGACTTCTTCTCCGAATGCACGAAATCATTTAGCCTCTTCGGAGTTTGTCGAGAACGAGATCCTCTTCCGAGCAGCGGCGGTGGCGGAACGCTTTTCTCCGATGGCCCTTCGGACGATCCGGATGCCTCCGGATGCTCATTTGCTTGTTCCAAGTCTTCCATCACAATTTCCTCCTCCAGAAGTTCCTCGTCCAATGGTGTTCGACTCGTCGAAGTACTCTGCCTCGGAGGTCTTCCACGTGCGCGCTTCTGAGCCATCGGAGTTACTATCATCATTTTCTGTTGTTGAATTTGTCTGAAATAAAATTTCCTCAGCTTCCCGATTAATTGTTTATTTGACTAACTTGATCTTCTCCATATCGAGCCGATCGTCCTCCTCCACCACTGCGGCAGGATAGAACTCTGCCTCTGTGCTCCGGAATTCATCGTCAGGGTTCTGTTCGACATCGGCCGGCAACTGAAGGGGAGTCGAAAGTGGAAACTTTCGGGGACGGCCTCTTCCGCGACGGTGAGTGTCCAGCACAAACTCTGGCATTTGAGAAGAACGACCACCTGAAAAGCTTTCGAACATTGTCCGATTTCTAGACAGTTTATAATTTTTTTCAAAAAAGGGGAGCAGGAAATAACAATCCATCTTCTTTATACTTTAAAAAATTATTTTGTATCAATTGCGAAATTCAATCACTCTCAGGATTTATTCACAGTTTCCTTCAAAATGCGACCAACCTCGGGAGGCATGTCCTCTTCCTGTCATTTTCGACCGATAAAATCGTTCAAATCTGTAACGAATTCAAATTTTTGACGAAGAAACAGTAAAAGAAAAGAGCGCTGCGAGACCCAATCGATCGTGGCGAGACACAATGCGAGGTCAGACAGAGGCCTGCGTCTTTTGCGCGCGTACTCTCCCTCGCCTCTCTGCGCACTCCTCACTTGCAACGTCTCTCGTTCTCCGAAGCGCCGAGAGAGAATGCGACAGAAGCATCCTCAACAAAAAATAAGTACAAGAACAGAAGACTTTTCAAAATTGACTAACAGTTTGAAGAAGTAATTTGTTTATTATACGGTAATGACAAAAACAATCAGAGAGACTCGTAGACTCAGATGAGACCGTCCAGCTCTTTCATGAATTCATTGTATGCTTCGTCCGTGTTCTTTGCCTGCTTCTGAGCTTCCGGCCGACGGTGCACAGGTGCTGGCGGACGAGGAACTGCGCTTGTGGCAGGACGGCGGAGCAGTTGTGCCGGAACGAGCTTGACGGTCTCACGGCGCAAGTTTCTGAGCTCTGGAGCAGCGGAGAGAGTGGCCGGAGCAGCAGACTCCTGATTGCGAGTGATCTGCGGGGCCGACGAAATAACAGCGTCTTCGTGATGATGCTGGAAGCCCATCGGGTTATACGAATGTGAATGCGGATGATAAGTAGGCATCCGAGGAGGCATTTGGTGGTACGAAGATGGAGGTCCGACTGGAATATAGGATACTCTTTTCTTTCCCGTTGATCAGAGGAACACTTACAATTTCTGTGCATTTGTTGCGGTGGATACGGATTGTCGAAATCAGGAACTGAAAATTCACAAATTGATCTCTATTCGAGAGGTGTTCTAACTCACTCGGCACAGGAGCGAGATCTCCATCGTCGTAGTGTTCTTCCTGGTGATCATCTTCTTCTTCACTATCACTGAAATTGGGCGCATAACCGCACGGCGGTCCAGGCGGCTTCAATCCGGCACGTGGTGGTCGTGGTGGCAACTGGAACTCGACTTTTCTTCTGAAACGAGAATGGAAACTTTAGAAGAGTGGGGAGACTCCCTTACTTGATCATACTCGGTGCCAGTAGTTGACTGTGTCTTTCTGGTCCGAACGACGACATTTCACCCATTGGCAGAGGAATCGAATCTGGATCGGCTTCACGGGCAAGACGAGCTTGCTCTGAAGAACTGATTGTTTTTTCATTTCGAGAGAATAACGAACGTGCTAAAACGGCGAGTCTTTGACAATCAGTCTGGTAAACGTTGATTTTCTCATTGAATTTCTTCAGCTCAGTATCGTCTTTCGATTGTTGCAATGTCAGCCGTCTTTTGTTGATCGAATCCGTCAACACCTTTTGCTTCTTCTTGAGAACGTCTATGTGAAATGGTTGAGGATCAAGTCCGAGAACTGCAAACCAGTCTGTTTTCAAACAATCAAGAGCCTTTTCTCACTTTGACGCTCTAGAACTAGAAGTTTACTCGTCGTTTCGTCTAGATTGCAGTACTTGGCCATCGCCTGTCTGATCTGTTGCCGATCCTTTTTGTTCCTCTTGTTCTCTTTCTTCCGGTCCATTTTGCGGGCCTGGAATCGAATTTTCAAGTGATTTTTCGGTAAAATGTCAAAATTACCTGATCTGTGGGCGCTCGGAAGCGCTCGCCGCTTTTTGTCTTGCTCGTAGACGGCATCTCTGCAAAAATTCAGTTTTTACTAGTCATTTAGATGGTTGAGTACAGAAAAGAGAGCGAGTTCAATCAAAGCAATAGAAAAACAATTGTTTTTGTGTTTTGTAAAGACTGATTTGAAAAGAATACTTTGAAGACCCGGAAATCGAAGTTATTCAACTATATTATTGGGGCACCGGACAGAAAGGGCGCGCTGTTCGCAATCTGGCCGAATTTCTAGGCCGCGAAGTAATTTTCCACTGAAAACGTGGCCTAACTTTTCAAACTCGGCCCCGAGGTCGCTCAATTTGCACTGCAAAAAGAGTTTCTCAACAGAGCGCCATTTCTGTTCGGTGCCCCTATAATAAAACAATTCAATTGATTTTTTATACAAGTTAAAAGTAAAGCAGAGATATGTAAAGTTTCTATTTATTTTTAAAAAGTTCATTTGATTAATGGGGCTATTCAGCGTATGTTTGTTTTCCGTTTTTTTCGTTTTTTACACCGCTGAATTGGGTTTTTTGATGTAAAAAAACGAAAAAAAAACGGAAAAAAAATAATTTTTTTCACAGCCTGAATAACCCCATAAGCTTGTTTCAAAACTTAAAATATTTGCATTGAAATTGAAAAAGAAAATATTTTTCCAGCGAAAAATGAATGTGTTTCAAAGCGTTGCGTCCGCCGACCGCATCGCGTCTCCCTCCATTCACATTGGTCCACATTTGCATTGTCTCGCGGTGAGCAGTTGGTAACTGACATAGCAACGCGAGTGGAATCCACAATTCAATGGGACGATGACTGAGGAATCTGTGAATTCACGTTGGAATACGATTGGCGGAAAAGGTATGGAAGTGCTCTGAAATGTGGGATTGTGTGGAATTGCGTGTTTCCAAGTGGGGCAGTTGTTCATGATAACGAATAGGGGGCCCGGGGACCACACTCTCGCCGAGATGTTCCATTGTTGCCTTGAGGGGCCATAGACACACACACATACCCCACACACACACACACACATCTCACACACAGCCCGCTTCGCCCCCAACACACATAGACGCACACACTCACGTACACTCCCCCGGCAACGAAGAGACACACCCCGCCGCCGCACATATTTTATCGACGCAGCAACTAAGTTTCGTTCCCTTGCCTCGGCCACTCTCTAGGCCACCTTCTCTCTCTCTGTCTGCCTCCGCGTCCTCCTTCTCCTCGTCCGGCAGTAGCCCGTGGGGTCCTTCCGTCTTCGACTCTCTTTTCCCGCAATTCTCTTTCCCGTTCCCATGGATACCTCGCTGCCCCATTTTCGAGCAAAATGCAACACCGTCTGGTGTCTCTGAACATTCCGATAATGTCTCGTTTGCAGGTAGCCAGAGCACACACACACACACACAAAAACCCAGACGGAATGACGAATGAGGAGCCGGTGCCGTCGACGAGCAGTGTGCTCAGTGCGACTGAGAAAAATGTGAAGATGTGAGTGAGCGGAGACTTGGAAAACGACGGAAAGACCTCCCGGCCAGCTGATAAACCTTATCACTCCTCTTCTATCCCATCGCTTTTTTTGTCGAGAAGACGTTGCCAAACAACGCGTTTTTGCGACGGGCAAGTGACCTTCACACTGCGATGGTTGCTGAAGAAGGGGAACAGAAAAAAGTGATAGTGACTGGGGGAGAAACTGCCTAGATTGGTGAAAAACGATAAAGAAGACACAAACACACACGAGGAAGTACAGTAGGAACAAGAAGAGAAAATATTTTATTTAACACGGTTGTCAATAATAAAACTGATAAGACATTGAGTTAGAAACTCAATTTCACTCAACTTAGGGGACATCTCCTTGGGCACTTCCAGTGAATACATAAATAGCTACTATCAAAAGACTCACCAGAACTTTACAACTCTTGCGTCCTCGGTGTTTGCGTACTCAAGCCTACTTTCAGAAATTTTGTCTTGAGTCTGCAAACACCGAACGGGAATAGTGATGCATACCCTAAACTAATCCCACATTTTGCCTATTCCAGAGTGAACGGCTCCAAAAAACGGAAAGGTCTCGACATTGACGCCCTGTGGAGGAAGAAGTTCAAAGACGTCGAAATAGAGAAATCTCCAGCTGAAAAACCGCCCAAAGAAGCTGGAAAGAAGGAGGAGAGGACGGTTGAAAAGCCTGCAAAGAAAGACGAACAAGTAGACGAGGAGAAGTCGGAGAAAAGCCAGAGAGGAAACCGTGAGTTTCGAGCCTGAAATATCTGCAAACATGTTGTGGGTTCTCTTAGATCACAAGGTTAACTTGAGCAGCTGTGTGTAACCAAGGGCCTTGTGCACGAGTCCGTTCCGGCCCACTCCTCCTTTATCTCTTGCTCTTCCTCTCTCACTTTTGCCCGCTCCCTCTTTCCTTTCTCGCGAGTTGCCTCTGCCCATCCCTGGAGAATGGGCGAGGGCATAAATTAGCGCCGAGTGGTCGGTTTGTCTATGCTATACTCGGCGAGGAAGGAAGGAAGGAGAGGCGTCTGTGAATAGAGAAGAGAGCAGGAGGAGGAGAGAATCTCCGAATGGGAACGGATAGAGAAGGTGCTTCTGATTCGCAAGGGGGCGCGACTTACAATGACAACGAAAAGTATTAAAAGGGAAAAGTGAGAGCTACAAACCGTGTGCCAGATTTGATTACATCGGGCGGCTCATAGCCATAAATCAGATTGGCAATGAAGATAAACGACGCGTCGTCAACATCAACATCGCTTTGTGGTGGAAGGGAATCGCGCCTGAAAAGGAGAATTGGAATTAAGTTGCGAAATGTGAGAAGAAAAGAGTGAGAGAGACGGAAAAATAATAGAAATATGTTCAAAGAATGAGAAGTGCATGAGAAGTTCCCACGATTCATAAGGAAAACATGAAGAGATTGACATGGGACAGGGCTGGGCAACTGCGCATGCAATATTCTGATCGTTCCCAAACTTTGCTCGATTATCACTTTTGATTTGGAGTTTCAGAAGTTTGAACGTTTTTTCAGACCGATTGGATTATCTAATCTGGAGATCAAGCCCGGGCTTTCCGCACGTGCTTTCAGACCCAGTAGCTAATCCAATCGGTCTGAAACTCGGTCCCAAGGTAGTTAAATTCATGGGTCCGATCGGATTTTTTGCAACTGGATCAAAAAGACAGACCCAGGTGCCCAGTTCTGACGTGCGAGTTGAATAAGATTCACACATTTTGGGACCCTCGACGTTTCGGAACCCGACATTCTGAAACCGCGACGTTTCGCAACTAACGTGAATTACTTAGCGATAACGTTCACGTGTGTATCGAGACGTCGAGTTGCGAAATGTCGGAGAGCAACATTTTGGAGGGTCGAATCGTTTGAAGATGCCTACGGTACTTTTGAAATTGTCGTGAACAGCGGACTCCTCATTTGTAACGATTAGTCAAGCGTTACAAGAAATAATGCAACTAATTTCGGGCGGTAGATAACAGATAGAGATGCTATTATCAGGTCCGCAAAAGTTTCTTTAATATTCTTACTGAGGATCTTGTTAGATATCACAAAAAAGTTCGAAAGATTGTCTAAAGCTGCTAATTAAGTTTGAACTGAACAAAATGTCATCATAGTCTCAGCTGCACATGGGAAATGCGATGAAAACGTTGAGAAATATATCAAAACAGAGCAAAACGGGCGGGCCAATTACGGGGCCAGTTAGAGCCTGGGGGAGGGACGGATTGATAACAGAAGCCAAGGGAGGTTACCATGGAAACGGCGAATAATAGAAAGAAAACCCGCAGGAAATAGACGAAGTCCGCCCGGAGAGCACCTTTCTGCCATTGCCCATTCCATTTATCTATCAGTCGCTTTGCAGGACCACTTCACGAGAGCCGTCAGTAACAAAAAGTACACGGACACTGAGAAAACGGCCTGAGAAGAAAACGGAAGAAAACGGAACGAAAAAGATGGACGAGACGACGGAGGATGTGAAGACGAATGCAAAGGTTCCCAAAAAGGTGAGAATTCTCAATGATATGATTGAAATGGGAACGTATCTCAGGCCGCTCCGTCATTTCAATGTGCAGCCATAACCGATGGGACCGTCAATGGTGGTAAGTGAAAGAAACCTCGTCAAGCACCTGGCGACACGGAGAAAGAAATCAAGAGGGGGGCAGAGACCACTGTATTATGAGTAATTGCACGTTGACATTCGTATGTTATCCGCTCGCTATTCCCTCCGGATGGACATTACTAATAACGAAGCGAGCCCGAAACGGATAGAACAAAGGAAATGAGGAGGCGAAAGGAATCGGGGTATATGTAATCAGCGTGCGCGTGAGAGAAAGAGTGATAATGGCGGCAGCCCGACGCTGTTGAAGAGTACTCGCGAGCGAAACCGTCGAAGAAGAAGAAGAAGAAGAAGTGAAAGGCACACGCCTGACTGACGGCTTCTCTTTCGCACGTTGTGGGGCTCCCACCTACTGCTATTACTGATTATGGCGGCCAACATCTACATTGAAGATGATATTCATATTCACGAGTTTCAAGTAGTGTTTGATTGTGAGTTTAAAGCTTCTGGTGAGTGTTGTGCGCTTCGACGGAAACATCTAATCTAGACTAACCGACAATTTTATTCTCATTGTACTCACCTCACCCGGTCGTTCGAAAAGAATCCGATGAGAGAAAGACGGAGAGTAGGCAGAACTGACGATTAGCAGCGAGATTAATAAGAATAAACGGGAGGAAAGGTTCCGAGATTAACCGGGCCACCTGCACCTGCCTCCGAATGAAATTCAGAAGCGAATAGTAGTAGAGCCGATGATTGCTCTCCTTTTCCGCCAAGGTAATGGCCTTTCAGGGGGGGCCACACACCTGCCCCCGACTCGGCCGCCATTGACTCCTCTTTCCGGGTCACTTTTATTTTCATTTCGAAAACGGAAGGAGGATTTTTGGGAGGCGGAGAAGGGAGAAGGAGGCCCGACGGCCACAAATTCATAATCAGGTCTCGGTCCCGTCGGACAGTGGCTTCCTTACACCTGCCTCCTCGATCCGTCCCACCCTCCTCCTCTTCCTTCGTTTCCCCATTTAGGTACGGGCGGGCGGAGCTAACGAGCTTCACCTTAAATCAGGCATAAGCTGCCGTCTAATTGGTGCGTGTGCGTGCGTGTCTTTGACCCCCTCTGTGTCTGTTCGAACCCCCACCTATCCCCCTCTTATTCATCATAATCTACGGCTTCCGTCCCTCATGATCATCTTCGATTCAGCCGGCAGAAGATCGTCTGCAATGATTGTGGACCCGTCGAAGATAACCCTTAACGACACGTTCGGAGATGAGTCGCAAGAAGGTAAGCGTGCAGTGAACCTAACAATAATACGTTTATGTGATTTTATAAATGGGCTTTTGAAATGATTGTAGGCTTTGTTCGAGGCCGAGCAAGCTTTTGTGCCTCTTCTCTGCTTTTTCTCTAACCGATTCAATATGTTTTGGTGGCTCAATTACAGTCCCAATTTCCCCTCTCTCTCTGTGTAAGCGTGTACTAATCTGGCCAGCGGCTCGCGGAGCCCGTTCTCTCCCGCTTCGCTCGCCTATCGATCTCTCCGTCACACCTTCTAACTTTCGCTTATCACTCCTTCTCGGCAGCCTCCCTTTTTGGCCCACTCTATTCTCACCCCCTACTATCCCCCGCGTTTTCGGATATGTTGAAGTTTTGAGTCTGCTGCTTATCCCTTATACTTTCTATAATTCGATTAGCGCCCCCCTTTTAAAAAACGATGATAATGCTAGGTGAGTAAAGAGTAAAAGAGCGCGGAGAGCAATTAGAGGGAAAAGCTTTTGTTGTGCTCTTTACCTCATTTACGAGCACCGACATTCATATCGGCCAAGCGGCTGTCTCTTATGCCACAAAAGCTTCGTCTCATTATGGGTCCGTAATTACTGGGGTGCCGACTATGAGCACAGGGAGGGCCAGACACCTGAGATTCCGGAATTAACCTAGAGCCAAAACAATGAGATGATGGTCCCCCGTATTTCATGAATGTTTCATGTGCACTTAGGGTTTTGAAAACAGAGAGAACAATGAATAGATTTCCGAATCCTACACCTGAATTTACAGAAATGGAAGTAATGAGCCCGCTGGATGACGAAACCCAAGTGGAATACGAGCAATACGCTGGAGAATACCCACAAAAGTAAGTTCGGAGAAAATGGACATACCGTTCGGAATAGGGGCAACAGAGGGAATCCGTATCTCTGTGAAGGTCTGGCTACCGGCAGCGAAAGCAATAAAAATGAAGAGGAGGGCATGTGAAGTGACTCGAGGGCAGAGTTGTCTCGAGTTGAAGTGAGTGGTGGCGTGAAGGAGGAAACGACCATCTCCAAGGTGACACGAGATGGCCGCCGCACTGGAGACTACGACAACGGTTCCCAGGGGTTACGCGCGGGCAGAAGAGGACCAGCTGGCACGGAGACGTCGCCGCCGCATCAGCCGACCGCGACAACATCATTTGATAATCAGTTAAAGTGAGCGAGAGAGAGACAGCGCCACGCGCCTGGCAACGGTGGCGATGGAAACGCGGCCGAGATGGCGGCGGCGACGGAAAGAATGACGGACTCTGGAGGTAGTACGAGCAGATTTCCATGTGTATCAGAGCTAGTCATGGAAACAGAGAGTAAACGTGTGATGGAATTGGAAATGCGGGTGAACTGAATGGGCCTTGAAGTTCGGAGGCCTTGAGCTTTAAGATGAACTAATTAGTCCAGAAGTAGGGAAGGTCACTTCTTCTGAAATAGGGAATCTATAGGAGATTTAAAATCTAAATAGAAACTCAAAGGCGAAGACAAGATAAAGTGAAGAAAAAAGGCAACGCGAGGTGAAATGCAAAGCACGCAGTTTCGGCATGTGCCGGCAGCTCGCTCGGACGAAGGAGTAAGCGCTTATCTCTCCGGGCAACCGTGTCTCTTTGAGCTCTACCCGACCACATACGCTTAATTGTCTTGGTAACCGTCCGATCGTCTTGGTAACACGGCAGCCCGAGCTGCCGAGGAGCGAAAGCCAGCCAGGTGTATGACGATGAGATCTATTTCCCCTGCAAGCGCTGGAAAAGAGTGATGCACTGCTTCACGAAAGTTCCTCACTTTTCGGAAGGCCCATCCATCCGACTCCCAGACTAAAAGTCGTCAAGCCCGTCGTAAACTAGGGAGCGCTCACTCATAAATCCTGTGGGCCATTTATACGTCGGGAAGAGGAGTCCCGAGCCCGTCCTGTAACCATGGAGGCCTCCATAGTTTCAACAAAAGGGGCGGACAAAATGCCCTTTCAACACAACGGGACGGGACGGAAGAGTGTACGAAACGAGGAGCATCTTTGCATAGTTAATGGTCTTTTTTGGCGTTTTGCGCGTATTATACAAAGCCTTTCTGTGATTCGTGTCGTTGTGCCGCCCGCAGATTCTCCGCAGCCGCCATGTACCTTCCACAGTGCACTTCCATGTACAGGTATGATGAAATGTTCCGGCAACCGGCTGCTCCGGACAGCAGCCAAGACAATGGAAACTGGGCCGGGACGGCAGTCGGGCTTCCATTGGTTACTGTTGCTTGGTAGACTCGCCTATTGTTTTGTAACGTGGCGACAAGGAGTTTCCGAAGACGTCGGCGCCACTCTTATAGGCCAAGACATTACATCAACTATTCTACTATGGAAACAGGTCGTGTCCTACTGTGGCCGATGAATTTCTCATCAAGGTGACGCATCCCTTGGAGAGCGCGAGATTGAGGGGTGCTCGGACTAGCTTGACAGGCTTCGGGATGTCGCCAGTTGTTTCTTTCTCCAGACGGACACATTAGAATGTTTTGCAAATTCGGCCACAATGGTAAATCGGAAACCTTCATCCGAATCTATGAAAGCGTAAACACGCAGATGGTGCCAATTCTTAGACGGTCTCGGGACTCTCCCCCATAATTATGAACCCCCGGAAACACCTGTGCTTGCTCGCACAGTACCCCGTTCCCAACATGACTGTTTGCAGCGTGGCAACTCCCAATGGCTCTTCATATGCGATCTATGCAGCGGACACTCCTCAATATCCTCAATACTATCAGGTGATACCATCGCTGCCCGCTCAAACATCATTCTCTTTCTCTTTCAGTATCCGACTATGCAGTCGTCGAGTCCACAGGACCCGGGCGCCTACCTGACCGTCCATTCGTCGGCGCAACCTGGCGACGCGCAGTCTCCAGTCAACTCGACCATCGACGAAGACGGTCTCTCGAACAATCCATCGGGACGAGCGGCCCCCGCTACGGTAAGTATGAGAAGTAGAACCTAATCAGAATGAGTAGTGGGGGAGTGAGAAAAATGATGATGATAATCCGCTCAAGAAGACTCGGAGCGCACCAAAACATGTTGTATCTTTCCATCTTTCCTCTTGACTTGTCGTCGTCTCAGTATCGTAAAGTACTTGTTTCCATGGAGACGTCAATTTCTAGGATGTCAGTCAACGGAAAGAGAGAAAGATGAGATGTGAATTAGAGATTCGGGAAAGAATAACATGAAAGAGGCGAGAGTTAAGACGGATTTCGAAAGAGATATTTTGTCGAGTAGATACAAAGTAAGAAGTGGTGGAAGACGAAGGAGAAGAAGTAGAGTTGGTGCATTCAACTGAGTCATAACGACCGGAAGTCGTGTGTCGAGCAATTTTGAGCAGTGAAGGCCACCGAATGGGACCTCTTTCTTTACCTTGAACAGCCACTGAAAGCACTCTCTGTTTATTCCGAGATTCTTTTGAAACGGCCGAGGCCCTCCTTCCCTCCGTCTTTCTTCCTTTCGACCTCATCGTTCATGCAAAAACGCGTTTTCTTCTTGTCTGCCCGTCCTCGATCCCTATAGCAACCATCATCATCTTTTTCCTCACTCATCCCGAGCTCGCGAGAGGATGAGGAGATAATTTTTTGCGGGCGGCGGTCGAAGACGTGTGTGCGAAAACACATCTCATGACTATAATGAGCTCGATTTCGCTTGAGATTGAGCTTGACGAGCTGCCTCCAGAATCCAAATCTCATGTGAGTACAATTTCACGGGGATTGGAAATCAAAACAATGTTTTCTCAATCACTTTGTCTTCAGATACAATGGCTGCTTGACAATTACGAGACGGCCGAAGGATCTTCTCTTCCGAGGTGCCAGCTCTACGATCACTACAGAAAGTGAGTTGACTTGATTATTTATTCAAACTCTTCAAATTGTTTTCTACAGACATTGCGATGAAAACCGCATGGAGCCGGTGAATGCGGCGTCTTTCGGAAAGCTGATCAGATCCGTCTTCTTGAACCTGAAGACTCGCCGACTGGGAACGCGTGGCAACTCCAAGTACCACTACTACGGTATCCGAATAAAAGACTCGTCGATCCTCAACGACGTCACCCACACACCAATGCCTCACTTTGTACCTCAAATGACTCAAAGAGACGCCTACGCAGACACTGTGAACCAGGTGGCAGCTGCCAAATACTTGCACGAGGAGCCGCCGATGAAGAAGGGTCGCAAGGACATGTCTTCCAGCTCGTCGTCCTGCAGAGAGTGAGTGTTCTGACTATGAGTACTGTCTGTTATTATCAATCCGTTCAGAAGCACCTCTCCGTCGGAGCTTCGCATCCAGCCGTCTCTGCATCAGACCACTTCGATGGGAGTCCTTCCGCATCCGATACTCGCTCAGCCGCTCGTCGGAGTCTATGTATTCACTGAAAGCGATAAAGCCGCTCTGGGAAATCTCGATATGCCAAAAATACCGTTCGACAATCTGGAGAGTTTTGTGGACAGCATTGAGTAAGACTAAAAAACCTTTCTGCCAAATAGTAAATCAACGTTTTCAGGTATCGCAAACTCGGATTGGCTTCTGAAGTTCTAGGTTCTTTTGTCGAATCCTACTCGTTCATGTGCGCACAAATTCTGGATCTTGTGAAAAATGTCGACTTTGCCGCCGTCGAAGACATCTGGTGTAACTTTTATTCCGGAATGTATGGGGCGACCGAAGAGGAAATCGTGTCTCTGTGCACTCTCCAACGAGTCCAAGAGCACGTCATCGAAGTGGATCTTGCATTGTATCAAACCATGGTGGACACGCTCATTCCGAATGTCATCCTCACGGAGCTCACCGCCGGAATGACCCAGTCCTGCCGAACATTTGCCAAGAACATCGACAAGTATATGCTGAAAAGTGTGGAGAACCGGTTGGATCCGGCGTTTGTCAAGAAAAAGACACAGGCGCTCCACTACATGCAACAGGGTCTCAAGAGATACACTTCGCTGAATCATCTGGCTCACGCCGCCCGCGGAGTTCTCCAGAAGCCGGAGCAAGTGGCTCAGATGGCCATCGACTACGGTAAGGTCGATATAAATGCGGTGCACCGCCAAGCCGGATGGATCTGTGGATGCGACTTCACTCTTGTCGAGTACGTGAACACTTCCTTCAAAGGTCATCTCGAGGTGATGAGCACGATGGAGGCGTGGGCGGAATGGCTCGAGAGCATTGTGGATCAGATTCTCGCAAATTCCACGACAAGCCGGTGAGCATGGTGGAGACGATTGGCAAGCAATTCCTGCTCAATTGGAGCTTCTACACGTCCACCATCATCCGGGATCTGACTCTTCGATCCGCCATGTCGTTCGGGTCTTTCACTCTCATCCGATTGCTCGCCGACGACTACATGTACTACTTGATCGAGGCCAAAATCGCCAAGGTAAGCATTAAATCAATGTATTTCAATTGTAAAATAGAGAGATTATAGGCTGGAAGGAAGCAACTGATAACGGTGATCCGGCAAGAAAGGGACTACGCAATGCTGAGAAACAATGGAGAGTACATACAACCGGAGGATCCACAAGAAGAGCTCCACTAAGCAAAGAAGATCTCATTTCCCCGATACTAGTCATCCCTCGCACCAATATCCATCCAGTTTCCCATCCATCCCATCAACCGCTCTTGCCCCGGATAACAACTGTGACATAATATTTATAAAAACTTAGTTCCTTTACTGCACTGATCTCAAACTGTCCCTAGTGATAACTGACTCTCTTTCTCTTTCTTTCTCTCTGTCTCTCACTCTCTCTCTATCTCTACTTCTGTTCGATTCACTGATAATCTCAAGATTTCGTTCTCTGTCTACCACTCTTTACCGTCATCAATTGTGATTTGCATTTTCCTCACACTTTTATTCTCAGTCCACTTTGGTTCCTTTTACTCATAAACCATTTCATTTTGGCTCGAGCCGTTTTCGAAATAACTGCAATAACTGAGTTAGTCGAGTTTTCGGAAAGAAAGAGAATGGAAATCGAATTTCGGAAAAAACGGGTTCGAATATTTCTGGGAACTCAAAATAACAACAAAAAGCTCTTGGCAATACGTTCGTTCTGATCTGCGTAGGCGTGCAGTGGTTCTTCGATCTTTTCCAGAATTTTCCATACAGTATGGGATGGCTATGGCCATAACCACTCAAACCAATCGGATTTACGGGAATGACTGACCTGCCAGGAAGTATGCCCTAAAGGACTGGAAACAATGGCCCAATCACCGAGAACCTAGTGGTCGTTCGACGAAGGTTCTTGCGGCCCGAGCACATAAAAGGAACCCACTTTTTTACAGCTGTGTTTTTACCCATCACATTTTTCAGTGCTTCGCCTGACACAAACTCTGTTTTCAGCAACATTGTTCCCGTGCACAGTCTGTTCGTGATTACCTACTTGATCTTTATTTTCGTTTCGGTTCTCGTGTGCGTCACTGACGACGAATGTTTTGCACAAAAAAGGACGAGTAATGAGTAAGCGAAAACACGAAATGTTCAGCTGTCGAAGGGTCCATAAAGCAAGTGGATAACAGCACACACACGGTTTATTCAACGATCGTTCGGGGCGAACCGAAACCCGTCCGGGAAGCGAGCTCTTCGGCGAAAAACATTTTGAACTGCACAAGAGGAAGGAAAAATAAAAAGTGGGGAACGAGAGACAAAAATAAATAGAAGTGGAAGTGTGAAGGATGTCACCAGAACTTTCTGGAGAATATCTGACGACGGACGTGATGGTTGTTGATCTGTTCGACGCTCTGCACACGCATTATCTCGTTGACCATGTTCTCGAGCACGCCTTGCTGCGGGAACCGGCGCCCGTTGACTCCTTCGTCAGCCGAAGCCTGCAACAACGAATCACCTGCGTCGGCCATCATTTTTTCACATTTCGCTTGTTTTTCAGCAAAGTTTATGTGTTTTATGTGACCTAGAACTGAAGAACTCACATAGAACGGCATGGCCGATGAGACGGCGACAAGGGCCAAGCAGATCAGCAGAGTCACGAACAGGGGTGATTGCATCTGAAAACGAGCGAATGGTTTGGATCCGTTCCCGGGAAAAATAACAAGAGAAAAGGACAAAAACAGAGAGCCTAATTGTGTGTATGCAATTCCGAATCGCAGAAATTACGAGTGTCCGTGATGTGTTACGAGAATACGAGAAAGGTAAGTGGAATATGCAGAATTCAGTCATAAAATTATGAAGCCCTAATGCGAAAATGAACATGTTTGGGGGCGGAACGAGAGAAAAGAAAGCGTGCAAAAACTCCGGCTCTAAATGGTTTTATGCGATTTCGACGGGCAGGTGAAACCTCGGAATAGAATCTTTCCGACGACGACGACGACGACACCCTCACAGCGAAGACGTCCATTCGGGAACTGGCCGCCTGGAATGTGTTACGTGGAAAAGGAGGAGGAGCCTGCTCGGGCGCCTCGGCGAGCACAAATTAATGGACGCAAACTTCATTTAGACGTCATGTTGGCCGAGAAACAGATGAGAAGAAGGAGAAGAAGACTAATCGGTTCGGTTTCTGTGAGACTTGAGGGCTAAAAATGGAAGGATGATGGGAAGGGGCGTGGCTGTGCTCTTTGAGCCCGTTGTCTGGAATGAGAACAAGTTCGGGGGATACTGGAAGCACCCGGTGGAACAGTTTCGATTTCTGTGAAAGTGCCACGTTTAGCTGGACAATCCTGCGGAAGTGAAATCCTGTCAGTAAAAAAATCAGATATAGCGTCAAAAGTTACAAGTGTAAAGTTATTCTGAACAAAACTTGCAACAACTTTTCAGCTGACCACTTTTGGAAAAATTACCCTGCTCACAAACATCAAAAAGGTGCTTTGAAATTAACTACCACATGAAGCAGGCTATGAGCAAACTAACAAGAAGACTAACTCATTGCTTGAAACGGAACAAGACGGGGGGTAATGAGGCTAACATTATCTTCCGCCTACGTTCCCTTTTTATATGCATAGAGCTACAGTAAGTGCGCACGAAAACATGACGTGTGAGCCCAGAAACTTTGATCTTGGAAAAGTAAGTCTAGCTTCTGAGAAATCGATCCTCCGAAGAAGAAGAAACATTTAGTTCACAGCGGAATTAATTAATCCCTCCCTCTTTTTTTCGCTCGCGTTCTTTGGCCCGAATAATTATTGAATATTTATTCTTCCAAAGTGAGGAGCATACAAATCAAAGCTTTCGCCAATGGAAGATGAGTGAAATGAACAAAGAGGGAAACTCGTAAAGAATTCAGAAGACAAAGAAGAAGAAGAATGTTGTGCTGAAACACGAAACTAGTTATTGACCGTAATTTTTAAAACCAAAGAGATGAGAGAGGGAAATCAAATTAATAAAAGAGAAAATGTTAGGGGCGGAGTGAGGTGGTTACGTGGACGGAGGACTCGATTGGCTGGATGGCGGACTCGATTGGAGAAGGTGTTGGAAAAAGAGCGGGTTGAGTTGCGGACTCGTTCCGTACGAGGGCAGGAACATCATCGGAGACGGCAGCAGGCTCGGGTAGTGATTCTCAAAAAACTATTTTGATTAGAAAGCTTCGAACCATCGTTAGGCTCACCGGTGCGGCTGCGAAGTTCTGCGCACTGTACTGCTGGTAGATGACTGGCATGTTCTTCCGACATCTGGCCCTTCGGTTCGAGAACCACGTCATGATCTTCTCCTCGCTGAGCCCCGTCTCTTTGGAAATGTTTTCTCGAGCATTGGCAGGTGGGTAGGTTTCTGCGGAAAATGCTCTTTCGAGCACGTCCAGTTGCTCGGCGGTGAATGAAGTCCGATTGCGACGGGAAGAGGAGTCGTTGGAGGGAGAGGAGCCTTCTTCGTCGTCTGAAGACGATTTGCTGCATTCATCTGAAACGAAAAGAAGTTGTTGGAAGCGAAAAGTAATCCCTGCCGCCGGAAGAGTGACTCAATTGGCAGGTCGACCTCCCACCCAATTACTAATATATCATGTTGCGCCACACAGAGGTGGTCTCTCTCGCGCGCGCCCCTCGTACTAATCGATAAGATCGTAGTGACTTGTCCTATTGCGGCTAAATTTATGGACTCTGACGAACTTGACACCTGTGTGTGCGGGGACAGGATTGGCCATTCGTCTCGGGATGAGAACCCTATTAATTTGTTTTTATCGTCATCGCCATCCTCATCATCATCGTCGTCATTCGTCGTGTGGTCTCACCTTCACTCAAGTTTTATGAGCTGTGCGCTAATCGGTTGTCAAACGGTCAGGATGGATTACACTTGGAACAGCGGAAACCAAGCTGAATCCAAAACTACCGTAATCCTTAGTCTTTTGATCATTCTGCCAACTATCAACCTTCAGCTTTTCACCTGCTTCCTTCATCCTCGCACAGTGCTAATGTCAGCGCGTCACAGAAGGCTTGCGAAAAAGACGGAAAGAAGGACACCTTCTATTCTGGTCGGTCACAATCAGAATGAGTGTGGCTTTCTTGTTGCGCGGGGTTCTAATTGAAAGTTGAACGGCTACCGTATTCCGTCGTGTCAAACTTTGACATTGTGTGTAGATGTAGCGCTTTTTTTCGCGCATCGACCCTCCCCTCCTCCAAAGTGCCCATCCTGATCAATTGGCCGCGAAATATGGAATTTATGGGGACGTCCCGCTTCGCAAATGCCTTCTTCCTAACCTATTTGAATAGGCACCTATCAAGTGCGCAAATCTCTATCTTAATTGCTATGTGAGACTGACTCTGGTGGTTGGTTGGGGCGAGAAGTTAAATGTTCACACTTTTGGAAGTGGATGCTTGACAAGATTGACGACAAGTTGGACGACGGACGCCGGAATGTGGTGGTGCGGGCGGCCAAGAGGCAAAAACAGCAGGGGGTGGCCCCGGAACAATGTTGCAAAGTTGAGAATAAGTAAGGCTTCTTGGGGAGTCTTTTCTGAAGATAACTATGTCAAAACTACCGCCAGATTGACCCTTATTCACTTCTACAGTACCTGACCACGTGGCTGATTGAATTAGTCATGGTTCTCTCGAAAATCGGAGCGCCACGCACGCTTACAAACAAATAATCAAATCAGTATGGAATCCCCCGTCGACCCGATCGTCGCCGGTATCAGTTTTCCCAATTGGCGACCAATTCACATCATTCTTCTTCCTCGCCTCCCCACACTTTTCACCCCGCGTCCTTTCCTTTCAACCCAACGTCTTCTCCTTTCTTTCCATCAGTTTTATCGTCTTATCACACCGTTAACACACACACACACACACACACACACGCAGTCAGACACAGCCACCCTTTCTGCATCTCATCTACACTAATCAAAGTGTTAATGACCGTTATTATATGAAGGCGGCAAGTCCATATACCGTATGCCCTCTGGCCCAAAAGGTACAGTAACCGCTGCTTCGTGGTGGGAAACTTTTGGAGAGGAAAAAGAGTTGCAAAAAGAGACGGGCCAAATTGGACAGGAAATGGAAATGAGAACTGGAGGACAGACAGACGGAACCGAATTATAAATGTGTGAAATCCATTTGGAAATGAGAAAAGACAAAGAGTGCTTACCGATGGAAATGCCGAGGATACTGTCGATGCTGTAGCTGAGCCGCTTCCGTTCCATCTTCTTCTCTCGGACGTGGAGGCCTGCAAAATCGGAAAAGTACAAGCTGATGAGAAGAAAAGAGAGATGATAGGCGTTGAAAAAATGATTGATCGGGTCAGAAATGGAAGTGATCGCACACCCATTTCTCTGCTAGTTTCAATGGTTTTGATGTCTGCCGCTGAACTTCTGATTCGCTGACTTAAGATTCTCATGAACTTTCGCAAAAGCTCTGGGAATGACCTTCGTGTGCTTCCTAACCGATTTGAATTCAACATTCAACACACCACGTTGTTCGCCGAAAGAAGAAAAGTCATGGAAAGGCAAACAAATGACACAGCTATCAGTAGCGGAACCCACGTCCGCTACCGAACCGCTTCTCTGTTTACTTTCAATCCCTTTCATAGGAACCCTCCGTCTTCTCATTCCCCTTTTCTTACCTTTCGATCCGATTAGCCTTCTGATGGCAGGAACTGTCGGCGCGTTTCCCTTCGTGCACACTTCCTTCTGAATGAGCAGATCTCTCAGTTCCGTCGGGCTCATTTGCGGATTCTCTTCAAACGCGACTATGATCTCCTTTTCGACCGCTTGTCCGGTCATCCGTGCGCGAGGACTGCCTCCAATCTGAAAATGAATGTTCCAGTTCCAGAGGATACGGTAGTGACCATAATAAACAACTAAAGAATACTAGAGACTGCACGCCCCCCAGAGACACAGCAATCGGCATTTTTCGAAAAAGACTGCCACCCGTGGCGCCGTCGCACCTGCGCAACCCTTCACCTCTCTAAATTTACCCGCGCCGCGAGTACGGTAACCTTTTTTTTTGAATTTGCAGATGACACGCGGCACGTGTTGTGTACAAATAGTTAGCGTTTTGTTGCTCCTATCTTATCACCGGAATTCTGATTGTAACCGTACCTGGCCTGGCGATATGGAGCCCGTTTCCGCGTAGCGATTCAAGATCTTCGAGACGGCGCCGTGGGAGACTTTGAGTTGGCGACTGATGTGGCAGGGTCTGAAATCAGATGGGAGTAGGAACTAAGGGTAAAGCTAAGAATACATCTGAAAATGAAGAGAGGAAACTGGAAAAGAAGCTTAAACGCACTTGATCCCTTTGTTAGCCATGGAGATGATGGCCTGTCGGACGTGAAGTGGAAGAGGACGGCCGTTGATGAAGAGCCCTCCCAGCTGGTTGACTCGGCCCTGGACAAAAACGGATTGAAAATGAAAATGGCATGAAATATAAGAAGAGCCAGTTGGAATCGTTTTATTTCAACTAGAAAAGCTTCTGAAACGTCCTCAGTCTTTAGTAACTTAGAAAAATGACAATTTGAGTTGGATACTATTACTTCTACGCTAACCTATTATCCTGAATGATATGGTTATTTGGAAGCTCACCTGTCCCAGAATATGGTTAAATGTGATCGAGTCGGTGGCCATTTCGGATTATTATTTGGAACGGGCCCTGGAAACGAATAAGGTGTGAGAGCGTGAAAAGTTGAAGAGCGAGCAGTTTCTCTGACACGCCTCGTCGAACTGTGAATGGGCGGAGGACGCGCGTGCGACATGCGGACGCCCCGCCCCCGTCGGTCTCGAATACGGTATCATGCGAGACGAGTGCGGTGTCTTCAAAGGACGCCAGCCTACTGGTAGTCGTCACCCCGGGGCGCGCGCCTTATCACAATATCCGCGGGAGAAAGGATTAAGATTTATGTGCTCGCTGCTCGGAAAGGTCAATGTTTTGACACCTGAGCGGAATGATGAAGTGCAAAACGTACGGGAGGTATTCAGAAGACGAAAAGGAGTGTGCGTTTGCAGGTTTCAAATGATTATTTCGTTGTGGTATCTGTGAAAAGGCTGCGCTGACCTTTACAGATTCAAATTCAAATGCGCGGAAGTGGTATCGAAGAGAAAAAACTGAGAGAAAGACAGAGCAAACAGACAAAAACGGAATTCGAACGGAGACATGTCTCAGGTGAAGATGAGTAACGGAAGGAGTGTTACACTCGGAAGTGTCATTGCCAGAGGGACACTACCGAATACTACCGTACTCGATTCAAACACAAAACTTTGTGGTCTCAGAAATAAACACGGAGCTCTAGAAGTCGGCCCATTTGATAGTTATCTTGGCTATCTGCGAGTAACCGATCTCCCAAACAAGTTCATCTCTGGAACTGTCATGTCCCATCCATAACCATTTGCCACTTGCCGCCAGCAATTAGCGAGTCGGTGCCACTTTGAGAAATGTTTTCAGACATACTGGTGGCAACACTCGCGACACCTTTTAGATAGTCATCGGAGTGCGCCGCACCTTCCTGCGAGCAAGGGTCTCGAGTAGAAGAGGGCTCAACTCTCGAGGACCGTTGCCCAACCAAGTAGTTCTCTTTTCGGCACGTGTTCATCCGCGGATTGCGCAAGGATGTCATTGTGTTGCCTGATAACCCCGTGGACCCGTGTTATCAGGACCCGGCCGGTCTTCTTTGATCGTGGCCGTAATTAAGGGGCACGCTGTCAGCCAACTTGACGCCTTCGCACCTTTGTACCACTCTGATATCTTCATCTCCGGACGGTTTCGCGGATTATCGGCTAAGGACATCATCTTTATATTTTGGCGGAAAACAGTTTTAGCTGAATGGGAGGGTACGGAAAACGTTCACTACCGTAAACAGCACAGCTCAGACCGGTTCAATATGAGAGCGCGTTTCGTTTTTGATTGGAAACAGAACAACATCTCTTTCTTCTTTTTTCACAGAAGGCAACACATGGGCACCAATTTATCACATCCCTTTAATTAGCAAATTAACGACACAGTTAAGAGCGATAGTCGACAAAGAATGCAAAATGACGAGATAATATCCGCATGTCACCCGCGTACCTTCAGGGCAAAACACTTCCGCTGACAAGGGATGCGTCGGCAAGTGTGCCAGATTGGATGGATTAGCAAGTGTTCCTGTGGGCCGACAAAGGTGCAAAGATCAGGAAATGTAATCCGACGCAATATGCTCGGATCGCCTAATTATCTCTCGTTCTTGGGGAGTTGACAGTCGGTACAGGGGAAAAGACGAAAAGGAAGACCTGTTTTGAATTCACTCCACGTGACACCTCTATAACCTTTCCACAGAAGTTCCTTATCACTTTATCAGTTCTGAAACGTGTCCCCCGTGAACTCTTTTTCTCCGATTATTTCCGATTAGTTTTGCCTTTTGAGATGAGCGGAAAATATTCGGGTACGTCTCCCCATCTCCTCTGGAATCACCCTCTTTGCAGATAACAGATTCTTCTTCGTCCATTACGGATGCTGCATTCCGACCGAATCGTACGTCTGGATCCTCGTCGTTCTGTTCGTCACCACCATCCTCGTTCTTCTCTTCTGCATGCTGGCCACTGCCACCGTCAGATGGGTACGGCGCGCCATCGGAAGCTAGAACTGGAAACCTTTTTGAGTTTACAGTTGTACAAAAGAAGAATGCGTAAAAGGCTTCAAGATCTGAAGAGGAAATATCTTCAAGATCAGCTGAAAGCGCAGGAATTCGAAGCAAAACTCAATTACATGGCTCAGAAGAACAAAAGTGCGTCAAAAAGATCATCCCCTTCCCTACAGGGCCCCTGAATACATTTTCCCGCCAATTTTGAAAACGAAAGGTCACGTGTGATATTGTAGGCACTAAAAATGACAACTCGAAGGAGAGTCTACCGGATAAATTCACAATTTTCGTGGACCCCGCTCAAAACTACGCTCACCAGTACTCGGCCAAAAAGAAGAGAAACACGTGGGTGTGATCCCGGAGAGTTTAATGAGGTCAAACTTTTCAGTCATAACATCCCGCAGAAGGCCGCAGCTCCGACGATGCAAGCGGTAAATTGATGATTGACGACAACGTGTTATACAATTTTATTCGTTTCAGCCTCCTCTTTACGACCGAGATGAGACGCCGATAGCGCAGAGTACATTGGCGAGTCAATCGAACAGTGAGTGGAATGATTGAGTGGACATACTGGGGAACAGGGATGTTTGCAGCCAACATGCCCAACAACAATCGGTGGTTCTACCCGCAGAAGCATCAGAAGGGACCTCTACGTCCGTTGGTCTCGGACTTCAAGGCTTCCCCGAACCCTCCTGTGCTGATTCCACCGCAACATGCACCCGTTCATCCGCCGCCGATCGTCATTGTTCCGACTGTTGCTCAGTCGAAGTCTCCTCCGAAGATGCCTGATTCGACCCAATCCACTTCTCCGGGACCTGCTTCTCCTAAGAATGTGGTGTCTCCGATAAAGACGAAGAAGAAAAGCAATGAGAAAGTTCTGGCTCCTCCGTCGGTTTCCACGTCTACTGGAATCACCGAAACGACGGGAACTACGGACACTTCTGCGAGTTCCGGAACAGTTGGAACCACGGGAAACACCGACGGAACCACGAAACCGACTGCTTCCTCTGACACTACGCAGACGACTTCCAACGACTCTCCGACGGTTCCCACGTCTTCTGGAGCCGTGTCGCCGAAACAGGGGAAGAAGTCGTCCGGAGAGGATGTCAAGCAACGAGTGCAGTACGGACAAGACGACATCGTCAGCCCACTCGAGAAGAATGAAGATCGGACGGCCGGAGCCGGAGGACGTGGCGAGTGGAAGTACTACTACGCTAACTCGGTCTCATCTGAAGGCAAGAAACGTGCTCCGAGCACTGTCACCAAGTCGTCCACGTGAGTGTTTTTGCAGTCCGCCATTCGAAACAGTTCATCTTTTTAGAAGTCACCGTCCCTCCTCTGGCTCGTGGCTCATTGACTCGACGGGCTCGAATCGTTACGACGGAAGAGGCAGTTCCAGATGCAGTTCGATCATCAAAACGGATTCGTCGCACTACAAAACGGCGTCGCCTGAGCAGTTCCCGCACGGTGCATTTGGTTTCCAACAGTAGAAACTCCACTCTTTTCTTTTCTTTTTCTGTCTATTATTAAATTTGTTGTTGTAAGTAATTAGATGAGAATAATTTATTTGTATTGTATTTGAATGGGTCTAAAACGCCCAGCAAGGATTCGGACACTTTTGAATAAACGTTTCGAAGTAACCCTTGGTGACGGACATGATGACAGTGTGGACGGTGGTTTTGTTGAGGTTTGGCTTCGAGGAGAGAACCTGAAAGAATGAGTTTGAGCCCAGTGGGAACGGAAGGGACAGACCGTGTAGATGCCTTTCATGGACACTTGCGAACGTCCCAACTTCTTCATGCACGCGATTCCAGGATCACGACGGTTGTCAATAAAGAGTGGTTGCTGCAAGAGATCCTTTCTTTCCTTGTTGTTGATTTGATCGTTACCTTATCAGGATCGTAATTCGTCTGCAGAAGGAACCAGTCGTTGTCTCCGTCGAACAGTTTCCTCTCGAACTGGACGGACGTCGTGTTCCGCACGAGCACACTTCCCTCTCCCGGATTGGCCCCTCCGAGAATGAAATAGGCGCCTGTCAACAGTTTGACACCGGCGATCTTTTCGCGCGCGCACTGAAAAGTGAACAACAGTTTGTACATAAACAGGACTTTTGTTTGCTTGCACCGGGCGAACTGACCTGGAAGTCGTCGCAGTTCTCGAAAAGCCATCTCTCGAAGTACATGACGAATTGGAGATCCGTGTTCTCGTAAGCGCCCATGTACCATCTGGCGACGTTGAGCAGATCCGGCTGCACCTTGGCGTTCATCGAAAGAGAGAACTTGTGGGGTTTCATGGCTGAAGCATTCACTTTGAAGCGAGCCTCTTCATTTCTTTATCTTTACCAGTAAGCACTCCGACGTGTCCGGCAAGAGTGGATCCTTTGAAGAGAAGTTTTCCGTTCTTGAAGAAGTTGATATTCACACTGACCTTCTTCAAAGCATCAGTCAATCCCCACGACTGAGCGGCAATGTCCCAGACAAACAGCTGACCGAAATCGAGGTTTCTTGCGTGGTAAAGGTCTTTGTTGTCCTCGGTTTGAGCAACGATCGATGTGCAAAAGCGGGACATTTCGTAGAAAATATTCAAAAAGACGAGATTTCCGATTGGCACTTCGAGGACTTCAGCAATACCCTTCAAGAATTGGGAGCGTTTAAGTCGGGAAGCGTGCACTAAAACCGACCAGAACTTCATCTTTGTACGGATTCATAATCATTCCCTTGTCGAGAGCGCTTGCAGTGATATTTCCGATAAGTTCCCACGCATTCACTCCTGGGATAATAGTCAGGAAATACTACAAAAGGTTCATCTTTTTGGGAAGTTTGGATGGATTACGGTACGTTAAGCACGTCGAACACAGCTCTGATCTCATTCTTGTAGGCTTTGGCAATTTGTTGGAAGCGCTGGCGAGGTGGAAGGTCGAGGTTCACATCGAACCAGAGCACCTGAAAGAGAAGATTACGGTATGACGTAGGTGCCACGAGAGAGTGATGATAAGTGATTTAGCGGAACAATGTAGCCTGCCTTTTCAGATTCTGTTGGATCATAGATGTCGGGTCCACCAACAAGACAATTCGGTGGAAAGTCCGGGTTGTCCACATTTCTCAGCTCCGAACCGGGAAGTAACTGGAAAGACACAGATGATAACGGTAAAGACGAACTCGGGATTGGATTGATTGACAGTTTTCCACAGGAATGAGGAAGTTTACTCAGATTGTCATACTTTCCAAAACAGGAACCGTATGCCTATGATTTCTTACCGTCGCCAAAAGCAGAAAAGAAAGGCAAACTGCGACTGGTTTCATGATTACCCTGAAATTAAAACCGATTGGGAGTGGGAAGGATTCTGTAAATGAAGAAGACTAAAAATGAACATCAAGTGATTATGAAGTGGCAACAGAAACCACGCGGTGATAAATGAGCAAACTAAAAATGAAGTTTGGGTTTCCATGTCAAACCATAAATCATTGGAATTCGGCGAGCTGGCAATTTATGAATTGAAGAATGATTTCCCTTTTTCGACCGATAACCGCCGCTCTTTTATCAGCATCTTTTCGGTCATTTATCAGCACACACAAATCAAAAACTTCTCTAGCCAAACTGCGACTTCATTTATTTGCCACAATGTGTGGAAAGACAGCGAATTGAAACACGTGTTTCTTGAAGAGAGAATAAGTTAACATTTGAGGGATTGGGGGCCAGATATCACAGAGCAAATGGTACAAAAGAATCACTGGGTAAATGGGGGGACGGAAGGCACATTTCAGAAGAGAAAGACGGTGAGCAAGTAGACGGAAATGACGGAGAACACGTGGAAGGGATGAGCTCCCGAGTCGGCGAGGTCGTTTCCTCCTGGAGCATCGGTGATCGAGTTGTCCGATGGGGACAGCGTGGCGCTGCCGGGGGTGTTCTGGAAGAATAATTTGATCTGGAAGAGCAAGTGACGTCAGCTACTGTTCCAAGTGGGATTAATAAGAACTTGAGACGATTGAATCAACATTTGATGGTGGACCGGTTGCCACATTGCAATGAGTCACCGTTACAATTCAAAAGAACAGAGACGGAGACAAAGACAATATCAAGAACATACTTTTCTCACCTTCAAACAGACTCCGAGCAAGTTGTCCTTCAAATTGGTGCACAGCTGATCATCCCTCGTCGTGCAGGTGCAGTTGCCGAAGATGGCTCCGACGGAAGTCTCGATGGTCTGGTTGAGAAGAGTCTTGCACTTTTCACTGCACGCGCCTACAACAAAACAACTAGACAATGACGGAGAGATCGAAAGATCGGGTCTACCTCTGGCGGCATCCGCTTCGCACTCCGACATGAACACTCCGAATTTGGAGTTGCACTGGAGGTCTCCCTCGCAGGCGAGCTTTCCGAGACTGCAGTGAACGGTGGATTCGGCGGGGAGGAAGTTGCAGGTGCGCAGTTCGTCGCGTCCTGGAATGCACGTGGCATCTGTGCGGAGGAGAACGCGACCGAGTTTGTTCTGGTAGACGTTGAGCACGGCGCTTCTGCATTGTGGTTGACAGGTTCCAGTGGTGCTGAAAAAGGAGAATTCAACTGCGGAATGCTAAGAAAACACAACTAGGACTCACCAAGCAGCCATCATCGGAGCTAACCGATTCTGACATTCCAAATCATTCTCACAATCCGTCAACGCTTTCGTGCAGGCTTCCGATGGCGCCTCTTGTGCCAGACACAGTGATACGATAATCACCAACGGGAGAAGTAACCTCCTCATTCGGATCATTCGGATGCGCTGAAAAATGAGAGGACGGGTGAGCGAAAAGGGAAACAAAAGGAGGTCATAAACTGTCAAAGGATAGGTAATCGAGTGCACTTTTGACAGTCTTTTCATTCCGTCCGTGCCGGTGCTCTCCGCCGCCGCCCGGATGCTTCAACAAGCGGCTCTCAGGGACTGTCCTCTCTGCTGATGCTCCGTCCCGACAGCCCAAGACAGGTCCATGAGGAGGCAAACAGGCGCAGAGGAGAGCCCATTCTTCGGCCGCACGCTCCTCCCCAACGGCTGCTGTCCGCTTTTGTTTGTCCGCGCGTCGCCGCCGCCGCCGATCACTTGCCCCCCTCTTCAGTTTTCGCGTTTTACGGTTTTACGGGGTGAAAAGTCGTGTACATAGGTGGGGAGAGAGTGGGCAAACGCGAGAGACGGCAGAAACACTGATCTGGTGCTCACAAGGTGCTCGGAATCGCCACGGGAGGAGGGCTCTCCGGGCGGAACGAGAAGGCAGAACAACACATTGCGAAACATTAGTTCTTGCGGTGATGATGGCTGCTTCCTCTCAATGAATCACAAAATCAATCTTTGCCACACTATTCCGGTTTCCGCACTGGAAAACAACGGGGGAAGCGAACCTTTTTAGGACGGGTTCTTCGAAGGAAAGAGGATGGTGCTAATTACCGAAACTAATGGAGAGAAGGCGAACAAATGAGTGATGGATTCCAAGAACTATGAGGATGACACTCTTGACCTACTAAACTGAAAAACAAAAAAAGAATGGGAAATTAATATGACGTGAAAAGAAACGAACAATCCATTATTTCTCAATCTTTTCAAAAACGATGAAGTATCTGCTACTGATTCTAATCCAACTGATTGTCTTCGTTGAATCTGCGAGTATCTCGGTCCGCCGTCAATCGAATCGCTTTGTGCTCGGAATCTCCCTTTTCAGCTTTGCGGCACCGTCAATTCCACATGGGCGAATGACTCGTCGGTTCCTGAAATTATCGTGCTTCGCGAGCACAACTTGGAAGATTCGCGAATGAAAGAGGCGATGTCCGACGTGGATTGCTGGCTTCAGAAGAACTTCAAAGTGAACCAATCGTACAGTGTTCCGACGAAAGGCGACCCGGAGATGATCTGTTACAAGATCGCGACGGTTCCGATCAAAGCGAATCAGCTGATGGTCGTGGCGACGGAGGGATCGTCTGCCGAAAACTGTACCATTTCTCTGTACGGTCCGATTCCCAATATTCTGAATGTAAGAAGTATCTGAGAGTGACATAAAGTCTTCTGAATCGAATTTCAGATAAAAATGTTTATCGATGGAACTAAAAACGATTCGGCTAAGAGAATAGAGATGACATTGCGCAATACGGGCGGTTTCTTCGGAGTCCAATTTGAATTGCACAGAAAATCGGTCGCCACTAAGATTCAGAAGTCTGTCGCTTTCATGATCGAGCTGTCGAAGAAAACGATGGAATACGCAAAGTTAGTGCCTTTCTGGAAGCCGACAATCGAAGTGCCCTCGGGAGATTACGAAGTCAGGCAAATGACGGAGGAAAGGAGTGATCTGATGCGGAAGCACATTTCCATTTCGTGGCTTCTCATCGCCTCCGTCATGCCCATGTTCGTCTTCGGAATCGTCGTTTCGTGCTACATCGTCATTCACCCGGTACCCATCCCGCCGCTTTCCTGAAAATTCATTGTTGTTTCCAGCGTGGCGGTCTCACGTACACAGACGAAGAAGTGGACTTCACTATTCAGGAAGTGGACAGTAACAGCAGAGTGAACACGGCTCGCGACAAGAGCCTTCCGTTGTTGTCCGCGGCGCCGATGAGCCTCGGAATCCCCGCCGCTCTCGAGCCTGATCTCCGAACGGCTCTGGAACCTCTTCCGGATCCGGCCTTGTACACTGCGAAAGATTCGGAAATTCACACGGACGTGACGGTGCTCTCGGAGGTCAAGTCGGCGGAAACTGTGAGAATGATGATTGTGGCGAAGGGAGGAGACACGATGTCGCTGAAGACTGGAAGGGAAAAGTGAGACGAATTCATACGATTATCACAAAATAAATGCTGAAAAAAGTGAATACGATTAAATGAAAAATAATCAAACAGTTCAAACGGAATGATAATTAATTGATTACGGTAGTTTCCCTGCGCGTTCGGACCCTTGTTCAGTTGGCAGATTCTTCAAGTATATCCCGAACTGTTCGACGCACACAGCTGTCTTCCCACGGCGTTGGCACGTGCTCTGGCCCGTATTTCGACATGTTCTCGAGCAAAAGTTGTCGTTGCTTGCCTTCGAATTCGTTGACAAATTGGCGGTCGTCGGCGGGGAGCCACAATTGTCCGTCGTCGACGTCTTCCGTGTGAACCTGTAGCTTGATGGAGGGCACCACTCGGCAACGCTTTGTTCCTTGCGCCTCTCCGATCAGACCTGTCATTTCGATGATTGTTACCGGCAAACGCTGAAAAACATTTTTATTGAGTGCGCTTAAAAACGGAGATCATACTGATTTGTACAGATAGCGCTGGCTGATTTTGCAGATGGCTTCTTCGATCGGCGTGCCGTCGTACCTGTTGTTTGTCACGTTATCATTCTGAAACTTTCCATAATAATCTGGTTTACGTGCAAACCCGATACCTCCAGTTCTAAAAGGAAGGATGTTCTCTGTTTATGCACGTTGGCTCGTGTTTCGTCGCTCTGTTCAGTTGTCATAATGATGTATTCTGAAATTGAACATTTAGTATCTCTCTCGATTTCTGTCCAACTCACTTATTGCCACCAAGTTGCTCGAAATAATGAGATCATGCTGATAGTAATCGAGAAGGCGTTCGATTAGCAGAAACACGTTTATAGAAGAGCCGAATATGGACGCAGTCTGATGCAGTTTTGAGTCGAGGAACGAAGCGACAGCACGGAGGTGGTAGTCGAAGTTGAAGGTCATGAAGCAGACACTTTCCTGCAACTGGCTCGCGGTATTAGCTACACTATTTCAGTCCAAATTGGCATACCTTTAATTGATTGGCTGCCACATGCAATTCTTCAGACTCTTTCGTGTACAACGCTTCCATCACCGGGATCATGTAATAGTCGGCAGACGACGCCTTCGCCCTATCGAACAGGTGAAAGGAAACGACGAATTCGGGCATCTCGTATTTCAGATCAGCAAAAATGATGCCGCCATCATAGGCTTTGAAGAAGACGAGGTACGGGAGATCATGGAAGAGGTTACTGTTGGTTGTGTACCGATTCAGATGTCTCGAACGACGATTCAATTGTTCGACATTGAATTGAATGAAGTTGTATTTGCGAGTGAAGTAGCGGGCGAACTCTTCCGCGTGCTTGTATATTATCGGAGAGACCGCTGCCTCCATGGCTGGGTCCTCGAACGACGTCAGAGCATTCTCAGGAGCATCCAAAGGCTCCGCAGTGACGGCAGTCGCTTCTTCGCCTTTGTCTATGGATTGATCTCTGGAAAAGCAACAAAATAGCCCGTTGAAACCGTCGAAAATTCTTACTTGTCTGGTTGCTTTCTGCTGAGCTTTCTGGACAATTTACTCGCAGCGTTTAATGTGAAACTGAACATCTTCTCAATCGGGCCCGAATCTGACGGTTTCACAACTGGAATAGCGGCGGAAATCGAATTGTGACGAGAATCCAATGGCGCCGGAGAAGTCGGTGGATTCGGTATCCAGGCGCGACGAACTTTTCCAAACTGAAAAACGGAGGATGAACCGGAAGAATCATCTGAAATACCGACCGTTCTCTGGAAGTTCTCATCTCCGACTATCACTGGTTTCGACTCGGAATTGCTTCGAGAAGACTGTTCGCATTCCTCTATCTTCTCCCAACCTTCTCCTCGTGTCTCGTCCTCTACTTCCGATTCTTCATCCGACCACACTTCCTCCTCTTCCGCAGCTTCTTCGTCGTCTCCCAATCCTTCAACCTCCTTGACAGTCACGTCCGAAATGATCACTTCCACATTTTTTTCAGAGTACTTTCTCTTCATCAATTGCTTATTTGCTTTCGCTTTCTGAACCTCAACGAATTCGTGCAACTCTTTCAATGAATCTTCGAGTGCCAAACGAAGATCCGTCTCGCGAACGACTTCATCAACGAGTATTCCGGCACGACGAGGAACGTCTTTATTCCAGTCGGATCGGAGGAATAATGGAGTTCGGATTTCATGGAATTTTGTAGCGGCAAGGTCTAACTTGAGTTCAGTTTTCTTCAAAAACTCTCCTTTTCCTTTGAATATCTCGGATTCTGCGATGGCCTGCGATCTGAGTGACTCTCCGTAGACGGACGCTCTCTTCGAAGTCCGTTCTGTCATCGATCCGTTGTCTTCTGTGTGATCATCTTCATGATGTCTGTATCTGACCGATGTAGACGACGAGGTATTCGTAGGCGGAGGGCCCAACTTCTTGGCCACTTTCGGAGGACGAATGAACAGGAATAAGTCCCTTTCGAAGATAACCGCGCTCTTTTTCATCATCTCGACGTGAGCGTTGGCGCATCTAATCACAAATTCGATTCTGTTCCGGAGCCCTGACCTCCAACGGAGCATCTGTTCGTAATGCATCGTCCTGACGCAATCACTTTTGAATAAAGTCTTCGTTCGTCCCATAGTCACTTGCAGATCTGGCTGTCGATACATTCGGAAGAAAATGTTTGAGCATTGCGGCTCCCGCATATATGGCGGTGGTGGTTTGTGATCTCCTGGGAACTCCTTCGAGATCAGAGCAGTCGGATCCGTCCAAATAAGCACCTCGTAGTCGTATTCGTTATGAGGTTCCGTGTGAAACGGCGACAAATGAGTGATTCCCATTTTGTGAAGACCAATCTCTCGGAGCAATCGAGACTTTGCGTTGTGAAATCCGACAATCTTGTTCACACAATCAACGGCTTCCGTGTGTATGTTGTTGTGGTAGTTGTAGAAATATATGGTCATGAAATCCCCTTTGAGATGAGCCATCATGATGCGTTGTCGCGGACTGTACATGTGAGTTTGCACGAGTGGGTTGTACTTGCCATCTGAAAAGAGCATAGTTCGGTGGATTCTGTTGAATTACTGAATACTTACGAAGATGATTTCTGAACATCTGCTTCATCTCCTCAACCTGCGTTTTCGTCCGAATCATGTTCTCGCCGTACCCTTCGAATACATTGTGAATGCAACTGACCAGAATGTACTCCTCTTGACACTGGGATTCATCCACTCCACAGTCCCCGGTCATCGCGTGGAACGGATCCGTCGTGAGCACTTCGAAACGAGCATCGTGAGTTGCCGTTCCGAAGATCGAAAGACTTGACTCCCGTAACGACACGCCCGCGTAACTGTCCATCTCCGTAGGTTTACGCAGTCCACAAAGGTATACCCTTTCTCGGATGTCCGACTCGTAAAGACCGCCCAGACTGACTTCCAGTCGATTGCGTATTTCGAACAGAGCTGGCAGACTGGCGTGCTGGAACTCGAATCGTATCGTCTGCTTGACAACACTGTTCGTCTCTCCCTGTTTCGAAGCCACATAGTCGAGCCATTTGATGATACTGTACGCGTTTTTTCGGTTCATGAAATCCTGACGGCGCAAACTGGAACGTTTTGATCTGGCGAGGGTGCATAAACTGCTCATTTTCAAGTACCTGTAGTCGTCTCCCCGTAGTAGAGAGCTCTCGATGTCCTTGGCAATCGAGGGCATTCTGCCGACTGCCGTCCTGCTGGTTCCCGGGTTCAAACCGATGTCAACGCTTCCGCCGTGCTGCAATTTTTTTTATAGGATCTCAATAATCTCAAATGCCTTCAGATTCGCACTCACCACAAGACTTTTCCGTATCTCTCCGGACGGGTGTTTGTTGTCGACAGAAACCGTCACACTGCTCGCAGATCCTTGTTTATTCAGTTGTTTCGGTTCAGAAGATACTGATTCGGGCGCCTGAAAGAGCACTTCAGAGTTCCGGTTGGCCGCCACCGTTCCAGTGAGTACGCCTTCTTCCACTATCGTCGTATTCAGATATCCAAACTCGGTTATGACGTCAAACATGCTCATTTCGATCAGTTCGTGCATTAACTTTTCGAGCAACTCCTCGACCACGTCTCCTTTCGTCCACGCAATCATTTCCAGATATCCACAGATAGTCTTCTCCGGCGGACACTTCGGTTTTTCGCACTGCTGTGACCTGATGATGTCCTTGTAGACAGTCGCCTTATCATCGAGCACATTCGGAACGAGCAGCTTGTGGCTCTGTTCGTTCATGCTCGGCTGGTCGAAGTGAGTGAAGAGCTCTCCGTTTGGCTTCACAATCCGGAACTCGATGAGTGCGATTCCAGTGTGGATGACTCCGCGGTCGGGAAGCATGTGATAGACGAAGAAGGAGGAAAGGGGGTAGTTCGAAGGAAGAGTTCCAGCGATCGGATTGAGCGATAGGAACAGCTCCGATGCGTCCGTGACCACCGGCTTCTTCAAATCAGGCTCCTTCTCATCATATCCATCGAACGAGAATCCGCGCATACTGCCTTCCCGCACTTCCACTCCCTGATCTATTCCGTCATCTTCTCCAGCACTTATTTCCACCGTCTTCTTTCTTTTTATTTCCCACGGCGTTATTGGTGTCTTCATGAACGCAGCTCCATTGTAGAACAATCCGTTCTCCTTGATTTTCGCAGGTGAAATATTCGGAAGCTCCTCGATGTGTTGGCCGACATAGAAAAGAAGAGAGGAGAGGAATTCGTGGAAGATGGTGGGAATGGTGAAGAACGAGCGGATTTGTGGGGGCTGATCGGCCGGCTGAAGGAAGGCGACCTCACTGGCCACGAGTGGCTGCTCCAGATTCTGCGAGTATCCTCTCATTATCTCCACGAGCAGCAGAGCGTCAATCTTCTCGTTCAGAACCTTCCAGAAGTGTTGAACGACGTTTTCCTGTGGTTCCGCTATTCCGAAGATCGTCATGCAAACATTCGTCTCCAACATTTTGACGACCTTTTCCAGATGTTTCTTACGAAGTCGGGTTTTCGCTCCTTTGACTGCCGTCGTGTAAGATTCGCGGTCCATGTGCAGTTGGAAGTAGATTATCTGATCGTGCTCGGCGTCTCTGAAAGTAAGAAATGAAAAATAGATATCGACCTATTCAACTCACCTGTAAACGAAAGTGTTTGGACGATTATGGATGCTGTACGAAATCAACGACAGCTTCATTTTCTCGAAGACAATGGTCAACGGGTGTTTGTGGAGTTTGCGGCTCTGATTCAGAATGCGATCGGGGATTGGGAACCTGTAAAAACAGTATAGATAAGTGCGGTTTCGGGATAACTGACCATATTTCCTTCTGAAGTGGGCATGAGAAATATCCCTCTATGAAGTAGAAGTAAAGGTCGTCAGGCAGTTTATCGTAAATTCCTCTCTGGCATCTCGGTTTTCCTTCTTCCGGTGGAGACCCCGCCTTCTGCGCATTCTGCTTCTTTTCCAGAGTTTCATTTTCAAACTGCGTGATCTCCTGATGCTCCGCAATGAGAAGTTTATCGCAGATGCGTTCAGAATAGAGCATGCCCAGAAGGCTTGCTTGGTTGAGAACACGGAGTTCCTGCCGGATCCCCGCCCATAGTTGTTCGAGCATCTCTGTGTGTTGATTCTCGTATCGTTGACAGAAATGCAAATTGATAGTCTTTTTGTCGCGGTCAGCTGTCAAAATAATCCAGAAGTCAGAGGGTTCTTTGTACGCAGTCACTTCTTCTTCTCGTTCTTCGACTACCACCATTTCCTCGTCCTTCTCTTTGTCTGGCTGATCCTCATCCTCCATAACGTTTTCGGCTTTCTTCTCTGCTTTCGCTCGCATCTCCGCCTCCTTGATAGACATATACAAGTCCTGATTGAGAACGTTTCGGCAGTAGAACAGGTTGGTGCCTTCCAGCCTGGTCAGCTTCAAATATCCGCACTCTCTTCCGTCCAGCATGGTCATGAACTCGGTCAGTTTTTCGTCGCAATTGTCGACCAACAAGAATGGCTTGAACCTGTTCTCAGCGTGTCCCACTTTTCCAGTAGCCTTGCAAGCCACCTCGATATATCCCTTCACTCTGTTGATTTGCTCCTTCGTGACACTCTCCGATCGCGCTTCCATCAGTATCTTCTCCAACTCCAGCACCACACCCACGTTCTTTATCAAATCGCTCATCACTTTTCTCTCCTCCGGCTCCAGATCACCGAGGGCGTCACTCCTTCTCTCCCTTGCAGCCTTTTCTTCGTCTTCATCGTCCGAGTCCTTGTAAATATCATAATCCTCTTTTCTGAAGCTTTCACGTCGTTGTCTTTCGAACTCGTACGGATTTTTAGGTCGGCATTTAGACATTGTCAGCAGTCTCGTGTTCAGCTTGCGGATGTTCACCATGAGATTCATGCGTTGAGTGGTCAGGATGTACAGTTCCAGAACGATCTTCACTCGAAGTATGTCCTTCTGTTCAGTCGGCGGATTGTCAATGTGACTGAGAACTTCGTGAATGCACGTCGGAAGGTAGTTGATCAGGAACGAGTAGATCCGCAGGCCCACTGTGACGGTGCAATTGAAGTGCATGAACATCGGCTGTGTGATTCCAGCGTATTCTTCGAAACGCTCTCCATCTTGTAGATTCAGACTGCTGCATCGAGATCTCGGTTGAATGTCCGGCTCACTAATCGCTTCCTCAACCGGTGCGTCATGATCGGAGTTGGCAACAGATTCCGCTTCCGATTCGCTTTCACTCTCAGACTTGACCTCGTTCACACTTCCGTCGGCTGATCTCTCTAGAGGCTGCGAACTCGAATCTTCTCCCTCCACGTACATCATTCCAGGGCTTGTTTGTGTTGGAGACTTCTTCTTTTTGCTTTTCTTTTTCTCAATCGGCTCGACCATCGTTTCTGGATTCAGGTAGAACATGTTCTCAGTGCCCTCCACTCGTTTGAAGTTCTTGTTGATCATCTTGTTGAACATGTGCTCGATGTTCGATCCTTTGCAGCAGATCTTTTCCTTCGCAGGGACATTATGTCTGTTTTGCAGATGCTGACACACGTTCCGCAGCGCCGATGGAATGGCTGTCAGTTCGATCTCCAGGCACTCAACATCAGACGACATGTCGATCAGGCTGAGCTCGTTGAGTGGAATCCTCTGTTGTGCCGCTTCGTACATTGATCTAATTCGAATGCGGGGAAGAATTTCTTCCTCGAAGTGACGAACAAAACCAGAAAAGTTGGTTGCCTCGTCAGGGAACACATTCCGGTTGTTGGGTGTCCATCCGAATCTCGCCCCGGAATCCCATTGCTCACGAACTTCTGTCATTGGAATATTGACGATGCCGTTCTTATCGAATCCGTCAAAAGCGTAACAGTGAGCGATTTGGGCTTCGTGCACTGTTTGAATGAACATCGGAATTTCTTCCGCGTCGATGTTGAATGGTTCGATTGCGGGTACGAAGATCAGAGCGATCAGTCGAGCAGTGAGCGCTTTCACATAAACACGAAGATGCGCGGTGGCCGGCCGTTCCTCCTCCGGCAGAGCCTTCACCAAATCGGCGAACACAACGTCGTTCTCCGTCTGATCGACCATCCACGTCAAATCGCAAAACTCGCTGAGTTGACAATGAAGGGCATTGAGCTGAAGAGCATTGCAACGTGGCTTGTCGTCTTCGTTTACTCCGAGAACGAAATGCGGGAGTGGCAGATACTTTCTCGCAGCGTGGAACACCAGGTTGGTCAGACTGAACAAGTTGCTGTAGGCGGTGACAAACTTGGAAACGGCGTCCGCATGAATGTCCGTGATGGTTGGCACTGGATCCTGCTCCTCGTACACTGTTGCTTCCGGAACATACGGGAACGGATCGTCGAGTTCTCCAAGCAGTTCTTCTTCTCCCTCCGGTTTTCGCGGAACAAATCGAATCGGGAAAATTCCGGGAGTTGGAGGTTTCGGAACAATCTTCGGTCCATTCATGAAGTAGGCGTCACGAGCTGCCAGATCATCAGACGTCTTCAGCTTTTCCGTCCTTCTGTGGCTCTTCGGTTTCATCTTCTTCTGTCGCAATTTCTCGTCAATTGACACTGGAGTAGGTCTCGGAATCCCGGTCAGTTCGTAAATATTGGTGCATTTGCATCGGTCTTCGTAGGGGAACATTTGATTTTTCACGTCTGCCTGAGTCACCAGCTTCTGCTGGGCTGCTTCTTCAGTGCATTGTCCACTCGAACGAATGATTCTGTCAAGAGTGAACAGCACCGAAATGAAGCGGAGGTCCTCGTGGAGCCGCTGCTCCGCACTCATGTTCGCGAGCTGGTCTGTCGCTTTTCCTCCTTCCGGCTCATTCCACATTTCGCTCACAATCGCGAGGGCGTCTGTCGAAGTTTTCAACGGCATCCTATTCTTTCCGGTCAGATCCATGTCATCTCTTGTGCACTTTCGTTTCAGAATCGGTCTTCCACGAAAATCCGGCAGAATCGCGATGGTTGGGAACATGATAAACTGCTCGAGAGAACATCCTGAGCCATCGAAGACTTGCCGAACCACAGACACCGCATTGTTCTCTGTCCACGCGGGACGATAACCTTCCTTGTTGAGTCGCTTGTACATAATCACGTTCTGACAAAAATCGGCGAGCAAACGGATGACTTGAGCCCCTCCTTCTTCGAATCTATTCAAGATTATGATGCTCCGACGACACGCAAGAGTCTTCGCGAGTGCGTTGTGAATGGTGATCAACGTAATTTCGTCCTCGTCGTCTCTGTGTGTTTCATCCGCTCTAACAATGGACGTCAGATCCCTCGGAACGTGCGAGTACTTGATGATGATTCTTTCCAGAGGCCGTCTGAACACAGCACATGCCGCATGGTATCGTTTTTCAAAAATCTTAACGGGATCCATGAAAACTTTATCAGCGTCCGGTTCGTAGTTGTATCGTCTGGCTTCTTTCCTCAGCTCAGACTCGTCCAGAATTGTTCCGTAAGTCACGTTGATCAGTCGTTGTCTCTGCGCCTCCACTGCTTTTCTTCTGGATATCGAGGGGACTCCTCCGAGGAACGCCGTCTTGATCACGGCCACTTGTCCTTCGCAAGTCACTTTTCGGATGAAGAAGTACTTAGGTTTTCGGGCCGATTGATCTACGTATATCAGTGTAACATACGTCTGATTCTCGACAAGACAGAACGAAGCGCGCACTTTCACAGAATACAGAACGGCATTCATCGCGTAACGCGAGTCAAATCTCAGCACTCTCTTGGTGGTGAACATGTCGAAAGGCGAGTGAATCAAGTTGAGAATTATCCGCTCCGTCTGCGTGTGCACCCATTTCTGCCAGTTGCTGTCATCGACGCGCAGCATTTTCTTCCAGAAATTGACAAATCCGCGCGTTCTCAATCCGTCTTCACGCCTGAAATTGCAGAAATAGAAAAGGGAAGCAACGGAGACGATGTCTTACACAATGCAAAGCTGCGGAAGCGTCTGTTTGGAGTAGTCTCCCTGCCGGAAAAGAGCGTGCTCTTTGGTGACTCCTGCCGGAATCGTGAAAAAGGCGGACTTGGTGTCGAACGCGTGGATGTGCAGAAGGAGACGGTCGGCGTCGATGATGCCGTCGATGACAGACTTGATCAAATTCATTCTGATCGGATTCACGTATTCGCTCTCCGTCAGAAGATCCTTGAGCTCGTTGTATGGAGCCTCGAGCACCAATTCCACATTTACCAATTGATGAACGTTCTTATTGACTGGCCATTGCGAGGTGATGATGTAATCGAGGAAGACGAGAGGACGGAATGCGAGACGGAGCGTCAGAATCACTTGTTTGTTGTTCTTCACGAAGACAGCTGAAATGCGAAATGACGAGTGAAGTACAACAGAATGGAAACTGACTGGATTTGAGAGTGAATCCTTCTCGCAGACGTACGTACATCATCCGATTAACGTCGCTTCGTAGGTTGCCATGAATCGACGATGGCGATCCACGTGGCTCTGCTGTAGCTCCAAAAAGTCTCGATTGATCTGGGCGAACGTGTCCAACAAATAATCATTGTCAACCAGCGCATTCTGGAACGACCAGCAGATGAGTGCTCGATGGAATGGATTGATATTCTCGTCGCACGGGTCTATAAGGTCATCGTGATCGACAGTTCGTTTGCAATGCAGCTGTCCATCGGGAGCACGGTAGAATTCGAGAACCGGCTTCGGAGGACGAGGCTTCCGGCGCGGCAGGTAAGTTCCGAACGTGGCCAACGTCATGAATTGGAAGAGAGAGCAAGAGCCGACGTGTCCGAACACTGGCTCCGTGCACGCTCTCTTCTGCAGCTGGATGAATGTGAATGCGACGGTGTAACTGCGGAGTTGAGTCAGAACCTTCTGAAGGGCATCTTCGTCCGGTATTCCGCACACCGAATCGGAGATAATCACGAGATCTGGAATAGAAGGAAATCAGAGGAGTACACAGAGTGGAGGGAATTTACTGGATTGTGTGTTTTCCGGAAGCATCTGAATGTTGAGAAGACCCATTCGGAGCATGTTTATGAGCGACCACTCGGGCGAAATGTAACTTTTTCCGCTTGCAAAAGGTAGTTGCTTGTCCTCGTGCCGCTCCGTCGCCGTCCAGATTCCCCTTTGCATAGACATGATGTTGTTGTCCTCTTCCTCTTCTTCTTCATCCTTATCTGGGATGTACTTGGCGTCGATCTTCACTTCCGGCTCCTTTTTGTCTGACGAATCACTCGCTCTCAGATTTTCATCGCTCGCTGATTCGCTCTCACAAAGAGAATCGAACTTCATGTGCTTGTGCCGTCGTTTCAGTTTTCCCCATTGCTCCAGAATCGGACGGGAGAACGAGAAGAGGCGTTTGAAGATGCCGACGAACTTGGTTTCGACAGATTCGAGAATCATATCCACGTTCGATTCGGTGATCAGAACTCCTTGGCACAGAGTCTGAAATAATTTGTTTTATTGAGTCTAAAGTCTACAAGTGAGTTTCTCACCATACTGTCCTCGAACTTTGTGAACGGAATGAAAAGACTGACGGAAGTGAACACCTGCGGCTTGAAAAGCTCAGTTGTACCGGGAATAATGAAAGGTTTGACGGAGGAACTGAGCGAATTACGGAGGCTCGGAATGACCCGATCTACCAGACAGCAGTTCGATTCGTCGTCCTAAAAAAGAGAGCGCATTTCAAGATCCAGTTCTTTGTGCTTACCGCCACAACGATCGACGGACTCAAATCAAGCACGTAGACGATTCGGTAATATCTGGCTATGTAAGTGCATTTCGTGTTGGTGGTAACCCGGAACTTTTCGTCGCCCACAACTTCAGTGCCATCTCCGCCGATAGGGATCACTCCGACGACGGTCATCTCTTCCGCGTACTCGTCGTCTTTGTCGGGCGGCGGATCCCATGACTGCGGCACTTTTTGAATTCCCACCGGCTTGCCGAGGTGATCAATGAACCAGTGAGCACGGAGATTACGGGACGCGCGGAAGATTCTGAACCATGTTGACTTAATCGCGAAAACAGGACAAACCATTTATCAAACGCATTTCAGTATTCATTCGAATTTATAGTATATGAATCATAGGAAAGTACGAACCTGTGCATAAAAATGAAGACCTCAGCGGCCTCCCGCACATTCGGATCATCGTCATCCATTTCTATGCCATTTCTGTTCTCTGTAAGGCTGGCTATCTTTGATCAATTTGAAATTGGAAAAAAATTGGCGCTACAACGGAATAAAACTGTTACGATTTGGAACTCACAACGTTAAAATACAACTGCGGGTTCCAAATCGTGTCAGTTCCAAAACAAAATATCAAAGATTGTTTACGAACAAGTTAGTTTGGATACTCCGGGTTATGTAAGACGGGTTTATTTGAAAGGGATTGAAGAGAAAAACAAGAATAGATAATAAATTTGAAACAAAAGAAAAACAAACATCTACTTAACTAGAAAAACAAGAACCTAGAAAAATAACCTACGCATCAGAATGTTTTTACCGGACAATTGAAAATAGTCAACAAACAAAAACGAAAAGGAGTATCTTCTGATATGGAAATGATTGTGAATTATTCAATCAGACGGCCGACTCTCTTCTCAGCGTCGTTCCGAACTTGACCTCTTGGTTGCGAGCCTTCCGTTGCTCCTTTTCGAGCCACTCCATCTTGTGCTCGTGCTGAACCATCGCGTCGGCGGTGTTACGGTCCACGATGGCTTCCGTGAGCACTCCAGTCTCCGAAGCGTATGCAGAGGCCTGCCATCCAATCACTAACTTGCTCAGTTCTCTTCCGCTCATTCCGCTCGTCTTCTTCGCGATCTCGTTACATTTTGCCACAAAATCAAAGCTGTCGAGCTTGAGGCGCTGAGAACGGGAGCCACTGGTTGCGGGCACTACGATGTGTTCGTTGAAGTACTGAAGAAGAATGCGTTCACGCTCTTCCACTCCTGGCAAAGTGAATTCGACGAGCTGATCGAGACTAAAACAATATATTTTTAAAATGTTCACTATAAAGTGTTTTACCGATCGTTGACAGCCCAATCGAACTGCTCCGGCTGATTCGAGGCCACCACGAGCATGAACTTCCGGGATTGCTCTCCAGTTCTGAAGAGGAAGGCGTTGAGGGCGGCACGGGTGTCCTCGGACATGCCGTCTTTGGAACGTTTCTGAAGGAAGGCGTCGGCTTCGTCGATGAACACAATGAGTCCCTTGCGACTCTTGGAAGCCCAGTCAAACACCTTGTGAATGGCCGACACTCCGTCGCGTCCCAATGGAGCAATGTCTCCTCCGGTGAGCACGGCGTAGTCAAGACCGCTGTGTTGAGCAAGACTCTTGGCGAAAAGAGTTTTTCCGGTTCCGGGCGGCCCGTAGAACATGACGTTGCGGAAAAGTCCATTGTTTCTTTTCGTGTTGGACGTCGTAATGGCAATGTCACGGAGACGGCGCTCAAGGGCAGGAGAAAGAACGACTCCCTCCAGTGGATCCTTCTTCTGGCGAGTGAGCATCTGGACCGCCTTGATCGGATGCTTGGCCACTTCGAGAGGAGTGACTCGAGACGTTTCTCTGACGAGACTTGGTTTTCCCAGCCTCGACTCGATGTAACGGGCGGCGACTCCGGTTCCTCGTTTGGCAGTGTACCATCCGACGGCCAAAGCAGTCAATCCTCCGACGGCGGCTGCGATCTTCGTCTTATCGTTAAGGAACTGATTGATTCCGGTGCCTATGAGTTCTCCGCTCGTCTTGATCTTCTCGACGACAGTCTTCCTGTTCTCTTCTTCGTGCAACTTCATTTGTTCCAGATTGACATCTCTGTTCTCACGAGCAGCCCTCGCTTTGGCCTTTGTTTCTGCTTCGATTTTCTCGAGGTCATACTTGTGCTTCAGTGCAAACTCGTGTTCAATCGTCTGTTTTCTGAGTGCCTCCTGTTTTTTGACGGACTCCTCTTGCTTCCTGAGACTCTCCTCTTGCATTCTCGCCTTCATCGCCAACTCCTCCTCCTGTCTCTTCCGGGCCAGTTGGTCTTGATAATCAGCACGCTGAAAACTTTAAATTAACATGCTTAGTTTCAATAAAAACCACCTACCGCATTGGCGTGTCTTGTTTCCTCTCCTAAAGTCTTCCGTCTCTCTTCTTCGGCGACACGGATGTGCTCAGACTTAAGATTTGCCAAATGGGCTTCCAGTTTTTTCGTCTCTTGTTCGACTTCTTTCTGGCGAGTGACCTCTTGCACTCTGGAGAGCTCCAGGGCTTCTTTAGCATTTGGAAACTTCTCCAAATCTTTAGCGGCCTTCGCAGCGCGCTCGAGAGCCGTCGAATCGAAAGAGTAAGCCATTCTGCTGCTTCCTTCCGGCTTTTGAGGCTGACCTCCAGACTGTTGAGGGCCTCCGGGAGGTCCACCGGCTTGGAAATCGTCCGGAATTTGCGGGGTCGCGTTTTTCTGAACACCGAATAACCAAGACATCTGGAAAAACAATAATGATGCAACAAAGGCGGAATGACAAATTTTACGAATGGAAGCGACTAATCGTGAGCTGAGGGAACAATTGAAGTTTTCAAATACAAACGGCCATATCAGACAGAATAATTGACTTCCAGACCTTTGTGAAAGGGGTTCACAACACATTAAACTTTTCTTAGCCTTTTTCGGGCCTTTTTACGTCGAACTTGATACAACACTTAACTCAAGGTGAGTATTCAACTGTCTATACTAACTCTGTAATTTTTAGTGATACAATCGCTCGAAAAAACGAGAAACTTTAAATTTTACCGTTGAATATTCGACGCACTCGCCTCTGCCGACCTTTGGAGTGTCGTAATGTCGCCCGGTTTAGCAGAAAGTAGCATTTTCAGAACTCGCCAATGAATTTGTTGAAGATAAGAAATGAACAAAAGTAAAAAAGCTTAAAAACACAAGAAGAAGTAAAAGTGACTAGTTTACAAATTCAAGAATACATTTTCAGACTCCATATCAAATTTATTTAGCTTCCTTACAACAAAATCCTTTAGTTTTCGAAAATGTAGTGAAATTGATGCTGGAGATGCTGCTCTTCCAGCATCCGAAGCAGTCATAGTGGAATTCTGATGAGAGAGGTTTCTGAGAAGCCTTGAGAAGGCATCAGAAGCTTGCTGGAAACAGCATGAGCGCGTAGAAGGCAGGGAGAGGACGGCGAAGCGGAAGAGAGCAGCCGCTGGAAGCAAGCGGAGCCACTTGCGTACGATTACATAGCAATAACGTCGGAAGGAGGAAGAAGAGAGAGTTCGACTTCTTGAATTGCAATTACGTCGGAAGGAGAAAGAGAGATGGTTAATGAACGTTGTGCTCGGTTTATGTAGTGATAGTGAATTCCCGCCCACTCGGCCGTGCAAAAATTTCAAATAGGGCAAATGTACTATAGTACTATTGTGGAACAAGGGTCCCCTTAAAAAAGAAGGGTGTCCTCTGGAAAATAAGTGTTCCTGGTCGGACTTCTTGAGAATATAGATGATAAAGACCGCGCTAAACTAGTCCGAGAAGTATCTTTGGCGGCCCTGGAAGTGATTTCCAGACCAATGTCCAAGAGAATGTGATAATCAGCTGAATTTCAGCATCAACTCATGTAAGAAAATGGAAATCATAGATTATATCAAGCTTCTCGTTTAGCTCAACAGAACGACAATACACACCCTTGGCTTTTTTAAGGGGACCCTTGTTTTTCCTGGAGTTCTGAGAGAGACCCTTGACCCCAAGCCAAAAGATCGGGAAAAATGCCGAAAAAATGAGGTAGGAAAACCAAAAGGTCCGACATTTTGGCACTGTTTCCGATCTTTTGGCGTCCGACTTTTTTGGTTTTCCGACCTTTTGTCACGGACTCGAATATTCCGTCAATTTTCGGGAGAAAAATGTACAATAAATGCAAGCGCGCTCCATTGCTAATCGAGTTCTAAAACGTAAACCTCTTTACCAGCCGGTCGATAATCTTCATGTAAGCAGCGAGGGGGCTCTGAAACGACTGCTCACGGACATGATCGGCAAAATAAAGTATTGGAGTGAGGTGAATCGTGCCCAGATTCGTCGATTTCGTCTTTTCCCCTCCCCGTTAGCCACTCGGATTTCGTCCTTTCCCCCGTTTTCCCGTTCCCCGTCTCCCCTGCATTTTTTTTTATCTCCCTCAATCATCATGTTGTTTCTCATTTTCTGAAAATATGTTCATGATCAAAACTATCAAAGATACAAAAAAAGGGCGCACAAAAGTAATTTCGTAGTGACCCGCTCCATTTTTTTTCGAATGATCTATCTAAGTTTTTCAATTTTACCCTGAGTTTTTGTTGTTCCTAATTTTTTATAGAAATTCATTTATTCCCCTCCCCCCGCATTCGTTTATCTCCCTCCTATTATTTCTATTCCTTTCCCCGTCTTTTCTGCTAGTTCTCTCATAATTTTTCTATCTTGCCCTTCTCAAAGTTTGCTTTAATGATGTTCTTTCATTGTTTTGTTTTTTTCAAATAAAACACCTATTTTTAAAATCATTTTCCATTGATAGTTACGAGAAATGAGGCAGAAAAAGCAATAAAACGCAGTCGTCTAAGCAAGCGCGCTCCGCCGCACTCGAAGTTCTGGCGAAACACGGTACGTTGTAATTGTGTTCGACCTACTATCCGCCGCTGTTTCGCCACCGTTCCGCCGCTGTTTCCTCACTTCAAATCGCTGAGGCTTCAAATCGCTGAGATATACGTTCCCACCGATTTAGTTTCACAACAGAGCGTTCTTGCACCACAAACATCACAAGTTTCCACTTTTCTGAAAACTTGTTCCGTTTTCAGTCACGCGAATTGTTGGCTGAGGATGTTTCCCGCCTACTCAAACGATGATGATTCGAAATCAGAGCAAGGATCCTCATCCCGAAGAAGCAGTAGGTGAAAATGAGCATTCACGAATAGTTTTCTTCTGTTAAGGGTATGAACCAGCTGACGACAGTTTGCACGGAAAAACTCGCGCATCTGTACAATCGGTAGTTGTAAGTGGTTGAGGGCAAAGGGAGCTGTTTATAAATGTGTTTTCAGCGACATGAAGGACAGCACTCGGATAGAACAACGAGCAAAGTTCGAGATAATCAAGTAGTCGTTCAGTTAGGTTACGGAGAATCGGGTAGCAGCGAGGAAGAGGGCGGAGCGAAAGTGGGTGAATTGAAATAATTCAACAGCTGCAGACAAAGAACTATTTAAGACTGTTTTGCCCGCCGGACGCCAAGTTAATGAAGATGATGTATTCACACTTCCAGAGAAGCGAAAGCAAGAGAGCTTGTAAGTATTCTTCATTCGAAACACATTGTAAAAGCGTTTTTCAGCAAATTAGTTAGACAGCAACGCGAGGGAAAAGTTCATGAAAGTAACACATTCGCGTCGTTCCCAACGGCACCCAAAAAACTGCCTTCCAATCCATTCACACGTGCTGAGCAGTCGAATGATCGAATAAAAGAGAGATCTCCGGACAGAAGATCGAGAGGAGTTTACAGAAAACGTGAACGGGACAGAAGTGAGGAGCGAAAAAAGAAGAAAAAGAAGAAGAAGAAGAAGAAGAAGCACAGAAGACGTTCATCGAGCAGTTCCTCCTCTTCTTCCTCTGATTCCCGATACCACAGACGCCCTTCGCGGTCTAAGTCTCCGGCAAAGAAAACATCGACGAAGAGACCGAAGTACGAGTTTATTTCGGAAGCGGAATACGCCCAGAGAGATCAGCTCTCGTCTCGTGTCCTTAGTAAGCACTCAACTTCCAAAGTTAGCATATCCATTTAATTTTTCAGTTCGTGATACTTACCATGACTACGAAAACTTTTCATTGGGGCAACGCAAAAAAGAAGTGGCGAAAATGCATCTCGATGTCCGATATATCGATGGAATGGAGCACGAGGACGCTCTTTTCAGAGTAAACAATGCGCATTTTCTACTTTTTCCATAAAATGTTACTTACAGAGGCTTTACGGAGCGGAATGCGGCAAGGATAGAAGAAGACGTCCGTTTCACGAGGAACTCGCTGCCATTGCCAAACACATTCCGACAGAGCGACATTTTGTGAAGCGTTTCTCAGTCAGCGATGGATATTGGAAGCTCAACGCGAATGCAGATCTGCTAAATGCGGACAATATGGCCGATGCCGAAGAGGCGGACGGCGGCCTGATGGCTGAACGTAACAAGCTCTTGAAGGCGTTCTCGGCCAACTCATCTGATGTCAATTTGCTGTTGAAAGTGTTAGAAATGGAGGAAGAAATGGACCGAATGAGAACCGGATCATTTTTTCAATCAGATAAAAAGGCGATGGTAGAAAGGCACGCAGAAATGATCAAAGTGGCGTGTCAGAAAAACCCGTCGAGTTCTTTCCTCAAGTTAATGCAAATCGAGTACGATATCAAAATGGACGAGGATCCAAAGTCGGTCATAGAACAGTACAAAAAACTTGTTTCCAAGTTTCCGCACGAGCCAATGGTCTGGATTCGGTACCTGGATTACTTGCAATACGAACGCAGTACCTACAAGTATAATGTTCTGTGTGACGCATTCCGAATCTGCCTGGAGAAAGCCCAGGCTCTTGTAGATCGTATTCTCGTATCTCACGTCGGAAAGATATCCGACATGCCGCAATATCGAATGTTCCATTTGTACGTGTACCTTCGATTCCTGAAGTGGCAGTTCTCGTGTGGACACGCTCCGTTCGCCCTCGCGAACATTCAGGCAACATTCGAATTAAACTGCGGTCTGAGTAGAGAAGAAGACATGCTGGAGACCAGACAGAAGATCTCGAGAGTCGAAGAGTTCTGGAAATGCAAATTGCCGAGAATCGGAGACAAAAATGCGCTTGGAACGCACAAGTCGGCAAAGTTGTTCAGTCAAATGAGCGAAGTGGGAGTCAGAATTGAAGAGAAGGAATATCTGAAGAATTTGCCCAAGAGAATCGACGCAGTTCAACAAAAGTATTGGAGTCAGAATAGGTACTTCGGATTGAATTGGGTCGATGTCGAAAGAGCGTTAATGGATATCGACGCGACAGTGAAGAGAAATACCTGGCCTGAAAGTGACAAAGATAAAGAAATGGAAGCTTATAAAAGTGCAATAAGCGAATTCGCACTCTGGGAACCGATCTTGTGGAGTGAGGTGGTCACCTATTCGCAGCCCAATGACACCGATTCCTTCGATTTCATCCAACCGATGCTCGAACTCCTCGGCATTCGTTTTCGGAATTCGGTAAGCTTTTGTCATCCAGCATGGAGCTTGAACAATTTCAATAATTTCAGACTGGCTGCTACTCAATGCCCGAGCACGTTATCAGAGAATGGATAGCCAATCCGCGCCTCCACTGGGATACGGAACCTCCTTTCGCGGAAGTCCCTACTTACACGGAGAACACTTGCCTCCAGGTCGGAACGAATATTCTCAACTTTTTAATGTACCAGCGTCACGAAGTGGTTCAACAGAACCCGTACCGACTGGATGAGATTCTCATCAAGTACCTCATGGCCATAATCATGACAAAAGCGGAGGAAATGGAAAACAGACGAGATGATGCCTCGAAAATGTACTTCTACCGCTTGCGTACTAAGCATTTCGAAGAACTGATGTCCTTCGATTACGGCCACAAAGATCTCATCGTCCATTATAACGGACTTGAAACAGTGCTCCAAATCACTGCCATCGACAAGTTCGTCTCGTGGCTGGAGCAAGGTACCATCGACCAACAGAGAATTCTGAATCTGAAGGATAACGACTCCACAACGCACGTTCTGCTGAAGAAGGATACCGATTCGTTCAATAAGCTCAAAAAGAAAGTGTACAACGCCCTGAACAAAGTGGTTCAGTCGTTTGAGCCCGGCATGCAGAGCTGTCTGAGAAACAACGCCACGTCACTTTCCGACTTCCAAAAGCACCTCTACGTGAATATTCTCCGATCCAAACTTTTGCTCACTGAAATCGAAGTAGCCCAATGGTTCCTCGCTTGTAATATTCTCGAAGTGCACATCACGGTGGCGAAGAAAATGAAAGAGGAGTCAGTGAGCGGATTTGTGCAGCAAGTGCGCACGTCGATGGAGGAAATTGTGGCCAGAGTGCGGGAAAAAGAAAGGAACGAGGATCACAGATACATTCCCGAATGGCCGAGATCCGGAGCACTCGCAGAAGCTCTCGAGGCTGTTGTTTCCTTTGTTTTCTGTTAGTTCGTCAGACCAAAACATTTTAAATTTATTTGTTTTCCAGTGAATATAACACCAAATCCACGCGAAGTCATCAACAAAGTAACCGCCAATGTGATCGAGAAGTGCAGAATGTTCGAAGAATTAAAGATGGATTTCACACGTGGCTGGCATGAGAAAGAAAGAGATATTATCGATACCCAGTTCGTTTTGGACACTGTCATCGGTCAATTGTCTCAAGGAAATGTTCATGTCACATTCTGCGAGAACTACAAGGAAATATTGACGAGAGCTTCAGAATTATTCCCGTGCCAAACTAAATATGTCCGAAAATTCAGCGAATTATTTGTCGGATCGACGCTCAATACTATCAAATTGGGACAGATCACGGGCGAACGAAGCGAACGAATGTTGAAGACGAGACTGCAGATGTTCGATGAAAAATTGGAAATGAAACTTCTACAAAACTCGCTCTCGATCATGTTCATCAAACTTCAAAAAGCCGGAAGAATCGAAGGAGGAAACGCCCAAATGCTTTACAACGCCTACAAGAGAGAGGCGATGCTCCTGCGAGAACCGGCCGTCTGGAGACTCGCTCTCAAAGCGGCCGGAGCCGAGACTCTGGAGAGAAAAGTTCTGGAGGAAGATGTGAGTTCAGAATTGGGCATGACAATCCCATGGTTACGGGATGTTACATTTTTACCGCGGAACTGTGCAATCCCATAGGTACGGGATGAAAACATTTTTCCGACCTGGCGGTCGGATTGAAATTGCCGAACCAGCGGCAACCATAAGACCCCCTGTGGTGGGGGTTCTTATGGTATTATAACCTGACAACCTCTTACAGTCAGTCATAGAAGTAATTCCGACAGTTGGAACAACAACTCGGCGCTCAACTCAAAACACCCATGAACAATCCTTATGCTTTCAGGCGTTGGTTCGTGCTGAGGGTCAATGTTGTTGGTCGCGCAATTTACTGCTCGATTACGTGGAGACGGTTGGACCGGAAGAGCCCGTTCCGGGCAAACTGACTGCTATTGCCAATGCCATGTAAGTAACACAATTCACTTTCATTTGAAATAATGTTTATTTTCAGAACAAGGTCATTGGAAAATCAAAATCCTCACGGGTTCCACCTTTGCGACGAAATTATCATGGATACTTACATTTATCTTTACAACAAGTCAGGCCCATCAGAAGACAATCCATGACAGTCGGGAATATGATATTTATCTTGTTATTAATTTTTATATAATTCCCAGTGCCTTTTATTTTGTTTCTTGTCGTCAAAAAAACGTGTTCTTGAATTCTCGCTTTTTCATCCTCTACCTTCAGAAGGTTTTCGCCTTCGTGGAGTATCTCAACAAGTTCCCTCTTGCGTGAATAATTAAATTAAATGTGCGAGCGCAGATGCTGAGAGCACTGCGCGGAGCAGCCGATCTCCTTTCGACGGCTCTTTACAAGAACGAGTTCACAATGAGCAAGCGGTGAGTTTTCATGAACATTAATTATTAATTCATTTGCAAACCGTGCTCTTACAGATTCCTTTCGACTGCGGTTCCAGAAGTGAAACCAGAAGCGGAAGCGGAGAAGGCTCCCGAACCAGCTCAAGGAGACGAGGGAGTGCCGAGCAAAGAGGAACGGCTCACTCAACCGTACTCCCGAGAAGCGATTTCAAAGCTGAAACTCGATCAGTATCCATTGTGAGTCCATCAACGCCGCCTTTTCACTTTTCTCTGCTTCTTTAGGTATGTGGAGAGAGAATGGTGGAAATACGGAAAGAGAATGACATTCTGGGCGACTTGGCGTCAGTTGAGAGACGTCAAAAGACGGAAACAGATCCAGGTGAGTCGACGAGGAAAAAGGGTCCACTTTAAGCCCTGCTATATTTCAGGAAGTGGGTGCCGATCGAATGCGTCTCAAAGCCCTCAAGTTTAACACTATTCTACCGCAAGCGATTCGCGACGAAGCAGCCGACAAAATGACGAACGCCCGCAGATACGACCATCCCCGCCTCATTCTGAACATGTGTCAGTTCACCGGTAGACAGCGTGGAAAGATCAAGCCGTTCCGTCTCAACAGACATCTTTTCCGTCGCGCCGCCGATCGATCGGCTCTCAGCGGAGTGCAGAGAGCCATGTGGTAAACGAGTTGTTCGCTGCTAGAAATAGACTTCTTCTTTAGCCGTTTGTTCTCTTCTCGTTTGTTGATTCTCTTTTCTTTAATGAAGCTGTTCTCGAGTCTTGTTCTCTCTTCTTCCATTTGGGTTCATTCCATTCCCTCATGAATACCTAATCACTCTTTTCTCACTAACAACTCAGTCTTGTCTTCAGATATTTCGGATCTCCTGATGGCTGACGCCGAGCAGAAGACACTGCTCTCGCTCCCATCGGAGCTTCTGTGTCATCTGTTCACCTACCTGCCTCCCCGCCAACTCATCACTCAGATCCCTCTCGTCTGCAGTCGATTCAATAACATTCTCAAGGATGACAAGTTCTGGAGTGGAAGGATTGTAAGATTTTCAAGGTTCGGACTGAGTTCAAAATAATTATCGTTCAGAAAAATGAACATCAAGTTCGAGTGCCGGACTGCGAACTCAAACATCTCGAATACAAGCCACAGAAGTCGTTCTACGCGATGAGCTGCCAACGTGAACGATGGAGGGATTGGGAGACGCAGACGGTGATCACAGCTCCAGGACACTCGGCCACTGTGGACAGTGTTATGCTCTTCCAGCGCAACGACAAGGAATTCTGCCTTTCCGGCTCCCGCGACCGCACCATTCGTCTCTGGAACCTCGAAAACGTGCGACGTGGCGAAGACTCGGCCGAGAACCAATGGACGGTGGCGAAGGACGAAACGGCGCATTCGGGATGGATCTGGAACATGACTCGCGACGAGAGCACCTCCAATTTCTACACAACTTCCTGGGATTCGAGCGTGAAAAGCTGGAACATCACAGAAGACGGCCAGCTGCGAAATGTGAGCTCTGTGAATGTGGGATCAGCCGCGCAATGCATTTCATGTGCCGGAAATGAGCATGAAGTCGTGTGCACGACATTCGTCCGCCGCATGGCCATCATCGACTCGAGAACGTTCGAAGTCGTCGCCGAGCATAAATTGCACAAAAAGGCAGTGCTCGCGTTGGCAGTCCAAGGAGACAAGATATTCACGAGTGGAGAGGATCGTCTCATGATGATGGTCGATCGGCGGAATCTGAGTCGACCAGTGCTTTTCGTGAGCTTCATTTCACAGTCTTCACGAAATGGAACACTTCTTATTTCAGGAATACTCGCAAACCGCCTACAAATCGTGCCTGTCACTGCGAAGGAATCAGTTGCTTACCGCCACTTCTGATGGAGGCGTGAAGTTGTACGACGCTAACAACTTCAACGTTCTTCAGTCGTACAACGTAAGCTCAATAACGTTAACTGACATCCATCTCATTCTTCCCAGGTTGGCTCATTCACTCGACAAGCGCTGCTCGGCCACGGAGCACACCTTGTAATGGCTCGGAGCTTGAAACGAAACTTCAAGTTCAGCGTAAGTAAGGGACTGAGAAGCTGCTAATCTTTCCCTTCAGATTCACAGTCCAGGATCTCGTAGTCAGAAGTGGTGCGAGTCGCACGAATTGGCAGCCGAACCGGCCAAGTTCGACTACTCGTTCTCCACCCGCACGCTCGCCATCGGAAACGGAGACAGCTCCATCCTCTTCTGCCTTCCTGGAGCCCAAGAATAGTTTGTAAATGTATATTATACAGTATATACAGTATAATACACACTGTAAATAACCTGCAACGTCTCCGTAGAAATCGGAATATCATTTTCATTCAGTATTTCCTAGCATATTCTGTACATATTCTTCGCCTTCTCCTTTTCAGCTTGCAAATACATTTCTTCATCGCTTAGATCATTTTCTCACCAACTTTGATCTGCCACGTCTGAACGAAACTTTAAACTTCAAATTCAGCGCAAATTCCCAAAGGAACAAACATAGTTTGGAATTCGATTTGTCATGTTGTTTGGTTGACACAAAAAAGACTGCGAAAAACGGGAGTTCAAATTGTGAGCTCGTTTGTCAAAGAAAAACGAATGACTTCTTCTGAAGCATCAGAGCTCGGTTAAACAGTTCTGCAGACGATCCCTGGCTTCCCTTCTGTCCGGTGCGAAAAACACAATCACCGCACCCCGGGGAGTGAATCCTATTACCTTCGGGCTCGCCGAGCTCTTCCCCTCCTCATCTCGTTTGTTTGTCTTTTGTCTGCGCGTGCTCCTCCAGCTCATTTGCTTATGAGAACTGTGAGCTATGCATGGAACGTTCGGAACGAGCGACTCGCGGGGCTCAATGTCTCCGTCCGTGCTCGAGCTCTTGTGGACTGTGATCCTTTCTTGTGGACTGTGAGAGGTCACACCGTGGGGGTTGGGCGCGCGGCCGATGGGGTTCGACTCGCGGAGCAAGTTATTAACACGCGGAGAGCATTTTGACAAGTACTTTGTTTAGCGTCGATTTAGCATGGATTACTTCGAATTCCATTGTGTGTTTCGCAGATTTCCTCCCCGGAAACGTCAAAGGAAAAGCGGTAAACACTGGGTTATCAATGAGACACACTTCCAACGCCGGCCCCTTTCCCACTAGAAAACTTTGATGATGTTTTGCTGGAGACGTCGACGTAATTACCCTTTTCGGCAGTGTTTTGAATGCACTTTTTTGCATTTCTCTCTCCGCTCCATTGTGAACACAAACAACGGAAAAAGGACCAACAAAATCTATTTATTTATTACTTCTTTTTTCGGAAGAGCACACACAAACACGATTACGAAGGAAGGAAAAGGAAAAAAGGAGCAAATTCTTCTTGCTGGCAGTTTTTTTTTTTGGAACGAACGAAAGTCAGAGAGAATTGGAAGGGGGAAGACGAATTCGGGAAGCAGGCAAGTATTCTAGAAGGAGAATAACTTTGAGAAGTCTACGGAAATATAGGGAAATACAAAAGGGAACGGAAACCGGGGAGAATGGGGAGGGCGTCTGGGAGACATTGTACCGGATGCATACCAAGAACGATTACAGGGGGCAATTGGAACTAGAGGAGATAAAGAATGAGGAGAAGTCAATTATGTTCAAACACATTTACACTAGAAACGGTCCTCTGTTCAGTACTGCAGCCGGTGGGACCGTCCCGTGTGGAACGTTCCGTCGGCCTTCGATCCCAGCTTCTGCGTCTTGACTTTTCCGCACGCCTGGCTGCACGGGACCACTCCGTACAGCTCCAGAGTCCCAAACGGTTCCGTGCTCATTTCCTTCTTCGTCGACGTCTGTCTCTTCATCTTCATCAGCTTCTGGCGGGCTTGATAGGCCTTGCCGAAGACGCGCGCACGTTTCTCGAGGACAAAGTAGAACGACCAACTGGAAAGAGGAATAATTACGGGGGGAAAGCATTGATAATTAGACGAAACACTTTCACTTACGAGTCAACTTTATGGGTCCACGGACGGAGATAGGTGCATCCCTCGCGGTCATCCGGGAACGAGAATCGGTCCAACGTACAGAAGCCGCCCTCCGACAATTGACACGTGTACGAGTGGAGTCTAAAAAAAAACAAAAACAGTTTTTGTCGTTTTTCCGTTCATTTCTACTTGTTGAAGCTATGCCCGCTGATCAGAAAAAAGAAAAGATCGCGGAGGATCGCGCGCTTCTGAATGAGCAGGTAAACCCCGGAGTACGTGGATTCTAGCAAGATTCTGTTCAGAATAAGGAGTACGCGGAAAGTCTCGCAAAAGATTTGGCGAAGAAGGAAGAGAAAGAGCGAGTGAGAGTGGAGACGGAGAAGAGAGAGCAAAGAAAAAGGACAATCCACGAGTACAGGGAGAATCTCAAAGACGTCGTGTTCAGTGGATCGCACCGAGTGATGGTCCGTTACCCGAACGGCGCACGGGCGGTGCTCGGCTTCTCGCCGTCCGACCGCGTCGAGCGTCTCTTCGACGCCATCTTCTCGAATCCAGCGTGTCCGGATTACTTCTCGGTGCGAAGTGTCTACCCGAGAGCCCAAATTCTGTGCTTCCCCGGATGGTATCGCGAAGTGTTCAACGCGGAGGTCGACGAGGAAAGTCGTGTTCCGAAGGAGAACGGCATCGAGATGAAGTCGTTCGAGGAGTCGATAATCGCCAACAACTCGATTCTTTTCATAAACACGATACACTAGCTAATGTTTGCACTTTCTCATCTTTATGGCCCCCTTTCTCAAATATGTGGATTCCTTTTGCATGAAATTCGAAACAACCCGCTATTTGTTCTTGTTTCCCGTGGCAGGACATTGCGCAACATCTACGCATGGCACCTTTCGCAGTACTATTATTGTTGGTTGGTTCGGGCGAAATAACAAAAGATCGATCTCGGTGTCGGTCAGTTACGGGCTCACGGAGCACCACCAACTGGCACTCGAAATGATAACAGAAGTCAAGTGACATTTACGAGCGACGTTCTGATCGTCTCCATTCGTCGGAAACGGATCCTTTCACACGCTCAGTCTCGCTCCACTGATAATGACTTTCGGCAACATTCGCATACACCTTTGTCTCTCTTTTTCGGCGCGCTTACGATAAAAGAGTGTAAACGTGTGATAAGTGCATTTAGGCCGTATGTTTAGGGTAAACAAAATGTACAGTTTGAGAGAATTCTCTCAATTTCTTTCTTGGCGGTCAGCTTTTTCTAGACTCCTTTTTTCTATCGTTTGAAAATGGTTTCGTCAAGCGAAAAACTGCTGACTCATCATTGTTCTTTCTACAGGAAACGGCGAAAAGATAAGCGGGAAAAGGGTTCTTGCGAAACTAACCTGACTCTGCGTTCCAGAAGTTTGAAGGAATATTGAATGCATTGCGTAGAATTGAGGTTGAATTCGGCCGAACGAACGAACGTCTTCGGCGAGAACGGCGAGACGACGTACGTGGTTCCGTTAAGTTCCGTCGCGTCGGGAATCTCGACGTACGTCTTCACAGCGGAAGACTGATCGAGGAGAAGGAGTGAAAGTACGAAAAGAAGCGAAGGTGCTCCCGAATTCATCGTGGACAACGGAGGAGCCAGCCGACAAGTCAGATAGGCAACTAGGAGTGAGAAGGGCGGAGCCGCGAGGCGACATGGCGGCGCGAACACTCGCCCCGCCCACTTTTTGGAAAGCGAGGAGATGGAAGCGCAGGACGGGAGACACACAGATTTTTAACATTTTTCAGAAGCTGAGGGATCAATATGGTACCGAAGGAATTCGAGGAATTGTTCGGAAAGCGAAGGTCAGCTGGGCGGAAGTGGGAGGCGGCGGCAGGAAATGTGCAATATTGCACTGTTTCTAGCATGCATTTTGATAAAGCTTTTGAAATTCCTGTTTGCAAAAGCAGTACATTTTAGTTTTTCATTCCCCAAGTTGATGGTCCCAAGTTCCAACACGAAAGTGCTCCATCCTTCTTCTTCTTCTTCTTGTTCCAACTCCCTCCTCCATATCAGATTTCTCACTTTGCATAGCATAGTCATAACTTTAACAAAATTGCAAGTAAGTAAACAAGTTGTAAATTCATTTCGATTCGCTCGTCGGCCGGTGTCTGGTACTGCTCCGATCCTGTGCTCATTTACTCTCGGAACGGGCTGGCTCGGAAGAGATACTGTTCATTTCTGAAAAAGATGATGAGGGTTCAAAACAAGGAAATTCTTGCAGGAACAGCAGACTTCTAGATGGCCATGAATTGCAGAAAAGGACTCCGTGATCCTCCTGAATGTTATGATCCATTTGCAGAATTGTCTTGAGTGCATCCCTGGTGAGAAGTCTGAAACTCTAAAAGCTCTGAAATCAATGAACTCGCAGTCAGTGCTTTTCCAAACGTCCTGTTCCATGTTTCCTGTCAGATTCGCTGGAAGACCACCCCCGAAAACCTCACTTTCAGCCCCCTCAGTCCGCACGTTTTCCGCCTGTAATCGAAACAATTTCCGCTATATTTTCTCGTCGCAATCGTACTTTTGCCATGAATTCCATCCCAAAACTTTTGCTTTCAATCGGAACCGTGATGATGTGAAAACATGGAAGCGTTTTTGGAGGGAAGGATAAGATTAGGGACTAAAGCACACATTATTCATGTTGTTTTTAATATTCTCCGCGTGATTCATCATCGTCTTTTTTCAGTTGTACAATTGAGGAAAAGAAACGAATGGAGGGAATGGACGATATAGGCGGAAGAAAGGGAAGGAGCGAATGAAAATGAACTTTCGGTCGTGCACTTTATGCGAGTTAGCGCCAATACTCATAAACGAAATTGGGATTGGTAATGGGAATTGTCGGTCGGACTTTGAAATCCGTATCTACTAGCCAAGTGTCAGAAAACTCAAAAAAGAGGGAGTGAATCAAAAGTTTGACTTTCATAAAAGGTTTTCTCAATATTCAGAAGTCCACAGCAAAGTTAGGGACCTTGAAGGAGGTATGTTTCTGAGAAATGAGTGCTCAAGCACAGTCTCAAAGCACTTTTCGTCGCCCTAACCCCTGATCTTTGGACTCTTATATCTCGAGAACGAACTATTCTTTCAGAAAAAGTCAACTGGAGTCTTTGGAAATTTTGTGCTCAGCAACGTTGTAGTCGATCATTTTGCTCTAAAACTTGTCATTCTTGAGTTATGGTTTTCTTTCTAAACAGTAAACAATATACTGCAATCTAATTTGACGCTCTATCCAATTATATATGTAGCTTGACCATCAATTTTTAGTTTCAGGCTTCTTTTCACAATCCCAACAACTGATTAGTAAAGTTCTTGGACAGATCGAGACAGTGACGGGAAAGTGAAACGTACATATCTTCAATAAGGAAACAGTCGGAAGATGTTGCGGAAAGCATTCACAAAACAAACTTTATTTTCTGAAAACAAACATCTTGTACTGGTTAAGAACGTAGTCATTGAGCATCAAATTCTTCGGATGTTTATATCTAATCGACATGGACTCATATAAATATCTTATCAGGATTGTCGAGGAGTCGTTCAAATGATCATGGGTTCTTCTATAATTTCTGTTTCTCTGGACTTCAAAATATTCGATGAGGCACTGACTTTCCAATCCTTCGAATCCTTTCTCCGTGAATCGTCCCCTACAAAATACTGTAGTTTCGAAGTCTCATCGCACGCTCATTTTTCGCTGCGCTCGCCTGAGATTAGAACGTTTCGGTGCGTAATGACGACAGAAAAGTTCAGCAGAATTCCTCGGCGATCGGTCTCTGAATCCCTTCGCTCTCCTTTTGTCATCGTTCGCCGCCGATTACGCGTTCAGTAGAAACAGTACACTTTAGCCCCCATTTTGTCATCGTTTCATCATCCTCTCCGTGCAACCTTTTCCAGAAGAAATCATTCTCATTTTCTGCTTCTTCCTTTCCTTCTTCTTTTTCTTCTTCTTTTTCCACTTAGGTCTCCCTTTGGAACCGAACTTTGTTTGGTCTAGTTTACAAATCAAAAGTGCGTAAAAAGGTTGCGAAACAGAGAGAAAGGGAGAGGAAAAGAGAAAAAGTATGTTCGGGGTCGGAGGGCGATTGTCTCGAAGTTGGCGGCGAACCGGTCCGCATTGTTTGTCTCTCGAATCCTCTCCCTTCGCCGTCCTCTCTCCTCTCGTTCTCCCCTTTACCTATCTATTCACCCCATCATATTTTTATTCCATTGATGGTCACATTTACATTTGAAATGAATGCCCCAGAAGAAGAAGAAGAAGACGTCTGCACAAACATTGGCCCCCATGTGCCATTCCATTTCTTCCCCGGTTTTCCGCGAAGCGTTTCGAATCCAATAAAAACGGGCGCAAAACGCAAAAATGCGTCGATTTCAATTGAGTGAAAACAAATTGCGACGGACGGAGCACACATTCCCATCGTCCTCGCGTCTCTTCCAATCAACCAAAGCGACGTTGTTGTCTTTGTCTCTCTGAAACGTGCTCTTCGATTCCGCTTCTCATTCCACTTCCAGTTCCCCCGACCTCGCAATCATTCTCCAGCTCGCCGAGCACACTTTCCCTCACTTTATCACTTATTCTTGCGCTCCCTTATCGGCTTTCGCACACCGGTGTGCGTGCTATGTGACGCTGATAAGGTCACACACATATAATATTTCACACTTTTTGCTTTATTGGCCCTTCTTCCACGTCACCAATTCGCGAGTTGCAGAATGCAGCACGGCTCGGTGGGGCCCTCGTCGTCGGCCCGCAAGACGACGGTGTCGAGCACCGCCGGCGGCTCCGTCCACCTCCATCACCGCTCGTCCAACGGCTTCTCGACCTCGCCGAGAGCTCCGTTGAGCCGACACAACGAGATGGACTTTGGAAAGATGTTCGCGGTGATGGAGAAGGGACACAAAGTGTGCAAGATCGCAGTGCTCAAGAAATGGGATCCAGCCTACAAGCAGCTAACTTTGGACCGGAATTCCAGACAAATATTCCTCACCAAACTGGAATTATCCGCAGTGAGGTAAGTCATTCGAAGTAGTTTCCGGTTCTCATAGTCGTTTTTTGTTTTTCAGAAACAAACCAACCATTCTGGACATTCGACAAATCCGCGAAGTGCAAACACTCCACTACAAACTGAACACGATCAAAGTGGACGATAAATGGAAGAAGGACCGGGAAATAGTGAACTTCGAGGCCAAAACCATACTGATCATCTCGTATGGAATGGCATTTGCCCTTTCCTACTGGATTCTTCTCTGTAAGTCATTTTTCCCAATTGGCAATCAAAATGAGACTGTTGCAGTCGAGAGTGAGGATGCGTGCAAACTGTGGTCGCACGGGCTCAGCAACCTGATGATCGAGACGAGGGACCGCGATTCATCGCCTCATCCGTTGAGGATCGAACGATTTCTCCACAAGCACTTTCTCGGCCTCATGTCGCCGGCAAACGATGCGTAAGTATTCATGAAAATCATTCAAACAATACTAGGTGGTTATTTTCAGAGTGGCCAGAAAGCACATGAAGCCGTTCGTGCAGACTTCTCTTCAGTTCAAAGTCGCATCGGATCAACTGCAGAAAGTGACGGAAGACCAGATGAACTTTGATCAGTTCAGCTACGCCAGTCGGCAGTTGATTCACGTGCCCGAGCTGTTCTCCTCCCGTTTCGCCGATCTCGCAGAGAAGCACGATCGGATTGGACTCGTCGTCTCTTTCCAGAACTTTCTGCGGTTTCTCGACGGAAAACAGTTCGATGAGCTGGCCTCGAACCGAACTAGAGCTCTCGACTTCCTCAACCGCTACTTTCACCAGGAGCAATCTTATTCTGGCGATAGAAATGAGCCAGTGATGACCGTGCTCGAGTTCTGTGACTTCCTCTTCTCTCGTGAGAACTCCCTGTGGGATCCGTCGAACGAGAAAGTGACTCATGATATGAGCAGGCCGTTGTCCCATTATTGGATCGCCAGCAGCCATAATACGTGAGTGAAAAAGCATTCAATCAAAGTAAAGTTCTGGAATTTCAGATATTTGACGGGAGATCAACTCCGCTCCGAGTCTTCCCTCGATTGTTACGCACAGGCACTGTTGATGGGATGCCGGTGCATCGAGTGTGAGTCACTCTTCTCCGGATCCCCCCCACTTAACTAATATTTTCAGTGGACTGCTGGGACGGTCAGAAGAAAACGGGGTCGAATGAGTTCGTCGACATTGTCATCTACCACGGGTACACGATGACTTCGAAGATTCTGCTCCGCGACGTGCTCCACGTCATCCGACATTACGCATTTGTGACCTCTGAATACCCAGTAATTCTGTCCATCGAAGACAATTGTTCGGTTCCTGCTCAACGGCTTCTGGCTCTTGAGCTCAAAGAAATTCTCGGTGATTATCTTCTGACACAGCCGGCGAATCGAGATGAGAAACAGTTGCCTTCACCGGCGGCGTTGAAAAAGAAGATTATTGTGAAGCACAAAAAGTTGCCAGTGGAGAGTGAAGACCTGGCGGCGGTGGTGAAAACTGATGAGTGTAAGCTTTTGAATTGATATCATTCGAAACGATAATGTGCGAATTGCAGTCCAAGACACGGAAATCATTGCTCGGGAATGCGTCAAAAAGGGAATTCTGATGGTCCGCAACAACAGCACTCACGAGTGGACCTCCCACGTTTTCATCCTTTTCCCCGACCGTCTCTGCTATCTCATTCAAACTGCAGACGACAATTCGAACGACGACACAGTCAGTGTGAGTGGAGACGAAGAACGGGAAGAGGAGACGCCTTCTGGATTCGGAGTGCGGCCGGAGGAGATGCATGTGACTGAGGAGTGGTTCCACGGGCGGTGCGAACGGGATGAGGCGAAGAAAAGGATTCTGGAGCACAAAGAGAAAGGAAACGGATTGTTTATGATCAGAGATTCGAATCTCTTCATTGGCGACTTCTCGCTCTCTATTCTGCACGACGGAAAAGTGCATCATGTGAGAATCAAATCGAAGATTGTCGACAGTGAGTTGAAAAGGATAACAAGAAAAAGGGTGCGCAAACAATCTGATTTTCAGAAGAGAAGAAGTATTATTTCATGGACAACAAAGTGTGTGACACCCTTTACGAATTGGTTTCCTACTACACCCGCCACTATCTGACGACTGCGCACTTCAAAATGGTGCTCACAATCCCGTGCCCTCAGCCCCAACCTCATCTGAATCAACCGTGGTTCTCAGTGACCGCCGACAAGGAGAAGGCGGAGGAACTGTTGAGTCTGGTGCCAGAGGACGGCGCCTTTCTCATCCGAACCTCTTCCACCGACTCATCAGTTTTGTCCTTTCTCTCAAGGTCGACGGAGAGTTCTGGCATTACCGGTTGAAAGAGACGGTCGCATCTTCGTGGTCAACCAGAAAGTGTTGAGAATCTGAATCAGATTGTCGAATTCTACGGAAACCGCGAGTTTGTTCGTGGAATCAGTCTCCGATTCCCAGTCAATGAGAAGGATATCAGCCATCTGACTGCCGAGCTGGCGGAAGCACGCACTCCCGGATGCTACATGGATCTGAAGGACCTGGACAAAGAAGTACAGGCACGATCGATCCGCCCGTATCGAGGAACAGCGGACGATGAGCTCTCGTTCCCTGCAAACGCTATAATCACTGTGCTCCGGAAGGAAGAAGGGTTGTGGAGGGGACGGTACGGATCCCTCACTGGATGGTTTCCGTCGGCACACGTGCAAGAGATCCTTCCCGAGAAGGTGTCCACTTCTGGTGAGTTGAGCGAAATATTAAATGAAAACTGATTCAAACTATTCAGAAGCGAGCAACTACAACACAATAGAGCTGGCTGGAACTCTAATCGAAAGGATCCACGACGCTGATCGACCGAACGTCATCAAGATTTCACAATCGAACTCGCATTGGATGAACAAGCAATACTATATGCTGGCTGCTTCCTGTAAGTCTCTGTGAAATATCAAGATGGAAAAATGAGTGTTTCAGCATCGGAAGAAGCGGACGGATGGCAGAACAATCTGTTCGAGCTCACCCGTTCTGTGAACAACAAGATGAGCATTCTGAGGACGAAAGAGAAAGAAAAACGGATTGCCGCCGAGCTGTCGAACCTCGTGGTTTACTGTCAAGCAGTTCCATTCGACCCTGCGCACATCTACAACGACGCATTCTATGAAATGTGCTCATTCGTCGAAGGGAAACTTGATAAGCTCATCGAAAAGGGTCTTTTGCCCTTCAACTCGCGAAAACTGTCCCGTGTTTATCCGAACGGAAGCCGGATAACTTCGAACAATTACAGTCCGGTGCCGATGTGGAATGCCGGCTGTCACATGGTCGCTCTCAATTATCAGACGGGCGACAAGCCGATGCAGTTGAACCAGGGAAAGTTTTTGGCGAACGGGCGGTGCGGATTCGTTCTGAAGCCAGAATACATGCTCACTGACGATTTCGATCCGTCGAACACGGAAAAGTGCGGAACTGCCTATCCGATCCGACTGAATGTGCAAGTGATCGGAGGACGACATCTGTCCAGAAGGGACAAGAACAAGGGAATCTGCTCGCCGTTCGTCGAAATTGAAGTGATCGGAATGCCTTGCGACACGAAAGTTTATCAGACAAAGACTATTGCTTCCAATGGTCTCAATCCCATCTGGAATCAAACGTTCACCTTCGAAATCCAGTGTCCAGAAGTGGCGCTGCTCCGCTTCCACGTGGAGGACGGTGATTTCGTGGGACCGAAAACGGATCCGTTCATCGGACAGGCCGTCTTCCCAGTCGATTCGATCCGCTGCGGGTTTCGCTCGGTGCCCCTCAGGAACCAATACAGCGAGGAACTCGAGCTCTCCGCTCTTCTCGTCGACGTGCAAATGTGCTCAAGAGAAGGCACTCAGCTCATCCGCTCCTCTTCTCATTTCCTCCAGGTCGGTGCTCTTTCTCAACTTCTCCAAACATTTTCCGTTTCTCTTTCAGGCTAGCCGACTCGCTCCAGTCTTTGCTCATCGCAAAATCACGAACGGAGACAGTATTCCCCGTGAGATGGCTCCCCGACTACGAGGCTCGGCCACCGATCGCTCACTCGACTCTCCGACGAGTTCGGAATCCCGGGCCACACTCCTCGGGAGCCAACAGCGGGGAAGTCAGGACTCAACGGAAAGCGCAGAGTAAGAAGAGAAACTTTTCGATATTTTCAATAATGTTTCATTCTTTCAGAACTGCATCGATAGCATCCGGAACGGTCAGCTCACGAGACGGGAAAAAGAAACAAAACTGGCTCAAAAAGTTTTCATTTGGCAAAAGTAGCAAGTCGTAGTAAATTAGTTTCATCACAGTTATATCATTTCGCTTCTCTTTCTCGGTCGTTTTCATTCCGCATCCGTTTTCCCATCCATTCCTGCCCTTACTTATCTTCTTCTCAAGTTCAAAATATATCAAATTGTCCCGGATTCTGCTTTAATGCCACCCGCTCCATATGACCACAACTCATGGAACTGTGATCTTTCGATTCGAATAACTAAATTGCTAGTGTTAATAAAATTGTTCTCCCCTTCATATTCATTCGTGTTTTCATCAAACTTCCTGGAATGTATAGGAAATGCGCTTAAAGAATGTTTATATACCTTCCAAGACAAAGTTACAAAAGTATCAATTCCACATTCTGTTTATCTGATTGATATGATCGTCCTGCGTCTGCTTCGTACTCGTGATATCCTGGATCTTCTGAGTTCTCGAGGCCTTTGTGGAGTTTATCCGAAAAATGAGAATGAGAGGTAAAATGAGAGCGCTGTAGGGAAGAGTCTGCAGTAGAAATGGGGTTGGAAAGAGGCTTCTGAAACCGAGAAAACTTACGTATATCCAAACAATGAGCGCGCGAAATGTTACCAACGTCATCTGTGATTTATAACATCGCATCAAAAGAGCACCCAGAGAGTATATAAACGAGGCGACGAACTGAGAAAGGGATAATATACAGATTGTGTGAGTGGAGTCTATCGTCTCCCTCGTTTTGAATCGTTCTCTCAGTTTGTATCTTGTTCTGAAAGCACCTCAAAACAATCAGAATCGAATCCCGAGTCCACTCACTCAAATTCCAGCCGTTTGTTGTAATACATAACCGAAATCGAAGTGATCAAATTGAAAAGAGTGAGAAGAACACAAACGGACAGGAACAGATTGATTCTGGTGGAACTGTGCTCCGGCGGGATGAAGCACGAAAGAATGTGTCCGTCCAGGGGATCGTCCCAGAGAATGAGACGGAAAGTGAGTGCACTGCACACGAGCACAACGGAGGAGACGACGATGCCGGTGAGACGGCTCACGAACGTCGAATAGTTCTTGTAGAATGTTGCGAACGCGCTGCAAATTGGATTTGACAATTTGGAGAAATCCCAGTGAGAAAAAAGTTAAAAAAGTTCAGAAATCGTCAGCTGGTCTTGCGAATTGAGTTGTCGGCTGCTACTCACAACGTCATCGTTCGAGACTGGGATTGTTGTTATGAAATTCTCAAAAATGCAGAAATCAGAGGTTGAACGTCCCGTTTTCCTAAGGAGTTAAGCTCCATACGTTCGGGAAATTTCAAAAGGAAGCCTCATATGCTCCATAACAACAGCTAGAAAGCGTACCGTTCAATTAGAAGCCCGGTCTGCGCGTAAATCATTCCACTTATTCCGGTGAATCGTACGGACGAATAGGGAACGCAATTTTCTTCACTTTGCAACCATACACACTGTTCATCGTTAAGAAATACACTCTTGTAGATCATGGTAACCTGTAAACACATCTAATTTTTCGTCTTTCCTATATTAACCAACCTCTTCAATTGCGAATGCAACTTGATGAATGTTTGCGTATAAGATATTGAAAAAAATAATGATTTTGGTGGAAGATTGAAATATTGATTTGGTGCGAATCAAGTGAACGGCTTTGAGCGAAACGAAGAAAGTGGCACAAACGGAGCAGAGAGAACAAAAGGCCGAGAGCCGATAATTTAAACTTTGAAGGTATGTGACGTCATCTGGAGACGCACAACTCGAATTCCAAGACATTCTAAATTTAGAGAATTATAATCGGACAAAAACAGAAACTGAATTAATTGGAGAAACGAGACGCTGCCTGGGACAGACGAATCCGTGCTTCGTCACGGAGTGTTCGCAGCAAAACAATTCTTTTTGTGGTCATACATGAAAGAGTAGGTGTTATTGGAGAGTATTCTCCCCTTGTGGATTGACCTTTGAACAGAACACAATTCAATTCCGTCTCGTGGAAAGGAATGAACAAAGAGCAATTGTTGATTGGTTTCTGGTTATGAGCTGATTAGGAGACAGACAATATCATGTGAGTAACGAGCTGAATCATCGGACGAGATAGCTCCGAATGCACAACTGAATGGGAATGGAATGGAACGAAACAAGCAGGTTATTGAATAGAGTAAATGCTTTATAGGCGTTAGTGAGACCCCCCAAGGCAAATTATATAAACAGAAAGCAATTAATTGGAGGACTAGCTGGAATTCTTCGAAATGATCTATGTAGACAGACTGAACGAGAAGACGCCCTCAGTTCCACATTTTAGTGATTTCCTTGATGTGATCTTCTTGAGTTTGCTTTGTATTTGTTATTTCGCTGATTATTTGAACACGATTGGCACGCGTTGAATGGATTCTTTGAATTAAAAGGAGGGGTAACGAGGCGGCGGTGAATGGAACTGTCTGCAAAGGAATTAGTAGTTTTCAAAGCGATTCCTATCAGTTGCCGATAGAGATATCAAAAAGTTGTCAACAAAGAAATTGCTTATTAGCTCATTTTGTACATTTTATCAGCTGACCACTTTTTGATATCTTACATGCAAAGCTTTGAAAAACTTACGTAACACCAGACAATCCAAAAATAAAATGTTGACACCACGAGCACATCTTTCAATCGCGCCAAAAGCATAATTCCGAAGTAGTAAATGAACATGCCGATGAACTGGAAACAAATGAGAAAGCAAATGGTCTTTGTGGACTCGATCGCTTCTCTTTTTCGGAATCTTTCTCCCACTTTGAACCTGGTTCTGAAACAAACGTTTCTTTGTTAAAATCCTGAAGAGAGTAACTTACGCGTATTCAAACCGTTTGTTATAGCGCATAATCAGAAGAGAAGTGGCCAAATTGAAAAGGGTCAAAAAGGTGCAGACCATGAAATATCGGATGGATCTGGCGGAGCTTTGCGATGGAAACACGAAGCAGCCGAAGATGAACTTTTCAACGGGATCGTCCCACAAAAGAAGACGTCCGGTGGATGCGCTTCCCGCAAGAATGGCCACAAAAATGGAGCAGGCAACCCAAAGACTCTTCCGCTTCGAATAACTTTCTGAGAACGTGGCGAACGCTCTGTCGATCATAAGTCCAGTTTGTCCGTAAATCATTCCACTGATTCCACACAACAATACTTCCAAATACGGGGCGCAGTGGGCTTCTGACTGAAGAATTTTGCACGGTTCATCCATCAGAAAAGCGTGTCTGTAGAGAAGTCCGACCGCCTCGATTCCATAGGAAAGTTGATGGAGATTCGCGTAGAATAGGTTTTGGAGTAGAAGAATTTTAGTGGAAAGTTGGAAGATGGATCGTTTGAGAACCACGTTCACAGCGAAATAGGTGGAGCCGAAAGTGATGAGGATGGCGGTGAGATCGACGAGTTGGGAAACGACAAAGTTCACACTGGCGAGACGGGCGAGATCCGACGGAGCAGCACAACTCGAGTTGGACATTGTTTGGACCGGGGACTGAGCAGAAAAACTCGACGTCTGACTCGAAATAAGATTTGAATGAAAACAGAAGACGGTGCTTTGCGAGGAAAACAAAAAAAAGCACTTTGAGCGAAAAAATTAGAGGAGCAAAAGTTAAAAATGAGATGATTGAAGTGCGGAATCGAATGAGAAAGCAGGTGAAGTTAACCGGAGCTGAGACATCTGGAAATGAGCATCGGAGAAGAGGTCTTCGAGTTGGTCTGTGATGAAGAGCACTACCGGGCTCAATGGAAACATGTAATTTTTGGTCTCTAAAAGCTTTCTTATTCCCCCTAATTTGCCATTTTGTTTTGCTGGGCAAACACGCGATTTTTTTCAGAATACAAAAATAATGTCAACATAGTGAAATCATAAAATATGATTCGATTATGCCACGCACCCACCTACAGAACCGCTCTTCTCATTGGCAAACAATGCGCCGTTCCCTTCTTCTTCTTCTTCTTCTTCTCCCTTTTCTCATCTGCCGCGTGGTAGTAGCCGTGAATCCTGCTCAAGAAGCGAATCGTCTGATGGTCTTGCTGAAGAACGCCATCGAATTCAACAATATTGACTCTCTCCAATCGATCTTCTCTTCCAGTTTCACTTATGACACTTGCGAAGGAGTTCTCAACTATGGTTTGTGCACGGATCATGAACGTGTGAAAGTGAACAATACTTTCAGACAAGTTCCTGGAGAACCTGAGAATCCTGTCGACTCCTCCATTGGCAATCTCTACAGACGTAAGTACGGAAACTTCGGGAACCGTCAAAATGTTTCCAAAGTTTCAGTGGTCCGTTCGAGATGCTCAGCTCGTCAATGAGGCCGTTCATTTCAAAATTCACTACAACGATCAGAAGCCGATCGCCTACGCGGATATTGATTTTGAAGCCAATGTGGTAGGTCTCCGTTTCAATATAATTTGTACTCTTCTGCTCATTTTCAGCTGGCTAACGGGTATTTTGGTTTGACAAAAGGAAAGTCATCGGCTTGCTAAATCTGATAATATTTTTTTCTTTCTTTTCAAACCCATTTTGTGAACCCATCGAATAAATAAAAAGTGTTATCATCCCCAGAGAGCCTTCAGTTCGTCCATTCTGTTCTGTTGACTTTCCCGATGCGTCGTGATGTTGTGAATGGTTCGTTGACGGCGTCGTCGCACATATTTGATGCAGAAAACGATGAGAAGAGGAAGGGATACTGTAGCGTAGGAAAGTGCCTGAATAGGGAAAACATTCAAAAGATAGTACTTCAGAGGATACTCACATAAACCCAAATTACGAGGTTATTGTACAAGTACACGGGGATCTGGTCCTTCACCATTCGGAACATCCAACTGCCGCCCGCATAGATTCCGAGAGCACTGATCTGAGCGATTACGAGCACTGAGATCGACTTGGAGGTCATCATCGCCTCGCTCTTCTGGTACTGGAACTGCACGTCGAACCGGGTCCTGTACGATGGAGCATTGGAATCGGACAAGTACTGGACAAGCAAAGCAGGGGAGGAGAAGAAGTGAGCCTTATATTCCAACCTATAGGTTACGGTCCATTGGAATGACACATATCAAAATGGTTACGGATAGGGAGAAATATGAAAGAGGACGAGACACAGATGGAAAGAAAAGAGACACCTCGAGTTGTTGAAGCGAACGACACACTGAACGAACCTCTTCGAGTGCAGTTTGTTGATGTAAAGAAGGGTGAGGTTGATGATGAGGTTGATAGCAGTGAGCACGAGGCTGCTCAAGAGGAACACGTTCGCACGGGCGGCCGCTTGTTTTGTGAAGAACTGGCAGCTCGGCAAGTAATCCTTCCCGGTTTCGCCGAAAGGTAACACGAGAACCTGGATGTAGCCGGTGAAAACCACCTGGAAAGTTTATAGAAACGTTTGGAAAGATCGGAGAAACCAACGGTAGCAACTGCTAAAGCAAGGCCCGGAATTCGATGATATCGGTAGTAGATGTCGGGAATGAACGTGGCCAAGAGTCTGAAATAGAGTTGTATTGAATATTTGGTCTCGTGGTTGCAGGTGAGTTACCCGTCGATCGAAAGAGCAGAATGTATGTAGATGAGACCACTGATTCCGAAGAGAAGAGGCCTTCCGAACACCATGCAATCGTCAGAATCGAAGAAGATGTTGCACGGATCGTCAGCATAGTAGAAGCTACGGTACATTAGCGCCCACTGCAAAAATGTGATTCGAGCTTCAAGACATCGTCTTCAAATCACGTTCTCCACAGCATTTCCGTATTATAATTTTAGGCAAGGGTGGGGCGCGCGAGCGCCAAGCGAACAGCAAGTTGCTATGGTAGCATAGGATGAGCATGTGTCACGCACGGATCCGGCATGGCATCAGCATGGATAGAGCGTGCAACAGTAAAAGGTTGGAGGTGATATCTCGAGGAAGCTAGGTTTTTGAGCGGCACGGGAGCAGCAACGCTAGCAGGGTTCAGCGCGTAGCAAGCACGGAATCGGCACCCTTACAGCAATTTGCCGCAGAAAACGGCATGGATGCCGATTCTTGCGGCAACTTGCCGAAAATTACCTGTCTCTTATAAGAAACGCGCAATTATTTTTTCTTTCTAAAACTTACTTGAAGAAAGACATGTGCCACGTCATGAATCACTGCAAATGTGAGAGAAAGGTAGAGAAGGATGATGGTGGATTCGTTGAAGATCGGGTGCTTTCTCATGTACTTGATGCAGTACAAGATGCCAATAAAGCAGCCGGCTGAGAGGAGTGTACAGTAGATTATATTGAAACGAAGGAGCCAGGACGTCTGGAGGATCATCTGATCTTCAGAAGCCTGGAACGGACATGCCGAGTCGTTGGTGAGTCCAGTGGACATGTTTCTGAAAGGAGCAAATTAGGTGTCTGGTTTTCACGAACAAGAACTGAAGTGCAACATGCTCATAGTTCAGCATATATAGTAAAGAGTGAAGATGAATTATAGAAACCGTCTATTTTTAATTTGCTTACTAAACGTTCTCACTTCTCGCAGAGCAAAACAGAAAACAAAAACACAAAGTTCGATCAGGTGAGAGCAATGAAAACAAAAGAACGTTTCCCACGATTTGCGTTTGTTTTTATCCTTGAATCAAACCTGAAACCCATTTCAAATATATATAGGGAATGGGTCCGGCTCATGCAAACGAACGAGCAATCTTTTGATTCTAGATAGAGTGGAATACGGAAGTGAGCAGAACGAAACGAGTTTGAGGGGGAAAACGTGGAAAAGTGGTTGTTGTGGGCAGGAAACACGCAGTTAGGGAGGTAAACATACAGGTGGAAAAGCGGAAACACGGATTCAGAAAGACCAACGGGTGGATTTGAGTTGAGAAGTAAGTTATGTGTAAAACTTTCAGAAAGTGTGGTGATAAAGTGTAACATGCAATTGTTGGATATGAAACATGTTTGGATCAAGTATCACAGGCCAGAAAGCACCTTCATTTCGGCACAAACTTGTAATGAATAATGCATTTTATGAAGAGCGCAATATTGTTCCAATAAAAATGACGTTTTCGGAAACTGAGAAACTAACATTTTTGGCGAGTAAAGAAAGTGGGTCAAAAAGTTTAATCAACTTTTTATGTGTAGAGCACAAAACGAGACAAAGAGGGGAGGGGGAGGAGAAGCAATTAATTGGAAGCCTAGAAAAGTGCAGAATGGAGGGGGAGGATGACGGCCGAGAAACATCGAATTGAGGGGTGTGTTCTGCCAATGGATAAATTTAATTGCGGGTTGGCATTGAGCTCGAGGGCTCCGTGCGATCTGGCAGGGAAGTTTGATGGGACAGGTGCAAAGAACGATGACGGAATCGGAGCGAGGAGGCGAGCAAAACGTTTCAGCGCTGCACTTCAACATGCGGAAAGCTCTCGGCTTTTGATCTCGCACAAAAATGTTTGTGTCGCCAGGCATCTAAAATTCAATTATTTACTCGGGGGCTCTGGCTCGAATGCCTGGAAACTGAGTCAACTATTTTGATTTGAAAATTGAAAAGTGTTCACCTCACCGACTTGCTGTACTCTTCTTTCGCATTCCACGCATCCTTCAACTGTGACATGCCGCGGTCTTCCAAGTTCTCGCCCTTGTTCGTCCTTGTCGGCTCGCCTATTTTTAGCTTTCTCTGCTCGGAAATCCATCGAATGCACAAGATTCAGTTTGATTCCCTGGTAAATTTGGTTGGAGGGTGGGACTGCAGGGATGGCACGTGGAAGATTATGAAAGCAGACGTCCTTTTGCGAACAAGAAAGGGCAATGACTTCTGCAGCTATTTTTATCAAGAACATTTTCAGTGCCATTCTCACGGGCAACTTTTTCAGTGTTGCAGGTTTGCAGTGAATGTGAGCATTCTTCAGCAGAGTGAACCTAGTCCAGAATACCCTATCATGTTTAGAAGGCCTAGAAATTTTAACCAATAACTTCAGGAACAGAATGCAAAAGGAGAACAAACTGGCCCAAGTGTCGCGAAGTTCAGTCTAGAAATGACATTCCTCACGACTCATTGTGTTGGTAACGTAGCCGAAGGCTCCGAATTACCAACGCCAGACTACCGTCTGTCACTTCATTATGTTTTACTAATAGTTACGGTGTTCATCATCACCGTAGGAGAGAGATCATCTGGCAGGCAGAGACGCAGAGAGAAGCCGAGAGGGACTCATGCCGCAGTAGAGACACAGACAGCGGCTTCGACCGTACTGTCGAGCGTGGCGAGACCCATGGACGCATTGCGGATGCGCCTTTAATAAATTCTTGCAGGTAGATCGAGCACTCCTCCTACGACTCAGTAGTCATCGTCTGACGGCAAGGTGGAAGGTGCGCGACGAACAATGTCGGAGGCCGGGGCAGCGGCCGAAGACTCAATTCTCCTGTTCGACGCCATCATCCATGTTGACGCCATCTGTTGATTAACTCTTCTTTTTATTTATTTACCATCACAGTCTGATCTTAGAGCGTGAACCTGTGGGCGCGAGGGGGCGCGAGGACTCACCGAACCCGAGACGGAGCGAGAATATCGCTCTGTCGTCGACGGATCGCGTAGGCCCGGAGGAGTACCGGACTATGAGACCTGGAGCAGGGGGCTCTGTTTTTCAGAATCGTTATTGTAATTCATGTGCTATCGGTGTAGTTTCGGAGACGCCCGCCACGAGACCCAGAGGTCTCGTAAGAAGGGTGCAGAGGTTTTGTAGCCAGGTGTCTTTTTGCTCTGACAATAAATATGTTCTCCGAAAAACTCCTGTTGAAATGTTGAAGAGGGGTCACATGGGTGACTATTAACCAATCGTCGAGCAGTTCTGGGGTCCATCACTAGAAGTAACTCGCGAAATGGTGCATCAGACCGATATGCAGTTAGACTTGGTCAAAAAACTGCAGAAGTAACCAATTTGCCACAGATAGGTGCGAGAGAAGTTGCGAGGGGGCACAAAATTGGTGAAAAAAATTGAGAGATTAAGAACCTTGATGGAAAAAGCGCGGAGAAAAAGTGAAAAAAAGACACTCCGAAAAACGCGACGGGGGACGTCTCTGTACATTCTCGAGGGGTGCGACGAGAGACGTGGCAGATGTAAGAGACGGACGCGCCGAGAGGGGTAGGCGCGGGAGAGCACCCAGAGAATATCACGATAAACTGTATTGCTTCAGAATCCTCGCAAGTCGTTTTTCATAGACATCCCGAGAACCTGAACTAAAGTACGTGATTTGCAGGCAGCCATGGCCAGACAGGCTTCAAGAGGAGCAATAAGCGCTCGCTCAGAGCGGGGACGGAACACGCGGGGAGAGCGGAGCGGAAGCGAATCTTCAAGAGGAGCACACCAGTCTCCGGAAGAGAGCGACAACGAAGACAGAAGAAGTGGCGGAGAGTGGGGGCAAGCCGAGATCACGGAAATCCGTGAGAAGCTAGAAGCCATAGCTCTGACAACGACGACGAGCTCGAACGAACTGCGAGAGCTTCAAAAAAAGCAGCAGCAGTTGGCAGCGACGTTAAAAATCTGAGGTGAAAAAAACGAACAGGTGGTCGTCGCGATCAACGCGCTCACGAAGGCGATCGTCGGTTTGACAAACTCGATGGGGAGAAAGATGGAGGAGATGGAGCAGGCGTGCAAGGAATCAACCAAAAGCGACCGACTTCCAGGCGGACGCGGCGAAGCACCTGGAGTCAAGAGTTCGGGCAGCGATTGCACAACTCGAGAGCACCCACAGCCTGGTGGTAGCCAGAGTCTTCCAAACGAAGACTACGCTCGGGAGCTCGCTCTTGCATCCGGGAGAACCTACGAGGAAGAGAACAGCGGTCTGGGACATAAAGACCCCAGGCCCGCGATGCTGCTTCTGCAACGGAGGGCATATCAGCGAGAAATGCGAGATCTACCCAGATTGGGAGACACGCCAGCAACAGCTTCGGAGAAAGGAGCTGTGCGACAGGTGCACCCGAGCAGCGGCCCACGCGAAATGCGAGAAGGCAAGGAGACGGTGCCAGTACTGCAAGGCCGTACATCACAACGCGTTGTGCAGGCAGAAATTCCCAGTGAGTGAGAAAAAAAATGAGGGGAGAAACGGAAATGAGAACTGTACGATTACAGACCACGGCTGTCACCCAAGGTGCCCGAGGTGAGATGGAGTCGCCGAAAGCAGATGCGCTGGCGACGGATCCGTACCCGGGAAAACAGAGAGCGGCCGGAAAAATCCAGGTGAGAGGAGTGAAAAGAGGGGGACGGCCTGAAAAAAAAGAACTGTAACCTTACAGCTAATCAACCCGATTCACCTGTTGAAAATGGGAGACGCGGACATGGAAACGGAGGAGCAGGCTGGGCCGGAGGAGCAGGCTGGGCCGGAGGAGCAGGCTGGGCCGGAGGAGCCAGTGAAAGAAGCGCGAGCCGGCAACGAGGAGTGACCGCGAGTGAGGCGAGGCAGGCGATGCCTGTAGTCGCAACAGAAGAGAAATTCTAACCTTTTGTTTGTTGGTAGTGTGTTTTACTAATAAATATGATTGCATGGAGAATCGTAGCAATACACGCCAGAACGAGAGAAAAAAGGGGAAAAGGTGATATTCTCAGAAGAAAATGAGAGAAAGAGAAAGCTGAACCACACGAAAGGCGGAGAAAGAGAGTAGAAGGGAAACGGTCATTACAGGAAAAAGTAATGAACCGCTCCGAAAAAGAAAAAAGAAAAAGAATGAAAATCGGGGAGAGTGAGAGTACGGAAAATGCAGGGTGACAAAGTTGAGGAGCAGTCAAAACCTACCACTGAAGTAAGATTACGAGGTGGGGGAATCGAAGGTAATCCGCGGAAACGCGAGAGAAAAACCGGAGATCCTGAAATATGTGAGACAGAGAAGCGACCAACTTGTCTGAAAGTGACCTGGAATCAGAAATTACTCGAGTTAGAGACATCTCAAACCCCGAAAAGGCTCCATCGTCTCAGGCAACTCGAGCGCGGAGAGCGAGCGCAGGAGAGGAGGCGAGAGAGCGGAGAAATAGACGAAAAAGGAAGAACGGCAGCAGAAGAAGCACTGCAGCCAAAGCAACCTATCGGAGAGTCACTGAAGCTTCCCACCAAGGGAAAAAGAGAGGAAAAGGGAGGAGTAGTAGGTGAAAAGTCGGTAGAAAAGGTATCCAGCAGAAGGATACACGGGAAACCAACCTAAACGGTGTTGGCAACGCTCGGAGTGAAGGGCGAAGGCACGCGACAGCACAAAGCGGGATATAAAAGTGCAAAGGCCGCACGAAAGAGTGTAAGGCACTGAAAACCAACCTAAACGGTGTTGGCAAAGCTCGAAAAAGAATGAGCGAAGGCACGCAAAGGCACACAAGCGGGATATAAAAAGTGCAAAGGCCGCACGAAAGAGGTGATCGGCATCGCTAGCAAAAAAATTCCAAGTTCCAGGCAATCGGCGTAAGCCCTGAGAATGTAGTTGGTACCAATCCGTCAAGATAAGATACACCAGGAGAATTAGAGCGCTCCAGGTGTCAAAGAAACGGTCAGCCAAAGTTGAATTCATTGAGTAATCAGCTCCCGCCTGATCAACGGGATCGTCAGATTATTGTGCAAAAAGGGGGGTACAAGAGGCTAGAAGTAACCTTTTCAGGTATCGAGCTTGGAAAGTAACGTGTACACCGCACGAATAGTTCAACAATGGAAGATCACAGAGAGGAAATGGCCGAAGAACGTCAGGAGGGACAAGGACAGCGTCAATCCCTGGCGACGGCAAAAACATACTTCACAAAAATGGCCAACTTGGTCAAGGAGACGGTGAAGAAAGCTGAGTTGATTTTGGCCGAGGAGCCAGAACCACGGCGCATTATTATGCTCAAAAACCTAAACAAGAAGCTGATAACGCAACTTGTCGACGTTTCCGGTTTCAAGGAAACGATCGAACTCAAGGTTGAAGCGTCCGCCGTATTGAAAGCGGATAAGGCGAACAGCATAAAGTTGATTGAAGAGCACTGCGGAAAGCTGAGATTCGCAGAGTTGCAGGAAAAGGTGGCGGCGGTGATCGAGAAGGCGGAGCGGGCGATCGCGGCCACTCCAATTCCGGAAGGCGAGGAGACGCCAGAAGGAGAAGAAAGAGGCCAATCGGAGACGGAGAGCAGTAATGAGAATCAGCTCACGATCGGACAGGCTCAAAGGCGTAGGGTCGGCGAAAGTAACGGAGAGACAGAGGAGTTGAACGCCCAAACCGGTCGTGGCAGGATCGGGGATCAGGGTGATCAGGTCTCGGAGGAAGCCAGGAGAAGATTGCAGGCGGCGAGATTGGCTCCAGAGACTCCGGAACCGACCCGGCAGATGAGCCAACAAAAGTTGAATGAGATGCTCATGCGGGAGAATGAGATCCTTCAAGAGCAATTGTCGGATGTCCAGGAGATCCTTCAGGACAGACTGAGAGGCAGAGAGAGAGCCGCAGAGCCGAGCCCGTGGGGGGGAAACAGCAGATCACCGATTGAACCATCCGGTGGCGCGCAGAACATCTCCATAAGAGACATGATCGAGTCAATCGACAAGTTCTCAGGAGAAGACCCCGATTTGTACCCCGAATTCATAAACCAATTCGATGAACAGGTACACCACAACGGGTTCTACACGGCGGCGACGAAGTACTGCATTCTAAAAAAATGTCTGACAGGAGAAGCACGGAAGTTGGTGACCACTACAACTTTCACGGAGGAGGACTATCGGAAGACCAGAGAGCTCTTGGAAGCCACGTACGCGAAAGATCGTGTACCGAAGCTCATGAGAAAGTTCAAGGACTTACCGATAGACCCGAACGATTATATGAGAATGGACACAGACATATCCAGGCACGTGGCAATAGCCAACCAACTCAATCAGAACGGGGTTCCGATGGATCACCCGCTCATGATCGATGAGTTGATAAAGAAGTTGCCAGTGGATATCATGAGCCACGTAGTGAAAAGGACGAGATCGTCAAGAATGACATTCCTCCAAGTGATCAGTGCCATCCGTGACAAGATCGTGGAGAAAGGCTACGTGGAACAAGCCCGAGAAGACCACAAACGAAAAATGGAGTTGGCAGAAATCTGCGCGGTGGGAGACAACAGAAAGTCAGAGAGCGGCCGAAAAGGGTACGGAAACAGAGAAAGACCTGAGAGTTCGGCGGACAATCGGAAGAGCGGGTGGAAAAAAAGGGGAAAAGATGAGAGCAACCCAAAGCCGAAGGGGGAGACGGTGTGCAGATTCTGCGGATCAGATCACTACACCGCCTTCTGCTCCATGAGCATGGACGAGAGAAAAAAGGTGGTGGAGGAAAAGAAGCTGTGTAGACATTGCATCTCGAAATACCACCCCACCAAAAAAATGCAAATACCCCAAGAAGTGCTATTTGTGCCAGGAGATGCACAGCATGTTCTTGTGTCCACTGAGGAGAAAAATTGGAGCAACCAGAAAAGAACAAGACCCAGTTTTTTTCGTGAAAGCTCCTCCTCCTCCCGCCAATAAGCGGCTCAGGGCAGGCACGGAATCGTACAACACGATTCACGTGCCACAAGCTACCTTGCCCACAGCAACCATAAGAACAGACAACGCCAATACTGTTCAAACTAAAAACGGGGGATCAGGAGAAGAGACTCGAGAAGGAGAGTCGGGAGAACAAAGGGAGAGTAAACTCGTAGAAATAATAATGTGTAGTCAGGAGGACGCGTTATACCGCCTTCCACAGATAAAGATTAACACACCCAAAGGGGAGAGATTGTTAGCACTCATTGATTCGGGGGGCGACGAGGTCATTGGTATCTGAACGGGCAGCGGAGAGACTGCGACTTCCGATCTTGCGGTCGGAGGAAATGAAGGTGATAGGAATTAACGGTGCGGAAACTGTAAAGTCCAACAGAGTCCGTCTTCAATTCAAGGGTGAAAAAGGATTTGGTCTGGACAACCGAAATCTCAACACACCCTGGAGATCCCGATCATCTTTAGAGCACCAGTTTTTTTAGCTCAAAAAGATATCAAACACCTGAAAAAGGAAAAAGGATTAACCCGTACAGTATAATGGGGATGAGAACAGAAAACGGAGATCGAATTGATCTCATTCTGGGAGCAAGTTTCATCGCGAAACTGGCGCCCGAGGCGAAGAGGCATGTGTTGCCAAGCGGTAGAATAGTCGAAGAAACCAAGCTCGGAATAATAACTCATCCGACACCAAGTAATGAGTTTCGGCTATCTTCCGAAAGAGGATTGGAAGTAGAAACCAACGAGTATTATAATTCAGTGGTAGTTAACACGTTGGAAGTTGTGGAGTATCGTCAAGTCTCCGAAGCCCAGATATTTGAGGGGATCTCACGACTGTTTCAGTTGGAGCACGTGGGAATCCAACCACAAGAACTGGCAGAAAAAGGGGAGAGAGTGACGAGACACTTCTGGAGAAGTTCAGAGAAAGCGCAACCATGGTTGACGGCAAAATACAAGTCGCTCTACCGTTCAACGGGAGAGAAGCGGACTTAACCGACAACTTTCCGGTGTGCATCCTAAGACTGTCATCACTTCTGACGGTTCTTCAAAAGGACAAAAAGAACATTGTGGGAGTATGATTCAGTGATAAAAAAACTCAGCTCGCGGAGGGGATAATAGAGGTGGTCCCGGAGTCAGAGTTACACGCCGAGGGCCTCCATTATTACATGCCGCACCGGCATGTGATGAAAGAGGAGTCGTGCACAACCAAACTGAGAATTGTGCTAGACGCATCGAGTAGAATGAGAGGGAGATTATCATTAAACGACTGCTTGCACGCAGGACCCTCACTTCTACTCCCAATACTTGGTATATTGATGAGAGCCAGATGTTCGAAATACTTGTTGATAGCGGACATAGCCAAGGCATTCCATCAAGTCCCTCTTCGACCGGAGTTCCGGAACGTGGTGAAGTTCCTGTGGGTGAAAGATCCAGAGGGGTCCACGAACCACGAAAATCTCGTGGTCTACCGGTTCACAAAGCTACCCTTCGGAGCTTCAAGCTCACCGTTTATTTTGGCGGCGACGATTCTGCTGTATTTGGAGATGAACCCGCATGAAATAAATGAGCGAATCAAAAGTAACCTGTATGTGGATAATGTCGTATTGACAACCAATGAGGAAAGCGAACTCCCGGAGCTGTACTCAGGATCAAAAAAGGCGTTTAACAACATGTCTATGAACCTGAGAGAATACATGACCAATAGCAAGGGGACTATGGAAAAGGTACCAGTGGTGGACCGGGCCCAAGCAGAAGTGAACAAGTTATTGGGTCACGTGTGGGATAGTGTGAATGATACAATCACAATAAAAAATTCCTAAACCACCAACTGGCCACCCGACCAAAAAGGCAGATGGCATCGTTTTTTTAGCGTCCAATTACGACCCCCAGGGGTTACTCTCGCCTATAATCGTGCCGGTCAAGGAGGTTATACAAAAAGTTGTGGGAGAAAGAGGTGAAATGGAAACAGAGGATTCCAAAGCAGCTATTGAAAGAGTGGGAGGTGATAAAGGAATCGTTCACTCAAACGTCATATACACTACCGCGACAGTTGGTGGTACATTATGATTACGAGAGCGTCCAACTGCTAGTGTTCAGCGACGCCTCCGAGAGGCATTTCGCAACGGCAGTGTACGCACACTTCAGGTACAAAGACAGAGAGCCAGTCACAAAAACTGGTGATGTCAAAAATCTAAGGTGAAACCAAAGAACGTGAGCTTGTCGATCCCGCGATTGGAGTTGATGGGAATGGAGATAGCATCCCACGCGTCGCTCACGGCGTACAAGGAGTTGAAAATGGAGAAATTGAAGGGAGTGAAGTTCTTTTCGGACTCCATGATTGCCCTATATTGGGTATTGAAGAAAGAGAAGTTGACAAAGTTCGCTCATAACAGAGTCGAAAAAAATCCATCAAAAACACTCTGTGGTTGAAGGGGAAGGGTTTCGATCCATCATTCCATCATTGCCCAACAGAGTATAACCCGGCGGATCTGGCGTCCAGAGGAGTGGTCATGGAGAAACTGTTCAATAACAGCTTATGGTTCGACGGACCTGAGTTTCTCAAGAATCCAGAATCCGAGTGGCCGATACGACTTGAGGGGAAGATCAGTTATCCGCAGGAGTTCAGGGAGCTGATTTTGAAAGAGGTGGTCCTGAGTAAGGCAGCGAAAAAGAAGTTAAACGCGACCGCGGCGTTGGCAGTAGACACGACCGATCAGGACGGGAAGGGAAGACCCTTCATCCCGTACAATAGAGTAAGTTCTCTGGCAAAGCTAACCACGGTGATGGGGCTAGTGATGAGGTGGTTCGTAAGAAAATTACCGAACAAAGAGTGGGAGAGTCTGGTCATGAGACAGTTGGCCAAAGCAAAAGACAATCACGTCAGACAAAGATGCATCGCGCGCACGTTCGTGATTGCGAGGCATTATGAAGACGGAAAGTCGAGACTGAATCTCAGTCTACCGACAAATATGAATTTGGAGCCGGGGGAAGAAGGAGTGTATCGGTATCATCGACAGCTGGACAACTCCAGATTGTCAGCCGATGCGAAGAACCCGATCTTGATCCTACGGGACCACGAACTGGCAACACTGATAGCTCGAGAGGTTCACAGGATGAATATGCACATCCCGCAGACCTATCTCATCGCAGCCATCAGACAAAAATATTGGATACCACAAGTGGGAACACTTGTAAAACAGGTGATTCGAAGGTGTTCCAGGTGCAGAAGACAGGTGGGGAGACCGTTCAGGTACTCCTATTCCAAAACCCTGCCGTCGTGCAGAACCACACCGGTCGCTCCGTTTGCTCATGTGGGATTGGATTATTTCGGTCCAATCACCTACAGAACGCTAAGAAACAAGGAGGAAAGCATGGGTGATGCTGATTACGTGTTTGCTCACAAGGGCAGTTCACCTTGAGCTGGTCCTCGACAACTCGACGATTTCGTATTTGATGGCGATGTCGCGATATTTCGCTAGAAGGGGAGTACCCAAATCCATCGTATGCGACAACGCCCCGTCATTCAAACTGGGGAACGAAATGATCAACAAGGACATCCGGGATCGAATCCACGGAAGTCATGAGATGACGGTGTTCCTCGCGACGAGAGAAATCGAAATCAGAAACATAACACCCCTGTCACCATGGAAAGGAGGTGTGTACGAGAGGGTGGTAGGCCTCGTAAAGAGACAGTTTTATAAGACAGTGAACAGATTCAAGTTAACCTACGTGGAACTTGAGTCGGTGATGATTCAAATTGAAGGAACTCTCAACAATCGGCCAATAACTTCGACTTCGGCTGATGAGAGATCCAATCGCCTTGAGACCAATCGATTTGTTGCTTCCGCAGGTCCAAATAAGTATTCCTCTGCAGACCCAGGAGTCGCAGGGAGCGACCACGGAGAAGGTGACGAGAGTATTTGGCCGGACTCAACGGAGTATTGAAAAAGTTGTGGGTGGAGTGGAGTCAATTATACTTGGTCAACCTGAGAGAATCGCAAGGCAAGGCGACAAACTCCACAGCTACAATCCCAAAGGTGGGGGCAAGTAGTCTTAGTGGAAAAGGAATTCTACCCACGTCACAAGTGGCCGTTGGGACGGATCCTGAAATTAAAGAAGGAACCGGATGGGGAAGTCCGGGCAGTGGTGCTATGGTCGAATAACACGACCATAGAAAGATCAGTGAAGCATCTGATACCACTCGAAGTCGACCTGAACGAAGAGGAAACGCGAGAACAGTCCAGGGCGACAGATCCCAAAGGGAAAGAGGACGGGAGTACGGTAGTCAGAGAAAGATCATCTCAGAGCGAGGGGGCTCGGACTACAAGACACAGCCTACCGAGAAAAGTCAAAAAACCCATTGACTACAGAAAAATGGCCGGCTGTGCCACTTCTTCGCCGGGGGAATGTCGCGAAGTTCAGTCTAGAAATGACATTCCTCACGACTCATTGTGTTGGTAACGTAGCCGAAGGCTCCGAATTACCAACGCCAGACTACCGTCTGTCACTTCATTATGTTTTACTAATAGTTACGGTGTTCATCATCACCGTAGGAGAGATCATCTGGCAGGCAGAGACGCAGAGAGAAGCCGAGAGGGACTCATGCCGCAGTAGAGACACAGACAGCGGCTTCGACCGTACTGTCGAGCGTGGCGAGACCCATGGACGCATTGCGGATGCGCCTTTAATAAATTCTTGCAGGTAGATCGAGCACTCCTCCTACGACTCAGTAGTCATCGTCTGACGGCAAGGTGGAAGGTGCGCGACGAACAATGTCGGAGGCCGGGGCAGCGGCCGAAGACTCAATTCTCCTGTTCGACGCCATCATCCATGTTGACGCCATCTGTTGATTAACTCTTCTTTTATTTATTTACCATCACAGTCTGATCTTAGAGCGTGAACCTGTGGGCGCGAGGGGGCGCGAGGACTCACCGAACCCGAGACGGAGCGAGAATATCGCTCTGTCGTCGACGGATCGCGTAGGCCCGGAGGAGTACCGGACTATGAGACCTGGAGCAGGGGGCTCTGTTTTCAGAATCGTTATTGTAATTCATGTGCTATCGGTGTAGTTTCGGAGACGCCCGCCACGAGACCCAGAGGTCTCGTAAGAAGGGTGCAGAGGTTTTGTAGCCAGGTGTCTTTTGCTCTGACAATAAATATGTTCTCCGAAAAACTCCTGTTGAAATGTTGAAGAGGGGTCACATGGGTGACTATTACGGTCGAAGCCGCTGTCTGTGTCTCTACTGCGGCATGAGTCCCTCTCGGCTTCTCTCTGCGTCTCTGCCTGCCAGATGATCTCTCTCCTACGGTGATGATGAACACCGTAACTATTAGTAAAACATAATGAAGTGACAGACGGTAGTCTGGCGTTGGTAATTCGGAGCCTTCGGCTACGTTACCAACACAATGAGTCGTGAGGAATGTCATTTCTAGACTGAACTTCGCGACACATTTCGCGAGTTACTTCTAGTGATGGACCCCAGAACTGCTCGACGATTGGTTAATAGTCACCCATGTGACCCCTCTTCAACATTTCAACAGGAGTTTTTCGGAGAACATATTTATTGTCAGAGCAAAAGACACCTGGCTACAAAACCTCTGCACCCTTCTTACGAGACCTCTGGGTCTCGTGGCGGGCGTCTCCGAAACTACACCGATAGCACATGAATTACAATAACGATTCTGAAAAACAGAGCCCCCTGCTCCAGGTCTCATAGTCCGGTACTCCTCCGGGCCTACGCGATCCGTCGACGACAGAGCGATATTCTCGCTCCGTCTCGGGTTCGGTGAGTCCTCGCGCCCCCTCGCGCCCACAGGTTCACGCTCTAAGATCAGACTGTGATGGTAAATAAATAAAAAGAAGAGTTAATCAACAGATGGCGTCAACATGGATGATGGCGTCGAACAGGAGAATTGAGTCTTCGGCCGCTGCCCCGGCCTCCGACATTGTTCGTCGCGCACCTTCCACCTTGCCGTCAGACGATGACTACTGAGTCGTAGGAGGAGTGCTCGATCTACCTGCAAGAATTTATTAAAGGCGCATCCGCAATGCGTCCATGGGTCTCGCCACGCTCGACAGTACGGTCGAAGCCGCTGTCTGTGTCTCTACTGCGGCATGAGTCCCTCTCGGCTTCTCTCTGCGTCTCTGCCTGCCAGATGATCTCTCTCCTACGGTGATGATGAACACCGTAACTATTAGTAAAACATAATGAAGTGACAGACGGTAGTCTGGCGTTGGTAATTCGGAGCCTTCGGCTACGTTACCAACACAATGAGTCGTGAGGAATGTCATTTCTAGACTGAACTTCGCGACATTCCCCCGGCGAAGAAGTGGCACAGCCGGCCATTTTTCTGTAGTCAATGGGTTTTTTGACTTTTCTCGGTAGGCTGTGTCTTGTAGTCCGAGCCCCCTCGCTCTGAGATGATCTTTCTCTGACTACCGTACTCCCGTCCTCTTTCCCTTTGGGATCTGTCGCCCTGGACTGTTCTCGCGTTTCCTCTTCGTTCAGGTCGACTTCGAGTGGTATCAGATGCTTCACTGATCTTTCTATGGTCGTGTTATTCGACCATAGCACCACTGCCCGGACTTCCCCATCCGGTTCCTTCTTTAATTTCAGGATCCGTCCCAACGGCCACTTGTGACGTGGGTAGAATTCCTTTTCCACTAAGACTACTTGCCCCACCTTTGGGATTGTAGCTGTGGAGTTTGTCGCCTTGCCTTGCGATTCTCTCAGGTTGACCAAGTATAATTGACTCCACTCCACCCACAACTTTTTCAATACTCCGTTGAGTCCGGCCAAATACTCTCTCGTCACCTTCTCCGTGGTCGCTCCCTGCGACTCCTGGGTCTGCAGAGGAATACTTATTTGGACCTGCGGAAGCAACAAATCGATTGGTCTCAAGGCGATTGGATCTCTCTCATCAGCCTGAAGGAAGCGTCAATCCCTGGCGACGGCAAAAACATACTTCACAAAAATGGCCAACTTGGTCAAGGAGACGGTGAAGAAAGCTGAGTTGATTTTGGCCGAGGAGCCAGAACCACGGCGCATTATTATGCTCAAAAACCTAAACAAGAAGCTGATAACGCAACTTGTCGACGTTTCCGGTTTCAAGGAAACGATCGAACTCAAGGTTGAAGCGTCCGCCGTATTGAAAGCGGATAAGGCGAACAGCATAAAGTTGATTGAAGAGCACTGCGGAAAGCTGAGATTCGCAGAGTTGCAGGAAAAGGTGGCGGCGGTGATCGAGAAGGCGGAGCGGGCGATCGCGGCCACTCCAATTCCGGAAGGCGAGGAGACGCCAGAAGGAGAAGAAAGAGGCCAATCGGAGACGGAGAGCAGTAATGAGAATCAGCTCACGATCGGACAGGCTCAAAGGCGTAGGGTCGGCGAAAGTAACGGAGAGACAGAGGAGTTGAACGCCCAAACCGGTCGTGGCAGGATCGGGGATCAGGGTGATCAGGTCTCGGAGGAAGCCAGGAGAAGATTGCAGGCGGCGAGATTGGCTCCAGAGACTCCGGAACCGACCCGGCAGATGAGCCAACAAAAGTTGAATGAGATGCTCATGCGGGAGAATGAGATCCTTCAAGAGCAATTGTCGGATGTCCAGGAGATCCTTCAGGACAGACTGAGAGGCAGAGAGAGAGCCGCAGAGCCGAGCCCGTGGGGGGGGGAAACAGCAGATCACCGATTGAACCATCCGGTGGCGCGCAGAACATCTCCATAAGAGACATGATCGAGTCAATCGACAAGTTCTCAGGAGAAGACCCCGATTTGTACCCCGAATTCATAAACCAATTCGATGAACAGGTACACCACAACGGGTTCTACACGGCGGCGACGAAGTACTGCATTCTAAAAAAATGTCTGACAGGAGAAGCACGGAAGTTGGTGACCACTACAACTTTCACGGAGGAGGACTATCGGAAGACCAGAGAGCTCTTGGAAGCCACGTACGCGAAAGATCGTGTACCGAAGCTCATGAGAAAGTTCAAGGACTTACCGATAGACCCGAACGATTATATGAGAATGGACACAGACATATCCAGGCACGTGGCAATAGCCAACCAACTCAATCAGAACGGGGTTCCGATGGATCACCCGCTCATGATCGATGAGTTGATAAAGAAGTTGCCAGTGGATATCATGAGCCACGTAGTGAAAAGGACGAGATCGTCAAGAATGACATTCCTCCAAGTGATCAGTGCCATCCGTGACAAGATCGTGGAGAAAGGCTACGTGGAACAAGCCCGAGAAGACCACAAACGAAAAATGGAGTTGGCAGAAATCTGCGCGGTGGGAGACAACAGAAAGTCAGAGAGCGGCCGAAAAGGGTACGGAAACAGAGAAAGACCTGAGAGTTCGGCGGACAATCGGAAGAGCGGGTGGAAAAAAAGGGGAAAAGATGAGAGCAACCCAAAGCCGAAGGGGGAGACGGTGTGCAGATTCTGCGGATCAGATCACTACACCGCCTTCTGCTCCATGAGCATGGACGAGAGAAAAAGGTGGTGGAGGAAAAGAAGCTGTGTAGACATTGCATCTCGAAATACCACCCCACCAAAAAAATGCAAATACCCCAAGAAGTGCTATTTGTGCCAGGAGATGCACAGCATGTTCTTGTGTCCACTGAGGAGAAAAATTGGAGCAACCAGAAAAGAACAAGACCCAGTTTTTTTCGTGAAAGCTCCTCCTCCTCCCGCCAATAAGCGGCTCAGGGCAGGCACGGAATCGTACAACACGATTCACGTGCCACAAGCTACCTTGCCCACAGCAACCATAAGAACAGACAACGCCAATACTGTTCAAACTAAAAACGGGGGATCAGGAGAAGAGACTCGAGAAGGAGAGTCGGGAGAACAAAGGGAGAGTAAACTCGTAGAAATAATAATGTGTAGTCAGGAGGACGCGTTATACCGCCTTCCACAGATAAAGATTAACACACCCAAAGGGGAGAGATTGTTAGCACTCATTGATTCGGGGGCGACGAGGTCATTGGTATCTGAACGGGCAGCGGAGAGACTGCGACTTCCGATCTTGCGGTCGGAGGAAATGAAGGTGATAGGAATTAACGGTGCGGAAACTGTAAAGTCCAACAGAGTCCGTCTTCAATTCAAGGGTGAAAAGGATTTGGTCTGGACAACCGAAATCTCAACACACCCGGAGATCCCGATCATCTTTAGAGCACCAGTTTTTTTAGCTCAAAAGATATCAAACACCTGAAAAGGAAAAAGGATTAACCCGTACAGTATAATGGGGATGAGAACAGAAAACGGAGATCGAATTGATCTCATTCTGGGAGCAAGTTTCATCGCGAAACTGGCGCCCGAGGCGAAGAGGCATGTGTTGCCAAGCGGTAGAATAGTCGAAGAAACCAAGCTCGGAATAATAACTCATCCGACACCAAGTAATGAGTTTCGGCTATCTTCCGAAAGAGGATTGGAAGTAGAAACCAACGAGTATTATAATTCAGTGGTAGTTAACACGTTGGAAGTTGTGGAGTATCGTCAAGTCTCCGAAGCCCAGATATTTGAGGGGATCTCACGACTGTTTCAGTTGGAGCACGTGGGAATCCAACCACAAGAACTGGCAGAAAAGGGGAGAGAGAGTGACGAGACACTTCTGGAGAAGTTCAGAGAAAGCGCAACCATGGTTGACGGCAAAATACAAGTCGCTCTACCGTTCAACGGGAGAGAAGCGGACTTAACCGACAACTTTCCGGTGTGCATCCTAAGACTGTCATCACTTCTGACGGTTCTTCAAAAGGACAAAAGAACATTGTGGGAGTATGATTCAGTGATAAACTCAGCTCGCGGAGGGGATAATAGAGGTGGTCCCGGAGTCAGAGTTACACGCCGAGGGCCTCCATTATTACATGCCGCACCGGCATGTGATGAAAGAGGAGTCGTGCACAACCAAACTGAGAATTGTGCTAGACGCATCGAGTAGAATGAGAGGGAGATTATCATTAAACGACTGCTTGCACGCAGGACCCTCACTTCTACTCCCAATACTTGGTATATTGATGAGAGCCAGATGTTCGAAATACTTGTTGATAGCGGACATAGCCAAGGCATTCCATCAAGTCCCTCTTCGACCGGAGTTCCGGAACGTGGTGAAGTTCCTGTGGGTGAAAGATCCAGAGGGGTCCACGAACCACGAAAAATCTCGTGGTCTACCGGTTCACAAAGCTACCCTTCGGAGCTTCAAGCTCACCGTTTATTTTGGCGGCGACGATTCTGCTGTATTTGGAGATGAACCCGCATGAAATAAATGAGCGAATCAAAAAGTAACCTGTATGTGGATAATGTCGTATTGACAACCAATGAGGAAAGCGAACTCCCGGAGCTGTACTCAGGATCAAAAAAAGGCGTTTAACAACATGTCTATGAACCTGAGAGAATACATGACCAATAGCAAGGGGACTATGGAAAAAGGTACCAGTGGTGGACCGGGCCCAAGCAGAAGTGAACAAGTTATTGGGTCACGTGTGGGATAGTGTGAATGATACAATCACAATAAAAAAATTCCTAAACCACCAACTGGCCACCCGACCAAAAGGCAGATGGCATCGTTTTTTTAGCGTCCAATTACGACCCCCAGGGGTTACTCTCGCCTATAATCGTGCCGGTCAAGGAGGTTATACAAAAAGTTGTGGGAGAAAGAGGTGAAATGGAAACAGAGGATTCCAAAGCAGCTATTGAAAGAGTGGGAGGTGATAAAGGAATCGTTCACTCAAACGTCATATACACTACCGCGACAGTTGGTGGTACATTATGATTACGAGAGCGTCCAACTGCTAGTGTTCAGCGACGCCTCCGAGAGGCATTTCGCAACGGCAGTGTACGCACACTTCAGGTACAAAGACAGAGAGCCAGTCACAAAACTGGTGATGTCAAAATCTAAGGTGAAACCAAAGAACGTGAGCTTGTCGATCCCGCGATTGGAGTTGATGGGAATGGAGATAGCATCCCACGCGTCGCTCACGGCGTACAAGGAGTTGAAAAATGGAGAAATTGAAGGGAGTGAAGTTCTTTTTCGGACTCCATGATTGCCCTATATTGGGTATTGAAGAAAGAGAAGTTGACAAAGTTCGCTCATAACAGAGTCGAAAAAATCCATCAAAACACTCTGTGGTTGAAGGGGAAGGGTTTCGATCCATCATTCCATCATTGCCCAACAGAGTATAACCCGGCGGATCTGGCGTCCAGAGGAGTGGTCATGGAGAAACTGTTCAATAACAGCTTATGGTTCGACGGACCTGAGTTTCTCAAGAATCCAGAATCCGAGTGGCCGATACGACTTGAGGGGAAGATCAGTTATCCGCAGGAGTTCAGGGAGCTGATTTTGAAAGAGGTGGTCCTGAGTAAGGCAGCGAAAAAGAAGTTAAACGCGACCGCGGCGTTGGCAGTAGACACGACCGATCAGGACGGGAAGGGAAGACCCTTCATCCCGTACAATAGAGTAAGTTCTCTGGCAAAGCTAACCACGGTGATGGGGCTAGTGATGAGGTGGTTCGTAAGAAAATTACCGAACAAAGAGTGGGAGAGTCTGGTCATGAGACAGTTGGCCAAAGCAAAAAGACAATCACGTCAGACAAAGATGCATCGCGCGCACGTTCGTGATTGCGAGGCATTATGAAGACGGAAAGTCGAGACTGAATCTCAGTCTACCGACAAATATGAATTTGGAGCCGGGGGAAGAAGGAGTGTATCGGTATCATCGACAGCTGGACAACTCCAGATTGTCAGCCGATGCGAAGAACCCGATCTTGATCCTACGGGACCACGAACTGGCAACACTGATAGCTCGAGAGGTTCACAGGATGAATATGCACATCCCGCAGACCTATCTCATCGCAGCCATCAGACAAAAATATTGGATACCACAAGTGGGAACACTTGTAAAACAGGTGATTCGAAGGTGTTCCAGGTGCAGAAGACAGGTGGGGAGACCGTTCAGGTACTCCTATTCCAAAACCCTGCCGTCGTGCAGAACCACACCGGTCGCTCCGTTTGCTCATGTGGGATTGGATTATTTCGGTCCAATCACCTACAGAACGCTAAGAAACAAGGAGGAAAAAGCATGGGTGATGCTGATTACGTGTTTGCTCACAAGGGCAGTTCACCTTGAGCTGGTCCTCGACAACTCGACGATTTCGTATTTGATGGCGATGTCGCGATATTTCGCTAGAAGGGGAGTACCCAAATCCATCGTATGCGACAACGCCCCGTCATTCAAACTGGGGAACGAAATGATCAACAAGGACATCCGGGATCGAATCCACGGAAGTCATGAGATGACGGTGTTCCTCGCGACGAGAGAAATCGAAATCAGAAACATAACACCCCTGTCACCATGGAAAGGAGGTGTGTACGAGAGGGTGGTAGGCCTCGTAAAGAGACAGTTTTATAAGACAGTGAACAGATTCAAGTTAACCTACGTGGAACTTGAGTCGGTGATGATTCAAATTGAAGGAACTCTCAACAATCGGCCAATAACTTCGACTTCGGCTGATGAGAGAGATCCAATCGCCTTGAGACCAATCGATTTGTTGCTTCCGCAGGTCCAAATAAGTATTCCTCTGCAGACCCAGGAGTCGCAGGGAGCGACCACGGAGAAGGTGACGAGAGAGTATTTGGCCGGACTCAACGGAGTATTGAAAAAAAGTTGTGGGTGGAGTGGAGTCAATTATACTTGGTCAACCTGAGAGAATCGCAAGGCAAGGCGACAAACTCCACAGCTACAATCCCAAAGGTGGGGGCAAGTAGTCTTAGTGGAAAAGGAATTCTACCCACGTCACAAGTGGCCGTTGGGACGGATCCTGAAATTAAAGAAGGAACCGGATGGGGAAGTCCGGGCAGTGGTGCTATGGTCGAATAACACGACCATAGAAAGATCAGTGAAGCATCTGATACCACTCGAAGTCGACCTGAACGAAGAGGAAACGCGAGAACAGTCCAGGGCGACAGATCCCAAAGGGAAAGAGGACGGGAGTACGGTAGTCAGAGAAAGATCATCTCAGAGCGAGGGGGCTCGGACTACAAGACACAGCCTACCGAGAAAAGTCAAAAAAACCCATTGACTACAGAAAAAAATGGCCGGCTGTGCCACTTCTTCGCCGGGGAATGTCGCGAAGTTCAGTCTAGAAATGACATTCCTCACGACTCATTGTGTTGGTAACGTAGCCGAAGGCTCCGAATTACCAACGCCAGACTACCGTCTGTCACTTCATTATGTTTTACTAATAGTTACGGTGTTCATCATCACCGTAGGAGAGAGATCATCTGGCAGGCAGAGACGCAGAGAGAAGCCGAGAGGGACTCATGCCGCAGTAGAGACACAGACAGCGGCTTCGACCGTACTGTCGAGCGTGGCGAGACCCATGGACGCATTGCGGATGCGCCTTTAATAAATTCTTGCAGGTAGATCGAGCACTCCTCCTACGACTCAGTAGTCATCGTCTGACGGCAAGGTGGAAGGTGCGCGACGAACAATGTCGGAGGCCGGGGCAGCGGCCGAAGACTCAATTCTCCTGTTCGACGCCATCATCCATGTTGACGCCATCTGTTGATTAACTCTTCTTTTATTTATTTACCATCACAGTCTGATCTTAGAGCGTGAACCTGTGGGCGCGAGGGGGCGCGAGGACTCACCGAACCCGAGACGGAGCGAGAATATCGCTCTGTCGTCGACGGATCGCGTAGGCCCGGAGGAGTACCGGACTATGAGACCTGGAGCAGGGGGCTCTGTTTTCAGAATCGTTATTGTAATTCATGTGCTATCGGTGTAGTTTCGGAGACGCCCGCCACGAGACCCAGAGGTCTCGTAAGAAGGGTGCAGAGGTTTTGTAGCCAGGTGTCTTTTGCTCTGACAATAAATATGTTCTCCGAAAAACTCCTGTTGAAATGTTGAAGAGGGGTCACATGGGTGACTATTAACCAATCGTCGAGCAGTTCTGGGGTCCATCACTAGAAGTAACTCGCGAAACCAAGGACACGAACTACCCCTTCAAACGTCTTTGTTCTCACCGCTTCCGATTGTTATTCTCTCTTTCCGATGAAACATTTATTAGGGAAAGAATTGAGATCAATTTTATTGCATGAACAGAGAAATACAACACGTAGCCAAGTTTCCCGGACAAATTGCATGGCCCTGGATATATTCACAGACAGACTTGTCGAAAATCGGCCCGGCGCAGATAAATTTCAAAGCTAAAACCCTGGCCGACCCGCGATAAGTCTGCTCACAGATAAGTTGACTATTCGGAATTGTCTGCTCGAAGAATCCCTAGCGAGGAGTCCTCCAGACTGTGTACAGCTGAGTAAAGTAGCTCTCCTGGGTGACTGATTCACGTGTCACACTGCTGATTCTCTTCTTCCGACGATGTCTGATCCAGCTGATGAAAGCGGCTAATTGGAGAGGAACAAGTAGAGTGGAGTAGGGAGTTGTCTGAAAAACACATCCAAATATGTTGTGTACTTGGTCCCCGGTTGCCCCGAAAACTCACATAAAACCACCGCAGCAAATTGGCATTCCCAAATTTCGGGTCTCGCAGCGCCATTTGCGAGAGCACGTACATACTGATAGTGTACGTAGAAGTGACAAACAACTGAATCAACGAATTCAGTGACACCGCGAGAAGGGAATAGTGTTGTTCCACTTTCAGATACTTCGACTTCAGGTCGTAGTTGATCTTTTTCCTATCATTCCACGTGTACCACATCATGAAGAAGTCGAGGACGGCACATGCGATCGCCAGAATCGTGTACGACGTCAGATTCGTTCTGAAAGGCTGTTTATCTTTGTTTTGAGAAAGAAGCAGGGGAATGCTCACGAGCAGAGGTTGATGGTGATGTCCGTCTCTCGGAAACAGCTCGTTGTCACTGTGCCCGGGTGCCATCCTCCTCGGTGCAGAAAGCAGCCAAGCGCAAACGAAAGAACCACCTGGCAAAACAGAGAAATTTGAACAGAAAACAAAACAAAGATGAGTCGACTTACGGCAAAAAAGTTGAGAAGCTCCCCACGAAGAAGAGGATAGCACTGGGAGAAGTTGCGGAAAAGAATGACGATTAGTCTGGAATCAGGGACGAATCGAGTTTGGAAGGACGGACAGGTGCACCGCTGCCTTCTGGGCTAACTAAAAACACAAACAACTTTCAGCTGACCTGTCTATATTCAGTGCCAATTCGACGGCAATGAAAAGAAAGCGAACGCAAGAGTTGACAACGTGCTGAAAAAAGCATTCCTCGCTGGTGAACATGGTCGCCGTGACATTGTTAGAGTAGGCGAACGAGCGATACAGCGACCAAGACTGAAAGATCTTCATAAATTGTTCGTGCTTTCCGGAGACCCACCCACCTCAATTACTGTGTACGATAGGTTGTGCACATTTCCGTACAGTAAACTGGCCACCAACAAATGAGAAATGGACCTGGTGAACACTTGTTTCGTCACAATTTGACGGATTGTCTAAAAGCGTAAACCCGTGATTAGCCATCAAATGACACTTACGTAGACAGAAAAGACCAATGCAATCAGAGAAATGAAGTCAATCCAGATGACGTAGGCGCGGAACGACGTGGCAGTTCGGAGCCCGAGCAGGTATTCGACGGAGGTGTAAACTGGAAGGAACGCAGTCTCCGAGTAGTCCTCCATCCTTTGGATAACCGCAAGTTTGAGAAGGGCGCTGGAAAAAGTCAATCAGAAGGGAAGGGTGTGGTTTATAAGCAATTAGAGCATGCCGGGCTCGGAAGACGTCAGGCGGGGAATTCGAAGATTCATTGGAACAAAAAGAGAGACCAGACACTCATTTGGCCACTCCTCCATTATTATCATTGTCTTTGGCGGGCAGCAAAAAGAGCAAAGAACAAAATTCAGCAGAAAAAAAATTTCCGCCGAAATATTGAGCGTCTAGTTTTCACAACTGATGTGGAAGCTGCGATGGAAAAATGGAAATGCTAAGAATAACAAATTCCCCCGACAGAATATCTGCAATTGAAAATACTAGTGCATTTTGAGGAAACGGGGGAACTTGAAAAGTGGTCTTTGTTTTTTGTTAAGAGATCAAAAGAATGGCGCAGAAACGAATCCACCTGTTTCAGGACGTGTTATAAACAAAGCGTCAATCGGAAGTGCGCGAAACGAAAAGTAAGTCTCGTTATTGCAGTCCGAGACAAACCTCGTTTCTTTCTGAAAGGCGTGAGTCTCGCGGCACCCCAAACCCCGAATTAAAAGGGAAAATCTCCGGTTTGTGCTCCGATTTCAGACGCCGAATCACACTTTTATCACTCTTCTCCTCCCCTCTCTCCGATTTCTCAATTTCAGCACGTTGGAATGGATTTCTAGACGAAAACAAACGTGTTTTGGACATCAAACTTTATTCCATGACATGTAAAGCAGGTCAAGATGATTCGATGTATGCTTTGTCAGAGTCTTTATCTTGCACTTTCGAGTCCGCTTTATGAAATAGATGTAGGCGAGAACGACGGACGGGGAGATGACTGCGTTGAATGGACCCGTCTGAAAACGACTATTTGTAGCACTGACAACTCGAAAGTAAACAAATAAGATTATACACTTTTGATTTCAAGTTTTGGTTGACGAATCAGAAAATCTCTATACTTTACACTCAGCAATTAGACGCCTCTTCAAAACGGATAACAAAAAGAATGGCACCAAATCGTTGATCTACGTGCTCAAATGCGCCCTTTCTTGAGCTATGCTTCCACTCGTTTACCTTATTAGTATACTTTTTAATGCAATTCTAGCACATTCCGCACTTACGTATAGCCATCCAATCACGTTTGTGTCATGATCGCTCGGGTCCAACTCGGATAAATGGGAAAAGATTGCGAGCGCGAGGTCGTAGATCGCAAACGTGGCCAGTTGAATTGAACCGATGAGGGCCACAACTGTTGTGGATATTATCGACTCCTTGCGCATGTATTGCGATGCCACGTTGTACGTTTTACTGAAATAACTGTTACGATCATTTGAAGTGGCGTAAGGGAAAATGATCGAATTACCTTTTCTGAGTCAATTTTACATATGCAATTAAGAGCAAAGAGCAGAGAATTGAGACGGAACAAATGGCGATGTACGGGATTATGTGTTCTCTGAAAAAATGAACGATTATTTGAACAATGTACTTCTACGAACGTATGAAGATCTACAATCACATCGGATTCTCGGAAACAGCTTGTCGTTTTCATGCCTATCAAAGGTCCTCGGTAGTGTTCTCTGACTGTGAACAGGGCACTTACGCATATCTGAGATGAAAAGGAACGTTGAAATCGTACGAAACGGTCACTTACTGTTGCAGCACTGAGCAGAAGCCCGTAGCCTGTTTTCGAGTACTTTTCCGGTTTTACGGCTACTGATATCCGGTTGATAATAAGTGCAAACTGAACAAAAAGTGTCACTGTTTTTGTGTACTCATTCGCCACGTGGTAAGGCCAGCACTCCTCACTTCCGAACATTATATCTTTGGCGTTACGATTGGAGAAATAGGAACGGTAAAGTGACCAATTCTGAAATGAAGAGAGAATTCCGAGGGATGGGGGGCTTATTTAGATACCTGGAGCATTGATACGACAAATTGTGCACATTGATGATGATGAGATCGAAAATGAGAAGGTAACTAGTGGAAGCATTAAAGATTTGTCTTGAATGTAGATGAGAGATGGCCTAGAAATGGATATGAGTACTTTGAAACGGTGCAGGTAACTAACCAAGAATGTGGTGGCAAGAGCAACGACGAGCACGAAGTCAATGAAGAGCACGCTAGAGCGAAGACTCCGGAAGTCCGAATCGAGAGAATCACTTGATCCGAATACGTCTGCATGCTCTGCAAATGCGCACTAGCGAAAGTATACGAAAAAGTATGAAGACAGGCGGAAAAGCGGTACGTACGGAATAATCAAATGGTTGTTTTCGTTCTTTTTTGAGCTGAGTCCGTGATTCAGTAGAGGGAGACACGTGCAGTTAGTCACATAATTACCATCAAACTATATGACTACTAAACATCATAATGAATGAGCAATTCTGGAAAACGAAAATGCTGTCAGAAGTGAATCATGAACAGAAATCACATGTCTTGTTTTAGTTCGTAAGTGAAATGGAAAGAGCATATTTTTGAAAGGTATTGAAAGTTGTAAAAATGAGTGGGAGAAGAACTTATAAGAAATCAGAAAGATGCGATGTCTTCACAGATTAAATATGCATGTTTGACTTTTCACAATGGGTGTAAAACCCTTTCGGTTTCCTGCTTTCATATATTCGTTATGAGCTCAGCTCAATTGGTCTCAATATCATTGTTTTGTTTTTATTCGGATCTATGTCAGAAAGTGAACAGGGTTTGCTCAATGTTCAATAGATTAACGTAGAAAACTTAAAGAAGGATACATAGCAGAGGCAAGGAAGGAAATGAAAGTGGTCATTAGCGTGTAAATGCTCCCGAGAGACCATTTAGCACTTTTTGGGCGCGGCCCTGTTCCACACGCTGTTCAGGTCTCTGAAGTAGGCGTCTTGGTTGTAGTTCATCTGCGTCGTCTGTAGCACCGCAATCTTGTTATTCCTCTTGATGCTCAACCCCGTGAAAGATAGCAGAATAGTGCACGGCAACGCGAGTCCGGCTAATGGGAATGTCTGTAGTTAATCAACGAACCAACTGGGAGAGTTTCAAAACATTTCTTACGTAAAACCAGAGGAGGAAGTTCGAGGCGAAAAATAAGCCGTCGTCGGTTGTGTAGAGGTTGAGACCGGTCAAAGCACCGATAATGTAGACGGTGAGGAGAAGAGTTTGGACGAGAGAAATGATGGAGACCATTACGGCCGAGTACATGTTGTTCTTGTAAGTGTAACGAGACTTCAGGTCGTAGCCATTTCTACAAACAAAACTCATCTTCTTCTTTTCTTTCTCAGCCATTTCAAACGTAGACTCACTTGCTCTGAAAGTTGTGGAATATTCTGCGATACCGCATCATGACCCAGCAATTGGCAGGAAAACAGATGACATCGAAAGCGAGCATAACACAAATTATGCTTCTGAAAACGAGAAACTGAGTTGCGAATGATGAGGGAATGCTCCAAACCGGGCGGTGCTCATTCCGGGATACAACTGTTGGAAGCAATTGGAACTGTTGTACAGGGAAGGACTGGCGGGTCTCAGGATGCTCGTCGTGATCACAGACATCAGAATGGTCATTACGTTCATGGTGGCCGAGTTTATGAGGTCAGAGTTCGGGAGGAATGTTATTATCATTCTGGAAATATTGTTGTTTTTGACTGACGAGGCTGCTGAGTTACCGTTCAATGGTAATAGCACATTGGGAGTAGAGAAGAAGAACCCGGAGAAAGATTCCGAAAAGGTAGAGAAAGAAGCACTCGGAGCCGTTGAACATGATGTTGCACGAATCATTGCTCTCAGTGATCGACCGATAGAATGACCAATTCTGTAATTAAGATGACGTCACGGGTCGAGCCGGAAGTGCGGCACACCATGGTGAAAGCGAAGTAAACATCATGAATGATATAGTAGAACATGCAGAAGAACAGCAGATTCCGCGTTGTTTTGCCGAACACTTTCTTCTTGATCATTTTTTGTACCGCCTAGAATAAGTATACATATACTTGCGCTCCGGGTCCCGCATAGATTACCATCTGGTTCAAGAATACAGTCAGTACCATGATTGTATTATTACAGTACACATTTGTGCGGAAGCCCGAGGAGAGTCTCTCTGATAGTTCGAAATCGGAAGCGCAGAGGTTTCCACGAGTTATAATTGGCGTGAAGTTCGAACTCATCGTGGTAGGAACTGAAGAATCGATACGCAGTCCGGACGAGCCTGGTTTCTATACGGAATGGAAAAAGGTTGAGAAGTTGAGAACACTGTGAAAGTTGTTACGGAATTAAATGTTTAAAAGGAGTGCTTTATAGACACTTTGAATAGGGAGGGTACTACAAAGAATGGAGCAAATGAGTGTTAAGCTCAGTAATGAAGCAGTGCCAATCTCTCAGGACCATTCCATTCTCGCTATTCAGCTTTGGGAAAAAACAAGGTTTCCCCCAGTGAATATTACGGAACAAATTCGAGGGCGTTGAATTCCTAGTTTCAGTTGGAGAGTTCAAAATGAGAGCAATGCGTACCGCTTTATTTCATTATCATCATTATATTCATTATCAACCTTTTCATATCTATTCTTAATGAGAAACAAGTTTTTTCTGACATTTAAAGACTCAATTTTGAAACAAAATATCGTTGAATGCTTTGAAACGATCAAAATTCCCTCTTGTGAAAATTTTACTCTTTGCATGGGGGACCTAGGCCATCCGAGTTCTTTTCTGCCATTTTTGCCAACAACACAATAGTTATCAATTTTTTTGCGTTTTTCACTCGTTTTCAAGTCGTTCTCTCTTCTTTTATTGATTATAATCTCCGTTCCTGTTTGAATTCTTAAAAACAAATCATTATCTGCTGTCTTCGCAATACAAAGCGCAAATTTTCAGCGTATCGACGAACATTTTGCCGTTTTGCGCAAAGGCGCCGCGGATACCGAGACGCGTGCTCGAAGGAAAGACGGTTAGTTGGACAGAATGGCAAATACTTCTCCGCCCTCCATTTTTTCAGATTCTCTCCGTCCGCCAGTCGACGTATGCGACATTTGCGTGCTCGATGGAAAGGATTGTCACATTCTCGGCGCTTGCTTCTCATTCAATAGCAAAAATTAGAATTTTCACAAGAGGAAATTTTGATCTTCAACATATTTCAAAGCATTCAACAATTGTTTATTTCAAAATTGAGTCCGGCTTTAATAAATAAATAATAGAAATCACACAACCGGAGTCACTTGCGCCTGACTGAATTTGTAGACGTACTCATCTCCCCACGACTGATTCAACTTGATAAGTATGCGCCCTGATCCTCGTTCTTGTTCATCGTCGTCATGACGCCGATCTTTCGCCGTCGACTGCTTGAGATGTATTGTGTAGTAAACATGATTCCGGCTGGAAGGGACAGACACGCCCACGGGTAAGTCTGCAAGCAAAGGGATATTATTGGATTGTTGGTTGGCAGACTCACATAAAACCAGAGAACCAAGTTGATCGTCACGATCTGGTTAATCCATTCGTAGATTTTGAGAATGTAAACAATTGAAGCGGAGTAGAACATGAGTGCAACTGTTTGGAAGCACAGAATCAGGAAGATGACGAAAGCGCCGTTCACGGCTTCTCGTTTGGAATACTGCTCACTCAGAATGAACTTCTTCCTAAAGGCAATGAGTATTCTCGTGTGTATTAAAAGAGAGAAAAGGGATACTTTCGCAGGGATCTCCAGCTAACGAAGCCAGTGATGACGTTGAGGATGAGGCAGGCGACGCATACTTTCAAGTAGAACAGAACCTGATTCGTGAGCTCATCCAGATTCCTGTTCATTCTCTGGAAGCAGTTACTCTGCAAATTTTTGTTCGGCCCATCACTGGTCAGATAAATGCAGAATGCAATGGAGGCGATCATCTGAAAATGTGAGAGAGTGCAAATTCAGTTCCTAAGAGAACGACACGTACGGAAAATAAAAACAGAATGATTCCGCGTGAATAAGAAGAGGAGATCCGTGGAACGATTAGAGTCAACAGTCTGAAACAGATCACAATAAGTATCTGGAAGGCTTTGGTGGAATACCGGTCGACGGTCAGAGCACAATCCGTAAAGAGGAGAAGGAGCCGAACGAAGATGTTGGCGGTGTACCACGGAAAACATTCGTACTCGTTGAACATTATATTGCACGGATCCGACGAGTATACGAAGGAGCGGTAGAGGGACCAATTCTAGAAATTCTAGAGATATGAAAGGACTGGTAACCTCGAGGGAATCACCTGGATGTACCCGTAGATCAACTCGTGAACACAGACAATGCAAAGACTTATCCAAATCAAGACGTATGTGGAATGGGAAAAATACGCACGTTTCTTCAATTTATTCATAACCTGAATGACCATTTTATCATTGTAATTCCTGATTCCCCGAGCTCACCATCGCTGTCAAAATGAATGTGATGAGTGCGATGCAGTCATTCGTATAAACATTGGATCTGAATAGGAACGCAGTCCGCGTGATCATCTGAACTTCCGTGGCGCATTGAGAAACATTTGAGACGGCGGTGGAAGACATGGAATTCATGGTGGAGAAGAAGAAGAAGAAGAAGAAGAAGACAGAATATAAGTATAGGTCAGTTTTATCTAGGAGAAATGAAACTAGAGATATCCTTGTGGTCGTTTGGTTTCTCTCGTTGAAAGTCGTTGCTTAGTTCCATAATTGCAGTTTGTCATGCGGTGCGAGAGGGGATAATTCCCGAAGGACGTCCTAAGACTTGGTCTGTGATCCCGATAGTGACTTCTTCTGAATCTAATGTGTTATTAAAGAAAGGGACTAATTGGAGAAGAGTACATCTCGTGATGGGAGGCCAAAGAGCGCAACTTGAACGTGAACTCTAATTTTGAGAGGGGAAGTCTCAAGTAGTTGATGATATCATTGAAAAGTGACGGAACAAGCGAACAATATCGTTTTGTGATGTTCAAAGAACGAAAGTTCGCGTTCATTCCTTCAACTACATCGTTAGCGTATTGTTATTCTGAATCGTACTTTTCATCGAACCCAAAACACAAAAAATCGCTGTGACCTGTAATTATTTCCTTGAACCAAACACGCCTCAATTTTCCGTCTTTCTTTATAGTTTCAACTTCTCGGGTTTTCTTGGCAAGACCAAGGTTAAGAGGATGGCGCCCGTCTGATCGGACGGAAATGCCGACTGATCTCAGAACAACTCGCGAGCAAAAGTTCAAATTTCGAGTAATTTGTGGCATTGATGACGGAATATGTCGAATTGAACAGCGAAAGGAAGTAGAAGTAAAAGTAGAAGACCGACCTTCGATTCTTCAAATTTCGGTCCACTTCAAACTGCGAGAATACACATTTCCATTTCGCATATTCATCCTGTTTCGTTTCAATTTCCCTTCCTCCTCGTCCTTCTTCTTCTTCTTCTTCTTCTCGTTGCCAAACTTTTCTTTATCTCTTATATTACTACTGTCGCATTCTCGGTCGATTCCCCCGTCTTCGTCAATTTCGACCATTCGCTGAGTGAAAGTAAACGACGGAAAGCATTGAAATTAACCAAAAGTCGGTCGTCTGTCGGGGGCCATTTTACAGCAGTAATTGCGGTGACAACGTACAGTAAGAAGCTGTCATCGGCTGGAATTCATGACAACAAGTTATTTTGGTCCCTGACTTTTTAGGAATCTTTGCAAACCCAAACAACTTCTCTTTGTTGCCACAAATGTGTAATTCATTCTGCAAACACAGATAAATCAAAGTTTTTCTCGGACGGAACCACAAATCAGACTTATTTGGATGGCAATCGTAACACCTAGACGACCTTGTCAGTTGCCATCCTCTCTGAGAGAGCTGTAGTCTCTACAAGACGAGATGATCGGGAAGTGACCCTCTCGTCGAAGGGACAATGGGCTTCACAATCACAGACGTCGTGCTGTACAATCAGTGGTAACACGACCGAGGAACAGTGTAATGCCCATTGTCCGTGCCTGTCGAAACAAACTTGCCTCAAATATTCTGTTTTGCGGTCCGAAAGTAGGCGGTCTAGCAGGTTTCATTGGGCGAGAGTATAAAATGAGCGAACGAACGCTTCCCTTACTCATGATCGTCCCACTTTTTGTACGATTTCCGATCTCGACTGTTTTTGGCAACAAATACACATTCAATTTGTATCTAATCTAATCAGCACTATGTATTGGTGATTTTTCGAATTCGACATACCGAAAGAATACATAGATGACGTCGGCACATCGTCGGCCGAATAGCCATTTCCCTTTGCGGTTAGAACTCAATCATCAAGTGCTGCGTCTCTCGTTCCCGAGTGCTCTTCCGATTGGGACTGTTTGTGGCGCGAGAAGTGTCCAACCCGTGATGATAAAGAGTAGACTGAGGGCCTATCTGTCCCCTAACAGGTTTGCCATTCGAGAAGGAAGGTCGGCAGGGGGCGGATCTCCACTGCCTTTCCTTCTATATTCCATTCCGTCGGGCGACTGACCTCAACCACGCTTCTTCTTCTCCTCGTTCTTCTCTTTCTGCTTTTTCTACTTTCACTCCCTTCTTATTGTTTTTCGCCTCAATCGGTGTCCTATTGTCCGTCTTGTCTCACTTGAATGATTTCAGAGCGAAAATGGTGCAGATTTGGCAAATGGAGCCGTACCCGTGCGGTGATCCGAGACTTCCACACCACGTTTTCCCGCCGAAGAAGATCACTCCGGACGAGTTGAGCAAAAGAACCGGAACTCTGTACTGGAAACTCGACACTCTTGACCAGGTCGCGCTGGCAAAAAGACTGACCACTCTGAAGCTGGAGCACAACTTCAAGAAGGAGGACATTTTCACTTTGGACGCAGAGACCACCGCCAACTTTGACGACAAGATCGAGGAGCTGTTCGAGGAGTCGTCGGTTCCGTACGAGCAAGCGAGAATGATCATCGAGGGATCCGCCTACTACGATGTCGAGGACAAGAACGGACAGTGGGTGCGCATCTTCTGCGAGTACGGAGATCTCATTCTGATTCCGGCCAACACGTGCTTCAGATTCACCACAACTCCAAAGGTTTGAACTTGAACTGCTGGAAATGTTCGCTCACTCACATTCCGTTCATTTTCAGAATTTCGTGAAGATGCGTCGTTTCTACAAGGATGACGCCACCGACTAAACGATTCCGCCCGTGCCCCCCTTTCTCCGTTTCCGCTGCTCCAAAAGCCAGTCTGTACAAATCGGATCGTCCCGGTAACCTACAACTTTCCGCCCATTCCGTGTTGTATATAGAGCCATCTTCTAAACTTCTCTGTCTCTTTCTCTCTGTCTCTCTGTCTCTGTCTCTCCGTTCTTGCAACTTTAAACTCTTCCCTTTTAAAATAAACGTTTACGTCCTCTTTGTGCAACGTTATTTCATTGATAGGTTGAGAGATCAGTAGCAGAAGAGTCTCATCGATGAACTCAATGATAAGGCCGATGGAAATAGCGGGCCGAGCACGGAGACGCAGTCGCATTGATGTATCGTTTTACTCGAAAAGTTGAAAAACGCACGAAGGCAAAGTGATAAGAAGAAGAGCTTAAAAGGGAAGAGTCAGATGAGGCAATCTATCAGCCGAGTTTCCATTCGGCCGTCTGGAGCTGGAGCACTTCGTACTCTTTTTGGATTAAGGCGAACTGCCTTCTTTGCCAAACCCTCCTTCTACGTCATTTCGCAGTCATTACCGAATTAGTATCTTAACGTTCGACGAATTGGCCAAGCCATGTTGAAGTTTGACTAGTATAGGACGGAAGTTCAAGACAAAGGCCTCACTGTTATCAGTACACTGTTTTTGAACGGAAATGAAGTCAACAATAAACCATTCCATTGGCTCTTTGTCTGACCACTTCCTTTCTTGAGAATATAAAAAGTGAAAGCTGCCATCTATTTTCTGTTTTCGGTTTTCATTTGTCGATTAGACCGGAGACTAATAACTGGTAAATAACACTTGACTCCACTTTTAGGTCCTTTTCGTATTCTCCATTCCGACACGTGATACGAACTGTCACGTTCGATTGTAGTTGCTACGAAGAAGATGTGTTGTAGTTTATATGATCCACGTCATAGGCATCGTAGGAACATCGACATCACCTGTGACGCACCATCTTTTCCTAAGCCTCGCTTCCAGACATGATCGCCACGTCATCTACGATCTGAATCCGAAGGTCCAAAACAAATGCCAATTTGTATCCAATCCTCCAATTCCGATCCTTTTCCGATGACGTCTTTCCCCCTTCTGAAGTCACTTTTCGACCCTCTATAAATAGGCTTTGTGTCTCCTGAAGAGCCCGGTCAAAATGGCAAAATTGCACAAAACGAGGGCGGCGGGTCGCCGTTTTAATTAGATTCTCCTCGCGCTTTTTTGCCTCTTTCGAATGTTTCCCGGTCTCCGTTCAATGATCTCGCCATCGCGTCTTCTGCTGCCTTTCTATACGCTATTCGCTCGCTACGGACGAAACGATATTCGCTTCATGTCTGTGTCTCTCCATTCCATACGATCTTTCCGCTATGGCCTTTTTGCAGCGAAACCGTCCTTCTCTTTCCTTTATATTTTTCTTTTCTAAATCATACCTGACACCTCTATGAAGTTTGCACAACTTTGAAATGTTTACCGTCGACTGATAAGATCCGTATCAAAACTTGACTCACTTCACTTTTGACTCAAGGATGTTATTGCGGCTTCCGGAAGTGTGCATACCACATACCACAATGTTTATTTGCGTTCTTTCCCTTTTCGGCTATTCAATCGTACACGTGTGCTCCTCCTCCCTCCATTAACCTATATAAACTGCTCATCGTAGACAATCACATTTTATTCCAGAATGCGCCTTATCTCTTCCTGCTTTCTAGTTGCTCTTTTCTCAAACTCCTGGGCGGCGCCGACGTGTGAAGCCAACTCATTCTGCTATTATCCCGACGATTTCACAAAGATAACTGTGACAAGAGCCGGCAATTTTGTGAATTTAAAAATTTGGGATGAGAAATCGACGGTAGGCACTGTGAACTTTGTCCAGAAAAGTGTAAGAATCATATTCCGAATGGCATCATCGAAACCTGTTTTGCAGGGTAAAGAGATAGCAGTGAACTGTGGAGAAGGATCATCTACAGTTAGTAAAAAAGATGGAATCACTTCATGCGTTGCTCAACTTTCTGTTGATCAGTTCGACAAAGTACGCATCCGTTGACTTCTTCTGAACCAGAAACATTTTGCACTTTCAGAACTTGCCAGTCTCCATTAAGCTAGCCGACAGCAGGACGTCCGACTCTTTCTCAGTGGACTCGCTTCTTCCTCCTCTTCAAGAAGGACTTACCAAGGATCAGAGACGACAGTTCTCGAAAGCGCACGCCATTCTCATGATCATCGGATGGCTGTTCTTCGTGCCTTCCGGATTCTTGTTCGCTCGACTCGGAAGAGATTTGTTCACAGAACACAAACTTTTCGGGAATGCAATCTGGTTTCAGGTACTCGCAGGGACAATCTGAAATCAAACTGAAATAATTTGTTGACAGGTTCACAGAGCCGCCAACTTTATGGGAGTGGTGTGCATCTGCGCCTCGATGCTTTGCATCTTCATTTCTCAGCAATGGACATGGAAGGGAACCGGCTCGGGATCCAAGTACTGGACGGAAGTGCACACCGATCTGGGAGTCATCTCGGCTGTCTTGGCAGTTGCACAACCAATCAACAGCTTGTTCAGGTGAGTTGCTCGCTGATTTCCGTGATTTTAAAGTTTTGACTTCAAGATGTGGACCCACCCATTCGCGAAGAATCATCTTCAACTGGGCTCACAGATGCGTTGGAATTGCTTCGTTTTCCCTCGCCCTGACTGCCATCATTATCGCCGCCCTTCAATTCAAAAGAATCTGGAATGAGCCGCTCCTCGAGCTTGTGCTCAGTTGCCTTCCGATCGTTATTTGTCTGGTCGCCACCATCGCATTTTCAGTCATCGAAAGTGATCGATTCCGCGGAAAAAGCTCCTACGGGGTAAGAGAATCGTTAAGATGAAAGAAAGAAGACAAGTAGAAGTGGAAATGAACTCTTGAAACTTCAGGAGATCAGAACCCGCATGAGACTATTGAAAATCCGACGCGCGAGAGACGACTCGGTATCTTTTTGTCCACTTGCCTAGCTTTTCCAACTAACATAACTAACCAAAGAGAGGGAGAGAAACTGGTGAAATGTATCGTAGAAGTAACCATAGAGTTGTACTGTAGGCGGAGGACTCCATGGTGACTCCACTCATTACGGACACCGACTTTGACGAGAACTCGAAGCCCGTCCGGGCGCCAATGGTACTGCAGCTCATGTCCGTTTTTGTCGGTTCGCGAAGAACGGATTGTCCACGTTTTCTTGCCGTCCGAGCCTTCTGATTTCCTCCCGTTTTCAGGCCCATGTTCTGAAGGCGCCGCTCTTTCTGGTCGATCGGAGTCTTCTTCTGCACCGCCGTCGCTCTCTCTCTACTTGTCGTCAACGGCTACAAGAACGCCTGAATCTTCCTGAATCTCATGAAATCTTTCAAATACGGGCATCTCTCTTCTCATTCCGATTATCATTATCTGAATAAACTTGTACTATCTTCGATGAAATTATCAGTTTTAAGTCTGTGTATCCGCCAAATTTTTCGAATAACCCCCTCGCACGGTGATTTTTTCTGGGTGCGCAGTGGAGAGAGGAAGAAAGTTCGGTCCTCGTCCCGTGAACTGTCGGCTGCTAATTTCGCCGGTCGGCGGCACGCTCCCCAAGCCTTTTTCCGCGCGCCAAAACTTCTGATGCGTGCTGTTCGAAGAATACTGATTAGTTTCACTTGATTTTTTGGAATTAAGTTAATTGTGATGTAAACTAACAAAGAGACACAAGAAGCACGCACGAGCAGCCATTTTTCGAAAAAAGCTATTTTTCCACTAACCTATAGACATTTCTGCGAGTTTTTTGTTGCTCTTTGTTAGTTTTGATTATAATGAACGCGTTCACTATGACAATGAATAAGATGAATAAGTATTTCTCCGGCGGCGCGCATCTACAGGAAATCACCGTGTCTCGTTTTGCCACTGATGTCCTCTCGGCGGTCACTCCGATTACCATTCCGATGATGACAATTCCAACGGCTATTTATGCGACAGCTACTATCAAAATGAGAGAGAGAATCGACCAAAATGATGTACTACACTCTTCTCCTACTCGTAATAGTGTCCGGTTCTCTGGCTGCTCCCAAATGCGATTCCAACGCATTCTGTTTCTCTCCAGATTCCACAGCTAACATCACTATTTCTTGTAGCCAAAATGAGAATTTGATAAGTTTAACATGGAAAACATTCCGGAAGGCTTCGGCAGTTGAGATGAGAAATGGCGTAAGTTTTTATAGAGCAGCTTCTCCGAATGTTTGGCTAATTTAGAAGAACAGTTATGAATTTCTATGTGGATATCCCCGGTCGTCAATTTCGAACGGAAAGCTCGATTTGAAGCAGTTCAGACTGGAAACATTGGAGAACATGATGTTATGCCAAGTTGACTTTTATCAGAATCGCGGAATTCAGCAGGTATGCGAACATCTGAATATGTGAAATCAAAGATCAAATTGCAGAATGAGTCATCGTTTCTGAAATGGAACAATCTGGATTCGGATGCATTCACTTTCCACAATATTTGTAATCCAAAAAGTGGAGGGAATGAGCAAGGAATTCAAACGTCTTCTAGTCAAACTCCATGGTAAGCCGCCAGAGTATCTGTGCACCCATCCCATCCGATTCCAGCAATCCTCATGCTCCTCGGCTGGATCTTCTTCGTTCCCACCGGTTTCTGTTTGCCAGATTCGGAAAGGATCTTTTCAAAGATCGCAAACTGGTCGGGATGCCGGTTTGGTTCCAGATCCACCGTTCCTCCACTTTCGTCGGCGTCTCCTGCATCTGCGTCTCCATGTTCTGCATATTCTTTTCCACGAACTGGACCTGGAAGGGAACGGGATCGAGTGCCTGGTACTGGACCCAATGGCACACTGATCTGGGGACCATCTCTTCTGTTTTGGCTGTTTCTCAACCCCTAAGCAGTCTTTTAAGGTTGGAAATTGGTTAATTTAGAAGTGAAATGTGGAACTTCAGATGTCCTCCAACTAATTCGTAGCGTTCCGTTTTCAATTGGGCTCATCGAGTTGTCGGCATCGTCTCGTACACTTTCGCAGGTTTGCCCCCATAATTCACTGGACTGAAATTTGAAATGTTAAGTGGCTGCGATCTACGTTGCCGCTGCCAACTATCGAAAGACGTGGTCTGAGCCAGTTATGGAGATCGCTCTGGCCAGTGTGCCCACTATTTTCTGCTTAGGCACGGGACTGATGCTGCCGTATTTGGAACGGAAGAGAAGAAATGATGAGTACAAGGCGGTGGAAATGGTAAAAGGAATGAGTCAGCGGACAGCATGAGAAGGTGGACTTGCAGAATGAGAAATCGGTGACGCCGTCTCCGCCAGAAGATCCGCATCTCGTGCGAACAGCGTGGATGTTCCTGGTCATCGGAACCTGCTTCGGCGCTGCCACGTCACTGTCTCTTCTGGTAGCCAACGGGTTCAAGAGCGGATGAGAGTGATGCCTTCACGGAAGTCGCCACGCTACAAACTTTCTCCTTTTCCATTTGACCTGCAAACATTTGTAATAAAACAGTGTTCCCTCTGTCGTCCATATTTCATCCGTCCTAATCACCGTCCGTATCATCTTTTTTCTTTCCAGTCCGAGCATACTGGCGCGTCGACGAGAAAAAACCCGATAAAAGTACGGGTGGGGACGGTGATCGGCCAGTCGATGTCCTAGTGGGAGGATATGAAATGTTATGATAACACGTCCCGATATCCTCTCTCTTATCACAGCATGACCCCGATCCGGGAGGTGGAGTCCGCAGACGTCTCCCTTTAAATAGGCCGTCCTGACGCACCAGAACACTATCACTTTTCGATATCCTCCCAGCATTCTCTCTTCTCTTTTCCTTCTCAGAATTCGTTTTGCAGGATGTACCGCTTCGCTCTCGCCCTGGCCCTTCCACTTTTGGCCTTCGCCGCCACTCCAAATGAGAAGCTGAAGCAGTGCTGCTCCACTTTGAAGAATGCCGATCAGGAGTGCGTCAACAAGTTCTGCGACTTCAACGCCATCTCCCAGGCTAACGTGAGTGAATGCCCCCGCAAATGATCCTGATCTCGCCGCTTCCAGATCCTCAACTTCCTCTCCACCTGCTCCGAGCGCGGACCGACTGTCGGACAGATGTGGGACTGCGCCTCTCTGCGCCATAACCACGAGCAGTGCTGCATTGACAAGGGAGTGACCGGCAAGTGCCTCGAGTACTGTACCGCCCACAAGGGAGCCCCCAACAACTACCTCGATTACGTGTTCTGCACTGAGAACTTCAACGAGATCCGCGACTGCTTCTACGATCACCTCGACAAGAACCCACCATTCAAGAAGCACTAAACACTCTCTTTCGTCCCTAATAACTCCCCCCGAAGAATATTAAAAACGTGTATTTTACTGAATAAAGTTATTTTCTGCAGACCTTTCTGACCTTGCCGTGAGATTAGAAACTATTCGTCCCAAAGGGCAACAAAATCAGTTTCTAAATGTCTGCATTGAACAGTTTACCGTATTTTCACGGTACGATTGACACGTAGGCCAGTTTAGAGCGGGCATTAAAAAAGGATTCGTTCAGAAGAGAATGTCGGGAGTTACTCCCCGAAATGGGCGATTTTTTAATCAGAAATCACATCAAAGAAATGGACAAAGACTCGACTGTGAGCTCCTGCGTGCTCACCACCGCCGTCACTCCGGATCAAGCATCTCGGGCGGACAAGATGGTTCCGTCGGATTACTCACTCAAAGTATGCACTTCGACTTGGCACGTTATCACTCATTTCGATGGTTCCAGAAAGAATGCACAACTCGTCTCAAATCGTTCGCAATCACAGGAGACGCCGGATCTTTCGCCCTTCAAGGCACTTCCGAAACCTTCCCGACCGTCCAAGCACTTTGCGAATCTTTCATTGAGAACAAGAAAGATCTCCCAAGCGTTTGCCTCTTCCATGAGAACACGTGAAAACAGTTCATTTTTAGGGAGGTGTTCTCAAGAAGGGAATTCCCCGAATGTCATGGCAGCTGCTTCTCGGTGACCTACAGTTTCCGGCTTCGGAAGACGTTCTGGGAAACGGATCGTACGGAAAGGTAATCAAGGCGAAACTTATGAAGAAGGACGGAGATCCGGTGGACGTGGCAGTTAAAAGCACGGTCGAAGGGAATGGAGATGAGAGCGTTTGTTGAAAAGTGCTCGAGAAAGAACGAGAGTATGCTTTCAGATCACGGAGATGTACAAGGAAGCGAGAGCTATGCGACGGCTGATCCATCCGAATATCATACGTCTCGAAGGAGTGGTCGTCGAGAAGCTTCCTATTCTTCTGGTCATCGAGTTCTTCGACGGGAGCTGTCTGCTCGGAGCACTTCAGAAGAAGAAGGTGACGGACGTGATGCGATTTCCGGTGATCTGTGGAATCATGTACGGATTACTGTACATTCACAGTCAAACCTATATTCACCGGGACATTGCCGCTCGAAATGTCATGGTTTCTGCCGATTTCCGTAACGTGAAGATCATCGATTTCGGGTTGGCAAAGCATGGAACGAGATTTATTGTGAGAGAATTCGATTCAGAAATCTTCAATGTGTGACTGTTGCAGCTCAGTGCCACCCAGAAGATTCCGGTGAAGTGGCTGGCTCCAGAAGTGCTCCAGACGTGGACATTCTCCACAAAAAGTGACGTCTGGGCGTTCGCAGTGACCTGCTGGGAAGTCTATCACGATGGCGCCGAGCCGTATTCTAACGTCAAGAACGTCAAATTAAAGGATAACCTGAAGAACAGAAAGGGAGAAATGGGGCAGGATACACTGCAGATCACAGAGAACTTGGAGCATGTGCCGAAAGGATTCGACGCAATCTACGGGACAATGTTCTGCAAGAATACAAGGGACCGCGCTGAAATGTCGTGGGTGGCGACGGAAATGGAGAAAATCTTTCCGAACCTGCCGAAGCCAGTGTTCGAGGAAGTGCGCTTACATCTGGAAGTGAGTAGCCGATGGATTCTTCACACTGATTTCGTTTCCTTTCTCAGAGGCGTCCTCCGATCGTCTCCAAGCTGGCGTCGCCTTCAAATGCATCGCACTCAAAAAACTTGAAAAAGCCGTTGACTCCTACGGGTCCGAAAGAAATTCCAGCGAAGAATCTGAAGACGACGACGAGAAGAAGAAAAAAGAAGCCGAGCGGGGAGGGAGGAGCGAAGGATCCAAAAGTGGTGACATTGCGTCGAAAGAAGAAAGGATGATCGCAGACGGAAAGAGCAGCAAAAGAGGTGTCGTTTTGTGTGTCTACTAATAAAGAAGTTGCTGGATTCTTCCCTTTCTTTTCAGTTGAATCGCGTTTCGGCGCGCGCCTTCTCGTATTGTTTTGACAATTGGGAAATGTCGCGACCGCTGCTCCATGAGCACCGTTCTCGACCCAGTTTATTCTAAACAATATGCTTCAATAACTATACAATCTCTTTCCCAATCAATCAATTCTAATCACGCAATCGATACGAGTCGATCTGGCTGCGCGCCAGAACGACCACTCTCTCACCACACGCGCCGGCGGGAGACGCAGACAACTAAATCACCGTACTTTCGGGCGCGGCGAGACCCACGCGACCATCAACGTCGTCAAATCCTAAAATAATTTCAGAATATTGAGGGAGGGAGTGAGCCTCAACATTCAGTGGCATTCACTTTGAGTTCAAGCTTGCGTTGGTTTCCAACCACGCTCTGAAGAGAGAGAGAGATTGTACTAAACACTAAATGACCTAAACACACTACACTATAATACAATCACTCCTTCCTCCCTTTCTTTCCCGCTCCGCTTCTCGATGTCTCCACGCCCGGGCTTCGCTGGCGACTCCATCGTCACCTGTGGCTCTACAACGATTGCGGAGCTCTTCCCTTTTAACCTTTTACCTGTTTTTCCCCTTTTTATTTACCCCTGCAGTAGCCGCTTGTCAAGTTTTTTTCCGCACAAACCCGCTATAGCGTTTCTTGACAATAAACAGTGCGTCTACAACTCGTTCACCTCTGGAAACAGGCTAAAACTGGGACGATCCGGGGAGGGAAGAGTTCTACTATACCAATTACCCCTTTATCCGCGTTTCTTGATTGGCATCCCCAATAAGATCCGCGACATGGTGCATCGACCGGTTTTTTATCGTTTTCTTGTACTCACCACGAGAAACACGTATAAATCCGTCGCAAACGAAAAAAAAGTCAATAATTCTCAACGAATCTCTCGAAATTGCGATAACCGGGCTCAAAATATACGAACAATGTGTCATGCACATCTATATTTCTCCAAAAAGTTCTAAATCTCTATAAAAGCAGCCTAAACTCCACAAGGATTTCGTTATCAAGGCTGCAGGCGAAGTCAACCATCGCATCTCGGCCTGGCGGCGAGAGAGTGGCAAGCGATGGAGGAGACGCAGACACTCAGACGAGTGTCGACGCCTTGCCGCCCAGAGTTTTGCTCAAGTTCACCGTCGACAGGAACTTCAAGCGTTCTCGAATACAACAATCTATACGAACCACTGAACCCTAAACAAAAATCTATTACTACATCTAGTTCTCTTTCCGATAAACCAACTCTATCTAAACCTCCGTTCGATCTAGAGAGCGACAAGAAGCAGAGAGGTTTCAAAACCAATAATATTTCTTCTAAAATATCGAAATCCCAAAAAACTATCACTGAACCTCGACAAAACAAACAAAATTCAAAAATTTATCGGTTTTGAAACCTAAAAACTGATAAGCGTGTCTATAAGCTAGTGGTTTCCAGTAGCCACGCCCCGAATCAATACAACAGCCGTCCGTTCCCGTGTCAAAATTTGAAGGGAAGCGAAAGGTCTCTACAAGGCCACGCCCACTAAACGAAAGAAGCGGACTGCCGAGCAACACAATCCAGTGGTTGTACCGGTTCCGCTCCAAAATTCTATCAACCAAAGATCGAGACAAGAGAACGAACAGTACGATGAATCCGAACGTGATTTGGCGCGAGGCCGAGCAGCGTTATCCACAACTATCGCAACACCATGAATGGCTCGTGGAGCAGTGGAGTCCGACGCCAGCCAGAAAGGGAACCAGATGTTCAATCTGCCAGTGCTCGGTCTTCGGAATCAACCTGAAGGCGCACTCAAAAAAGGATTGTTGCTTCCAGCACGACCCGCTCTCTTTCTGGACTATCCTAACCCAACAAACCTGTGTCCAATGCGGAGGTCGGTCGGATCACCACGAGGAGTGCCGAGGGGTCTCACCTTGTATCCACTGCGCGAAACGGTGGGGAGTTCGACGCGAGCACCGCAGATGGACAGGACTCTGCGAGATCAATCCGAGTGAAGAAGAAGACGTGGTAAAGAAGATCAGACTCAGAGCATACGGATACGTCCGAGCTCTGGCCGATCAAGGAGAGATCCAGGAACGACTTCCGAATGACTCACCACCATCGTGGCCGCCGAGCGGTTACAATGCCTTCCTGCCTCCGACAAGGAAAGAGTTGAACGACTTCATTTCGGAAGGACACGAGCTGTTCGACGGAGAGTTAGAGTGGTCGACGACGGGAGAAGGCGACGACGAGCAGAGGATGGAGGACGTCGAGGATGTCGACATGGCAGGGCTCGACCGGTTGTTCGAGCGTGAAGGTTTCGAATTCCACCTGATCGAACCAGCCACGCCCGAACCTTCCGCCGCTCCAGAGCCTTCGGATGCCGCCGAACCAGCAATCATCTAAATTTCTAAATACAAATCTCCCCGAGACTATATTTCCCACTCACAAACCCTTCTTTCAAAACAATTCTCGCTAAATCTTGTGTTTCCCAAACAATATTACTAAAGTTCCGGTCCCAAAACCGGTCCAACCTAGTGTGTGCTAGACTCTGTTATTTTTCGATACGATAATCAATAAAGTAACATCAAAACAATCAAAACAATACACAAAAGGACGGTAGAGGAAGACCAGCCCGGTCTAACCCCTCGCAACTGTCCAAAGGCCTAGCCATTTCAGCCTCGTTTCCCTCCTCTTCTAGACCAACTACAGTCATTCTTCTAATTACGTGTACTCCGTTACAGGTTCGAAGGTTCAAAAAGACAATGACAATCAAAAAGGGAACGGGGGCAAAACAGATATAATCGATATCTGAACTCAAAAACAACTGCTAGCGTTATTCAGGGGGAGAGACGTCACCCCCGCCAGTTACAAAACCATCCTACGTTCTCGCTTTCGGCAAAAAGGAGAACGCACTATAGGATAAGGACTCCAAAACAGTCAAAACAGGTTCCAGAAGTCGCAATTCTAGAACTATATCAAAACCAGCCAGAAGGCCAACAACGAAAGTTGGCAGGCATTACCAAAACATCGACTATACTAAAACAAAAAGGGACGCGGTCCCAAGATATCCAAAACGTCAATAGTTTCCCAAACTTTCTGCTATTAGGACTAGTTAATTCCATTGTCAGCTAGTTCCTTCCCTTTCGACCCCTTTTTGTTTTTTTGCCAGCGCCCGCCTGATCAACGGGACCGTACAATTACATTCGATAAGCTAACTACAAGCGGGGGAACAAGAAAGCGTTTGCAGGTATCTACTTGGTTAATCAGTCGAAAGACTTGGAGCGTACGCCGCGCTCTCCCAAATCTATCATGTTCGGCAGCGACGATGATATGCAGGACAATCCAGCTCCGGGAGCCAACCATCGTCCAGGTGGAAGGTCCCCTATGGGACAAATCAAAGGCCAATTCACCAAACAGGCCAACAAAATGAAAAGTCTGGCCGACAATGTCCAGGCCATTTTGGACCAACAAAACGAGCCAGGTCAACCAGCGCGAATCAATGCTCTAAAAAAGAAGCTGGTCAAAGGCCTCGGCGAAATTTCGAACTACAAACTATCTATCGAACAAAAGATAAACGAAAACGAAATGCTCAAACAAAACAAGAACGACAATATCAAAACAGTGCAAGAGCATTGCGACCAACTAAACTACGGAGCTATACAAGCTAGACTAGGTGAACTGCTAGCGAAAGTCGAAAGATTCTTGCTCGAGTCACCACCTCCCCAGGGAGAAGATCTCGACGAGGAAGATTCGGATTTCGAACAAGCGATGGGCATACTCAACCCGGCCGACCGAACTCTCGACGAAAGCCGTCAGGAACCGGCGCCACGCCCTACAAACTATCATGCCACTCGCAGCACTTCTGGCCAAGGACTCCCACCGCAGCAACCTGCCAATCGAGGACGAGGACCCCAGCTTCTCGCTATTCTGCAGCCTGCCAATCACGGTACATCGGGACAAGGACTCCATCCTCCACCGCAGCAGCCTCCGTCGCAGCAGCCGCCACAGCCAGTCAGCATCAACAAAGTGGAAGTCGAACGCCTACAGACCGAAATGCTAGGCCAACGAGAAATTATCCAAGCGCTCCAACAACAAATCGACGAGATGAGGAGAACGAGCCGTCAAGCTCAGTCATCTCACGGCTCGCCCTTCTACCAAGAAATGGCAAGACCAACAACTCGTCCAACAACTACTATCGATTCGGTGCGCGATATTCTCGACACACTGGACAGCTTTTCGGGAGAAGAACCGGACAAATACCCGGAATTCATAACCCAATTTGATCAGCTAGTCAACAAAAACGAAACATTCACCGACGAGACTAAATACTGTATCCTAAAGAAACTACTAAAAGGCGACGCTAGATTGCTGGTCACCACTACTACGTTTTCCAAAGCAGACTACGAACAGACTTTGAAACTACTCAAAGCCACGTACTCTACTGATAGACGTCCCATTCTCACGGCGACGTTCCGGAAACTCCCTTTCCACGCCTCCGACTTCGAGGAGATGGAGAAGGATCTGGCCAAGCACATCATCACCGCCAACCGTCTCAAACTCTACAATATCGATATCAACCATCCACTCATCATCGAGGAATTCATTAAGAAGACCCCGAACCCGATCATGACTCACGTCCTCAGGCAGCTTCGGACCAAGGAGCTCTCTTTCGAGGATGTCACAAAGACGGTCAGAGAGAAGATCATGGAGATGAGATTCATCGACGATGCATCGCACGACCAGAAGTTGCGGGTGTCAAGCAACGAGGTGTGCGTAGCCCAGGTGCCGGAAAGGAACGGTTCCTCAAAATACTCAAAACAGGACCGCTTCAACAAACGAAACAAAGACAATAGCAATGACAAAAAATCGAACGAAAACAAAACGACTAAAGGTGGTTCTCGCACTGACAAAGAAGGGAGCTCGGGCAAACCGAAGTGCTTCTTCTGTAAAAGCGCGGATCACCACCCGACTAAATGCACTAAACCGGCAGACGAAAAGAAGAAGGTGATGAACGAGGAGAAGCGGTGCCTAAACTGTGGTACTCAAGGCCACGCCCGAAATAACTGCAAATCCTCATTCTCCTGCTTCTTCTGCGGCAAAAGACATTTCTCCGGAATGTGTGAGACCGGAGACGTGGCTAACCAATACAATAGGATGAGCGAAGAACGAAAACAGGAGCTGAGAACATTTTTTTTCGTGGCCCCCCACGATCAATAAGCGGCTCCGGGCAGGCACGGGAGCAATCCATCCAAATCCCGTGCCAAAAAGCTGACTTGCCCACGGCACCTATTCTAAAAAAACTATAACTAAAGAATCTTCAAACCCTCCCAAAACCCCCGCCCATCCAAATCTATACATGCGAAATAAAGGATGCTCACTACAGACTTCCTTTCGTAGCTCTAAAAACCCCCGACAATCAGACTCTCTTAGCTCTGATTGACACAGGGGCCTCTAGATCACTAATCTCTGAATCAACAGCTAGAAAACTTTCTCTCCAGGTCATTCAGCAAGGAAACATGGTGGTCACCGGTATCAACGGTAATCACAAGGTGCCTTCTTATTGTGTAAAACTGGAGCTGAAAGGAGACAACAACCAAGTGTGGACTACTAAAATCGCCACACATCCTAACGTTCCAATCCATTTCCAAGCCCCCGACTTCTCGAGCCAAGATATCGCGTTTCTCAAGAAACAGGGTATCGAAGCCTCCGCTATTATGAATCTAAAACGCCACAATGGTCAGACTATCGATCTTCTACTAGGCAACAACTTTATCGCAAAAATAAGCACTATAAGTAAACGATACGAGCTACCAAGCAGTAGAATGCTCGAAAAGACCCCGCTAGGGACCATTACATACCCAACGCCAAACAACGAATTCTCTATATCAGTACCAAACAATTCAACCCTCGAAACTACAGATTACTTCGCGCCTGCGATAATCAACGCTCTCGAAACTAAAGAATGCGAAGATTTGCAAGACGAAGAGTTGGTACGAAGGGTGGAGCAGCTGTTCGAACTAGAGCATCGTAGGTATTCGCCCAGCGGAGCAGTGCGAGGAGGAGAGAACGTCGGACGAAACTTTGATCGAAAAGACTAAAGAAGAAGCCGCTGTCATCGACGGAAGAATTCACGTATCCTTCCCGTTCAATGGCAGAGAGTCTGAACTAGAGGACAACTATCCAGTGGCTAAACGACGACTAGTATCACTACACGGAAACCTACTAAAAAGACAAAAAAATTGCTAAACGATTATGACCAAACGATAAAACAACAACTACTATCAGGTATCATCGAGCGAGTTCCGGGAACAGCCAGAAGACGAAGAAGAGGAAAGTTCTACTACATTCCTCACCGAAACGTCATGAAGGCCGACTCGATAACCACAAAACTGAGAATAATACTAGATGCATCTAGCCACATGAAAGACGAACTTTCACTAAACGATTGCGTCCTCCCAGGACCATCTATACTACAAACAATCCCAGGAATTCTAATACGTTCCAGACTAAAGCGGTACCTGATGATCGCGGACATCGAAAAGGCTTTCCATCAGGTCCGCATCAAACCAGAATTTCGAGATTTGACTCGGTTTTTGTGGTTGAAAGACCCAAACAAACCAGCCACGCCAGACAATATCGAAATATACAGGTTCACTCGACTACCCTTCGGGATGTCGTGCTCTCCGTTTCTACTAGCAGTCACAATTCTCATGTACCTAGATATCAATCCCCACGAAATCAACACGAGAATTCTGCAAAACTTGTACGTCGACAATACGGTTTTCACGACCAACGACGAACAAGAACTAGAACAGCTATACAAAGATTCTAAAGAAGCTTTCAACAAAATGGGGATGAATCTAAGAGAATACCAAGTTAACTCTAGCAAAAATCCACGACAAGATCCTAGAAACAGATAGAGCTCAAAAACACGGAGTGCAAGCTACTAGGTCACGTATGGGACAGCGTAGCCGACACTCTAACTATAAAAATTGCTAAACCACCAACAGAGGCACCAACCAAAAGGAAGGTTGTATCCTTTTTGGCCTCAACGTACGATCCTCTAGGACTTCTTTCCCCAATAATAGTCCCAATCAAGGAATTCGTACAAACTCTGTGGGAAGAACCGACCGCTTGGAAGCAGTTGATTCTGAAAGCATCTTGCAAAAGATGGTACGAACTCATCGCGTCCTTTACGCGAACGACGTTCACCATCCCAAGACAGCTCACAGAGTACTACAACTACAAATCGGTCAAAATAATGATGTTCAGCGACGCATCGGAACTACACTTTGCAACAGCAGCCTACCTACACTACGAAATCGAAGACAGGCCTCCTGTAACCAAAAATCATCTTTGCAAAAATCAAAAAGTAAAGCCGAGAAAGTCGAAGCTAACAATACCACGCCTAGAATTACTTGGCATTCAATTGGCTGTCAATACAGCAACAATGCTAGTCAGAGAGATCGACGAGACCAAGCTGACAGAAGTCAAATTCTTCAGTGACTCGACAATCGCTCTCTACTGGATCCTCAAACGAAGCAAAAGTAGTTCGCTTCGTGGACAACAGAGTAACTAAACTACATCAAACAACCGAATTACTAGAAAAACAAGGTCTGAACCCGAAATTCTATCATTGTCCTACAGAATTCAACCCAGCAGACGTGGCTTCGCGAGGAACCACAATCGAGCTGCTACTAATGGACGATATGTGGTTCAACGGACCCGAATTTCTCCGAAAAACACGAAAAAGACTGGCCAACGAAAAATACTGGGCAAAGTCGACAGTCCGACAGAGTTCAGAGAGAAGCTAGTCTCCGAAAACGAACGAAAGAATCCTAACAAAGTACCAAAACCAGCAACAATCGCAATTGCCGAATCATCGACAGTAACCAGATCTATAGTACCGTACACAAGAACGAACTCATACCAAAAGTTGATATCTACTATGGAGAAGGTGTTCAAATACCTGTTTAGAGCCCTACCCCACAAGAGATGGGAGAGTGAGCTCATGCAAAACCTAAAAGCAACAATATCACAACCAATACAACACCGAAGATTGGTGCAATCCTACATTATAGCAGATCACTACAAGGACGCAAAAATCCCGGTTGGATTTTTTTCCGTTCCAGCTTCTCTGAAAGCAGCACGTGGAAGAGACGGCATATTCCGATACCAACGCCGCCTGGATCCGACTCGTCACCCAAGAGATTCAGTCAATCCGATTATTCTGATTCGACAACACGAATTGACAAGGATGATAACGCGAGAGATCCACAAACTCCACGCCCACAATAGTCAAGCCTACTTGATAACTGCTATACGAATGCGATATTGGATACCACAAGTGGGTATCATTGCTAAACAGACAATAAACAGGTGTTTCCGGTGCAAGAAACAATCTGGCCTACCGTACCAATACCCAATATCCAAGGTACTCCCTCTGTGCCGCACAGTTGCGTCGGCCCCATTTGCACACGTTGGAATAGATTACTTTGGTCCTATATACTACAAAAGCGCACAAAACACACCAAAAAAGACATGGGTAATGTTGGTTACATGTCTCATGGCTAGAGCTGTACACCTAGAACTAGTCATCGACAACTCCACGGAAGCGTACCTAGCCGCTATGATACGGTATTGCGCTCGAAGAGGAGTCCCGAAAACTATACTATGCGACAACGCACCCACGTTCAAGCTAGGAAACAAAATGATCAACAACGATATCAAGGACAAACACCACGCTAGCATCGAATTGACTTCATTTCTTGCGTCACAAGAAATCGAAGTCAAATATATCACACCCTTATCACCATGGATGGGGGGTATATATGAGCGGGTAGTGGGGATAGTCAAAAAACAACTTTTCAAAACTATCGGTCCACTAAACCTAAACTATATCGACTTGAGCACCGTACTGACCCAAATAGAAAGTGCAGTGAACAGTCGTCCTATAACAGCCAACCCAACACGAGCAAACGACCAAATTGCTCTACGACCAGTCGATTTCCTGCTCCCCTCAGTCAACCTGGCACTTCCAGGCATGTCTAAGGTGAACTGGAAGCCCGGAGTGACGGAGAAAGTCACTCGCCGCCACATGGAGGGCCTCCAGAGCGTCATACAAGGACTGTGGAAAGAGTGGAGCGAGCAATACGTCATCAACTTGCGAGAGTCACATTCGAAGCCACGCAGACACTCGGCGACTACGCCCAGAGTCGGACAAGTGGTACTAGTGACAAACGAGAACGCCCCTCGCCATCACTGGTCACTAGGACTAATTACCGAACTAAAAGAAGCATCAGACGGCGAGATCCGAAAGGCCGTAGTCAGATGCAAACGAAACTATATCGAACGATCTATATCGCACCTGATTCCCTTGGAAGTACCCGAGGAGAACGAGGAGCAACCAGAGAACACCGAGAACGATACCGAAACTCTAGAGGGTCGTTCCGAACTCTCGCCTCTCAATATGATCCAAACCACCCCAAAATCGAAAACTACAGTAATCCCGTCCACGCCCACAACGAAGGCGGACGACGGGTCCCAACTAAATCTGAACCACCCAAAAAGACCCAGTTTGCCCCGAAAGGTCAAACAGGGGATAAACTACAAAACCCTAGCTGGAGGGTCAGCTTTCGGCCGGGGGAATGTCGCGACCGCTGCTCCATGAGCACCGTTCTCGACCCAGTTTATTCTAAACAATATGCTTCAATAACTATACAATCTCTTTCCCAATCAATCAATTCTAATCACGCAATCGATACGAGTCGATCTGGCTGCGCGCCAGAACGACCACTCTCTCACCACACGCGCCGGCGAGAGACGCAGACAACTAAATCACCGTACTTTCGGGCGCGGCGAGACCCACGCGACCATCAACGTCGTCAAATCCTAAAATAATTTCAGAATATTGAGGGAGGGAGTGAGCCTCAACATTCAGTTGCATTCACTTTGAGTTCAAGCTTGCGTTGGTTTCCAACCACGCTCTGAAGAGAGAGAGAGATTGTACTAAACACTAAATGACCTAAACACACTACACTATAATACAATCACTCCTTCCTCCCTTTCTTTCCCGCTCCGCTTCTCGATGTCTCCACGCCCGGGCTTCGCTGGCGACTCCATCGTCACCTGTGGCTCTACAACGATTGCGGAGCTCTTCCCTTTTAACCTTTTACCTGTTTTCCCCTTTTATTTACCCCTGCAGTAGCCGCTTGTCAAGTTTTTCCGCACAAACCCGCTATAGCGTTTCTTGACAATAAACAGTGCGTCTACAACTCGTTCACCTCTGGAAACAGGCTAAAACTGGGACGATCCGGGGAGGGAAGAGTTCTACTATACCAATTACCCCTTTATCCGCGTTTCTTGATTGGCATCCCCAATAAGATCCGCGACAGGAAAAGCTGTTGAGTCGAGTGTTTGTCCCCCGCCAGCAGTACAATACGGCTTCACATGCGTACCCCCTACAAAGGTAATCGCACACTCGAAAGTTGCTCGAGCCGCCGCTCGTATTTGATCTTCTTGCTAACAACTTGTTGTCATAAAGCCGACTCTAATGCGCGCATGTTTCAGAATCACTTAGATCAGACGTCTTTTGATCCCCGGGTTGAACTCTTCTCGGACGTCTTCTGACCATTTCATCAAATTAAGCGCTCTCCTTTTATCGCCGTTTTCGTCCGATCATTCCTTCTCTTCTTACCCATTTTATTACCAGTTCTGCTCGCATATGTTACAAGTTGTGCAGATGTCGTTGGCCCCCCACAAAAGTGCTCGTAAAATTGGTGGGGGGGCAGACGGAAGCGATGGAATACGAGGGATGACGTGGCAACATTGCTTTAATTTACAGCCGCTCTATGTTTGTGTGCTCAGCAGCGCCGCGCATGTTTGACAAGTTCAGATGGAGGCACGCTTTACCACATAAGAATGTTATATTGTTTTTTTTGTTGTAGAAATCGGAACTGAGGGACAGCCGGTTGACTAGCCGTGACGGGGCGACTAATCCCAAGTAAACCATGCTGTATTTCGTCCGGAATAACCCTAATCGCTTCGATTCGCGCAAAATCAACGTGGCTATTATGCGATTAGACCGGGTCAATCATTGTTTCTTTTCTACAATTAGGCAATCCGGTGCACTGGGGAGGTCGAACGGGTCACCGGAAGGTGTTGTTTTACGGCCAACGGTGTAAATCTGAATTATTGTGGGCACGCACTTCTGGAGCTCGCTGCTGGAGCCGTGTTATGGGAAGATGCTCGTTAAACATTCGTGCCGTTATCGACAGACATATGGCCTCCGGTAGACATAACTTTTACTGGGGGGCAGCGAACGGAAACGCAGTAATCGAGCGGGCGCCTTCGGGTCGTTTGTCTTGCAACTTTCGAAAGTTTTCAATGGGCTCTTTGTGCAAAAATAACTTTCGGCGAGTAAATTACTGCTGGTACTAAACGAGCTAATGTGATTCTTAGTAGAGCGCACTTCACTTTTGAGATATCCGCTGAGAAAGTTTGAGTCATTGAAAAATCGAAGATTATTGTGGTTTTGAGTGAGATCAATGACTTTCTCTCTGGTTTGTGTGTACCAGCTACAGTACTCCTCAGAATTTTAAAGGCGCACACCAAACTTTGTCTGCCTCTCCGAGAAAAATTGCTTTCTTACACTCTCGAGTTTCTTTTGCTCTGCACTTTTCTCTGATTTTCGGATTTTTCCATTTTTTAGAGGAACAATTTTTCGCTCGTATTTAAGTGATTATTTCAATAGAACTTCACTCAAAATAATTTCTGCAAAATAGAACTAGCCAAGTAGAACATTTTGCTGACCGCCTCGGAATTTACACCGTAAATGGACGAACAAGGAGAAAAGCGTGTGTTTGTGATCTCTTATGGGGCGATTCAGCGTATGTTTTTTTCCGTTTTTTTTCTCGTTCTTTACATCGCTGAATTGGGTTTTTTGACGTAAAAAAACGGGAAAAAATCACTTTTTTTCATACCCTGAATAACCCCATTAACGAGGCGATGTCGCAAACTTCCTCTGTTCTCTGTGCACAGATGTGACAAGTGTGAAACATTTACCCGGTCACCGGTGCTCTCGGGACATGCTTTCAGTCGGCTGTCAATAACGGTTTCTACGCTCATTTTCCGACAGAACGATCCTCTTTTTTTTTCTCCTTGCCCACCAAACCCTGCCTGTCTTCGCGCAAATTTTCGGAAACATGAAGAGAAAGTCTTGCTACAGAGCCATTTGTTTTTAGGACACTTTTATAAATCTTAACACTCAAATGTAGTCAACACCAAACGTTGAAATGCAACAGAAAGCTTACAAACGCGCTCTAGCGAGCAATAATTATATTTTGTCAGAGTTCCATACGGCACAGTTCTATTTTGTACTGCCCTAAGTTTTATCAAAAGTACCATCCATGTTCGTCATCATCGTCAGTCCATTGCAACCCATAAAAATAACAAGCCAATTTCGTCATCTGGAGTTCTTTCTCTCCGGGGAGAAACAAACTTGCACTTCTTCTTCTTAAACTTCTGGCTAATCCTCTGGAGACAGTGAACGCAGTACGTTATGCATGTTTTCCACACACGATTCGTCATATGCAATAAACGGTTAATTGGCTTGAAAACGGGGAAGTTAGGCAGCTTTCGTTTGACCCACCACTCCTTGTCGTCGTCCGTTCGTGTTTCATTGGCATCGTCTGAGGAATCACGTCGTGGGCAGCTAATCGGAGGGAGTGTCTGTCCGCCGGATACGAGCGGATATCATGAATTTATTGTTCCCTTCTACTTCCTCTCCCTTGTTGTCTTCTCAGTCAGCCGGCAGCTCTCTTTCTCCTCCCTAACCAAACAATGCTCCAAAGGGAAACGGATCGGTCTCCGCCACAGAAACAACACTAAATAAAGGCGGTGGGAACGAGAGGGATGGGCAATTAACACGGATTGGGTGAGGACACGGAGCACAATGATACTCGTCCTCTCCCAGCAGGGACCTGTTCTCACCCACTCCGTTTCCACGATTATTAGCACGTGAGACAGTGAATCGACCCGCAAGACAGGTCTTCTTACCGCATTGATTCTTTCTTTTTCTACTTCTTTTGTTTGCTTCATTACTCATTCCATTGGCTTCTTCTGATCACAACTAGAAAGGCTTTCATTAAATTTCTCAGTGAATTTTCGAATTTTCGATGAGGGCGGTTGAACAAATCTTGAAAACTGGTTGTATCGCTTTCTGATTCAAAACTCCGAAATTTAATGATGATTATTGTTTTGATTTACTCCAAGGTAGAAGAACAAATTATCTTAAAAACAGTTTAGTTTCTTTTTGAATATGCTATTAACCTTTCGCGTAATTAGTTCCCATGCTCAAAAACACTGTTTGTTGATCGATAGGCCGCCTAATCATGATGACTGTGTGCGCGAGAGACATCTATAAATTAACGAACTATTCTCCGGTGCTATTGCGCAAAACTTCAAAGGACCGCCAAAGCACACAAACTTATCACTATAAAACATTTTTGATGATGTCCCTTCTCGCTTTCTATAGTAATGCATGCCCGGCCATCATTTGAGTGGTCAATCGAAGCGACGAGGTGTCTGTTTTTCGCACGCTCGATCGTCGAGAGAAGTATCTATTTTGCGATCGGTGCGGTTCCAACTGGTTGTTCGTTCCGTTCCTTCATGTCTGCCCACTTGAGTCAGTCGCAAATCACCCAACCTTACCGTCGTTATTCATCACAAAGGTTACGTAACTTCTGGAACGGCGTAGCGCTGATTATCTTTCGAAAGTAGAGACGAGTGTTGCCACGGGGTTACGGAGTTACGACCCGCCCGCGCGGCGCTTTCTTCGTAATAAATCTGTTGTTATCCGGAAAGATTTCGTTCGCAACACGGTATGGTTATCACTATAAATCATGTTTATCGCACTACCATTGCGAGATTCGACAAGATTTTGGTGCCTGGATGAGGTGTAAGGTCACACTAGTCAATTAGAAATAGGCTCACTGACTGTACATTGCAGATGCCATCTCATGGGAGTCTCTAGAACAAAGGTTTGTATTTCAGGCCTTTATGAAACTGAGATAATGACCGTAACTGAACTGTCACGTCGAGAAATTATCTCGACAGATTCTGATATTCTTTTTCAAGATATAGGTCCCCAACTAGAGTATTTTATAGGGTTTTAAAACAAATCGAGCTATGAACATTTCTAAATTGAACCAGATTGGCTTGGCGAATGAATGGAAAGTTTTGCCTTTGTCTCCACCACTAATAATCAAATCATCAGCGGATTGAAGCCCCTAAGTGGATTCTCTCGTTCCTTGGGACGGTCTCTGTGTCTGTCCGTCTTCGCGCACTTCCCGCCCGATCGCTCTCGCATATGTTTTCCCCTCGCCGCTGGGCGGGGCCGTCTTCCCTCCCAGCAGCCCCCGACCACCTGCCCCGCCCCCTCCGGCCTATCTTTCTTGCTGGTTTCGGTGCTGCCGGCATGTGCCCTCTTCCTCTTTTTTTCTTTTTATCTCTTCTTCGGCTCTCTCGCTTTTTTTAAAAACTTTTCCCTTTCTTAATTTGTCCCTCCCCCCCACTCCTTCAATCTTGGCTCATTTCAGATCGAAACGACACAACAAATGCATCAGAACTCTTGCCACTAAACACTAACCCCCTTCTCCGTTCATTCTGTGCATTCCTCTCACAAGATGCGCTTATACTACTCGCGGGCTCTAAGTCCGCTGCTCCTTCTGCTCTTCATTCCCACCGTCACAGCACATCAAGGTGAGTTGTAGGTACAGTGAGACGAGAGAGACGTGTTTCGTGTTTGTTTGCGCAGTCAGTCTCTTCTTCCCTTTTTCGTGAATAGATTAACACATTGTTTTGTCGTCGTCTTCGTTGAACGATTGAGACCATGTGAACGTGCTCTATCGGAATGTCCTTGGTGCCGCCGAACCGGTTCATGTAGTAAAGAGCAGTTCGGAGGCTAAATTAGGCGAATGCGACACTGTATTAGACAGTTTCCATTCTCTATCATCTGGTCGCCTGGCCCGCTTTGAATTGCGTTTCGAATTGGCTTCGATTACTACTGTGCGCCAGCCGCCATCCCCTTCTTTTCGTGACTTTCTGGCGCCTGACCTGCCGATGGCGCCATTCTGGTGCACCAATTACGTTCTGAATAGAATTGAGTTTTGTTGAAAAGGCCACCCGGTGCAAAAGTCTCGGGACTAATTGTTAGTGTGAAAGTGTCGTTCTCCTCCGTCCTGGCGCGAGAATAATAGATCATTTGCGAGCCGAAAGGTGTGATAAGAAGACATAGGATATGCTCAATGAGCAACTGTTGAGCAAGAACGGATGGGAGGAAGCGGCGACTCTCGCACCTTTGGCCCGCAGGGCCCGAAGATAAATGAGTGTTCTCGGGAGCCCTTTGTGAGAAACTGGCGGATTGTGAATTGGAGGATTTCAATTTACAATTCGAAATACACTTCTGCCTGCCAGTGAGGAAGCGATGAATTATTGAGTAGTCAGAAGCTCTTTTTGAGTCCGCCCGTCGGTTGCTTGTCATCTGAGAACACCGCTCGGCAACTGCCTTCCCGACCGGACCAATTTGTTTATGAAGGAAGGTGTGGGGATGCGAGAGGTTTTTGAGTGGCACGCCATCCGCCCGACTCTCGGATTACCACTGTTCTCATTAACAGGCGTATATCATCGGTCCGACGATCCTTTTGACATGAGAAGTAAACGAAGTCGATTCTGAAAACATTGTCGAGCGCTAAAAGAAATTGATGACTTGTAAGGCGTCCTAAGCGGGAAAAGATTAAAATCTTCTTGTAAAACTTTTTGCATTCGCTCACTAAAAGAAGGCGCCTGTCGCCGGACGACCCTTTTCCCGATCTTTATCAAGCACCGTTTAGTCACCCACCGCCGCCGCTTTTAACAGAATAAATCACGGGAAACATGCGCGGCCAAGCGCTCCTTTTGAAACCCTTCGGACCTCGGCATCTGACACATGGCGGGCCTTTTCCGGCGATTAGGTGAACACGAAAAGTGCAGTCATTCTTCCCTTTTTGGGTTCTATCCAATTAGTTGGTCCGCTGAGTTCGAACCACTTTGAAAAGTGTGTCGTCGTCCACCACTCGTGCGAATTACGCGTCGTCTATCACACAAGGACTCTGAAGTGCGGACCGATGATGAATAAAAAGTGAGCTCCCGGTGTGTGCGGGAGCCAGACTCCATTCCGCGCGACATAGATTATTCGGAATTATTGGCTGCACCGCAATGGTTCTACTGATAAATTGTCACGAACTTCACTCTCTTTTCTTGAAGAGAGCGCGAATTAAGCGGATTTTGGTCGCAGCGCCCACCGCCGACTGTGCGAGCGAAAAAAAGCAGGAAAAAGAGCAAATAGTAAATAATTGTGCTCTTATCACCTCCATTGTGCCCGCTGGCGAGCCAGGGATATTTCTGAGAATATGAAAACGGCGGGGGCGGATGGAAAGTTGAAAAACAGCTATCCCCGCGCGATGAAGAGAGTGATGTCCATTGCATGAATACAGTGTCAAGTGGTCACTATTCATTTCCGAACATCTTGAGGTGGCGGAGAAGTTTTTGGTGTGGCCTTCGCGCGGGCAGGCAGCCTGCTGCCCCGGGGCCAGTCGTGTTTGTATTATTCCTTGAGACATCAGTATATCCCTCCGAGGATCAGGTCTACAAAGTGTGTGCGCAGAAAAACGAAATGAAATGCGAGAAGAGTGGGAAAAAGAAATTTATTTTTTGTATTTCAGAAGTGCTCTTCGATTTGTCAAAGGTCGGATCTGATCTGAAATGGGACCAAGTCTCGCTGCGACACGATCGGGACGATGTGGTGAGTATTTCTTCCCGCTGCTTCCAATCTTCTAGAGTACACTTGAATTGGTTTGAAATTGAAAAGATGCGAGGATGGACGGGGGTCGGCGGCCGGCAAAGAAACAAGTTGTTGTGTTTCCTCCTCCCGCTCTCTTTTTCGTACTGACTAGTGACCCATGGGAATTTGGAATTCTTCTTCTGAATTTGGCACAGCGCCTTTTTGTGTATGTTTTGGAGCCGCCATATACATCTGATGAGGGCGAAACGAGAGGCATATTGGTTTAGGCATCTCTCTCGACAACTTACAACTCTTTTTGTGGGACCCGTAGGAAATTGAGAGAAATATGAGCCACTGCGAGACAGAGTGTGAATAGAAGGTCAATCCGTGTCCTCCGAGGCACCAGTCCCTGATGGTAATTGTGACATTGTACAGTTATTAGTTGACATTAACATTGTGTTCGCCTCTTCATCCTTCTTATGACTGTGTGGGTGGCTATTAGAAGTCACTGGTAGACGATATATTCGAATTTCTCGTTATCATCAACCAGGGGGGACGCCGGCAGCAATTCAACATCAAAAATAATCCCATTAACGTTGGCCTGAATTGCATTTTTGCTGCAGCTACATCCCCTTCCGACGCTTTACTAAGGAGAAGACACGGACGTATATTCAATTAGTCTCGGGACGGTGTTGATATTGGTGAGGAGTGGGGAGGCGAGAGAGCTAAAGTCTATTAAGAACATGCGTCCTTGCCCATATGTTTCGTCGTCTGAAGACATGTACTCCGGCACTAATTCATACCCGAATAGGAAATTTGAAAACGATGAGTAAGACGGGTATGACGTGCGAGCTAGCGCTCTTCAGAAATCGTCTTTTTTCTATTAGTTCGGGATTCTTTGGCGGCGAGCCCATCGTAGTTCACACCCCCCTGTGTAACACATTGAGAAGGTAATAGCGGTTTTGGTTACATTAGCTCCGTCCGTCCGTATCGCTCTTTGCACTATATGTGTGACCAGCCGGATGTCATACGGTCAAGAGAGGAACCCTGACGGACCGCCCTTTAGAAGATGAAACATCCGGAGTGCCGATTTCACAAGTGTTTTGTTTGAATAAGAAGACGAATAACCGTAAGATCAGTGAAGCGGTAAATTGAAACAGACATTATGGCATGTGAAAAGTGTTAGTCGCCTGTGTTTGCATTCGAACGGTGGCCTTGGCACCTCTCAAAGTCTCATTTTGCGCGGTCCATCGGCGGCTCCTCGAAGTGATAATGACCGTCATTCGGATGTAGAAAGGCCCTGTCATTTGACGCATCCATTAGAGGAATGTGTTCCGGAGGTAGCCTGTAATTTACTCTTTTCCCCCACCGTCCTCGCGAGACGGCTTCTCTATCCACTCATGTGCAAGTGTGCTCTAATTAACAATATAGAATCAATTCAAGCGCAAGTTATTTATCTACGATGGGGCAACAGGTGTGAGACGGCTAATATTCGTGGCTGGTGCCGAGCGGACACAGACGGCCATTTGAAATGCAAATTTTTCCGGGGGGCACAAGATATGGGACGGATCGGACTGCTTCTGCTACACTTGTTATTGTTGTTGTTGTTGCTGCTCCTCTCCGTCTCCCTCCATTCAGTTGACTCGACCCCAACCGAGTGACAAATGTGCGGGTTGCTACTGCGTTGAATAATGGATGGTATGTGTCACAGAATCGTATTAATGGGTAAGTGACCCACGCGGCGCCTGAATGGTAGCCAGGTGCAATCCAGACGGACTCTCTCGCAGACGCCACCCACTTGAATCAATCGGTTCTATCACCTAGCTAACTATAACAAGCAGATGTATTTTTGAGGAGGAGGACATCGTCCAGACGACATAAGACACCTGCCAAAACTTGTTCCGTTAGATGCTGTTAGGTGGACGCTGCCGATGCCGCGCAGCCCTTGAAAAAATGAGCGCAGCAACTGCTTCTGGATAGTATTATTATGATTATGTGGCGTTGTAGATGCGTGTGTTGAAACACTGAACTGGTTCCTCGGAATGACACGGTGTACTTTGCCTACGAAACAATAATGTGTCGGTTTTTCTTCTCTCAAAGTACGGCTGCTTCTGCGGTCTCCTGTGGTCTCATCTCATAAAATTCGATGATCAAGCGGAAGAAGAGGAAGAAGTCGGCGGCCCTCAGTAGCGGTTGACAAATTAGAAAGCATAAATCAAGCTGCGAACTCTTTTATGAGCTTCTTCCCGGGCTTACGGAAAACGGAACTAGTGGTGATGATGATGATGAGCTGACAAGTGGCGCTCTTTCTCAGTTTTCTCATGAGGGACCCCCGAGCAAGCAAACATCATGGAGAAAAATGGCTGAATGCGCGAAGAAGGCACCATTGGCACTTTGTCTTATGTTAATCCGCGCGGCAAACTCGGGATCCGATGCTTGTTTCCCATGTGAGCGTAGGCAGAAGAAAAGAAGAAGAACTGCTCGTTTCTCGTCGTGACACCACTTGAAATAGAAGAAAAGCAAGAAGAGGTGTCCTAATCTTCTCTTCTCGCCGCCCGGCACATCATCGTCTTCTTCCCTCTATTCCCGTTGTTCTTCTTCTCGTTTACTACGCGGTGTGAGTAGGGGGAATGCGCAACTCCGTCCGTCTCCGTTGAATGGTTTTTTGAGAGAGAGAGAGACGACGACCTGGTCACACCCTGGTATTGTGTGTGTTCGAGAAGGAGGGAGGGGAGAAGGAGGTACTGTCCGTGTTCGAATGTGTAACAGGAAGATGTGCATCATCAGGAAAAGGGGGCTAAGAATGACCAATCTGCGGGCGATGTACACAACTTGCGGATAGCCATTTTCTTTTACATATTCTTGTACATTTCAAGGACTTTATGAGAGTGAGGAGGTCATCTCGAAATGCAAAGTCTTTCTCGTCTTCCCGACATGGTGGAAATTGTTTCCTTTTTCGTTCATCCTGAAAACGGGACACCAAGTACACGGGGATTATTTTGGCAGGAAATTGAGGGACCCGTCCATCCGTCCGTCCGTCCATCCAACGATCGAAGTAAGAAGAAGAGGAAGAAGTTGTACACAAGATGTTTATCAAAAAGACGTAGTTGCGTGTGCGTGTGTGGGCCAAGCTTCTTCTTCGCTCCTAGAGTGGATATAATGAAAAGTTGGGGCAAAGAAGGCAGGGTCCAGCCATTGTTCCAAGTGTAGCCGACTCGCGTGTTATTGCGCAATAATGGACCTCGCAAATCTCAGTGTCTGGTTCTTCGAAAATAATTTCTAGCGGAAGGGACTTCCCCTGACACCTTAGATAGTGTTATTATTATATATAACTGTGTTGATCGGACGGTTACGTCATCGCACCGTTCGTCTTCCTGTGGTTCATCCGGTGCTCCACACTTGCCATATGTTTAGACGAGCCAGGAAGAGGGACGGTCTCACTTGACATTTGATACTGCTTGACCTATATACCAGTTAGTACAACTCTCGATTAGTCACCACTGCTGGTGCTTCTTCTGCAAATGACATTGGTTATGCATTCCGTGGGAAGGGGCGAAAATGCAAATGTTTCGGTGGCGACCCGTATTGTTGCTGCATGAACGACTCGAAGGAATTGATTGTTTTATTCATTTTCTAGCGACAGGGCCTGCAAAGTGGTTTCTGTCCCTCTCGGCTGTTGGCACTAGTACTAATAGAGACGGATTAGATGGGTTGGAAGGGCAGATAAGACGAAACAAGGAAAGGGTATTTGCACTTGTACACCATTTTAATCCTAAATTGACATGACAGATACAAGTGCCATGAGATCTGGATCAGAATAAGAGGGAAATAATTTCATTTTTTTTTGCAGTGGATGGAAGAGACATGGAGGAATCCGGCGGCCACAGACGAGAAGCATGCCAATCAGCGAGCCTACGTCACCTGCAACTATGATCTGGAAAACCCGAGCAACTGGCTCTTCAGCCATCATATTCCCACCAAAAACGCCCGAAGAGTCTACATCGAACTGCTCTTCAACACCCGTGATTGCGACGCATACACGAATCCGAAGTCGTGCAAGGAAACGTTTTCTGTCTATCTGAAACAGTTCAAATCTTCGATTCCCGGGCCGACGAGAATTGAAAAAGAGAAGTTCTACGAGGACATTGACAATTGGAAAAACATCGGACGACTCGCTCGGAGCAACTTGAATATGACGACGGAGACGCTCGGAATGGAGATAGAGCCGGACACGAAGCTTATTCGCATCGCATTCGAAGAGCAGGGAATCTGTCTGTCGCTGCTTAATGTCAAGGTTCGTTTCAAGAGAGGCTGAAGGGTTATGCAATCAACTATGCATAGTCATTATGATTCGGGAGATGATGTTCTCCTCGTCTTTCCTCCCCACTCAACTAATTTCGGGGTGTCGTTTGGAGGGATACGCATACCAAAATGAGCGGGTTCCTCCGCTTCGTCCATATGATTAGCGCGTACATTGTTGTTGTAACCTTGTCAAAGTATCGTGTGGAGACGACGTGAGGAGATCAGTCAAAAGTGAAACAAAATGAGTCCCCGGGGACCGATTGAAGACGTCGCGCCGCTGTCAGAATTTGCATATGCTTTTTGTGAGAGGCACACGTGGATGTGAGTCCTCGAGAATCTTCCATGACCGTCTGTGTGAGAATCGCAGTGGTCTCCATAGAGGGCTTGAAGTGCGATTGTTCGCGCTCAACGCGCGGACGCCTCTCGAGTGGTTTTTGAGACAGTTGTCGAAAAGACGATGAAAGAGTGTGAATTGGGCAGCGGTTCGAAACGAGAGATGCTCCTCGAAAGGTGTCATAGTCAACACACACATCCTTTGATTGTTTTGGCATCTCTCAAGAACTCGGCAAACAGAAAGAGACAGAAGGCAGCAGGAGCACGTGTTGCTCCGTCCTCAAATAGGTGTCAAATGAGTTGGCAAACTGTGAGTCACTGTCAATGTCCCCTTAGACTGTAGAATAAATGTTTACTGGTTGGGACCTTCTGACACATTGGGGAGAGTAGTGGGACGAACAGCAGAAGGAGAAGTTGCGCAATCCGTAGGACAACAGGCGAGCAGTTGGCTGACGAGTTGTCTGCCAACCTGTCATTCTTCTGGAGCATCCTCTTGTGTAATGTTTGTGTATGTGTGTTTTTGCAACAATATCCTTAGCTTATTGCATAATTATGCGCCAGACTGCAACCGTACGTCATGGAAAGAACAGTACTGGATACACACACTCACATATCATTGCATACTATCTTCAAACACATTAATTCACAACTTTATTGGTTATTTGTTCCAATTTCAGTTGTTGTTTTCCTCCATAGATCTGTGAAAGATTCGTTTCGGCATCGTAAAATTGTAACCGTTCCCTCCCCGCGCATTCCTCATTCATAAATGTGCGCATTTGATAAATTGTGACAGCCGGGAGACGCATTTGAGAGAAACAACAGAGTACTGGCGGCAGGGAGGACACATTGTAATTGCATGATAAAGGTGTTGGAAGAAGGATCCATTAGAGAGAGAGAGAGAGACCCGAACGAAATGCGCGTGTACCGTCTAATTCGATAATACCTTTGTTCTATTACGGTTTTCTCGCGGCAAGACCAAGAAAGGGTTGTCTTGAATTTCGTGCATTCTAATGGAGGGCACCCCCGGTGCATGACCTTTCTTTCGGCGGTATTCAAAAGAGCCCGGAAGGTTTACAATGTTTACCGTCGTCTCGGGAGGAGTATAATGGAATAATGAGCGGTACGGTAAGCCATCCGAGGAACACTGTCAGCTGCGGTCATCACAATATTGCGGAAGAGGGATTTACGACCGCAAACGACACCTCGAATTTGTCGTTGCCTCTCTTACTAACTGCTGTTGCTGCACAAGCAGTTGTCATCTCACACCTGGTATGACTTGCGGTCATCGGCTTCGCATCTGTTGGACCTTTTCGAAGACTGGCGGCACCTTCTTTTTCTTCCCCTTCCGCCGCCGCCGTAGCCGCCGCAGCTTCAAAGAAAATGATGTGGAAAAGTGAAAGTGGGGACAACATGCCCAGCGGGGTTAATTCGCCCTTTCCATACCATCGCCAAGAAGAACGCCTGGAGAGGGAACTTTTTGTGGTCGTCTTCGATGAAAGTGATTCCACGACCTCGTTCACCTCCCTGCTGTCATTTGATCGGGAAAAGAGACTAAAGGAAACTGTTAGATAGAGATTTGATTTGCAATTCAATTCAATCCCATCCTTCTCTCAATCGGTTTCTGATTCCGCTAGGGCGGCGACATTCATCTTTTTCAGAAAGATCGACCTTGTTTGTGTTGCGAAAATGATCAGAGGGGAAATTGAAGTCGGAATGGGAATACCTGGGGGTCTGCGGATGAAAAAGCGCGTCAAAGGGGAACCGCGGAAGTGATCAATTCCGATGGCCGTCCATTTTTTTCCCGTCATTACACACTGAATGGGTTCCGGAAGAGCATAGAATCATTGACTTGTGCATAGTTAAAATTGAAAAGAAGTCAAGAATCTTCAAGCAAAAATTGTTCATTTTCAGATTTACTTCCGCGTGTGCGATGAGTTCACCGATGAGCTCGTTCATTTCCGACCTCAAATAACCGGACAAAAAGAGACTGACGTTGTGCGGATGAACGGAACGTGCATTCCGAACGCGTCGAAGAAAATTCAAGGAGGTACTTTGACTTTCAGATTAATCCATGTTTGCAATTCTGATTTTCAGTGGATCTGGTCGGTTTGTGCATGTCTACTGGAAATGCGATGCGCACTTCCGGCGAATGCGTCTGCGACAGCGGCTTCTCTCAAATCGCCGATTCGAATGGAGTCCGCTGTGAAAGTGAGTTTTGAAATGGAAAATAAGGAGCACGCCTGAATAACTGACAACCTTTTTGTCTCTTTTCCACCGTTTTCTCCTCTTCCTTTTGATTCCTGGCCACCATGTGTACACCTTCTCCTTCCGGGGGTCCTTCTCCACTAATTGCCTGTTTTTGCGAGGGTCGAAACCAGCGGACCGTGATAGACAACGCGTGCGTGGACCGTTGTTGTTTGCGAACTATCCACAAGTTATTGTAATTATTAATGGTGGACAATGAAAAAGGCATTAGGCGATTCTTCCGGATCTAGGTGCGCGCGCGCATGCAGCAAATATTTGAGGGCTCAGGAACGATCGGAACCACCATAAGTTGCCTTTCCTAATTGGTTTTTACGACAGTCTGAGAACGAGCGGGCGGGCCGTGACTGCGTAATCAGGCTCGCGGCGTGGATTAAAGAAGCATACGGTATAGCCGTCTGGTCACGCAGCACGAGGCGAAACACTCAAAAGCCTATGTAATTGGAGAAAGTCGTTAAAATTGCGCAGCTTTCTCATTCTGAAACATATGGCATCGCCAATGTCTTCGTGATGGTTTTTATGAGAATTCGGACCATTTGAATTATTTGTTGCCAATGAAGGAGCCAGGTGGTCGCTCATGAACCCATCTCGTTCCTCTTCACAATAATGGCGCCTGATTTGAATCTCGGACAGACAATCAGGCGACAATCTGGTAGCTGTAATCCTCCAATACATCATGTTTTCGATTCGCCTTTCTTGGTACTAATTACTAAGAAGTAGTTAGTGTGTCAATCATAATTCGTCAGATTCGTGCATACGATAAATGCAAAGAGCTTTCGGTCAAAGGGAAAAGGCGCCTTCCGATAAAGATCTACGTCAGTTCGAAGACGATAACTTTCTCTTCCCTTTTTTGCTGTTCCCATCAGAGATTACTATCTGGAAGTCGTCTTGGTCCATCGCGGCAGTCTCTTTTTGTGTCACCTCGAGTTATCGTTAGCCATGGAAGGTGACAGATGGACGGTTCACTTGAAGTCAGTGTCAATTGGCGGCTCTCGAAGCGAAAGAGCAGGCAGCGAGAAGCTGTTGGCTCACCTGCACCACCGGGCTGCACCCATGCGCATCCGATCAATTGCCGCACTCATTTGGCGGTACATTCATAATAATAATATTGATGAGCGATGATTGCTCACAGACGCCACCGGGGGACTTTCCTCCGAGAACTTTGCGCCTTCTCCCTCAGCTAATAAAGCATTGTGTCCGCAGCGGCGCTTATTCATCCAGTTACCCCAGGGATATGGGCTCTGCTAATTTTCAATTTGGGAATGGTCCGCCAACACGAGTGCTAATCCAATTCACTCCGGCCAGAAAAGGAAACGAAGGAGAAGTGACCTTCTCTCGGGGACTCCGGAACAAATGAGGTTGCGCAAAACTGCAGCTCTCTTGTCGCTGATATGACATTGATAAAGGCGGGGACATCAAAAAGAGACGCGCAATCGTCGCCGTTGTTTATGATGATGAGGAGAGAAGGCAATGATTATTCATCACCCGGAAGGACCCCCCGAGATATACGATCTCGAGAAAGTTTTCTAACCGCAGGGACCAATCGAGACGACGTCCGCAATTAGCCAGCTCTTCTTCGGTCTTTTCTCGTTGTTTTTCCTGGTCCTTCATCATCATATCATCAACAAACGTATTCATTTCCCACATTAAAGTGGCTATTGTTTGACCCTTTTTCGCGTGGCGGCACATGCACATAAAAAAGGAATGCCGCTCTCGGCGCTTCTTTTCGCAGGCTCTCACATGGCATGTGTACCGAGAGAGAGAACGGTGATAATCCCATTTGGCAGCCAGTCAAGTGGGTGTTGTTTGGGTTGACGGGGACGGATGGAACGGCGGGACGTGTAATGGTGCAGACGGGTGACGACAGGTGCACAATTTGAAAAGCCGATGAGAAGAAAGGGAATGGAAGAGAAACGGTCGTAAAATGCAACCAGGTCGTGATGATGACCCATGTCATGATCTAAGTCAAACACACCTGGCATCGGGAAATGTGAAAAGATGTGTCGGAATCCCTTTGGGACATGCGCACTTTATGAGCCAATCAAAAGGATTTAGGGATTAAGACCCATCCATCTCGAAACCGTATTTACTTTTCAGGTTGTCCGCAGAATACATACAAACCGAAGGGACAAACGATGTGCAAGCCGTGCCCTCCGAACTCGATCTCTTCCGAAGCCGCCAGCTCGTGCCGATGCGTCAACGGATTCTTCCGCGCGGAAGATGAACTTGTCTCGATGCCATGCACACGTAAGTTCTTTCCCTCATCAAAGAACAAACCGCCAAGATGATCCCACTCCATCACATTCCCATCCATAATTTTTTTTTTTCAGAACCGCCGTCCCGACCCATAAAACTGACGGCAAATGCCATTTCGGCCACTTCTGCTCGCCTTTCGTGGGACGAGCCGAGCAGTTTGGGAGGACGTCCGGAGATTTGGTACGAAGTGAAGTGTTCCGGAAAAGGAGAATGTGCAACAGTCGTTATGACACCGTCGGACAAACGGCTCTCCACTCGATCCCTTCAAATCAACGGACTTCGACCGTCTTCGGACTACACGTTCCTCGTATTCGCCAAGAACAAAGTATCGTCGCAGTTCCCTGACTTTAGCGAGAAGAACGCCGTCATTGACATCCGAACGCGATCGGAAGAAGACGACGTTCCGCCGGTCTCCCATCTCCGTGTCGATGCCTCTCAATCCGACGGAATCACCATCGCCTGGAGCGTTGCTGATTCAGATTTGAATGATTTCGAAGTGGAAGTGCGTCCAGCAGTTGTCAAGAAGCGTGCTTTCGAGACTCGTCATGTCAACATGACCTACACCACATTCATCGGACTCCGCCACGACACTGTCTATCAGTTTAGAGTGCGAGTTCGCGACGATCTGAGATGGAGCGAACCGATCAGCTACCAACTTGGACGTGGATTGATGAGCTCTCAGAGCTCAGTGGACGGAGTGGATTCTGGCGAATCTCAGTTCTTAAATCAGACTGGATCGGCTCTTCTTATTATCATCGCCCTCATTTTGGTTGTGATCGCAGTGGCTCTTTGTATGATTGTGGTGCAGAAACGGTCGAAGAATCGGAAGCAGATGAGCGATCTGGATGTGTTAGACACGTACAAACAAGGTAAGCGCTTCGTTCAGTTTCACCCAATTTGTGGTGGTGTTGGTGGTTTGACTGACTCTCGGAATCCCTTCTTTAGCTTTTTTGTGGGTTTGTGGTCGACGGATTGATTTCCCCCGTGTAGCGGTAGTTCAGACCGACATGAGACTCCAGCGTTTGCAGATTCCATGACTCCCGACTACCACACGACTTCTCGACATCATCAAGGAAATCTTCCGGCCAATTTGCACGAACAGCTTAGGTCGACGACCAAGTGTAAGGGAATTTATCGCCGGTTTTCTGTTATTGGTTGCGTTCTTTTCTTTTTGGTAGTGATCACCTTTGGCCCCTTCTCTTGATCAGCTTATAGCACTGTTTGAAGAACAGTTAGATGCAAACGACGCTTCCGCAATATTTTATGATCCATTTCAATATTGTTTTGTTTTTCAGTGAACGCCCCTCTCATCCCATCATTCGGAAGTCCGATCTCTCAGCCTCCGCCATATTACGGAGGTGTGCACACGAACAGTGGGAAGTACAAGGCATACGTGGATCCGACGACCTACGAGGATCCCTATCAGGCACTGATCGAGTTCACCTACGACATTTCGCCGAACGACGTCTTCATAACCCAAGTGATCGGAGGCGGAGAGTTCGGAGACGTTTGTCTGGGCGGACTGTCGAGGAACTCGCCTGCTGCCGCCAAGTGGAATACTGCAAACACGATGGGAAGAATGTTTGAAAACGAACAGTTCGAGACCGTCGCCATAAAGACACTGAAAGCGGGAAGCAGTGCGAAGGCCAAGGCTGAATTTCTGACGGAAGCGACGATAATGGGACAGTTCTCGCATCCGAATGTGATCCGTCTCATTGGAGTCGTCACGTCGTCCGAACCTGTCATGATTGTGGCCGAGTACATGGCGAACGGGTCGTTGGATCAGTACTTGAGAAGTGCCGACCAACGAGGAGAGAAAGTTCACTGGGAGAAGATCACCGAGATGCTGTACGGCATCGCTTCCGGAATGAAGTATCTCACTGACATGGGATACGTTCACAGGGTAAGACAATCAAATTGCGAGTATCTGTTTCATCCAACTGTTTGCAGGATCTTGCTGCTCGAAATGTTCTCATCGACACGGAGCTCCGATGCAAAATCGCCGACTTTGGTCTCTCTCGAGGAGTCCGAAGTGAAGGATCGGTGGAGCCGGAGTACACGACAAACGGAGGAAAATTCCAGTGAGATGGACTGCCCCGGAAGCCATTACTCACCGGAAGTTCACTCCATCCTCGGACGTCTGGTCGTTCGGAGTGGTCATCTGGGAAGTCTGCTCATTCGGAGAACGGCCCTATTGGGATTGGACGAACCAGAAAGTGATCAGCGAAGTGATGATCGGATACCGACTGCCGCCTCCGATGGACTGCCCCATGGGCCTCTACCGCATCGCTCAATGGTGCTGGAAAATGGAGAGGCACGAGAGACCGACGTTCACGCAGTTGCTCGCCATGTTCCACAAATACATTCTGCAGCCAGCGCTCATCGAACAGGATCCGGGAGAGTTGCCCAGAAGAGCCATGAGTCAGGCGGCGTTGAACACGTACGGAGCCATCGGACTGCCGACGCCTCCGTCGAGTGCCCCTCCGATGCCGTCCCTCGACGACTTCCTTCGTCAGATCGGACTGAATCACGTGTACGGTCAACTGGTGTCCAACAACATCCACTCGGTCGCCGATCTTGCCACCACCTCCCACTTAGACCTGCTCGCGTGCGGACTCATCTCTCAGGAGTGCTCCACAATCCGAGACGGGCTCAACGGAAGGATTCCGACCGCGTCGTCTGGAACCATTCACGCGACGACACGCGGAACGAGAACGAGGCCGCGCGAGGAAGGCTTCTTCGTTTGATCCATTTGCCGCCCACCCGCTTCCTGATTTAGGTGCTGTTTGTATGTGTAAATTCGTTGTTCCCACCCCCATCCAATCCAATCCGATGTGCATTTTCTTACGTTATGGGTACCCGATTCGATTTGTCTTCAATTTTACCGTCTTTTTCACTTTTCAACGCCTTGCATTTTCCCCGCTTCTTCCCCCCGATGATCTTTTCACGTATTCCCCTATCTTCTAAACTATATTGACATCAACTTTTCAGAAAAAGTTTCACCCTCTTGTACTGGTATTAGTGTTTCACCCCCCACTCTTTCATTCTTTCCTGCTTCTATACCCACCCTGTCAGTTTAATTCTGTGATACAATTCGCCTCCAAACTTTACTGCTCACTTCTCGGGAGAATTTGCCCTGAAAATGACTTTGAAATGAAGTTGACTCTATTACCATACTTTATCGAATGTGTTCACTAATACAAAGGATGGGATGTCACTGATGATGAATGCGATATAATTACATATGACTTAGAAGGAGGGAAAAGGGTAAAACAGGAAATGTAAGAAAAAAGGACGGGGTGGATATAAAGAGTTAGTGGCAGGGACACCGGAAATGGGAACATTTTAAAGGGGATTGGCTGAATTGTGTGGAACCGGAAAATATGATGAAAAAAGGAAGAAAAGGGACCGCCGCTACCACAGGACGACTCCATATTCTGAAGGGGTCTTGGAATTAAGAAAGGCTATACATATCATACAAAACAGCGGAAAAACTAAGAATGCGTAAAACTTGATTACTAATCGATGATTTTAATAAGTTAACATGAGGTGATTGCTCATTTTCAGACAAATTGGTTTCAGGGGGACGGTTACGCCCACGTCGGTTTGGCTTCTTCGGGTTTCGCGGGTTTGCAGTAAAGCATGTTCGCCAGGAACAGAGCGAGATCGGCGTTCGTCCAGTAGGCAAAGTGCGACTTGAGAACGGACCAGTAACTTTTCTCGGTGAGGGCCGGCTGCAAAAACAGTTTTTGTAAGTAAAGTAGCTTGTGGTCTTACCTGAAGCTGAAAGTCAATGCGATGCGGAACTCGAACTCCCGCTCCAAGAATCTTCTCGGCCAGCGGCAGATCAGCAATCGCTTCTTTCCCCACTTCAATGTGTTCTGTCGAAGTGGCACCGACTGTTCCGTTCAGACTTGCAGTGCTCTGCGTCTTTTTCGGATTGTTGTTGGAGGTCCCGAAAGAGAACCATCCTTTTTTGACTGCTTTTGGCTCCTTCACAGCATTCTCGAATGGCGGCGGCGTCATCGAACGGGGCGATGAGCATCCGCTTCGAGCGTCCTCCTCAGAGTCGCACTCGTCTTCCTCGTCAATCTCATCGTCTCCTCCACTGCGGGCCTCCTTGTCATCCTTACCTTTCTTGTTCTTGTTCTGATTCTTTAGTTTCTTCAGATAATGCTTGTACACATCCAACGGAAGATCCTCGTAAGAAGCACGCGCCCGCATGTCATTCGTTTGGAACAGCTTGATCGGACGAATGTTTTGTATTCGGGAGTGAAGAACGGTTCGAGACGGTAAGCAACCGGATCGTACGGATGGAAGATGTTGAACACTCGCTCCACATTCGTCGCCGCAGACAGAAGATCGGTCGAAGATCCACCTCGCATCGTCAGGAACACTCCAAGCGGAGAGCCCACTGCGAACAGGTACTTCACTTTGAAATCCAGCTGTTCTTCTTTTGTAAGAAGTATCTTCTGAATGCCTCCTTCCATTTTGTCTCTGATCTGCTCTCTCGCCAATTTCATCGCCTCCATCGCTCGTGTCGCTTCTTCCGTGCCCGATTCACTTCGCTTCAAGTACTCATCTATGGACTTCGTCACGTATTTATCATAGAGCATCAGTGGGGAGTATTCTGTGAGAATGTCGTAGACGATGACGCTTCCGAGCGAGTGACCGAAGATGGAGATGTGTCCGGAGAACTGCGGATTATTGGATTTGAACAGCTTGTAGGTACGATTTAGTTGGGAGGTAACACCTCGAACAATCTGAAAATGACAGGATGAGGTTGGCACCACCCTCTGGATTACTGTACCTCAGTTCTGAACAAAGGACTTTGGTAATACATGACGTCCATGGCCGTACTGTTAAGCGATGCTCTCATACTGCTCATTTTCGGAATGGTTATGTTGTCAGTGAGTCCGTTGTCGAGCACCAGTGAGGATCTCCATTCCACCGGCAGGAACATCGGCCTAGTTTTTTCGTCCGGATAGTGTCTCTCCATAGCCGCCACGACTCCATCACGAACTCTGGATTGTCAGCAATAAGGGAATACCGGATTAGGTGGTACTTACTGCATAGCGTTCTGAGCAATCAGATTCTCGTATCCTTTCTGTCCGATTCCGTGCACAACGAGTATGAGATGGCTGATTTCGGCCGCCGCATCATTCCAATCGGCTTCCTTCTCGTATCCCCTCCGCAAAGGCGTCGACTTGGACCACAAGTATCTCATAATAGCATTTCCTTTCTGATGAAGGGTGATATCAATGACTGAACTCCATCGGATGTCGTACCCTACGACGTGAAGCTCGGCAAGAACTGAAATTAATATTCGTTTAGATTTCTTGGGGAATCAGTCACTCACTTGGCTTATTACTCGTCTCTGATTTCGAGAACACCGTCGTTCCCTCTGGAATCATCTGATTTCTGAAGCATTGCAAGTGGTTCTTTTCAATTTGATCGCAAAGCGGCATTTCCACAGGTTGATAGTCCGGCGAGAACCACGTTCCTCTGCGAATCTCCTTCGTGTCCTCCTTCCAGTATATCGGGTCAATCTTTGTGTTGTCAGCATTCACTCGATACTGTCCGTTCAACACAACCACCATCCGCTTCTCATCGTCATTGTCCAAGTTGAGATTATCCATTTTGTAGTCGAGCAGTTGCTCGTCGTAGATCATTTTCGTGTCCTCATCTAATTCGATGTGTTTCTCTCTCCTGAATTTGATCTCGAGCATGATGGAGTCGCGTCCATTGAACGGCGTCCACAGGGTAGCCTTCGGCTCTTGGTAGAACCACCGCACTTCTGAGCATTTCAACTCTGTCACCTGAAATAGAAGATAATTAGACCAGCTTTCATTGAGGATCACAACAATATTTAGGATGCACATTTACAGTACCTTAGGCCGTTCTAGAACATATTTCTGCCAGAGAATACTTTGAAACGGTCCCTCGAGATTCCGCTCGTTTCTCTGAACGCGATCAACGAGAAGCTGACGAGCGTGCGGGACACTTTTCGAGCGGATTTGTCTACGTTGCGAAGACATTATCGAAGTTTCTCGAGCAGTAGCTAGCTGCGTGTTGAGAAATAGCAAAAAGTGACGAATGGGAAAGAATACGGAGCGTGGAGGGACGGAACTGAGCGAAATTCAACATAGTGACGCATCCCTTGTCCATTCCGTCTGTTTCTCTCAGGCACGTTTCAAAGCATATGCTTCTTCGTCACTTTTTTTTTGGAGACATTTACACCTTGTTTACTCGAATTCGTCAGACTCCAAACTCCACAACTTCTCGTTATCTTTTGTGCCCAAACACCGAACAAGTCCAGGACATTCGGTGCTCTTAGGATCGCGGCAGTAAAACAGTCTTTATCAGACTGTGCGTTAGGCATTTTGGCACGATAAGTCAATAAGGCAGGACGGAAATCATAAGGTAAACTGGAAAAGGAAACAAACTTTTGGCCGACGATTTCTCCGCGGAGGCACTGGAGTTGCGATCGACTTCGGATTCGGAAATGATTTGGCGGCCGGCAGAACGGGCGCTGAAGCTCCCGGATTTCCGTTGTTCTGAATACAGGTAGCTTATTCAGAAACCATAATAAAGGATGGGGCGGACTTACCGGAAGAGCAGACGGCCGTGAGAGATCTCCATCTTTCGTTTGTGCCATTGTGTACTTTGCTGTGGGGTCAGGATGCTGAAAAAATTAACATTTTTTCGCGGAGAAGCGAGAAGATGTCTAACGCGGAAGTTGAATAGATAGAAGGATGTAGACTACAGTGTTTCTTTGAAGAAAAAACAGTTAGTCAGTATGAATGAGGAGAGGCTTGGGAAGCTACCGTAGTTTCGACACATTTGTTTTTTATCCTACTCATACTAGTCTGCCAGACCTACCGTATCATCGGACTTGGTCGCCCGCGAGTCTTTCCGTCTACCAAGAACCATCGTGAGAAATAAACGAGTATAAGTGTATTTGTGTGTGCAGTTCCACACAGAATGCAACCCGCGCCGATGCCCCGTGCAGTCAGCCTCCCCTTTTCTCTCTCTCTCTCTCTCTCTCTCTGTTACTTTTCTGCCGATAAGGAGTTCTATGTACACCACGTCCTATCATTCTGCTTTTTCGGTCATTCTGCGTATCGTTTATTCTCCGTTCTCTCATTTTGCGACGCGCTAAACAGACGAGAAAGGTCGATGAGACTAGGTGAGAGGGGCGACGGGTGCGAATCTGAATCAGATGCAGAATCATCGAACACAGAAAAAGTGCGAAAAAAGAGACAGAAGAGACAGATATCAGGCCATTATTGCTATGATTTGCGATGGCAACCAACGGTTTTGTTTATCGGTCGACCGATGACGAATACGAATGGGTTCAGTTTCAGATGTATGTTTTGTCAATCTCAGATATTTTGAGTCGGATGTGTCATCACTGTGAACTCTGATCAATGGTCACGAATCGGATTACTCACGCACTTTCAGTTTCCCAGTCTGCAATGCCACTGGAAAACTGAAAAACCAAAAATACATTCCGCCCACTTCAACCAACTTTTTCGCCCGCTATTATTGCAACCTTTGGACCGACTAACCGATTTGCAAAAAGATAAACGAGGCGGGAAAAGGAGAAGACTCACTGTCGGGGTTTCGTCGCCGTTAAGTGCAGCGCCCAGTGGCGGTCCGGCGGCCGTTGGCGTCGACAGATCAGACTCGTCCTCCGTGCTTTCGACAAAGTTCTGAACGATAACGATAACAGCATGACGAGCGAGAGAGAAGGCGCGTTTTTTGAATGCAACCGGACACAAGTCGTTGATCTATTCGCTAGACTACGGCTATCAGAGAACGGTTCGTCTCCTCGATCTCTCACCTGGTTGACGAACTCCATCTTCGTCCTCGTCGGCGGCGCTTTCTCCTTCACTTCTGTCCCTCCGTCGTCTTCCTCGTTTTTGCGGAACGTCAGCGAGACGAGATGCTCCTCTTCGCTTCCGCTCATTCGCTGAAACAATCTCTTCATTTCTTTAGCTTCTTGGAAGAAAGAGGAACGGAACGGAAACACGCGAAGTAACAACGGGGTAGTCGCATAACGATTTGAAAGACGACATACGACGGAGAACAAGAAATTCACTAAATATAGGCTAAGAACTGAAAAGAAAAAGGAAAAGAGAGAAACGGTGAGAATGCGATCTAGGTGGATTTCTTGGCGAGATGTCCGTGCGTCGTCGGACTCGCGGCGGCCATTTCTTCGTCGATTTCCTCGAGGAACGTCTCTTGCTTCACCGAGTACATCGTGTACCAGTATATGCCGACGACAAAGGAGATGAGCACGACGAATGTGATGTGGTTCTTGTAGTTCTTTGCGAAAATTTCCTTGACACGCTCTTCGTTTACCTGCGAAGAGAAAAATCAAACTGCCAATCTTTCATTTGAATACCTTCTCGAACTGTTTCGCAAATCGCTTCTGGGGCCGTGGCAGATCCTCGATATCGATCGTCTCCAGCATTTCATTGTCCTTTTTCTTCTGAAAAAGAAAGCAATTGAAAAATAAATGAAAAAATAAAATATCACGTCAGCAATAGCTTCGCTTGTTTTATTTTTGGTTCAGAATATTGGGAAATTCGAGCGTATACTCTGCGACTTTGTTTATGATATTTTGCAGCTATTCGTCGATTTGCAACCACTTCAGAAAGTAAACTGAATTCTTTTTTTTGAACTTTGGAAACAGGCTTAAAACTCTCACGAATTTTTTTTGCATAATATATTCGTGAGCCTACTTTTTCCGTCTGTCAAACCACATTTTTTTCAAAGACTCACTTCAACTTGCGAGAACTTGTCTGGTGTCGCCGTCGGCAGTTTCTCGGCAGCCAAGAATTGACTCGTGCTCACAAGCCGTCGGATCGCGAGCGTTCGGCAGTTGAGCACCGCTCCAAGCATCCTGTGGAAATGGATTGAAACATGTCTATTGTGCACGCTTTATTGCAGATGTACAAATAGACGGCACGAATCGATTGACGGATATGAATACTCAGAAAACCTTCGGCTGTAAGCAGTGTGCCTTACCGAAATTTTTTTTACCGAAAGAAGTGAATTTCGGTAAATTTTCGGTAAATTTTCGGTAAATTGTTTCGAAAATTTACCGAAAGAGTTTCGGTAAAAACTGTTTTTACCGAAAGAGTTTCGGTAAATTTTCGGTAAAAACGTTTTTACCGAAAGAGTTTCGGTAAATTTACCGGTAAATTTACTGGTAAATCGTTCCTTTCGACAATTACCGAAAGAACAATTTTGAGAGCGGAGAAAAATGTTAAAACATGTTTTTTTGGTTTAAATTTTTTTATTTTTTTAATAAATTTTTAATAATTTTTTTATTTTTTTTAATAATTTTTTTGTTTTTTTAATAATTTTTTTGTTTTTGTTTTTTTTAATTTTTTTAATTTTTTTGTTTTTAATTTTTTTAAATTTTTTTAATTTTTTTTATAATGCTATGCAACGAGTTTCGCATTTAATGTGTCCCCAAAGTTCCTCATTCGAAAAATAAACTGTTCGTTAAAAAGAAAAACTGAAAAAAATTGAGGCGCCGAGCGGTGCCGTCGATACCGAAAAAGGCGCGGCACCGGCGTTCTTTTTGACAAGGGAAGTGACTGATGTGACCAATTTAGAACATTCTGAACAACATCCCAAACATCAGGAACACGCTGAACAGTCGCCTCAATGTTCCGTTCTCAAAAATTGAAAAATTGTTTCGAACAAGTACCCATTTACCGATAAAATTTACCGAAACTTTTACCGATAAAATTTACCGAAACTTTTACCGAAATAGTTTCGGTAAATTTACCGGTAAATTTATCGGTAAATTTTCGGTAAATTTTCGGTAAATTGTTTCGAAAATTTACCGAAACTCTTTCGGTAAAAAAAAGTTTTACCGAAAATTTACCGACAATTTACCGAAATTTTTACCGGTAAATTTACCGGTAAATTTACCGAAACCCTTTCGGTAAGGCACACTGGCTGTAAGGCAGTGGAAAAAGTGAAGTAGATGAGGAAGAGACGGCATCCGTATCGTGTAACCTCACGGCCTACGCCGCGTGTACTCCTCTCGGAGTCGGCAGCGAAAAACATCATTACTCACTGGCATTTTTTTCGCTGCTTTTTCATCCATCGTTCTCTCTCGAATTGACAGGCGAGACGAATAATAACTCGTGAACTTGGACCCTCTTCTTCTCTTTCATAGTGTCCACTCAGTCGCATACGTCCTAAATTGACGATTTCACGCAGACAGTAGTATTTCGGGGGTGCCCAATGCAAACATCGCCGCACCCGGGAGGACATTTTCACGTTCATTCCGCCTAAGCGGAAGTTACACCCGAAAACTATCGAGGTGGCTGTTGCCTCCGTTGCGTTCCCTCGCGCAAAAGCTTAGCTTATTATTGATTTTTGTGTCTCATTTCATTTGCGGCAGATATAGCCGTCCAAAATTCAATGATTCCACGAGATCCAATCCAACACTGCACACTCTTTTCATTTCGTAATATTTATCTGAAAAAGCGACACTTTCCATTCGTCCCTTCCACTTTCGCTTCCCCTTTCGCGATCGCGTCGGAAGATACGGATGCCGTCTCTTCCTCATCTACTTCACTTTTCCACTGCCTTACAGCCAGTGTGCCTTACCGAAAGGGTTTCGGTAAATTTACCGGTAAATTTACCGGTAAAAATTTCGGTAAATTGTCGGTAAATTTTCGGTAAAACTTTTTTTTACCGAAAGAGTTTCGGTAAATTTTCGAAACAATTTACCGAAAATTTACCGAAAATTTACCGATAAATTTACCGGTAAATTTACCGAAACTATTTCGGTAAAAGTTTCGGTAAATTTTATCGGTAAAAGTTTCGGTAAATTTTATCGGTAAATGGGTACTTGTTCGAAACAATTTTCAATTTTGAGAACGGAACATTGAGGCGACTGTTCAGCGTGTTCCTGATGTTTGGGATGTTGTTCAGAATGTTCTAAATTGGTCACATCAGTCACTTCCCTTGTCAAAAAAAGAACGCCGGTGCCGCGCCTTTTCGGTATCGACGGCACCGCTCGGCGCCTCAATTTTTCTCAGTTTTCTTTTAACGAACAGTTTATTTTCGAATGAGGAACTTTGGGGACACATTAAATGCGAAACTCGTTGCATAGCATTATAAAAAAATTAAAAAAATTTAAAAAAATTAAAAACAAAAAAATTAAAAAAATTAAAAAAACAAAAACAAAAAATTATTAAAAAAACAAAAATTATTAAAAAAATAAAAATTATTAAAAAATTTATTAAAAAAATAAAAAAATTTAAACCAAAAAAACATGTTTTAACATTTTTCTCCGCTCTCAAAAATTGTTCTTTCGGTAATTGTCGAAAGGAACGATTTACCAGTAAATTTACCGGTAAATTTACCGAAACTCTTTCGGTAAAAAAACGTTTTTACCGAAAAATTTACCGAAACTCTTTCGGTAAAAAAACAGTTTTTACCGAAACTCTTTCGGTAAATTTTCGAAACAATTTACCGAAAATTTACCGAAAAATTTACCGAAATTCACTTCTTTCGGTAAAAAAATTTCGGTAAGGCACACTG